GTATCGGACCATGTGCTAGCAATTAATATCAATCTTTTTGATCACATGTCCTGCATAAAGGGGGGGTTTTGGGGGATCCAGTCGATGATATCATAATGTTCCAAAAGAGTTTGGTAACGAGTCCGAGACCCTCTCAAGGTCAATAATGCTACTTCGAGGGAAGCACGTAATAGTCTGATACCCTAGGTAAAGCTATATATCAGATCCAAGTAATATACCAGGGGTTATATGTGGTTACATGAAATCCAAGCTAATTAAGCATACGGCTCATACTATAAAATACAAAAGGTCACGGGGTGACAACTTCGCATAGACTGTTCATCACATTTCCAAACTAATATCTTTGAACTAATATTTTATTAAAAAGAACCGAAATTATTAGCTATTAACATTTGATAAATAAGAGCTATTCTGACACTTAAATGTCCGTTGGCCGCTAATATCCTAAGAATTCTTGACTCAGGTGACCACTTAGCTCTGCGGCATCACCCGCATGAAACTAGTAGATCTACATACCGCAATAGCCGTCCAATACCCTACCCTTGTTCGATACCAGACCCTGTCGATACCGACCATATCCCAAACTAACTTGCTGTCCCTATTTCAGGTAGATATATATAGCAGCGGACCTGCGGAGTCCCATCACCAAAAGGATCCACGGATTTAAACCTAGGAATCCCACGCCACGGCCCGAAGCAGTTAATAGCCTCGGATAGAATAGACAAAAAACCACGGCCGCTAAGCTATATAACCTCGCCGCCGAGAAAAACAAGGCAGACTGCATATCCGCTTAGTGATATACCGCTGAGCTTAGTAAAACTTGCGAATATCAGTAAATCCGTTGCAACTAGCCAATTAACACTATATGGATGGAATTGATTCATAATATATACTCGCCTCCCAAGAAAGAAAATTTCCTAAATTTTCCTATCGCGATCGAGGAGTCGGCAAGGGTATGTTATTTTTTTGTTGAATATATGTATTTGGACGGGATCGGCCTTCATAGTCCTAGGATCCTAGGTGAACAAATGGTATTTACTAGGATTCTCAGGACTGTAACTGCGTCAATGCACGAGATAGTTGCCGTTCCTGCACAAAACCCACTCTAGTTAGCACTTTTTAACACTCATTATCCAGTTTTAGCATTGAATATAATTAAGTTTAATGACTAGTGGTTTGAATATTGGAAGAAAAAAAACACATCATCCCACTATCACATCAAGGGTTCCCATGCATGGCCCCTCCTCAAAGTTGAAGAGAGAGTGAGGGCAAAAAACAAAAAGTAAGAAGTAAGAAGCTCCGAAGTTCGATCCGAACTTTAAACCGGCATATCTGCCAATGAGTACCTTCCATACCTGTATCTTATGCACAGCGGCACAGCACGGGACTCGAAACGCTCCACCCTCCTTGTGAGTGAGACTGGCCAGCTGAGTTACTAAAACGAGTAATATTACGATATCACACTTATTTCCATGTAGCAGCGAAAAAATAATCTTTAATTAACTGCATGACGTTACCTCTCCCCAAGAAAAATGCAAGGAAAAAAAGTACTCGGGTCCGTAAGACCCACTGGTCGACTATCACAAAAATGTAAAGTCTCACGATATCAAAAAAAAGAGAGTCCACTAGACTGAAACCCGCCCGAAGAATTTATGCCCTCAAACGCCCCGCCGCCATAAAATTCGTTAAAGCTTGTCAGAGTGGCGTCGAAAAACTAAATCAAAGACACCTAAATCCGGGCCTTCCCGAACCCTAGCCTTAGGGAAGGGAGGAAGAAAGACTTCCTTCAAAGGCGGACCATAACAGTTGCCGAAAAACTCTTGCTCTTTGCAACGTAACGGGATCCACTTCCACGACCTACGTGAACGACGAACAACGCAGAATCCCGGAACTGATGGTTTCATCTAACGATACCAGTCCTTGCGAATAGAAGACATCGAAAAACGGGGATTTAAAATCCCGGACCGACATACGCGCGGCATGTATATGCAGGTTTAACAAATCCGAATACCGATGCATGACCTCAGTATTCCCAAAGAGTCGTAGACTTCCTTCCGAAAATGGCTAGACGTCTACGAAAAAAAAAAGTGCAGTCAGCATATATGTAGCAGGTTTCCAAGTTTTATTTTTTTTATTGAAGATTCGAACAAACAAAACCTGATGTCGACGTCCTAATTTACTACTAAAGTGGAGTAGCTGCAGCTGCACCTTCTCAAAGAGCAATCACGAAGTCTACATGATATTTCAGGCAGTCACTCGGTGTGGGCAAAAATATGTATACCCCGCTCGAAATCCTTGCAGTTTGGCTGGCAAGCAAGCAGCTGAAGTCAGCCGAGCGGAAGCTAGACGCCAAGTTAGTTAATGTTCAAAGGCGGCACAGTGGCAAAGGTTCGTATGCGGGTGATAGTGACTGCAGGAAGCAAGTAGGTACATACCTATTGTGGAGTTTTCAAAGGATCATGTCGACGTCGATTATATCCTCAAGTATTAGGTAGTTCCCTGGATATTTTATATCATATGTTACCGCGTCTACCGATCGCAGTTCGAACTCGGGATGAGATGGAAGTGATTGGGTCGGGAAAAATTACCGATGCCTCTAATATCCGTCGACGGACACACAATTGGACACACTCTGGAGCCCAGCTCAGCGCCATCATGTATTTCTTTTACGAGACCGAATACCACCTTGTCAGAAAACATGCAGCCCAAATCTTCATTTGCCGTGTATATTTCTTTCAGCCTGGAATTAATGGAGTTGGGTGTAATCATCCCGCGGATGTCCCGTCGGGGGGTCCCGTCGCTTGGATAATGTAATGACGGAAAACCAAGCTGGAAATGTGTTGAATTTCAACACCGAATTTCGACATCAGCCTGTGTAACAAACCAGCACCGAAGGGAGATTTAAGGTTTGCAATTATCCTTGCCTGTCAGGGTCCTAATTCCGGGTTTTCGTGTTCTGTTGCCCATTCTGAAGCATCCAGTCGTAAATGAACGTCATCTCCGACATTATCTTTCTTCGGGTATATAATGCTTTTGCTCAGGTGGTCTATGAGCTATAACGATGGCTTCCTATAGGTATAGCCAAAGTTACATGTAGTTAGTCGACGCATGCACACTATCTCAGCACTCTTATGTGTGCGAGCTTTGGGCAATTGTGCAAAAAAACGAAAAAGTAACAGCCCTCAAGATCGAGCCAATTGGATGCGCCAAGGGCTTCAACTGAAATTTGATGCTATTCCATTTCGAGGATTTGCAAGGTGGTCCATGCAATAATGAAATGAGCTGTATAGATCCCCGTCCGGTATAGTTTCGAATCCCAGTTGACGTTTTCACATTCTTCCCACGAATAGTAAGAGGATCTTACTCTCTTCCGCTCCACACACATATCGTTAGAATTAGAATACGATATGGGGTAATGTCTGGGCTTTCGCAGCTGCTATTTTGTGCCCAACAGTATGTAGCAGCAAAGCTAAAGATCAATAACAAGAGAGTGATTGTGAATTGCTAATTGCTGCATAAACTCGTCAGTACTCCACTCATACATACACGTGCAAGGTTGAGAATGGACCATGGAACTGATATTGATGCGGAGTGCATGATATCACTTCTCAATGGCACCACTAGTTTGAGTTCGATCCACTCGACATACATAGTTAAGTACTTATAGTATACTTAACTTATAGTATGTATCCAAGTGTATATCACAAAGCACGAATGTGACGCGCTGCGGTTGATCTACAGTCTTTTCCATAAAACGAACAGCGGGAGGGAAGGGAAGGAAGCAATAATGTTTCGCTTATCCAGTTTGACAGTTTGCCGGCTGATGCCTGGTCGGATGTCAGCAAACGTTACGAACCTGTTCATTTTCACTCACCTTGCACCCGAAAGATACCTTCGAATAACATTTACTAACAGAAACACCACAATGAGCTAAACTTCGAGGAGGCTGGTTGTTGGGAAACGGCGGGTCCCGGGGCACCGGATGGTGGGTAAGGTGCATGAATTCGTGATGTGATGTGCATATGTGATGTGATGGATGTGATGAGCAGCCGCTAGCCAATGATTTCTGCCACCGCTCAGGCCCCTCGTGGGGCTCCTGTGGACCCCACGTGTCAAGTCGTGCTGAAGCATGGTATTGTCGGTGACCACCTTCGATAATTGCACAATGCATTGTCCCTCTCTCAATCATACCGAGGCTCTGGTAACTGGTAACCGGTAGCCATCTCTCTCTCTCTCCATACATAGATTCCAAAACAGCGGACGGGCCTGGCTGATACGTGCTCCTTAAAAGGTTTTATTCTTGGAGGTGGTTTGTTATTGCATTTGAGATCGATTGCATTGCATACGATTGAAGGCCTCGGTAGTTCGATCGAATGAGAAAAAATAGGAGAAAGGGGTGGCCAAATCGCTCGCTTCTTAGATCAGGCCCCGGTCCCCACATAAGACTTCCTGATTCTTATCAGCCTCTGCTAAGTCTGCTAAGTTGGCCCCACTATCAAGGTAAGCTTGTAAGTTCGATTGTCAACTTTTCTAGATTGAGTTAGAACTTCAGAACGCGTCCGGCATCATCTCCGGCGGAAACTGGCTTTTCCAGAAATCATACTGTGTAGTACGCTGCTGCACTGCACTGCAAGGAAATTACTAACCTCAGCTGCGTTGCGCTTGCTGGCGCTGCCGTGCCCGGACTGCTGTGATTGTGCGCGCGGTGAAGGAAAGAAAAAAAAAAGAAAAGAAGAAAGAAGGAAGAAAGAGAGGAAGGAAAAATAAAGAAGGAAAAAGAAAGAACGAATGAAGAAGACACACAGAGCGACAGAGGACTGCTTCACAGTGGGGGATTGATGCGAAGTCTATTTAAGGTACGTACCCGTACTCCATTCCCAGATTCTCGGAACGTCAGGTTTTAGTCTTTCTTCTATCCTCCCCCCTTCCCTTTCCTCCCCTCCTCCTGATAACAGCTACTTCCCGAGTAGCTGGGTCGTTCAAAGTTCAGTTGTTGCATAATGTTTATCAGCAAATTAGTCGCTCCAATTGCGACCGTTCTCCTATGTCTAGGAGGAGCGAACGTTGTTGAAGCCATCACGGCTTCTGCATTCGCAGCTGTCCAATTCGACTATATTATCGTTGGTGGTGGTACTGCTGGTCTCGTTGTTGCCGGCAGACTCAGTGCTAATCCCCACATCAAAGTCGGTGTCCTCGAGGCCGGTACGAGTGGTCTCGATGACCCGATTATCTACACACCAGGAAAGGTGGGATGGGCTGTGGGTACCAATTATGACTGGAGCTTCATGACGGAGCCTCAGACCGAGCTGGGCAATCGACCGTTGTTTTACTCGAGAGGTAAAGCGCTGGGTGGCAGCAGTGCTATCAACTTTTTTGTCTGGATGAGAGGAAACAAGCCAGATTATGATGCCTGGGCCAGTCTTGGGAATCCTGGGTGGGATTTCAACAGCTTGATGTAAGTTGGCCTCTTCGTACTTTTCTTAACTCGTTTCTTGGATGGGTGGATATCATGATGCTAACATTGATGCTTCATTCAGTCCATACTTCAAGAAACCCGAAACTTTCAATGCGCCCAGTCCAGCCGATGAATTAGCCTTCAAGCTAGATTATAATGCTGCCGACCATGGTACCACCGGCCCAATCAATACATGCTTCTCCAACCAGTACGGTGGCACTCACCAATTCTGGCATCAAACCCTCAACAATCTCGGAATCCCAAGTCGTGATAGCTTCAATGGATCGAACTGGGGTGTTTGGACCGGCTTGACAAATGTGAACCCAATCAATCGTACTAGAAGCTACTCGGCCTCGCAATACTATCGTCCTCACGCTGCTAGACCCAATCTTCACGTCCTCACCGAAGCCATGGTGCAAAAGGTTATCATTCAGACCGTTGGAGGTCACAAGACAGCAACTGGTGTGATTTTCACCCACGGTGGAGCCAGTTATACCGTCAATGCTGCATCTGAGGTTATTCTTTCGGCTGGAACTATCCAATCTCCACAGCTTTTGGAACTCTCTGGTGTTGGAAACCCAACTTACCTCACGCCTGCCGGTGTTACGGTTCTTGTCAACAGCCCTCACGTTGGAGAGAACTTGCAGGATCGTATCAGTATGTTATAATCATCCCATTTTGCACGTATATATATACATGTGAAGGCGATAGTAGTTAAAAAGTGTACTAACAAACTCATAGTGAACGTTCTACTTTACGAACTCGACCCGTTGGTTGAAAACCAAGGCCCGCTCAAAGACCCCGTTGAACTGGCCGACGCTGAAGACGAATACTATACCAATCACACTGGTCTCCTCACCGTTCTTCCCAATGATTTTGCCTATCTCCCACTAAACAAAGTCATGAACGAATCCTATGTCAACCATCTCCGAAGCCTTGTCTCTGGTACCGACGACCGAACTCTCAGCATCAAATCCAAGCTCGACTTCAATAAATTCCTTGGCAATCTAGAATACGTCTTCGATCCTAACATCCTATTCGCTGTTGGCAACCCAGACCCTCTTAAGAAATATGGCACAGTCTTCCAAATGTTGCAATACCCCTTCTCTACCGGTCACATCCATATCCAGCCACCTCCAGTCGGTGTACCATTGTCTGCTGACCAACATCCTGTCATTAATCCACGGTACTTCGAAGGTAATGGTGTTGTCGATATGCTCACATTGGCAGAAGGTCTTAAATTCGCCGACAGTATCGCCCGCCAAGGTCCTCTGAACGCTGCCATCGTCAAGCGTGAAGTTCCTCCAGAGCCAGCCCCGGGTACCGAGACCGATTGGCTTCAATTCGTCAAGGACAACACCGTCTCCGATTGGCATCCAGTTGGTACCTGTGCCATGAGCGGCCACGGTATCCACAAGGGTGTCGTTGATGAGAAACTCAGAGTTCACGGTGTTAAGAGACTTAGAGTCGTAGACGCCAGTATCATCCCAGTACAGATCAGCTCCCATCTCCAAGGAACCGTTTACGCCATCGCAGAGAAAGGTGCAGATATGATTCTACAGGACTTTGAATGCAAGAGGCGACGTAGACGCGGCCGCCGGTAAGCTATAACAACAGCCTTGCAAACGTTTTGATACCTCATGTTTTTGTGTGCGATTCTTTTTGTGTTTTAGAGAAACTATTGCGCGTGCGTGAGTGCGAAACTGATGACCGTCGATTTAGCTGTCGACCTCACCACTAGTGCCCTCCACCTCCTCTGGTCCTAGGATCTCTTGGAACTCCGGGTATACTTAGTTTAATGTGTTTAGTTTAATGTAATTGGAACGAACTTTTTTTTTTGACCCCTTTTATCTCTACTCACCTAACCAGGACGGAACGGACTGGACTGGACCGGATTGGACACGGACTCCTCCCCCACTAGCTCTCCTTCCTCCTACAATGAATAACCATCCTATCCCCTCTTAACCCTTCACGATCACGGCGAAGAAAAACAGAAAATAGCCCGGTCGGTCGGTACGAAATCTCTTCGGAAAAGGCCCTTTCCTTACGAAATGATATATGATATGTCTATCCCTTTTCATTCATGAATAGCTTTTTTGTGTTGTCATGTGTGTTTCTTTGTTTTCTTCTTTTTTTGTTCATAGTACTCTTAGCGATCCTTTTATCCCCGATTTATGAATTGCAATTGGATATTATTTTATGAATACACAAAGTGTGTTATGAATACGCTTGATATCATATGTGGAAGAGGTACTTGTAGTATCTAGATGTATGTATGCATGTATGTGTACGTACGTGACGGGGAAGAAAACAAATAAATGACAATCGTGGAAAATGCCGGTCAACAAGTACGTGCAGTGCGAGCAAGCAAGAAAGCCAATCTTAGAAAATAGTACCAGCGAAAGCAATTCATACCGAAACAAAATGGAAAAGAAAAGCAGATCTAACCAAAACAAGCCAAACCTAACCACTACGAAATTGAACGAATGGAAAAAAAGTCGGGAAACTAAAAATAAGGAGTATTAGTAGTATTAGTGTACTATATTGTGATATGGAGGCCGGTGCCTTTGGAGAAGGTAGGGTCTACTGAGGAGTAGAATCTATCCAGTCCCGAAAGCTGGCGAGAACGTATATCTTGTAGGGGTGGGAAAGTGGCCAATGGTAGAAAGGCCCAAATGCAATCCTCTTGGTAGGAAAATGAAGAATTAAGCCAAAGTGGACAAGAAAATATGTAGTCAGAGAAGTAATAAGAGATACAACCGTCAAACACGCGACAATCAAGCGACTCGACAGCTACAATCCCTTAAAGAACCTCCAAAACAGGCCCATCCCTCCCTTCAGCCTCCTTAACCTCCTTCAAAAGAATTTCAAACTCTGGGAAGAAACCCTCGACAGCACGCTTCATGTATCCACGAAGGACCTTGCTGCCTAAGATAATCTTCTTGCAGAACGGATTGGAATTGGTTCCACAGAGATTGATAAGCATAGCTGAAATGACGGCGTCAATATCAGCTGGAGTAGCAGTCCTATGAAACCATTCAGTAGCAGTGCCAGATGGAGTGAGACGGATCTCGAGGGATTCGAGAGCTTCACGGAGGATGACTTCGGTCTCTGAATCACTGTGGCGGCCGACTCCCTGTGCGACGAGACTATGGGTCAGGGATCTGCGGAACCACCAGTGAAGTGGGATGCGAAGGAAGAATGGGAGATCTCCGAAGACCTATGAAGTCTCTTAGTTAGTATAAGATCATAGCAGTGTACCTAGATAGAGAAGGCTTAGTAGTTACCTCACGAGCAATGACAGCTTCATTCTCCTTGTCAAACCAACGGCTTCTGACGATAGCAGGGTAGATGGCTTCCTCCCAGTAACCACGGTAGGCAACACCTTCAACAATTTGAAGCTGAGTAAGACCGGCCGACTTATCCAAATCAGCTAATCCCTTCTCCTTGATGTAGCGAACAATGAACTGAGAGTCTGGAACGATGGTGCCATCAATGTTGACGTAAGGAAGCTTCTTCTTTGGAGCCTTGAAGGGGAGAGTGTCTTCTTGGGTGTACTTGACGCCAGCGAATCGGAGATAACACTCGACCTTTTGACAAAACCCGGAAGCGGTAGGGTTACCCGGGCGCTTCTCAAAGGCAAAGAGAATGACCTCGCCGGTCTTATTGTCAGCTGGTTTTACGGAGGACATGGTTGCTGGCGTTCCTGTGGAAGTAGTTCTGGTAGCGGTTACGTCGGTCTGGCCTCTGAAGGATCTGTGTTGGACTATGTTGGAATATCTGAAAGAGGAAGATTAAACGAGACTTGGCACGACGAATTCGGAAATAAGGTATGGGTGCAAGGTCTTGACAGGAAATGGAAACGGTGAAGCTTAAGCTTAAGCTTGCTGATGAGTAGGAAGAAAATCTTGGGAGGAGGATGGAGGATCTTGGTGGTGATGATGAAGAAGGATAATGAAGAGTGAGAGGGGAGACAGGTGACGTTGGGAGAATACGAAGTTTTTATATACCAAATTGCAACATCTGAACTCTTCTTTCCAACACCTTTGCACCAGCACACAGCATACACAGCAGAGCATCGATGAGCATCTAGATCTCTACTAGACCAACAGAACACAATTCACCAAAGGCAGATGAAACTTCACAAGCCAGTTGATTCGGTAAATTCGGGTCCTTTGTCCTGCCATTATCCCGTGCGGATCAATTGATTCTTTGTTAATTTTCCTGTTCTATTGTTGCCGCGTCATTTGCATTATATCCTTTTGGCGGTACACTGAGCTCTATGCGGTGCGGGATTACTTAACCAGGTTGAAACTGAATCAAGGCTCACACAAAGGCACAAGAAAGTGTATACTTCGGCCATAAGGTTTTCTTGCAAAACTTCTTTGTGGTTGGTCCGATCACAACCCCACGATCTTTTGTCCTAGGAAGTTACACGTAATATCTGACAAAGGCACAGTCCCGATCGATCATGCCTGGTGTGGTGGCTGATATCCTGCATACTTATGCATCACAATACATCGAAATCTAAGGTTTAAAGGCTCTAACTAAGCGAAAGAAACCGAGGAAACGAGATACTGCATTAAATGTCGATAACGTTACGCAGGCCCGAGTGTGCCTTTCCACCCAATAACCCTTCCTCCAAGGGGAGGAAGACTCTAAGATTAAGCTTAAATTGTCGGACTTTCATGTTTTTCAGCTAGTGAGCTTTGGACCGCCGGCTAGATGTTTCGCCGACTCATGGCATATGCTGAATGCGTATGTTTTAAGCGCCCCTTTGGCTCTTAAGTTGTTATATATCCAGGAACGTCGGATATTCCTTTTCACGTGGTCCAAGTTGATATATTCGATTTATCCAGGGCCGGTGAATTTTCTTCAGGTCTTTCTTGAGTGGTTCATCTCTTGTCTCATTTTCTGATGGACATGAACCGAAGCTCTTCGACTTGGTTTCGGGACTATCAAGGCGATACGAGGCTGACAACACGATTGACAACAACACACCAGTGCCGGTTGACGGCGAATACAGCTTTCGAGGGTTCGAGATCTCGAATTGCTAAAGATATGTCTTATATGGGCTATCTCGATACCACTTGACAGGGAGGTTCAAGAAGTGTAATCTTGGCCAACTCAACTTCGACGTCGTGGGCCAGAATACTCCAAAGCGTGGTGATAACTGACTTGGTGTTGTAATTTGGACTCACAACGCGGAGTTGTCCCAGCTTCAGGTCCTCATGAAGCAGTAATCCCTCAGAGACTAAGTAAGAAGTTCATGAGTTCAGATTTCCGGGAAACTTTGGTATTAAAATTATGGACTAAATCGAGAGAAAAACACTGACCTCGTCGCCTGCATTATAAAAACTCCAATGTATCTAGCAAGCAATTTGCCAAGGCTATGCCGCGCCGTAAGGCTGAGCAGGTGTTGAAGCCAAAATTGCAGTGTATCGATACACTATATCTATATCTATAGCCCAAATCTCTGAACTAATACCGTCCGTCGAAACGCCACGTTACTGGATTTGCTCCTAGGCTTCTTTAACAATGGAACTTTACTACACCAGAAAGTATCATGAGCCCCGAAGGGTTTTTGCCGATTACAACCTTCGGCTAGATTCTCGACAAGATTCTAAACCAAGTCTGATTGATGATATTAAGATCTTGTTGGAGGACACTCTGCGACAGCCTATATCATTTTGGCCGTTACGACAGCCTCGGACCACTAAACCCCACCCCAAATTCTTTCGTCGTATGTTTTGGGATTGTGTATGTTACATCAAGGGGACGTAGTCTCTCAAACTAGGACTAATAACTGTACTCACATAGGATTGCGGCATGGAAATGCACGCCGATATTCCATTAGACAGATCTGACTACATGGATTTTCAATTTATTGAAACCTCTAAGCCTCGGGTAGACACAGTGTCGAATCAAGAACTTCCCGTGAAGTTCCAAATATATTTCTGTGCGGAGGGGGACTGTGGTAGAGATGTTATGACGACTATCAAATCCGATAACCTTACCACCGATCAAGCTCTGTTTCAACAACTTCGTATCAACTACGCCGAAATACGGGGCTGGAGGCTTCTTTTCTCGTTGACGCATGTTCACGATATTAGATCTGTGAGGGTATGTATGTACACATTTGTGTATCGCAACAGTAGCTATTATTTATCGCTGATAAACATCTTCTTTGAACCCCTAGTTCTGGCGTGGCTATTATGCGCGTAGGCGTCAAGAGAGGAACAGCTTCTGGAATCTCTTCCGGAATATCGAACCATTTACATCATACGCAGCAGACCTTTGCGACATCAAGGAGGAAAACGTACCGCCCATCGACGATGACGAATATTTAATCCCCCATCGCCAACCACCATCGTGGCTCATACGCCCTATAGGTCGACGAGCAATCATGGACCATTTTTCAAACCCAACCGGCGGCAGAACTGACGCCTCAGATTGTCTCCGATACGCCATGCCGAAGAAACTCACACCTTCCACCCGTAGCGGGTTTTCTGAACTTTATGGATTACACGCCGAAGAAGCTATTTGTCCTACAAAGATTCTGATTTGGGGGGTTGTAGTCCACTTTCTCTGTTTCTGTATTGGGGGGTATTTACCTTGGTGGATTGTTTCTGTGGCGTATTTCGGTCTTGTTTCTGGGAATATCGGGTCTCGGGTTAGGAAAAATCGGAAATATGGTGATAGATATGAACTTGTCTATCTTTATAACTAGAGGAAGATCAGACTTGAACCTTTGCCCAAGGGTCTGAAAATCAGCCTTAATCAGGCGCGCGGTTCGAAAATCGGTCGCCTCGTAGCTTGGCTAGAATCAAACATGCATGCATACATGTATGCAGGATCTCCTCAGCCCCACTCGGCAACAAGGCTTAATTAATTCACGGGAAGTCTGAATCTTTAAAGGCCCCCTCTTGGACCCGATCGGTTATCAATGCGCAGCCTCCTTAGTGTTTTTTTTTTAAAAAAAAACCATATATTACAACAGCGCCTGCGAGCACTTATAGTTGAGAGGTACCTGAGTCCGAGGCCAGCTGTCTCACTCTTGATGCCTACTTTTTTTACACAGAGTTGTTTTAAGAACAAGCCCTATCTCACTCACTAGGAGCGATCCACGGAGTAATCAAATGAAACTCGTGCCGATAGTATGATTGACCAGTCAGAGCCACAAATTTCAGCGGCAGAGCCCTCAGAATCTGTCGGCGATACAACACTAATCCCGTTCCCAGGAATCAGAGACGGTGTCCAAGTATTTCTGGGAGGATCCAATGGAGTCGAAGCATACCGAATCTTCGGCGACTATAATTTGCGTACATATTCAAACGCAACGAACAAACGTCACTTCCTCAATCTTGGTGCCTTTAGGAGAAATATTAATAGACTCGGGCTCTGGTTTGAGCGTGTCTTGCGGCAACCGATATCGTTTTGGCCTTTGAGCCAGCCTCGGGATCTTGAAAATGTCCTGGGGGATGGGTACAGCCGTTTCTTTTGGGATTGTGTCTGTATATCCTAGTATTAAATCATCCCAGGGTATTACGGATCAAAGAACTAATAAAAATATCTATAGTACAGGATTGTGGAATGCAAATGAGCTTCCAGATTGATGATAGGCATTTCGAATCCAATAATAAATCGACCAAGGCCGACGTGGCCTCGCTCCAGGCCACAAAAGGGGGTATAGCTGATACAGCTAAGGCTAGACCAATACGCAGACTTCCACGCGTCGTCCTGTCTGTTGGACTGTATTGGCTCTTAATTTTAACCTGTTTAATCCCCGTCATAGCTTTTATTAGTCTATGGTATAGTTCTCGGTTTGTAACACGCCGTGAAAGCACTAGCGCGTCGCTGAAGCTATCGGACGAAGCCATAAACTCCAAGCCCTTCTCTTTTTCTCTCTATGTTTACGTTAACGTTATCGAGAGGCTTTATAACAGAGTTAGTATGGGAATATTGTGTCTTTTTGATCCCTCAGATCGATATAGTTGCCTGAGATTCAGGTACCCTGTTGACCCGAAAAGTTTGAAGAAAAGTGTTTTACCCTTCACACTTGAGTTATGTTCTCTCGTAGTGGATGTGTTCTTAATCTGTATCACAATTCCCTTACTCTTAATTTCATTTTACGGGGTGTTCCGGGAGAATTGGAATTTATTGACTGGTAGGGCCGACGCAATACCAGATGTGGCGGGCGCTGGGGGTTTCGATGACGACGTTGATTGTGACTCTCCCAACATCGACATGGCGGTTGAGTGTAGTAAGAGAACCGCGGCTCCAGCAGGACATCAAACCACGAAAACAGAGTCTCGCGGCCAAGAACCGCGTAAGTTCCGGCACGCTCGTCTTCGAAAAAAGTCCCGTGCTGCAAAGGAAGGCAATAATTCACTACCAGGCTCTAGAGCCCCTTCGACCAACACTGCGGCTGCGGATCCGGTCCCGAAGCCGCCAACCATCTCAGATAATTTTCAAATATTCTTCTGCGCTCGAGGAAGTGTAGGTGATCGCGATGTTGTTAAAGTCCTCAAATTTTCAAAGTCACAAAATGATAGAGATCTATTTTCGGCCTTTCGCAAATCTTACTCTGCTATACGAGGGTGGAAACTTTGGTTTTCTTTTACTCATATCCATGATATTCAGTACATAAAGGTTAGTACTCATACGGATACCTTAGTCTATAAGGGTCAGTTCCCTCTGTTCCTGAGTTACACTAACTTAATTGACATATTTACATATAACCAGTTCAACCGTTATTCATCCAAACAAATATCTCGCGGCGATGGCCTCTGCTACGTTGACACGACGAGACAAAGTCTTCCGGACAGACAAGATAAGAACTATGCAATCCCACACCGAGAACCTCCAGTACCCATCATACGTCCCATGTGTCGTCCAGAAATCATGGACCACTACGATCACCCAGATGATTCCATAAACGCTTCCAATTGCATCAAGTTCGCGATGCCAAAAAGAGTTAACGATCTACCGGCGGGAAGATGTGATGCATGGGGTTTATATGCTGCAGAAGCAATTTGCCCAACAAAGATCCTTATTTGGGCTCTTATAGTTAATATAGTCCCTATCTTTGCATTTGCACCTTGGTGGTTGGTGAACCATCCTGGTGATTTGCAGAATGCTTTTGTACCATCTACGGTGATTTCGGTCGCGTACTTTGGAACGGTTTCGGTTGACGTGGCTGCTAGAATGGGGAAACGTTATAACTACGAATAACTGTGAAGGGGCTTTTCGGATTTAAGGGGTCTGGCGACCTGACGAAATTTTGTAGAGTTGTTTGATTCGTTAAATCACCTAGATATCTAGTCTAATGACTAAGATATCTTCGAATTAGATATATTAGGATACTATCAAAGTTGCATGAAAGGCCTGAGTTCATAGCTCAAGAGTTGACTACTAAACTTCCGCACTTAAAGATCTCGAAAATTTATCTTCCTCCTAACATCATCCCTCAAGCCGATCAAAAGCTCACTCTCATTCGGTGCAGTCCTCGGTCGTCTCCTCGCAGTCGATCCAACACGACAAAACCTTCCCGAAGCACTTCCAGGCTCTGGACTCCAAACATGCGTGCTCGGCGTGACCGGTCGATCATCGCCAGCCGAAGAATCCTCCCCATCCCTTAAGAACGACGGAATCTTCGCGTCGTCTGTACATCTACCTCCCAGACGACCTTGATCATTTTTTCTCCAGGTGCTGATCGGAATCCTGGATCGTTTTGGTGGTCGAGGAGTTTTTGTCCCCGGAAGAGGAGGAGAAAGAGGAGGGCAAGGTGACAAATTCGGTGAACTACGCTTTAACCGTAGCTTTTTGACAAGAATTAGGCTTTTGTCAGGTGGCGGCTCCCCGGTAGACTGTATACGGAAAAGCTCTTTGATATGTATGACACACTGGTGATATTTCGTAGATGCTTCTCTCTGATTGAAAAAAATAGTATTAGTAATCCATCCTCGTTCCACATGATAATATACGCGCGCCAAGAATACAGCATACCAGCTCCTTAGTCCACTGCTGAAGCAGTTTCTTTGCCTTCTTCCTCAAGTAACTTTCCGTCTCAGCCTTTCTGAGAAGATTCCCTTGAGTTCTAGTGATCTTCTGCAGAACTTCTGAATTTTTGAACGTGAATACCTGCTCACCACCAGGGAGGATATAGTGATGATGTCCGATGGGAATTAGGGGCATTGCTTTTCTAAGAGAAAAAACGCGATTGATCAGAGTGCTAGCTATGTCAAGGAATAGATCCGTACCCGGTATGATCGATATTTGGAGGAGAGTTGCTTTCTATAGTAGCGATGAGGGAAGGCGGTGTGCGGTCTCAGTAGTAAACAACTTGTGCTCAGGGTGGTGTGAGAGTTAGGAGGTATCAATCCCAATTTAAGAGTTTATACACTCTTTGAGCCTGTTACGCTAGGAATAGCTCAACGACAGCGCGGCTGAGCTTACCTCAATTCGTCAATGCTTCCGCCGGAGATAGAATCTTTGCTGTACGCCTACAATCAGGGCTTTGAATAGCATCGAACCCACGCGCTCGGGATGGAAATAGGTAGGGTCATATGGAATTTGAGTGGCCGGGCCTCATCAAGATTAAATTCTGGTGCCATGAAAATTATAACGTTGATTTAGCGTAGAGTGAAGATGCGTCAATAGGTGTATTGATAGCTTAATGGAGATTGCGCGGAGTGCAGCTACATCGAGGCTAATTTAGCACGAGAATAAACAACCTGATGCTAGATCAGCAAAATTCTGATAAAAGTTATACGATGAATTTTTCCATTCCTTTTATCTACCTGGGGGGGCTCCTAAAACCGGACCAAGAAGATAAGATAGCTCATCGATAGCTGTGGAAAGGGAGTTCCGATATACCAAATTCCGAATCCTCCACAGCAATTCGCCCATATCCCAATAAGAACTAAACTAAAAGACGTGACAAAAGAAAAGGAAGGTGAAACCCTTGACTAGAACGATTCAAACTTGATGTCATCAACAAAGATGCGGACATTCCTCGTACTAGCGTATGTGGCATGGAACTCCAGAACATTAACACCCTTGAAGTTCTTTGGGAAAGTATCCCAGCGCCACTTCTCCCATGAACCAATGGGGAAGTCGATTGCATGTTCCGCAGGATCCTCTTTGCTGCCCTCCTTATACCCGAAGACCGTGAAATGACACTCAAATCCACCCCCTAGCATGTTAAGTCTTGCTTTATCTTCGTCTGTCGTGATTGCAGGGTAGCAAGCGGTCATGAACTCTCGAATCTGATAGACTGGATGTCCTGGACCGGATGGGATTCTGATTTGGGGTTTTGTATTATTCCACTCTGGGGTACCACGATTTGCCCAAGCAACTTCTGTAAACGCAAAGTTTTGGCGTGTAGCGTTGACGGGTCCAAAAGCCCAAGTCGCATTGTTGAATATGACATTATCTTTCGGGTTGCCATCAGCATCTTGATGGCGGCCTTTCCACTCCGGTCCGAATTGAAAGGGGGCAGTTGACTCTTCGGTAATCTTGAAAAATCCAGTTTTAGGGTCGACATTGGTAACGTCTTCGAAGGTGAAGGTAGAGTTGCCCCTTGGCCAAACTTTACCACTTCGGCTAGGATAAGGCGGCTCAAGAATAGAAGTAGGGAGTGCAGAGGCGGATATAGAACTCTGTGTCTGGCTTCTGGCCCAATTGAGATTACTAATCCATGGGCTACGAGGCTTTAAGCCTTCATATTGCTGCGGTGATCCCCGAAGCCAATCGATGTCTGATTGTCTCTCTCGTAAGTTCTTTCCTGGTAGGCCCAAAGTCTCGCGACCATGCCCGTCACTAATGGCCTGAACAATTTCGTCGATCCTTGAGTCCGGAGAAGCTGCGACAGCTTTGTTTCCGGTTTGTGGTCCCTTGCCCTTCCGTGTTAAATAGGTGAAATTGTCGAGAATGATGGCAACGCTCGTAGCTTGTGGGTCGGCTGAGAGTAAAACAAAATAGAGCTTTGTGAGGTGATCGCCATCAATAAGGTCTACAAAGGCGAACCCGACATCCTCAGGGGCGGCGCCTGCGGGCTTGGCAATGCTGACTTGTTGAAATATGAGATCCTGGGGTTTGTTTCCCTTCTTTTGTCGAACAAGGCCGACAAGACCAATCGTACACGGAGTCGTGGTATCAAGAACACTAGTCGGATCCAAAAATTGTTCGCACCCAAGGTAGAAGCTCTTTATTGACATATCCTTTCTCTTGGATCCAAAGTAGTCGATACCAATAGAAGGAAAAATTGACGCCGACTTATCAGTGTAGGGGACCAGACCGGGGGCAAATAAGTGACCAGTCGATGCGTTTAAACTTTTTGCGTCACATCTCCCGTCGAAATTTCCAAGAAGATGCTTAACGTTATAAAAGCCGTCGTACTGAAGATCCTTCCAAGGAACAGAAATACTGTTGTAGGTGGTGTCTCCGTTCATATCGAAGCAGTCTGTTACATGCTTTCCGCGCTTTTCAAGGACAGGAGCACTAGTAGACGGGGATGGAAGTACACTCTCGGTAGCCGCCGTAGAATTAGTAATATACTCGACTCTGTTGATAATGAGCATTAAAGAGCCGCCGTAAGCAACATCAAGAGGCACTTGAGTTTGCATAGGCGGATCAGTAGAATACAACACCGAATAATTCGAAATGCTAAAGCGTAGGTCCTTGAGTTTGCTAAAGCCAGGGTTGAATCTTATTTGCTGAAGGCGAGCTTTGCCGGCTTCGAGGCGACCGACTTCATTCATGCGAGCGTAAGGGGGTGAAAACTCAGCAGATTGAAATCCAACTAGATTTCCAGAGCGATCGGTGCCTTTAAAGTCGATATTACACTGAACCGGGACACCGCTGCGAAGAGCGCAACCAAACATGAGAGAATCAATGCTGAAGGAAGAGATATCCGAGTCCTTGTAAAGGCAAGAAAGAGAAGGATCATTTTCGTGCTGGATTCTGTTTGCCTTGTCCAAGGGAACCAAGGCGAATGCATTCTTCCCAGCGTAAAACTGGAAGAAATGCCTGCTAGCCCCAACGCGGAAGCTCTTCCATAAGAGGCCTTCATAGGGCTCATCAAGAGGACGCCAATCAAGATCGCCAAGCGTGTCGAATTCTTCAGAATCGAAAGAAACGTTGTATGACGAGATTCGATCACGAATAGCTGGTTGGTATCGATGGCCGACCGCCGCAGCTGCGAGTGCTGGAGAAGCGGAGCCAAGACCGCTAAGCCAGACACCCAAGAGGCCCACGCTTGTGAGCGATGAAATAAGAGATGGCATCTCGGTAAGTTAAAGCTTGATAGAATTGTACAAGGGGGGATGTATAAAGCTCCAAAAGCTTAAAAGGAAAAGGTTATTGAGGACGGAGATATATATCAAAACCTGGAGGAGGTAATGAAGTGTGATAAGAAAAAGACAGAGGAAAGGAAAGAAAAAGAAGAAAGGAAATAATTTGATATAAGTCTTGACGTAAAATCGTTTATTTTGACAGGTATTCACATTATGGTTTGTTTTGAGACGTTGCAGGTCTCCTATGATATCGCCATTGACTGCGTCTGTCGATCGGGTTTGCGTTGTTAATTGTTGGGTTTTGGACCCTGTTGCATTTTCGGGGGCAACACAATTTACCCAATCTTTAAGTTGGCTGGTGAGCACTGGTCTCTTAATTGAACAGAGCATTGTCTCGTAATCACTTTGTTATTGCATTGGTCGGAGCTTTCACTGATAGAGCGCTTCATGTTAATGGATTGCAGCTCACCGCATGTCACAATTATGACCTTTATGCCAATCTTCACCATTAGAATATATCTTTTTAATCTGGTATGCATGTGCGAATGACGTGGGCTCGGGCCACACGAAGTGGATTCTACATATCATCGACTAGTCCACGAAGAAAATCAGTCAGATTCCAATCTATACAGCTAGAACAAACAATCCCGGCACCGATTTGACTAACACGTTGTATACGCATGACGAAGGGTTTTAAGTGTTGCTGTAAACTTGAAGGAGCCGAATTGGCAAAACAAGGCGCTCCTATCGAGCCAATAATATTTCATTTAATTTAGACGTTAAATTTCCGGACAGACGAGTCATTTTACACCGAGGTAGCACTGCTTTGTGGAATATCGCTTTCTTTGGATCGGGGACGGCTTAAAGAATGATTGGACTGAGGATGTTTAATCGGCGAGGCCCGAACCTCTCTCGGGTCGCCGTAAACATAGTATGTAAACAGTAGGAAACTAAACAAAGTCTAAACCATAAAATGGAGAGCGTGGTTAAAGGATCCAATAAAATTGGAAGGCTTGCATCGGCCCTAAAATTCCGTCTTTCATGTTTAGTTATTTCAATTTTCTGAACCCGGCTCATTTACCCACCAAGTCCTATGCGGATTGGACCCTAGGTTTTTAGTGGACCCATATAACGTTCTGGGGAGATACTAAAACTACGCGTGCCGGATAGCTGCATCTATCGATACAGAAATAGGACCTTAGACTTATCCCCACTTCGTTGGTATTCTTGGGCTATATTATGAATTTCAACTTTGGCTTCTAGCGGGATTTTACACCTTGAAAGAAACCAGGCGAGCAATATAAATTATCTAGCTAGGAGCTGTTTCTAGTAGTTTCATTCATCAAGTTTTCATTGTCAATACTGTGCTCTTTTTAAATTACATTAGAAACAACGATATCTCCTAGATCTAAATCCTAAACCAAAAATATATTGAGGTTTGCGATACTCATACTCTTTGTCCAAAAGCCCAATTCAATGCAAAATTGATTTCAACAACTTGAGATCTGCCCGAATCACATTCCTTGCATATCTGTAGCTCCTAAAACAACCTATATCCAGCAACCGAGATATTCAATTGTGAACACTTGACATGTGCTATAGACTCTACTACTTCACAATGGTAAGCAAATTTTTATCTGAATATAAAAGTATACTTGTATATCATCTGACCATGAATTAAAAAGGCTAATATATCGTGTGACGTCTATGCAAATTAGTGCGGCCATCGAGACGCGAAACCTCATCCCCATGGTTGTCGATATATACAACCACATGCCTCGTATAGACACTACGCTAACCGACACCGACACCGCTATTCCTCATATTACGCCGACCCGCCACCAGTTTGCCTAAATCCCGACTCTGAAAAAGCTATAAGTGAGGTATGCGATGCCTGCTATAAGTATCACCGCGGGCAGGTAACATACGCTGCCTCAAGAGCGTTATTAGCATCTGCGAGGAGTCGGGTCGCGAGGGTTGTGGAAGCTTTTGAGGTGCTTGGAGCTCGGTATTAGAGATTGGGCATAATATGGCGTATTCGGCGACAATTTGATGTGCACATGTGTCTGGGTATAGGACTAGCGCATTCCGGGATATTTTGTCGGCTGGTCGAGCTCCAAATTTCCAATTAACTATGAACTAGTAACCTTTTAAACTCCGCCGTCTTGTAGTTAAGTCGTAAGTAAGTACTTCGAGACGCAACATTTCCTTCAAGTTGAATTCTGCAATTCTACTAGCTGGAACTCGGCTCGTGTACAAGTTGATACTCCATATCGCACTGGGGGCTAGACTACTGTTGCATCCTAACTTCAAACAATGACTACGTATACTCTAAAAGAATAATTTAAAGTCTAACACTAAAGAAAAAGTGGTAGAGTAGAGCGTCAAGCATTTATATGTAATGAGATATAATTAGTAATTCTGAGAGAAAATTTCAGGTCCCGCCGAAATGCTTATTAATCCGGGTCGCGATACATAGAAAGGTATATTAATATAGACTACACACCTATACTCCCATTAAAGCAAACATAGTGCAACGTAACCGAGGCATCCACACATTAGGATGAAAAGGCCTCGAGATATCTAAAAAATGGCTAGACAAAGAAATCGAGAGAATACAAACTGAAAACGAAAAAAGTGCCAGCTATAAACTAAACATGCGCGACTGTATTAATAAGCTTCGTAGATATCCATGTCATCGTCGACTTCTTCGGGGTCTTCTGTCGCTTGTTGTTGGATGGTTGAGGGGCCGGCGATCACTTCCCTTTCCTTCGCCCCAACAATGGAAATGCTCTGATGTTCTTCCACCACTTTCTCCAAGTCCGGGAGTGCAGACCCCTTTCGAATCGCACTTACCAGAGAGGACACAGCTTCATCGTTTCCGGACTGCAAGCAATTGAAAAGAGACTCCAAGGCTCCATGTTTGGCTTTTACCGCGTCCAGGGCGGTTTTCGCAGATTCTTTCCGTCTGCCATCGAGGGCAATTTCGAATACACATTCGCGGCCCTTCCTCGCGCACGATTCACAAGGTGCTGGCGGACCAGAACACTGGGAGCGAGCAGCAAATTAGACGAGTTTCTGCCCAATAAACGTCGAGAGGTGCGATTGAAAGTATTTTACCTTGCACTTCCCCTTTTTACAGTTGCTGCAAGCAGAACTGACTCGTCTATTAGGTATTTTTGGTTGTACTCTAGACATATATGCCCTCAGTTGGAATCCTTCGTTTTGAGCGACTCGATGGCCACCTCATCTCAGTCTCATGTATTCCAAATATCGTACCCGCACAAAAAAAACTCTTCCGACCTCCGTGTCCAGGATGCGATCTGTTGCGACTGCGTACTGGCGCCTACCCGTTTGATGAAGCTATAAAGACTGCTTTGACGTATCGAATTGGCGACTTAATATTCCATGGGCCGATTGTTGGACCTGTACAGTTATACTAAGCAGGCGACACTAAGATTTGGACGCCGATGGACTCGGGATCTTATTTGGCAGGGCAGAATCCCATTCCCATCCAGCCTCAACACTAGCCTGGGAGAGCCAATTCAAGCCGCTCTAGCCACCCGACAAGCCACTGATAGGATATGATTGGTCGGGAAGTGTAGCCGCTGTCAGGTGTCTGCGTCTGAGATTTGGACAACACGATAACGGAATAGAGCTGTCGGTTCTGGCCCATATCTTGATAGCGACTATCCAATTTGGGGCTTTGCCACTTCGATGCAGCGCTCAGCCGGGTCTCGTGAGAGCCCGCTCCTGTGCCAAGCCATGGAGCAACCTGAAAAGATGCTGGTGGACCCCGCCCACTTTTCTGTACTGCGGCAGGACGGGTAGTGGAGTCCACCAGGGCTATAGGCTAGCATCAAAAAGTTTCCGTTGCCATTGTCATTATCCCCTCCCATCTGAGACAGATCGAGTTCTTTCCTACAGGATTCTGAGGGGTCGCCGTTCTCAACCGGTTCATATCGCGACCGACCACCCTCAGCGTGTATAGAGTGGTACTCATCTCCCACGGAAACAACGATAGCGAAAAACTTGAGGATTTATCGGTAACCATGTCGGGAAGGCCTAGTGGCTCTAAGGCCCCTCTGAGGAAGTTGCGCCCGGCGCCGGCGCTCCAGCCTCGGCCTGCAATGGTAGTGAAGAGCAACAAAAAAACTCGGGCAAAGACTGCTTGTATGCCCTGTCAGCAGTCAAAAAGGAAAGTATGTATGACTCCGGCCGCCCCTCCCCGCTTCACGGTTCTTTGTCTCTATCCCATTTTTACATGAGAATCTATTTAATCCTATACCGTGCTCTCAACCCCAGTTCGTCTACAACACATAATCGGTCTAACCCTAGCATGGGTTGTTGTAGAAGGCTTCTAGACGTTCTGGGCTTCAATAAACTGACAATCTTTGCTTAAATCGCAATTTTGAACTATGTACTAAAAATGGGCATCAGTGCGATGAAGAGTCGCCAAAATGTAGTTCGTGTATCGAATCGGACCTGGAGTGCATATACAGCATCGAGGGGACTGCGCGGCACAAACGAAATATCATTCGCGATAAGATCAAGGACTACGAATCGGACATCGCTAAATATGAAAGAATCCTTGATCATATTAAAGGGTCAAGCGTCTCCTCTTTGCAACGAGTTCTAGCGGTCATCCGAGGCCAAGCCACTCTAGAAGAAATTATGATGTTCATCCGGAACGACCAAGCAGCATATCTTCCGACGGAAGTAATATCACCAGTACCTACGACATCGTCACTAAGTCTCCTTGTGAACGAGGAATGGTACCAGGGCCTCGAACCACTGGACAGGATAAACCTCGACATTCTAGACGACCGGCCAATCCTTGATGTGACCGCTCACCCCTGGACTACGGTTACCGACGACGACGAGCTTGTTTCTCATTTGATGTCATTGTACATGACATGGGACCACCCAGTCTGGCACCTTTTCGATTGGGACATTTTTATCGACGCAATGAAAACCGGAGACACCACCTATTGTTCGCCGCTCCTTGTCAACGCGACGCTTGCGGAAGCATGTGTAAGTTAGCTCTACACCATACACATAAACAGCTCGCAGTTGTGGCGGAGGAGGTGGTTTGATCTTTCGCCAAACATAAGAGCGGAACTCCGAAATATTGAGCTCCGCGAGGTCCATAAATTGGTGTCCCGATCTATTAAAGCCCAAGTCCCACAGAGGAACAAGCGTATTGGGTTAGCCTAAGATCAGAGATATGTGATCAAGACCTATGTTTGCCGAGATCTCGCTACCCGTTCCGCCGCTTCAGCACATCGCCGAAGACAAAGACAAAAAAAAATGATCAAACCGCCAAAGGAATCAATGATTCCTTGCAGCGATGCGAAATAAACGAATTGTCATTTCTCTGTCTGTCCAGCCCCTTGAAATCCAAGGTCTGTGTAGCGAAATCTACCAGTGCGGAAGACAAAGGCCCCTCACCGAAGAGCGGACCTATGCTAATAGTGTTGCAGCATTATTCCAACAGAACACCTTTCCGTGCGGATCCTCACAATCCCAATTTCATTGGCCATCGGTTCTTCCAAGAAGCCATGCGCTTGTGGAACGAAGAAACAACCCAAATACCCACTCTTTTAACTGTCCAGAGTGCTCTTATGATTGGCGTTACTCTTGCAGCCGATGGAATGGATCGTCTTGGTGGAATGTTCCTTAATAATGGTATTAGGTTGTGTAGGGAGCTATTCCTACAACCCAGCACCGAAGGCTCTATGAAAGGTAAAGATGTAGCCGCGCCGCAAACCGACGCTGAAAAGAAATTTGAATTTGCAAGGCAGGTTACAGTTTGGGCAGCGTTTAGTTTCCAAAGGTAACAGGACTCGCCGCAGGCTTCAAGGGTTAGTATTTTGTTGATGCGCCGCCGCTAACCGCGTAGAGCCTTAGTATGTATGATTGGGTGGCACGATGCGCTCATACGATGCCGCCGCCAGACCTTCCGCTACCTTATCTTGAATCGCACTGCCCGGTAGGGTACCCCGTCCCTGACGGTGGTATACCAATCCACCCTGTTCAGCACAAGGATGGTGGAGCGTTTAGAGAAGTTAAGGCAGCAGACGAGTGGCGACCTTACCCTTATATTAGAGAACCAGAGCTGAACGTCACAAGAGTCGCCTTTCAATGCCATGCAACATTACATGTTATTGCTTATGAATTGGCTGAAAAGCAGCTTGAGAGTATTAATGGCGAGAAATCTCTTTCATTACTAGAGAAGAAGCGTTTCTATAGGCTTCTCGATGAATGGAGGGAAAAACTACCTGAAGAGATACAAGACTTGAGAAATATATCTCCAGGACCCACCTTCATGAAGTAAGGCTACTCTTTGGCGTTCACAAATTTGCCTATTTTAACGTGTGTCCTAGTGCCCTTTTTCACATACTCGTCCTTGATATCCACCAAAACAAGATCAAGGATGAAGAACAAGAAGATCCAACGGAACTCGAACTCTTCAAAGATGAATCAGAAGCTCGCTTCGAGCGGTCAAAGTCTGGTCTATATGTGTTGATGGACATCTACGACCGCAAGAACGGGATGTTTACCATGTCCCAGCCTTTGACCTTTCCCATGTTGATCGTCTCCCAAAATGCCATGGCCAGTCTCGCTAAAGTCAAAGGATTGGAAACCCCGACTCCCGTTCCCGAAGGGGGGGATAAAGAGGATATTATTGTTCGGCCGATCCTTGCACGTGGTCCTTATGACGAAGATCATGCAGTTCAAACCTTTGAAAATACTCTACAGTGGGCGTGCAATGCTAGCACTAGCTTCGTTACGATAAAAATCTTTGTACGCTTGATGCAGCTTGAGGCTAAGAGGATCGGCATACAGCTCTCCCCGGCCAACACCGAGAATCTCAGACGGGTATTCCAGTGGGAGAATAAAGACAAAGGTAAGTGGATCGAGGAGTTGGAGAAAACGCAGACAAGTTTGATGTGGAGGAAGAAGAAGAAGGAGTCGAACATCGTGGATATGGTGAAGTCGCTGGAGGAACTTACGGTAGCGGAGGGCTGACACGTGGACCTGACATCTTCCGTCTCTCCACCGGAGCCTTTCGTCAACATCTGCAGATCCTTTTTATTTTCATTGACAGCTATGATTAGATCGCTCTTAAACCGAAGATGATTTTTGTAGACTTTTGACGTTCTAGTACTGCCTTTGGTGTTTGTTCGTCGTTCATTCAATACAAATGGTCGGTTTACGCCCACGTGTTACCGTATTTGGCTTTTCTTGATACTGATTTTCATCGTTGTTGCTATTCAGAGATATCCATTCAACGTTATTTCTGCGTTGGGTGGTAGATCTTTGCAACGATTATGAAGTTCCTAAAATGTCCCATTCGTTGATTCCAGTTAGACATCTCTTCACCATTTCACAGTATAAAAGCTCTCCGCTCTGGATTTCTTTCACTCTTCCCCTGACTTGCCCCATTGCACCTCACCTACTTCTTCACCTTAGTTCCAAACAATATACACACGACTACAACCTTCTGATCGTTCTGGTATTGCACCGAACAATACATTTTTCAGCACCCCCTCGAAACAATATCTCATCCCCAAACCGATTATTTTCCGGACGAGATTTGGGATTCAGCTAAAATTGTCGACTTTTATGCGTAAAATGATGGTGTCCGTCTTAGGCCCGCACGAACAAGATTGCAGCCCGCTAATGTTGCACATGCCAATTATTCCGACCACTCCACAGCGTGCAGCTAAACCTGCCCCCTTTTGTATCAAAAGCATCCTGGCAAACCGCAAGTCGTATAGCCTTCTCACTGATAAGACGTTTAACTGGCCGGCCACCTGCGATGTAAAGTTCTCCTAGAATTTAGACCTACGCTGGTAGTGATACTAACTTGGAATGATATAGGCCGCCCTAATGAAGGAAGCAGTGGTTGAGGTCCCAAGGCTCATGGACAATTTCTTCGCTTGGTGGGTGAACAAAGTTTTCGCCCAAACTGAACTCCCTGGCTGGAACTCTTGGTATTGTACTCTTGTTGCCGGTATGTAAAGATCAATTCCCAAACCCATAGAGAGTAGCGCAGTTGTTAATACATCTTCCAACAAATACAGACCTCCACCGCTACCGCCATTGGCACAATGAAGACCTAGTTCGCTGGGAATTCTCTGAAATTGCAGCGGTCCTTGATCCTAAGTACGCTGCTTTACGCAAGACAACTGTCTGGGTTTGGCGCCCGGAAATGGTAGAGTGCATCAAAGACTTGGAGGGGTTTTTGTGCGCTCCCGACGGCATGAAGCTTGCCCGCTGGTTTACCTGGAACAGAGCAATTCCTCAACAACCAACCAGCCCCCAAATTGAAAAAGGGGTTGTGCCATACAAGTTCACCTGCTTGTGCCTCCGAAGCCCCCAGGATCCGGAAGTTATCCAATACGACGAAGAATGGGAGTTCGAATGGGGCGAGTATGTCTCATTCAAAACTGACTACTGGGGGGAGAAAAAGAAGAGGTATGTAGATGATATCTCGGTCTTTTAATTGAAAAAGTTAGCTAATTAAGACTGATAGTTTGAATCTCCGATTTCTCTTTGCTTGGTGTCTTCCTGTGGTTTATCCTGACTTCTAACCACTAAAGTGATTCGTGCTTTTATGGTAGAGCGGGTTTGTGCGAGGGCGTGTCGAATAGAGCTCTTGTAAGATACAAAGCGCGTTACATTCATAAATTCGAGAATGACTTTGTAGTATTACCTTTTTAAGATTCTTTTCCCAAACAGTCCTCATGTGTCGTGTCGTAAATTAAGGCTTCAGGTCGTGTGCATCCTTGCCCCAACTATTTTAAGTTTCATTTTTTTTTGAAGCTAGTTATAGCGTAGTATGACTTCATCACGCATAAACGTGAAATTTCTTCGTATATTCCACACTATACAGGCATCGTATGAATCTTAGTCCCATTCAGGCCTCGGATTCCCTTCCATTCCCCTTATCCAAGAATACTCAAGAGCTATAAACCTGACCTAGGCAGAGCATGATCCTATCAAAGAAGATTTTGGATGCCTTAATTGACAATTCTCTATAGCACCTTCGAGGCCCCTCGTGATTATCGCGAGTAGTGGTCTTATGATTTAATATTCTATATAAATATTTAGTCCCTACTACTTCACCCAAACCGCCGACCAACGACTAGTCATGCACACCCTGGCTGCGGGAGAGCATTTTCTGGGGCCCTCCTAAGTAATTTTCCTTAGATGGTAAAGATGGCTTCCTGAATAGATTTGTTTCACCCGGAGGATTGCAGGGCTGTTGATATCGGCCGGTTGCGGTAATTCCGACCTGAATATCCAGGATGAGCGCAGAGAAACTGTAAGCCATCTACAGATTCAACCGTCGAAGGGTGTGTAACATCCCTGAGGTCTATTAATAGCTTCCAAACAAAAATTCAATGTTTACCTAATTAGATTCCTTGATTATTCCAAATTATCATCAGCCTCATGTGAAGCTTAAGTTGAAGTACGATCTAATACGCACGTGGAGGTATCTATCCGTCTGCTTATCATTCTATAAGGTTATCAATAACTGCAATTGCCCTATAAATTGACGGTCAGTAACTAGTGCATACAGAAACCTAGGTTTCCCTGTAAAAATTTAGCTTCGACCGGCTAGCTAGAGCCGAGACTACCGGGTTAGTGTGGAATATGCCGTGCTACAAAATCCAACAAAACAGTGATCTGGAGCGTTGCCGACCGTCTCACCATGCCTCACCGCCGCGTTCGTTTCCGTGCCGCTGTTACATTTGACGTAGATAGCAATTGGCTAGTCTAGAGGCACGATACTTGGCTAACGTTATATTGATTCTGCCCAGATCTTGTTGATCGGGATTGTTTCTTGGCTGAGTTATATGGAGTCTACTGAGATAAGCATAATAGTAAATGTAATGGAAAGTCTTGCCTAGCAGGATCGTGATAATTCTATTTAAAGGGCAGTGGAAGTTTCGGTTTTTGTCGCCATAATCTTCGGTATTAATATATTATCGAAAGCATCTCCTAGCTAACGGCATTCTAATTGTATTACCCCCTTTTATAAAGATTATACTTAACGTACAATACTATCACTATCGCCCACAATGCGTCTGGCAATTGTGTTCGTTACCCTCGTTTACGCTCTTATCGTAGGAGCGATGCAAGTAGAATATGGTTGCAGGCGCGACAACTGCCTGAGAGGTATGGTGTTTAAAACCTATAGTATGATACGGAATCGAAGGTTAACCCTTACGGGCCGTAGCCGTCATTGCCAAAGCTTTTCCGAATAGACAAGGTGCTGCCGATTGCTCATCGTTTCTCTTGACGACGGTCACGCCAGCCGCGAAGTATGTGTTAATCCCTAATCTACCTCAGATACCTCGCGTTTTTCATTCAAAAGAGGAAGAAGAAAACAAGTGCTAAACTTTTTGTAGGACTGTCACTGTCACGGAGAAGACCACAACGACCATCTTCGCCACCAAGAGGGTCGGATATCGTGACATTGAAGCTCGACAGGTTACTGTCGTTCCATCAAACATTCCTGCATACGCTGCTGCATGTTCAGGAAGTGTTCGATACTCCAGTGCTTGCTCGTGTATTGGTGTCAAGCCTTCGGTAACCACTGCGCCAACTCCCACGAAAACGGTTACGGTTACTCGTACATTTACCAAACATTGTACGGTTCAGTGTAAGACTAGGTGTAAGTGGGATTAGGGTTGCGGATTAACATATCTCCAGTTTGGGCAAGGTTGTTGAAGGAGTGGTTATTATTGGGCAATGACCCAAGTCTCAATCTTTGATCAGAATGCTTTAGTGCCGATACTTTAATTTCTCATCTAATGATAATGCTTGAATGGCTCTGGTATGCATGTATGTTAATTGCGCCTGATAGGGTTTTCTTTGTTGACCGTTCAGGTCTTTAATAATAGTTTAGTTTTGCTTCTTCGTTAAATATGTTCAAAAGTTAATGTATCGATCGCGAATGCTTTTGTGGATAGGATCCGAGTGCTCCGACCTTAGTTAGCTTAGTATAATGTCAAAAACATGCTTATCAGCGTGTTATCAATGAATATTCTCGGAGGGCCCACGGTGCGGCTATGGTGAAACTCCAAATATTTAGGTGGGGTCTAGTCAATGGTATAAAATTAATATCTGCAGTCCCTCGCCACTGTCTTTGGGAGGGAATTGATGTCCATTCCACTTCCTAGTTCAATTCCTAAATCCTATAGACGTCCATTGTGGTATTTTCTGTGTTGGATGCTTTAGTATGGTACCAGGGCATCCAGTGCAATTGTGATTTGATTTGAAACTATTGGCTAGCCTATTTCATTTCTTGAGCTTCGAGATCATGTTGTGAGGTACGATAAACCCCGATTTAGTCCTAACATCTCCTAGAAATACTATTGATATATACAACAATTCCGGACCCTCAAAAAGATCGTCAAAAGAAAACGGCTTACACCCTGAATATAAAATTAACATGATTGTCTGCTGATATGCTAGAGAATGGCGTACTATCTGAAATACCCACAAGTGATAGTCTACCTGTCCTGCAGGATCGATAGAATGTACGAATCTGCGAATGTATGTTTCGATAAAGTATAAGAACTGTTGCCGGCGAGAACGATGTGCGACGCCGAGTACTCCGATTTACAATTCGGCAAGGGTATCATTCTTTTCGCTTACCTCTATGTCTAACTGGGCCGGAGGCAAGGGGGTACTATTTTTTGCCTTATACCATGCGGGTACTTGAGTTTTCGGCCAGCGGCTAATTGGGACGCCGTTATAGAGAGCTTTCGGGCCCCTCGTGACCCTTGGATATGCTAGCTTTTCCATCAATGGCACAATATCTTTCACCTTAATTCCGATTGATAGCCATGCTGCAATCATGGCAGCAACTGCTGGGCTAGCTATTATTTTGGTATGGAAGTCAGAGTGACATTCAAGTGGCGGAATTGAAATCAAGATATCTTATGGATGTCTATGGAGCTTTCACTTACCATAAGAAGTTCCGGCAGAGAAGCCGAGTTCGTGCTTTCTGTGGAATAAGGCTTTCATCCACACATAGGAATCCGAGTCCTCGAGTCGTTTGTTTATCCACCGCGCAGGAACGTTGATTGATCCCGCCGGCGCCATTACTGAAACGTAAGGTGCGGTCTGGTAAAGATTTAGTCCCACGTTCGGAGCATAGCCACCCACGACTATGAACCTTGGGTTCACTCCGGCGTATACCGCGCCGAGTGTGGCAGGGTGGGCATTTACAAGAACATGCTATAATGATTTTAGCCAAAAACCATAATTAATCGAAGACGAACCAACCACCTGCCGAGGGTGAATTGATTCTCGAGTTACCAAAACTTACGTCGTCACCGTTTCCCGATGCAACGACAAAAAATGTATTGGGAAGATTTATAATGTAATCGATGACATCGTCCATAGCTTCTTTAGCGAGCCGGTGGTACCAAGAATAGCCGCTCTCATCCTGGATTCCGATATGATACAAGTTCATGGTAGTATCTATTGGGTCTTCTGGCTGCGGGATGGAGGTCAGATATGATAAAGAAATTATGCAGTTTTGCTTCGGGCCTCGGGCAAGTATATCATCATAGACCTTGAGATAAAGTTCTAATAGAGTACTGTAGTCGCAAACTCCCGAGCCATCTGTGACTCTTCCTAAGATGAGAGTCGCGTTTGTCGCGATACCTATTGTTCGGCCTGCAATTTTGGCTGCGATTGCGGTTCCGTGGTCGACGTCGGAAAGGCTGGCTGCGGTAAACCCGTCATCCGCCGGCAAGGCTCCAGGGAAAATCATCTTTTCAATATTGATCGTACGCGTTTCCTAGATATTGGCGTTCTGATATTTAGTTTCCTAATCTTTGGACTTGTTATCTTTTCTCATATTTTTCCGAGGCGGTTTTACTCTATATTTATAACTAGAACGGGGGTACGTAGAATCAAAAGGCTATATTCTGACCTTATGACTGATATGGAACCCACCATCCAATGCATAGACAATTTGACCTCTTCCAGCGTACTTAAAATTCCAAAATTTATTCCCAATGTCGTCAGCAGTTGTTCCAGGCGGTTGAGATAAAACTTGAAGATCAACCTGTAAACCGCTAGTTTTTCGCATTTCAAGCGGTACTGTAGCCAGAATTCGCGAAGCATAGTCCGAAAACGGCATCTTAAGTAACCCGAGTAGTTTCAGAAAAAAGGTTTTGTAGTCACTACTCAGCTTAGGCTTTTTCACAAAAGCCAGTCGTTCTTCGCCGCTTCTTTCGTACGATTTCCCGGGTTCAACATGTCCCCATGTACCATCATATCCGGCTCGAACCGTTCGAAGATCAGACCTTATTCTGTTACAATTAGATATCTGTTCGGTAAAAGTTTGTTAACCCTAACGCCTAAATACCTGGAGCAAAGATCGAATTTTCGGAAAGCGGGTAGCATACCAGCGCTCCCCCAATGGTAGATTGTTCCACCCTATATAGTATTGGAGAAGCAGGCACGACCTCCATTGTAAATGCCCATTTACCAAGATTAGGGCTTTCTATCCAATGAAAAGTATAATCCCTCGGTGCTGCTAGAGGGATCATTGCCCCTATCAAGTCTCTGATCTTGCGATCGAGTTGGGGGTTCTCTCTCTGAGTCTTTTTGATAAAGCATAAATATTTATCCGTTATTTGGTCCGTGGTCCCAATTTTCAAGTCCTCGTGGAACGACCACTGCTCGGCTCGGACATCTCCCAGAATAGTTCGGTATTGTAGGAAAGAGAGTAAAAGTAATAGAAACATCCTTTGGACTTTCTCCATCCCCGTCGCAATATATGTTATAGAAATATGGCTTCGTGTTAAAATTTCTCCAAGGTGACCGATAATCAACATCTGTCACTACAAGTCTTTAGTCCCGATGAGTGAGTTTTCCAGCGCTTTCAAGGCTCTAATTGTAAGAGCTATATATCTTGATTTGCCTCTGGTTGGTGAATACATATATCGCTATTTTTATCTAGTAAAGAGACTGGGGCAAGAACAAAACGAGGCTGTTCCATGGTAAATTGTGGCAATTCCGTGTAGCGACCGATAGCCTTCCCACCAGTGCCAGAAACATTCAGGGTTAAAATTTCTAGTAATAACAATTGTTGTAGGAGCCGCCACCAACAAGTATACCTGACGGCTCGCGAGTCGGCCTCGCGTGATCGGTATGTTGGAATCCGAAGTAACTAGTAGGCCTTGAGCGTCATTTTGAAACAGAAACACCCAACAATATATTATTTGGTTAGTTCCCGGTCGGTGCTCTAACGCTATACTATTCTAACTCTAACAACTTGATAAAAAAATTACCATTGTATTCTACTCAAACGGGGCTTATCAGCCTAGATTTTGACTATATCTGGTTACTCCGGTCACGTTCCCAGACCAGTTAATCTAATCTTCTGTTGTTTGACACTTATATTTGATATCATTTTGCTACAGTTATATGTAATAGATAAATGAAAATATGTACGGCTGTAACCCAGATATCGACCAACGCCGACACCTGCGGAGCCCACGGCTTTACCACTATACAGAGCGTCCATATTCACAAAGGCTGACGGTTGCGCTAATTTCGGGTGAAAAGTGTATGCAAGGCTAAGCCTAGTTTTAAGAGTAGATTTGAGTTTTAAGTCTGATCGTTTAGAATGCTAAAGAAGAGCCCCCCATGCAAAAAAAAACACAACAAAGAGGTAAAAGTTTCAGGGTGGGCATAAAATAAGGAACACGAGGTTATAACAGATCGATGGAAAAATACATCGCTTGGGGGGAAAAAATGGGGATGTAGATCACACAACCAAAAGTGCTGACAGGTTTCACAGCAAGTCAGGCATTCGCATAAAGTCTTCTTTATCGTTGCTGTCTAGGTTTATATGAGCGTAATCTGTATTTAAATAGCAGAAGTGCCATTTTTTCAAATAGATGCCTAGGAATAGCGTCCTTTCCGATGACGCCATTGTGTATCGCAGTATCTAGCGATTGTGCAACGAGACCAAGATCGATCATGTTGTTCAAGCCTCCATAGCTGCCATGAGTTTCGCCGTCCTGTCTAATGCCAAAAAGGTAACTCTTTAGATCCAAATGATTGCCATATATGCATATGTATCTTTATATGTATCTATACTTAGGAGACTTTCGTCCAGTCGACGTTTCGGATAATTCTGAGGAGGCAAGTTGCGCCGAGGTCCTTCTTTTTCGGTAAGTAGAGCTCCCGGCTTAACTATACTCCAGAATTTTCATTCTCCCCGGGCGCCCTCTTGGTACCAGATGACCCAGATGACCGGCTTCCTGCGTCCCCAAACATGAGAGTTATACTCCCAGCGACCTTTGTCATTGTAATAGGCGCTTTTGACGCCACCTGTGGCGCCATATGTACAGTCTTCTCAATTGTCGATATGCCCGACTGAGTCCCCGTTTTCTTGATCTCCGTCTCTTCGGTAATCACATTTTTAAGGGCGGTGAATGTAAACTGTTCGCTCATGCTATCGAAAGTGAATGCATTGCCGAATAACTTAGTTCCGAGGAGGAATTCAACATGATGACAATAGGGCAATTGAGTTTCAAAGCACCTATGCTTAGTGTTCACTTCCGTGATTGTAGGGTTTACTGTAACGTAGGAGGTTACTGTAATTGTTCCGGCCGATACTAGTAGAGTTCTGGTGTAGAGGGAAATTGTAGTAGCGTATAGTAGTAGGGGCCTCATGGTTGTAAACCTTGAGATTGGTGTGTTAGAAAAGACTATGGGAGCGAGATATAACTTAATACTGTGAAGAGTTTATTTAAGACTTATGCATTGTGAATATTAGCGCTCCACTCAAAACGTATGTAGCACGCTGAGATGTAGATCTTCACGACCGACTATGAGCTTTTAATCTGGAATCCTAGCATATGGATCTACAGTATCCAATACTTAAATATATAGATCCCAAATTAAGCAATATGTTGGAAAATCTGTAGAAGATGTGTTGTCGTGTTCATGTTCATGTTCATGTTCATGTAGTTTATCTATAAATCTCTGGATAGAACGGGGTAGAGCTTGTTACTATTGCTGGATAACATAAAATAGTTATGCTAGCTCTTAATCACTATTCACGCCTATAAATTTCCTTAAAACGCGTGGTAACCGATTCAGGGGATTGGTAAGAAGGCATAAGAAAATGACCTCATAAGGAAGTCGGCGGTACAGAAAACAAACAGCAAGAGTAGAATGGTAGAGTCTGGCACGATTGTGTCTTTATTCCGGTGCAAAGGATAAAAGTACATAAATATTTTGTCTTTAATCGTGTCACAAAGTAAACCCTAGCACCAAGCTCTCAGTCTTCCAATTAGCCGTGGTTCCTTCAGTATACTCCTTGTCATTAGCCGCCATAAACTGGAATAAAGGTCAAAAAAATCCTAGGGACTTAACATACCGTAATGATAAGGTCAAATACGAAGGCGGGTCCTGTTCAAAAGGTCACCCAACCCGTGTTTGAAACCTGGTACCATCCAGGTTCGGTCGTCGAGAAGGTCAGGGCTTCTCTCAATGAGATCGGCAACATTCGTTTGACGAAGTGCGCGACGAACGAAAGCGTCCTCGTGCCAGAAGTCACGGATATCGTTAGCATTCCCGTGCTTGTACAAAGAGTTGGCAAAACGGAGTGCAACTTCAATATCCAGTGTTTCGTTCTTGAGCTTTTCGCTGACACTGGCACGGAGAACTGAAACAACGCGAGGCATTTGCAAATGCAACGCGGCATCCAACATCAACGCCTCTGCCTTGCGGCCATCCGTTTCAGGGGTAGGGAAATTGCCAGTGAAAAGTGCTTCGAGGACGTAGAGGAAGCCATAGGGGTCCATTTCTGGAAAGACAATCTCTCGAACTTCGCCATTAGTTGGGATATCCATCCCTTCAATGACGTCTTTGATAGTGTACGAGTGACCAGAAATAGCGTCGCTGTTGAACGAGAATCCGATATTGTCTGGGCCAACAATGATGACGATATCATGTTCTGGGTCTGGTTCAGACTGGTATCTTTCGAATTCGGCGTGGATACTACTCTTCTTTAGCCTTAGAGCTACACATGTCGAGGATATTAGTAGCTTACCCTTGTTCAGATGAGTGTTCCTCAGGATCACCTTGCGCAATACGAGAATCGGTCGTCATCGTGTCGTAGTTAGTAGAGTTTTCCCAGTTATGGAAGGACTCGTTGTCGCTGTATGCACGTCTGATTTGCATATGCAACTCCAGGACTTTACTCTTCAAGTCCTCGAGTAATTCGGGGTCTAAATTCTCGTCTGGGGTGTCTCGAAGGTGAATTGCAATTGACGAAGCTGGTCGGTTGTAGAATTCTGTTGGTGTAACCAGGTATCCAATATTGAGTCCACGACCTGGAACAAGTCCGGATAGGCTATCAGTGCTTGATGGGCGAAGTTGACGTTCACTTGCTGGAGCCTCCTCGGCTGTTGGTCCAAGATGCTCCTCTTTGGTTGTTTGAAGGCTGATGATGAACGCGTTAATTTAATTGGATGGTAAACATTATTCAAAGCTACAGCTCGCGACTTACTCTTCATTTCCTGTGATGGAGCTGCCTGACTCTTCGCATGGCTTTCTGATGGCAGCTAGAGCTGGATTCTCGGGTTCTAGAAGGCCCTTGTCTTCTTGGACTGGAATGGTAGGACGTTTACCCCTTCTAGCGATAGGAGAACGCGTGATTCTATCTAAAATTAGCCTATTGTCTAAGATCAAGTATAAAAGAGCAGCGTAGCATACCCCGCGGCGAGAGTGTTCAAGTAAGAATCGGCATTGGCCTTTGCTTTAGACGCTGAAGCGGCAGTTGGCTGCATGAAAGAGCTGAGCTTTCCACTGGATGAAGGCTTTGATGACTCCCCCAAAACCTTTGGAGATCCAACTAGAGCTTGTGATGATTCGATTGATTTCCCATGGGATAGTTTTTGAGCTGGGCTACTTGGAAGATCTTTGCACCGAGTTTGCTCCTTGGGAGGTCCGTCCGAGGTTTGTTTGTCTGGCTGCTTGCCAGAGCCGACTCCAGAAACCATTTTTGGATGTTCGAGATGTTTAAAAATGGGGTATCACGATGAATGAGGCAATTCTGGTATGAACTCGAGGCAGAGTTGAACAGATAGATTGTAGAAGCTACTGGTGTGCGAAACAATTGGTAGGTGAACTTAATAAGGAGGTATTTAGTTTGAAAGACAGTAAGAGGATACTAATAATTCTATCTCGGCTGCCTCTATTTCCAGTCAGTGGATTATTGAAGAGTGGTCTGTCAGTGACTCTTACAACTCGGCGGTATAAATTAATATTGTGTGGTCGTTAAAGGCCTGCGCAGGAGACAGAGAGCACAAAATTCATTAATCTACAGATCTGGATATGGACGTTTTTGAGAAAGTACAGGTTTAAGTCTAGGATAACCCGTTTACCGCCAACTGGTCGTCGAATTGCCTATATTTAAATATATATACTATGGTAAGTATTTTTGTGCTAAGACCTCCGAAATTTATGGCCAAGAAATTAAATAATTAACTGCTATAAATATTTGTAAAAGTCTCTTCTTCCTACTAGCATATGTGTAGGTGGATACCTAGTAGGGTTCTTCCCTCAATAACATCGAAAGATCACTAATTTCCCCTATGGGAACATAACGCAATTGAGTAATTGAATATAATTGTTAAACAAGTTTATTAAATTTTTATACCTCATATCATACAAGTATCTCGAAATGCAATGCTCCCATATGCTGTTGCTCCATCAATGCTGCTTTCGTTACGTACCATAACTAAAAATGAAATCAAAGAGATAAAAACAGAAGTATTTGTAAAATGTGCTAATGTGGGCCGATTCCAATCAGGAGCTGCCAGACTTATGAGAATGGCCTTAGTTCTTCCGCACACTTGAAGTTGGCGCCTGGCAATTTCCCTTGCTGGAAATAGGCTATAAGTTTCTTAACGGCACATGTATTTCGTTGCGCAAAAGTAGAGTGCTACATTGATAGTTAGCGCTATGTATCTTGCTAGGTGGTCATCATGCTATGGTGACTACTTACTGCAATAAGGTCGACAACAACTGCTTCAGCACCTGGGAATTTCTGGGCGGCTGTGACAGCACTATTATAGAGGGAATATTGGTTAGTATGCCATCCACATGCAAAAGTATCGCTACAATTAACTGGGAGGGGTAACTTACTCATCCCATGGGGTTACTGGGTCTAATGTGTTTCCAAAGAACAAGATTGGTGTCTTAGTCTTGCCACCGATTTTCTCAGACCATTCCCACTTGGGACGGATTGAATATCTCGAACAGGTGACTCTGCCGATGAGTCTAGCGTGTCCCGCGATGGCGCTGGCCTTGAGATAAGTATAAACCTCCACTGGCGTAACTGAATAATTATAGATGGATGGTGCATCGCCGCAAGCAGTTTGGAAGAAGGAATACCCCCTAAGTTGGAGTGGCGCGGGAGCACTCGGGTTCGAGGATGGCGGCGAGAGTGGCGTTGTAATAATGGTAGTTATTTCGGTAACATTCCACCTCATGATTGGGCCGCGAGTAGCTTTGTCTAAGGCGTTAAGGATCCAAGCAAGACCCTCCCAACTGTCGATGGAAGCATACAAAGAGTCGAGAATTGTACCTCTCAGCTGGGCAATAAGAGCAGTGAGTGGGACTGCCAATGCACTACCCTGAACCTCGGCCTCCGTGGCGTTAAATCGTGACATCATTCTATTGAAGCGGTTGATTGTGTCTTGATAGCACATTCCAGTCGCAAAAGCACACTTCTTAGGACCGGCTGCGAAACATCGCTTGAAGAATTCAAAGAACCCTTCGTCAGCATTGCGAACAATGTCTGTTTCAGTTCGGGTTTGCCATCCGTCCATGTTAACAACACCATCCAAAACGAACTTTCCGACATGATTGGGGTAGAGAGTCGCAAATGTTTGTCCGAGCACGGTACCATAGCTAATACCGTAAAAGTGGACTAGGGCGTTTGTATCGTTTTGCCCACGAGCACGCGCAAGCGCTCTAGCAATCCAAAGCATATCAGTTGCAGTGACAACGGTATTCATATGCGGGCCGGCTTGGTTATCAGCGCCTGTATATGCGATGCATTGTGCGGTAAGTTCGTCCGCTTGAGCAGCGGCCTGGCCCAGGAACGATGGTGGAAGCTCAGGGATGAAGAAACCATATGGAGATGTTTCCGTCTCTTTGGCGCCAGCAGGAATTGCAATACCGGACTTTAAATGTCTAGTAGTCCTCTTGGTAAAACTGTTTCCCTCAGTAGCATTTTGTCGGAGAGGGTCGAAAAGCTCATCGGCGGTAATATTGCAAGAACCATATGGAACGCTGTATCCAACACCTCGAATATCAAAACCAAGGATATCATATCCGGGCCCTGTGACATTGTTTGCGATCAAGTTGGCGACACCAGGGCCGTATATAAATTCGGTACCAAGGTAGCCAGGACCTCCAGGGTTTGTGAGAACGGCCCCTTTATAGTTGGCACCCGTTGCATTGGTGGGGTACTTGACAATCGGGATGATGGCTTCCAGACCGTTATCTGGATCTTGGTAGTCGAGTGGTACCTGTCGCTCGTGTTAGAATCCAATACCTAAGGCTCTATAGTAAGTGATGTTACTGACAATCAATCGTGCACATTCCATGTATACAGTTTGTGTTTCGTTGCATGGGCTCCACTCAATCTCTTTCGATGGTCGAATCTGGTTAAATTGATAGCATTAGCCGACCTGTCAATGCAAGCCACGTCTACAAGCCATATCACTTGGTGTACTACTAAGTAAGTAGTTAAGTAAGAATATACTTACTCCTTCGAAGAGAAGCTCGCGAGCTACCTGCCGTTTTACTGTAAACATAGCATCGGCGCTAGACAGCAGCGCCAGTAGCACTGCGGAAGTCGCAATCATTATGGCGGATTAGGTTGGATATTAAACGCCCAATTACTCCTAAAAACCAGGAGGGATCTTTTATTTATGTATGCTGGGGAATTAAGACCTGGATAAGAAAGAGGGAAAGTACGTGCGCGAACCCCAAACTCGTCTTGAAACTGATATTTGTAGGATCGCCTTTGGATTGATTGAATATATTGGATTTGTATCCCAAAGGAAGTAAGCTGTGTTTTATAGATACATCCAGTGCAGGAGAAAGAAGAAGCAGTCCAGCGTCCCTACTCCTAACGCTTGCCGGAGCCGCCATCTCGAATCTGCCTTTGACGTGGTGTTCCTAGGATCGTCGAACCGTAATCCCCTGCCCAGCAGCTAGGCCTAGCAAATGATTACACAAATTTGCAAAGAACGTGGAGAAACATAGCCCGATCGTTGGACAGACCGTACAACTATTGACGTAGGCAGAGCCATTTGCCGGGCGCTGCTTCAGGAAGTCGGAGGAGCAGATGATTTCCGCCGACATTGATCGCTCCAAGCCTCATCCAGCTGCAGGGTCATTGACGTTAAATTGTTTCTGGGGACGGGGAACCTTGGAACGAGGTTGACGAAATCAGCAATGCTGACTGCACACATCCGGTTAGAGCCTTGGCATCTGGGCGCCGCTTTACGGGAAACGGTAGCCTGAGAAATAAATGCCTTGGCGATAATCCCTGGTTAGGAGAGAGGTTGGATCAAAAAAGCAGGGACATCGCCTTTCGGAACGGTAGTTGTGCAGAAACATTTCCGACGGAATACTTTGTACCGATCACGGAAAGCTAGCACCAATCAGTACAAGGGCCTCATAGGGCTCCACGAAAGACGTCAGATTCTGTGCGATCGAGACTCGACGCCTTGGCTGTTCGACAAGAGACTTCTTGGTTTTACTCATTACGTACGAGCTCTAATAGCTCCGCTTCCTTGATAGGCATAATAATGCAGTGCAGTGCGGGCGCAGTGGAGTGGTTGGAGCCTCAGGCAGCTGCAGTACTCGGAGGCCTGGCGAAGCCTCGCAGAAATCGTCGGGAATAAATACAACACGACTTTGTGTTGTTTCACAAGCAGCCTTCAAAACGGGAAGGAGCCGGAGCTCAGGGACTAAACCGAATCCCATCAAGGCTAGACCCACTAAGTCCCGTTAAGATTTACGGGTATTGCTGGAACTGGCGGAAATCTACGCTGAGATGATTGTTGGTTGTACAGTCAGCGCCGCAGTTTCCTGCCGCCCCGAAGGGAGAAGGCTGTGTCATAAATTCGAAGACAAGAGGCAGACGGCAAGCCGAATTTCTTGACTTATTCAGCAATTGGACCATGGTAAGTACGAAACAATCCGCTGAAATCTCCGTCGGTGCATCATGGTCGCATCAATGTTCTCGGTTTCCCTTCGAGGGTCGATTGCTTGATTGACATCATTCCTTGCTCCGACTGCTGCTACTATAGCTACGTTCGGCGCATATCCAAAGTCGTCTCGTACGAATTGAAACCGATAGCCGTAATTATCAATCTTGCATTTCCAAACCTTAATTGCTGTAAAAAAAAGGATTATTGGCCTATCCAACTGTTGAGCAGTCAAGAATAGTGAATGTTTAGGCTCAACCGCTTTTTTCGTGCTCTAGTAGTGCAAAATTAGATAATAATTGGTGTGTTCAAAGGAAAATGTCAAGCGATATAAAGAACGCTTGTTAATTATATCTAACAGTATTTAGAAATTCTCAATTTAGTCATTATATTATGCGAGTAAAGAAAACCCTAGCAGAGGTGGTTTTGTTGAGGCAGAAGCACGATATATATATCGATATATACTAGTAATCGAATAGAAGGTATTATAGAAACAGAATCCAAGTCTTCGATCGGTGGTATTAATCGCACAATAATGAAACCGATCCTATTGATAGCGATTGCTGGCCCGAGAACCAACGATATGCCAGAAAATATACTTTAGTAAATGCCATCTGGGCTTATATTCAGACCGGTCGACCGGATACGACGAGACTAGCTACGTGATATATGCTAGTCTCAATTCTAAGCGCTCATGCAGGTTCAGAAATGCGTAGGCGTATATATATATTCATCTAAATTCAAACGAGGCGCTCTGTTGAGAATCAATGAAAAGTTTCTTATAGTTGATTATGTAACAAACCTACCCACCGCTGTCTACGACATACCATTTGTTCACGGTCCTAGCAATCAAATCTAGCCATAAACATCATATATATATTTGAGTATAATCCGTGTTTATAAATTTGTCAAATTTTCAGGCACAATAGTGCACTAGCCTAAATTATATTATCTCACTAGTCGACTAGTCTTAAAATATTTTTACAACTGTTTATCAATCGTATAATTGATATCGACAAATAGGTTAAACTTTACAGTTGAAGTTCTAAGAGATGTTAATAGATCTGTTCGAGGGCTCTGTTCATCTTAGTATCATAATCATTTAGCTGGAACGTGACGTTTTGACATCCACCCAAGTAGGATGTAATTGAAGCTAGACTAGATCATGGCTGGAGGCGTCGATGGCTTCAGCCCCAAACCGCGCACAAAAAGCCGAGCATTCTATCATCCATGCGTAGGTGTCCAGGAGACCCTACTCACAATCTACTCTGACTTTGACTTAATTTCAATATAGCCCGTCACGTCATAGTCATCAGCACCGTCAAGACAACCACAGCAGTCACAACCATCGCGAATACTCAACATTTCCTCCCACAAAACAATCACCTCTCGTGTCTCTTTCTCCACCAGCTCCCTTCCACAAACCTCATCTCATCACTACTTTCCCAGACGCTAGATCTAAATCCCAAACCTGCAGTCTTCAAAATTAGCCTCTCGAGATCTCTCTCTCTCTCTCTCTACTCGCTCAACCTCCTGAAACCTTGGGAATAACGCCTCGAAAAAAACACTTTGCTTCGACATCTTGGATCATAGCAGATCGAGGTCTCGAAATTAAGCATCATCACCGAAAGATAACCAAGACATCGAACACGTTCTGTACAGCCTTGCTCGCTGACTACTCTTGTATCTCGCTGATATCCATCAAGCCTGTCTAATAAAACGACTCTGCAAAAATGATATACTACAAAGAAGGAACCAGGTAAGCAACTTCTATCGAATCACTCCTACTTTTACCCTGCATTCACTTGCTAACGCGTCTTAAACTTATTAAGATGCAACTTTGGCCCCTTGAATTTCACAATCGGAATCAAGAATGAAGATGGAAGCAACGCCTGTGCTTTCTACGTCAACCGTGACGTCTTCTTGGCTCTTGCTCCCCGCTTTGAACCATATGTCGACGAAAAATCAAAGAGGGCAGGCGAAGAAATCACCGAGTATTTCATCCCTCTCGACCCTTACAAAGCAGAGCTCATGAGGTCATTCGCTATCTTCATCAACGAAGGTATCCTCGTCATCCCTCAGTACGAAGGCTGGGGCATACCAGACAATTTGTTGTTTCTCTACAACTTCGCAAACACCTTGGGCTGTAGCTTGATGAAAGGTAGTATCATCAAGCGTATGAAGGATACAGTTGTTGGGTTGTCCAAGGAAATCGATGATTCTGCCGGAAAACATAGGGGTGACTTGGAATATGAAACCATGGATTGGATCAACGTCTTCTACGAGTGCTCTACAGAAGCAGAAGTCAAGGAGTTTAAAATGTGGCGCTTGGTTGAAGCGTTCATGGGTAAACATCCGTGGATGAAGTTGGAACTCTTGGGCCTCAGAATTGAAGATCAGTGGGACTACAAACTGAGGTACCAGGTCCTTGGGAACATGCGACGCCTAACAGAATCAGAGATAGAAACTGGATTCTCCAATGGACACCCTGTACGTCCCAGCGAATACGACTACTCTGACACCCGCACCGAAGAGGGTGCGAGTGATTTCGAAAGCGGCGATGACTACGGCGAGGAATATTATAGCGGGGAATATTCCGGTGAAGAATATGGCGAGGGACCCTATGACGAGGGATACTATGGCGACGACGATGATGACAAGGGCGATTATAGCGAAGGATATTCTGGAGAGGATTACGGGGAGGAAGATTACGGGGAGGAAGATTACGGGGAGGAAGATTATGGGGGGGAGGATTATGGGGAGGAATACTATGACGAGGAATATTACGGCGGGGGGGATCATACGTGGGACACGTATGAGGAGCACGAGTCCGTCGCAGACCTCAGAGAAGGGGTCATGGTCCTGGAGATCAGGACCAATGAAATGGAGGATTTTTAGGCTAGGGATGAGGGAGTAACATCCCTCATCCAATGTATTTGATAGTCTGTAGTTTCTCTCTGAAATCAAACCTGCCTCAGGGCATTTTCTTATCAATTGCGGAATATTTGAAGTTGGTTGATATTTTCAACGGGACTATAAATCCGACTTGTGGGCCTAGTTCATTGAGCAGGCATCACAATATGTTCTACGAACTCGTTATTCTATGCAGTAATAAAGAAACATCACTAATCTGACTGACAATGCATATCTCCTATTGGTCTGGAATCTCCCATTATGCTTCAACAATATTCCTGTAGTAACTAAGAACATTTTAAAATGGATCATACCACGAAATTATATTTCACTGACACTTGATCAAGTGAGGTTTATTTGGTAGTAACAAACAAGATATGAGCTCCCAAACATAGCATCATGATGCCTTATTCCAAGGCTTTTGAATGATCTCTGCCCACACAACCAACCACAATACACATAATCTATAAAACCTCCGCCATCAAACATCTACGACTCTCTAAACCGTCACGCTGACCTCACCAGCCCACGATTAAAAATATTCCCGTCTCGATTATATACTCAATACCAGATACTTTGCTTCCTGTGGAACGATCTTCTCTCCTTTCATCGACCCTTCCATCAACGGTAAGACCATCAAGATCCCCTTAAAAAATTTCGCGAACTTGTTCGGGGAATCCCAACCCTATAATTTTGAATATTCTTTCATGCTAAATATCTATCAGAAGCCCGACACCTCAAAGGTACTAAGAAGAGAAGGCCATTTGGCTAATAACAAGGTCCACGCAAACGAGGCTCCCATAATGAGCCCAAAAAGACGTATCTGCATGGATCCTCCACAAAGAAGTAACCCGACCACCCCGGACACGTCGCTCCTTCTCGCAGAGAATGTCAATCTAACGACTCGCGAAGAATGTATTGAACTGTATGATAACCCTCCAAGCATTTCAATTGAATCAAAATCAAAACTTACTAATCGTTTTTCACTAGTTGCTATCGAATGGACACATTTTCTGATGTCACGTTCCGAGTTGGCGATTCTGTCACGGGTCCCTTTAAGATCTATAAACTCCATCGTCTCGTTCTAGGCGGCCAATCAACTTATCTCTACAATCTGTGCGTCAAAAATACAGATGCAACCGAGATGATTGATCTCCCAGATGTCCAGCCAGCCATTTTTGACCACATAGTCAAATGGCTCTACAAAGCGAGGCTGACGGAAAAAACGGAAGACATGGCCGTTGTTGCCAAACTCTACGAGGTTGCGGGTAGCCTAAAGATCAAGGAGTTGGAAAGCAAGTGTCTATCAACTCTGACCGAGATCCTAGCACGTGAAAAGCATAAAGAGGAGAACGGAGAAACCTCGATCTTGGACGAGATGCTCATCAAACCGACCCAAGGACCAGTAAACGACTCTCCTACCATTCCAAAGCCTCTTGCCAGGAGCAACACAGAGGGCACTACTTCCAGCCATCACCGCGAATCTAAAACGAAGGACTTCTTCAAAGGTGTGATGGAAAAAGTCACAACCCAAAAAGACGTCGGTAAAGAGAAAGAAACCAACAAATTTTCTACTCTTGGGTCTTCGTTTTTAAACCGAGCCAAAGTTGGGATGGGAGGGAGGCAGCGCATTGCTTCACAACCTATCCGAGCCTCAATGATCAGCCATCCCTTTGCGGCCTCTCGTCTCACTGCGATCCCTTATGCTCAAGACAATAACAGTATGCAACATTTCCCTGATGCGAAGGATTTGAAAGAGCCAACCAACGGACCTACTGAGAACCCGGACACCCCAAGAACCGCTAAAAAGAGCTCTCCTTACCGCAACTCTACTGCTTTCTAAACATCTTTTCATTTCCACTTACTTCTGTTTTGAATCCTTCCTTTCTTATTAACTACTTGCAAAGGGTAATACCTCTTTGTGGAGTGTTATTCAAAGAAATGAACGATTCACTATATTCTGTTTTTATTTGTTTCAATCAGGCGAAAATCAACTCCCTATTACCTCTACTAGCTTAGCTCGATAGATTATTAACGGCATTTAAGGAAATATTCCTTCAACGTTTCTCTTAGTTCACTCAGGCAAGCACGCAAATCAATAAAACTTACGTTTCCACTTGACGTATTCAAAGCTCTTTGATAGTATATTTGCTTGTGAATATCGTTGTTTCTGATACACTAAGCCAAAAGTCCGGTGGCATTCTACGTAGCAACGGGGCCCCGTGGTATTTTTGATCAACCAAATCCGTATATCTAGCCGCGATAGATCGCCGGGAGAAATCCTTAGTGTTACTCTCAGCTAGCTGCGGATACACGTTCGCTTTGGGAATTGTGTTCATGGGGAACGTACTAAATTCTTATCATGAGGATTTGAAACCAAAAACTACTTTAGCCCGACTTTCTAACCCTTCGAGTATATAGTATCATACTAAATTGATATTGAGTATAGAAGTCTATAGGCTATACTAGATGCTATACGGAACTGATACATATATGCATATTGCGAAAATATTCCGAATCGGACAAACGATTATACAACGGAAAGGGTTCATCGTGATTTAGAAACAAGTTAAGGGTTTGTTTCGTATTTCTAATCTTCGTGCCAGCCCCATAGTAAATTTATAAAGTATCGGAACCTCAAATACTAAAACTTGCTTCGGCGCCCTAAAGTTCTACGGGAATCGATATTAACAAGTTAAAGAGTAAATGTAAGAATAAATATTATCTACGAGAGATAGGAGTAGTAAAACTAATCCGAATCAAAAGATTGCAAAAACCCGTGGATCTGAATATTTCAGGATTTCTGCCTGAATATACACCTATCCGAGCAAAAGTTTTCCTAGTTGAACCGAATTATCTTTAATTCGATCAGGCTTGCCATACAGGCGGCGACATGGGGCTAATTCGGTTAGCAAAGCGCCGTATTTATATCTCAAATCTTTTCCTGATGGAAGACGTCGACATCAAGTAGTTCGAAAACATGGGAAACATCCCGTCCTCGTCCCCTGTTGTTGACAGACGTTCCTTCGGTACCAAGGTGGCGACAATATTTTTTGAAGCCTACTCACGCCGAATATACGTATAGAATGCGAGTAGGTACCCCAGCGATCAATATACACCCTATCGGTACCATAGCTGGGGTTACGAAGTTAGATGGTTTGATATCGCTATTGTATATAATCCCAGACCTTGACCGGGCAGGGTTATTGGGAACAACACACGTCGTCAAAATAAGCTTTGGGTCTTGTCCCACCTGAATGTCCTAGGAGGGTCAATAGAAAGGTCTGGCTAAAAGTAGGTATTTTAGTATTTAGTACTAGTATATACACTGAATAGACTAATAGTTTCGAGGAGTAGGGGTCTCATCTTCTAGTTCATCTATAGTCCCTGAACAGCCCACCATCTAGTTATAATTCTGAGTCGGCGTCTGGGAACAAGACCAACTTTGATAGAGTGGGTTATAAGAGGTCGAGAATATAAGGCAGGACGCCGAGGGCACTTCAGTGATTAGATATTATGCCCTGGGGAGGGGGTCCTGTGTTGGCCTTGATCAGCGAATGCCGTGAGACCTATGATCCCCTTGAAGCAGTCTCAAGGAAATCTTATTCTCCATCAACGTTCACATCACCTCCCTACCCACTGCACTCTCGACGCGTCAAAACATCACCACACCATCTCATCGCAATCAACATCTCACCTACTAGCAAACTGTCCCTAAGACCAAATCACAATGGACCAAGCATACTTTCCGTATCATGGAGATTACCCGAACATGGCGGGCCAACTGGCGGGCCAACAGCTAGTCCAACAGCCAGGCCAACAGCCGGGTCAACAGCCGGGCCAACCGGATGCCGATGTTGAACTGGCAAACTTCGAGCTGGGAAATATGAACCTGGAAGTTTTACATCAAAATCCATACGACCTCGGAGCCTACAACCAAAACGCGATAGGACTTGGAAACATGGTGAATTATGCCAACTACGCTGGATACAACCAAAACTTCGCCCAAGAAATCAACACGCAAGCCGAAGCTGCAGAGCCAAGTAGGAATTTGATGGAACAACATACGTTCCCTATCGTCAAAGCGAACATGGAGCTAAGAAAGAAAGATTTCTGGAAGTACGCGTCGCCAGCTGCCCTTTCTCAGAGCTAATGATACAAGATGTACTAACTTGAACATAGGATCACGCAAGACACCATGTTCATGGACTTGGTCATTGTTGCTGGCTACGAGAATTCCGAAAGATCCTTTCACCTCCATAGAGCTATCTTCGCCCATTACTCTGGCTGGCTTGCGAAGCTCAGTGACCCCAACAAGCCTCTTTGGAGGCAACAGCAAGTTTCCCTTCGCGTTCGCAATATCGATCCAGATACCTTCGATCGCGTCAGGGGTTGGGTCTACCTCAAAGAAGATGTCCTCGACGACATTTCTATGGAAATGGCGTCCAAGCTTCTGGCTGCCGCCGAGGCTTTGGACATTGCGAAACTGAAGCAAGACCTTTTCTCGGTCGTGTTTCATGCTACGGAGTCCCAAGTCAACCCCGATCTCGGGTTCTTGACCTCCGTTTTCAACTTTCTAAACCTTGCCTTTGGCGTCAGCAATGATGAAGTTGGGTATAATTTAGTTACTGAATGCCTTAAAAAGTTCCTTTCTAAGTGCAGTGTTTACCAACTGCACAAATTCTGGATCACCAACGAGCTCATGTGCGAGGGATTTAGGAATCAATTTCTCCATTTCATATCTACTACCACTTGTACCTTCTGAGTGCGTGTAAGTTGCTATCTATCTCTTCTAATCAATGTTTTCCCTTATATTATTTTCAAAAACTAATGTTCTTGTCGCGAAACTTCACAGGTACCCACCGGTTTTTTGGTCCTCAGGACCAGTTTATTTTTGATTTAATGCCCATGGCTACGGCCATTGTATTTTGTTTACAGAGTGACGTAATGCGACGTGTAGACTGATTACACGTTCGTGGTCACTTCTGTAGACGTACCCATGTACACTATCCCAATACAAAATCACTGCTAAGTAGTTCTCATATTCCTATCTATCCACAAACAAGAGCACTTCTCCTTTGCCATAGTTTCGACTTCTCTCCCCGCCAACTCCAATAACCTGAAAAACTCCTCATTTCGATCTTCACTATCCCGTGTCCTTTCCACAATGTTCCTTATATCCTGTCCACTCTTTGTTGAAAGTAACACATGTATCAACCCATGCATTCCAATCCTCCCTTTGTAGTTATAGACCTGGTTGATGTAACGACATATAGCTGTTGGACTAGTATCAACATTGAATTCAGAATCTTCCTTGAACGGTAAAACTCTAGCATGATGAATAAGAGCACTTGTCAGCTGCTCTCCAAGCTCAACCGTTAGCTCTGTCATATGCAGAGAATCAGCCGTGTGAAACATTTCACGCATTTGAGGCCAATTAACAAGCTGATCTCGTGTCTCAGGCCAAGGGAAATCCTTGGTTCCAAGTTTCCTATGGTAAATCCATGCGATGATACGGTGGAATGTGACTTGAGAGGTGCAAGGGATCGTGATTTTGACTGGTGGAGCGTCGCGGTCTCTGGGGAACTTTAAAGTTTCGAGTAGCAAGTTGGATACCAGGGGGGAATATTCATCAATTACATCTCGATGAACTAGAGTCGAGTGGTATGATAGGCTTCCGTTATATTGCCACTTTACGATGGCGTTTGGCCAATGATCCTGTTCTGAATACTTGCTGGTTTTTGAAGCCACGTTAGTTGAAATCTTGCGCTGCAGCGAAAATCAAAGGTAGAATGGGTGAATTACTCTATCAAGCCCTGCATATATCTATACTCGTCGGCTTCTACGTCCATGGATGCCATTTGAGCTATGATGGTGAGTGGGAAGTCTTTCGAATATATCTGGTATCCGAACGGTCGATTGCACAATAGTCCTAAAGTCAAGAAGAGCCAAAAAGTCTAGAGTTCTGGTAAGTGAGAAACCGAAATAGTCTCATGTTCATACTTCCGTTAATAGTTTCAACTATTTATGCACAGACTATCGAATGACTGAAATCTTCTAGACATCTATTTGAAACATTTTAATAGCACTACACGGTCGAATAGACAGCTACCATGGTATCATTGAAAAATCCCGGATGACAATCCTCAACCTCCTTAACGGCATTGATAAAGAGCCCCATCTTATGCGAGTCCCTCAAATTCTTCAAATAAGCATTCAACTGTATCGCATCGATTTTTCCACCACATTCGTAAAGCCTACACATCAAATCCACTTTCTTTTGTTCATCCGCCGCAGCCTCTTCCGCATCCTCCTTCCAACTGTTGCATTTCCAAATATAGTTTTGTGTTGCCTTCGTGATGATACTGATCACAATTGGAATTTCCAAAAAGTCCGCTGCATTTAGTAGATTCAAAGTTATTTCATAACCCTCATCCGAGAAAATATCCGTCGGTAGAGTTAAACGTGAATCATAAAACCATGCTACTATCCTCTTCATACTTTCCGCATCTATTTCCGGTAATCTGACCAAATGTTCCACGCCTTCTCGAAAATGCGACGTCGAGCACGCAGCCTTGAAGAACTTCGATTTCGCAGCAAACAACCGGGTGTGAACTTCAAACTTCTTTTCCTCTTCACCGACTAGAACCGTGAGATCCGATTCTTTTTTTTTGTAAGGGGTACTTGAGTTTGTTAACTAGAAGAAATAAACCGTCATGGAGTTTGGGGTGCGAAACTTACCCCCATACCATCATCCCTCCTGCTTTTGCTAGTGCTCTATCAACATGATGTATATCCACGTCGAGATTCTGCCGTGCTCTTGGCGTTGGAGCCGGAGGCTGTCTTGTCCAGGAGAAGATGAAGTCTGTGATTGTGGACTTGGCCATGACCAAGGTTTAGACTATCCGCTTGAGCAGCGGGTTTGAAGCCTGGATGTTTAGGCTAGCATCATATCTAGCCTTGCATCGGCAGCGCTGCGCGAGAGGGAAGCTTCCAGGGCAAAAGCCTCGATCTGGGAGCTTGTCTTGATGCCAAGACATGCGGCTTGGGCGACAACACAAGAAATGCAACAATAAAAATTGGTGGCGCAACACACAAGTCTGGTTACGAGACCGTTTCTTGCTTCTCACTTGTGGCACAGTTTACGAGATTCCTAATCAAGAAAGCGGGTCATTCGATGCATTCATTCGCCCAACATATACTAGTATCTTTATTCTGTAGGCACTGAACAAATACAATTGAATCTTTGTTTAAAGGAGTTCAGGTACCTTAAGGCGGCCGGGAAGTCGGATTGGAACCCTTTTAACCCATTGACACGCGCGCCGTTAACTCTGTCCAACGATGAACATTTGTATCAGTATCCGTAACGTCCGGACGTCCGGTCTAGCTTAATATACTCAAGAGCGAATATTATGTTCCAAAATACGCTACCGCGGCGAATTCAGGGGGCCCTATTATAAAATAACTCTCCACCAGTAGGCCGCCTCTACCAGGCTCTCGGCCGGTTTGGCTTTAGGATACTCGCCGATGCAGTCACTGATCATGAATGGATGATCTTTACAAGCCAGACCACAAGATAAACGGAAGAATTTCGATTCGCTGGCGCGGGAACCCGACGACAAAAGGAAGATCATATTAGGATTGCATAAAACCCGAGCTTTCCACGGATATCAGCACAGATTAAATATTTGTTTTTTTAGTGTTATCAACCGAGCCCCCCCATGTCAATTTAAAGGATCCTTTTAGGTCGTGGGGAACATCACTGACGCTTCCAATATCGAATAGGAATAAATAAATATGATATCAAAAAATCGACGACAGCAAACTTGTTACCTGCTACGAGTACAGTGGCCCATGATATATCGGTATTACCCGTGGAAGAAGAATTCGAGCGGCAATGGCAAAGAGGAGAAACTGAAAGATTCTGAGATTCGAATATTTGGAATAGTGGATCCCCCCCCACACGGATAGCAAAGGTAATTGTGGAAAAGCACCTTTCTGACTCTTTTTATACGAGTTTGTTGCACTTTTTCTCCTCGTATACGCTTCGTACCGAGACTCGGGGGCCGAAATGTGTGACTAGGCGCATGCGGCACAGCGCTGCAGCTTTGACACAAACCTGTCGGTAACACGATACATAAGTACTCGTGATAAATCGCGAACGCCAATCGTTTAGGGAACCATATGCCGGTTCGGGATTCTATTGGCTCAATTGCATTATTTTGCAATGTTTTGGAAATGGGAAGATGGTGAAGTATCATCACGCGTTCGTAATATTTCGAGAGCGGGGATCGATACGAATCCAGAGGCGGCATTCGAGGTTTTCCTGTGATATGATTAGTTAGAAAACGACAAACTACATGCTACAGAGAGGGTTAATGTAGATTCTGTTCCGTCGTTCTCGATAGCAGATAGATGCCGTCCCGTCCCGTCTATGCGGCAAAGTCTTTGGCGTGGTTTTTTCCTGTTGGTCTATGGCTACCGCCTTATGCTCTATCAAGTCGAGAGGACTACGTGCGTGATAAAAGACGGTTGGGCTAGATTCATCGATGAGTGCAATCCAGTAGAGGTCTTACATGCCTTTGAGATTCTGTCTATAAATAGCCCTGTATCCTCCTACGCTGTAGAACTCTCTTCCTTACTCCTCATCCTAATCACCAGCTTCTTCCAGTAGGTTTCGGACATCTAAGATAGCTAGAACAGACGAAAATCGCTTTTGTCTTCCCTGTTTTTTAACATTCATTCAGCAGCATCGGCCGCTTTATATGGTGCTGAAAATGAAATATCTCCTCCTATACTGCCTTCTCTTAGGCTCCGGGGCTTTCGCTGTTACCATCCCGGCAGCTCCATCAAAGGCAAAATATACAACTGCCTCCAAGGCGGGTCTCCAAGGCCGTCGTCATTCCGCGAGCAGGAAGTTTAACTATAACCGTAAGATCTCACCAAGCGAAATCAATAAGTACCTACATCCAGAGATCGTCATCACGGAAAACGCCATATACTGCGGTGGTACAGAGCCAATAGTCGTCGATGGAGTAATCCAAGGATGCGTCTTCACAAACACAGACGAAGAAATCCTAGATGCAATCGAGGCCCTTACTATTGCCAAAAACCTGACCGATGTTCCCGACTTCGAGAATAACATTATCGAAGACCCACCTTCCGATCTCTCTCGCCGATCGCTCCTAGACCCCGAGGATGTCGGTCCCGGTTCGCATGTATCCCTCGCAAAAAGAGAACCGTGGCAGTATACCTTAACCTACTGTCACACCTCAGGCGTCTCCGGGTCTATAGACCCTCCAATCACAGCCACAGCACTCTCCGTGTGCAAATCAATGGATAACCTCGCCGGAACGCATACAAGATCTGTTTCTTGGGTAATTGTTAGTTATGGCGCCGGATCGACATCTACTTACATGTTTGCCTGGGGCACGCGAAACCGTATCAGACATGATTATAATTTCGTTTCCCTCAAAGACGGGGATGATTGGGTATGGAGCTCTTTCCAGGGCCAGTGCTTCGGGATTGTTATGGCGATTGCCAAACAACTTTGCCGTATTAGGGCAATAGAGGTGACTAGGGGGGGTTATGTTGACGCTTATGATCCTTCTCGCGGTGCAGGCCGTAAGTATAGAATTGGGCTTGATCCTAATCCACTGAATGGCCTTGGTTAAGAGCTTGTAGATGGGTTCCATAATATACTTATGATCAATCTGCGGGGTGTCGAATGGGTTCGATTAAGCTATGGGCTGATATACGAGAATAACTAGGAATAGGGATCCGTTTGATTGCATTAGAATATTATGTCGTTGGCTCACACTGGAACGACACAGAACTTTATTGCTACCCCTAAGTTTTTTTTAATTAATATTTGTGTACCGTTAGTAACATGCAATTTAACATCCCCACCGGTGTCTTCAACAATCATCGGACTCCAGACAATCGTGTTATAACGTTAGGTCGTATAAATTCTTTTAATCGTGGAAATGTATTGTATTGTTTATTCTGTATGAAGCTTTGCAACTTGCAAAGTACATCGAGCCCGTCCATCTAGAAAAGGCGGTTTTGGGGCAAAGGATTTACAGCCATCTCATAGCTGAAATTCTTCTCTACATGCGGCTTAAGGGTTGGAATAGGGCGAACATTAAATGTACGTTATTTTTACAGCCCGGGCTCTTAGAGTCCCTCGGCCTTAAGAACCCCTCGACCCGAGGATTGACGCAGGAGACCAGAATTTGGGATTTTGGCTCATGGCGAAGATGTTGAAGGGTAGTGGGAAGCCGATGGATGCGAAATTATATAAAGCAGAAGTAAAACCGGGCCTTTCTGGTCATAGTTGGTACAAGTGGGCAGGTCGGTGCCTACGCCAGTGGTAATCGTGCCTTAGCTGACATAATGAAGCTATTGAGAACAAAATAATCATCTCAAGTGTCATCTTTTATTTGTCATGACTAACCCATGTTCCCTTCATCGTAATGACACCGGCTAGTGGTGGAAGTACATAAGTGTAGGCTCCTTGACAGGCGTAGTACAGTCAATTCGTCCACCCCAGCGTTTAGGCTCTTAAGACTGCCAGTAAGAAAACATAGAATCCCATGTCAACAATGTATACCCTTTCAATCGTTTCAATCCCCGGTTACCAGTATATATAACCCTTTGAATCCCAGTTCATGCCCATACCGCTGCTATACCATCCCTTCGATATCAAAACCCATAACCTCAGCAAGAGAAGAAAATCCCAAAGCACCCTTCAATCTTTCTTCACCTGAGCTGCCTTCCAGTCATCAAAAGCATAAGCCATCATCTGAATCCTATAAATATGGTATAAAAGCCACGCAAGCCCACTAGATATAAAAATTCTAGTAGTCCATTCACTCAAGAAGTAGTTCTTGTATATAACCTGCAAAATAAACTTCGCCCAGATGTAAGCCATGCAGATTACCACTATTGCGGTTGTTTCTCCGGGTGGGCGGGTTAGACGCTGACAAGCCCAATATGCGGCTGCGCCACCGATCATGGATAACATGTATGTTGCCATGAATGCGACTGGTAGTTGAGGTATCTCATGACGTTGTACCACACGTGGGAGAGGTGGATTTTGCTGAGGTTCGGCTCTGCGTGCGCGGCGTACCATGATTTCTGTGGTTTATTGTTTTAAATTTATGTGGGTGTCTGGATGAATTGTTGATGAATCGAAGAAAGGAAGCGGTATTAAACTGTTCTTAATTGTGAGGTAGGGGACGTAGATTTGAGTAGCTTGAGGTACCGGTACAATCGAAGGTACGATGAGGGCAAGGCTGGAATAAATTTGTGAGTACAGATTTCGGCACAGACCTTTTCGTCGATAGGTGTAGTAATAGTTGAGATTTCTTTGATTAATTGATGTTTACAAAAACTTGACATGTAAATACTCATCCTCAGAGTGATGATATAAGTTTAGAGTAATTACCTAATATGTAATGATATTATTGATCATCAAAGAATTGCGCTGTTGCTACGCTCTGATCCTCAAGCGCAAAACAAACTTTAGGGCACCATGTTACTTTAGGGCACCATGTTACCTGCAATCAATTCTATAGCGACTCAATATTTCCAAAGGTGGCCGCGCAAATAGGTATACATACAACCTGTTTAACGTCGTCGTGAACGTCTCATCTTGTATCTATTATCCTTATCCGACCCTTGCGCTGATATAACGGCTTTTGAGTCACCTGATTCCATGAAGTATTACCGAGCTAACTTTAAGGCCGCAGAAAACACGGGAAATTACCATAGCTGGTACCATGGTTTGAGTATTCGCCGTGTAAAAAAATAGAAAGTACTCGAGTGATTAGCATATACTACTGTTTTGATCACAATTGGCATCCAAGACGAGATCATGAGTGACCGTACGAGCCTTCCATCTACTGTGCCAGCTTAATTAAGAAGGGGGCTTATTGATACCCTGTTAACACAGTTTTTTTTGTCATAATATATATTAATACGGCACCGGGATATTCGAGTATTCAATACGAATTAGAACAGAGTATCGAGGGTGAAATTTTACTAGTAATTCGAACTTGGGCAGTATTAAAAATTATCACTTTCCTAATTAACCACCGACTGGGGTCAAATTGACATTTCAATTATACCACGACCACAAAAAATATATTTGTTATGCATATGATCATATGAGCCTTTTGAGAAGTGCGCAAACCCCAGGGTCTTATTTCCGATTGGCCCGAGCAAGGGGTCTCTGCATAGGGAACCGGGATCGTGTGGCAAACAAACCCCCACGGCTGTAATTTGCAGGATACTCATAACTATCTGGTCTCGTATACACTCCCATTCATGGACTATTATCAGCTTATTTGCATGATTCAATTGAGATACCTAGCCTGTTGAAGTTCTCATGTCGTTGTGCCGCTGTGGAAATCAGACCACAGGCTGTCCAATGCAATGCAATGCGCCAGGGTTACACAAAATACTTCAGCTGAATTCAGAGAGTAGCCGGAGATGGATACTTTGTCGAAGCCACGCAAATGCAGACACGGCATGACTTATCAGCCTGCACAGGCCGCCTTTTAATCTCCCCTGTTTACGTTATGATAGAATTACCCCGCTCTTCTGATAACGGTTCTCAAACGTCTATAAAGTATTGCTTGAATTCTATTTAATATGGGCCCATCACTGTGCATGTGTTCAATTCTCAGATTTTAAGGTTAGCTTTGTTCAATGAAAACAACCAAAGGATTTCAATTGAATTGCACTATCTTAATCATATACCTTTAATTTAAACCTTTGATCGGTTTATCTATCCTAAATCCTTAGAAATGCCAGCCGGGTTAATTGAAGTATTGTGGAAGAGGGCGTTAGATGAATACACAGTCACAACTGGTGTGAATATGGACGATGAAGATTGCAAAGCTATCTTGGGGAAGATTGTGAACTTTTGGAGTGATAAAGCTAAAACTAAAGGAACCTCGGGCACGGAAGATTTTATCCCAGCAGATGATGAAAGCGACTTTCCTCACACTCCTTTTATGCAGTAGGTGCCCCAAAAATACCCCCAAAAAAATGAGCTCGCCCTGATAGTCGTAGTAGCAATGGTGGGAGTACTAGCGACGGTGGTGGCGAAAATAACATCGCTGATTTAGTCATGAACTATGCCGTCAAGTTCGACCGTGCGCGTCACAAGGACGCCAACGCCTGGGACAAAATACGACATAACCTTGCGAAATACCTATCTGTTGCATCGGGGCTACTCTCAGTCGCCGGTGAGCTGGCTAGCCTCGCGTTTCCACCAGCGAGCATCCTTATCGTCGCTGTTACCCGCGCTGGTGACGCCATATACACGGTCAGCAAAGATCTAGATACCGTCAAGGAGCTCTTCGAAACAATGATCTCCTTCAGCGAAAGAGTCAACTTACTTAAAAAAAAACGTACCATCAGAGCCCCCATATCAAAAGATGGTCGTTGAAGCCTTCCGCAACATGTTGGCTTTCTGTCGCGACGTCCACTCCCGGACGAATCCGAAAGGGTTGCCCCACATTAATAGAGTAAAGGCCTTCTGTAAGGCATTTTTCCGTGGCGGTGACCCATTGATTAAGCTTGCGTGCGACAATGTCCTCAACAGTATTCACAATTTAGACTCTGCTACAATCTTTCAAACGCTAGCACAAGCTGTCGAGACCCAGGCGAAGATAGACGAGCTCCAGAACACGACGGAGCTACAATACGACAGTATACGGGTTACCATGTCTAGCCATCACACTGAAGTAATTCAGACCATCTCCCATTTAGCCACATTCACCAAGAAAGACCATGATCTGGTAAAGGAATTTGTCCAGGAAATGGCGGTAGCCAGGATGGTCGGAATAGAGAGGGACTTCGCAAAGAAAGATACGGTCATCAGCACTAGATCAACAGAATTTGAGGCTTTCAAGGCTTTGACAAAGTCCCTCTCAACGGGCGCGGAGACGTACGTGACTCGACATTTATCCAAACTCAAGCAAATTCACATCCCCGGTATTTTTGGCTGGATCGAGCAGAAGGCTCCTTATAGAGAGCTATGCGCAAGGACACAAAGAACTTTATATGTAAGCGGCGATTCTGGAATGGGAAAATCATTTTTCGCATACTCTATCTATTTGAAGCTGCGTGCCGAGATTTGCCCTGCATCTTCAGTCGCTGTCGCCTATTTTGTCTTTGATAGGGCCATAGAAGAGCTGCAGAAAGCCAAAAACATGTGGAAATTCTGCGCTCTACAAGTTGCCCAGCAGAACCCGAGATATCAAAGGTATCTAAGAGATCTTATCGAGAACGATGGTGGCTCAGAGCAAGGTTGGGGCGAGTTATTCGGAATAGAAACCGCAAATTTAAAGGTCAAAACGGAAACACAATCTAATATGAGCTTAAAGGAAATCTTTATCGTTATCGATGGGGTGGACCAAATGGAACAAAGAGAGAGGGATAGCCTCATGGGGCTGGTGAGAAGTGAAAAGAATCCCCTATCGACTACACTAAAAACCCATTTCGTCCTTGTCGGGTCTACAAAGAGCTTTTTGTCCTATGACACAGGAAAGCAATTGATATTATTAGACAAGATGAATCTTCGCCAATCCGGAAGTTTTGGGGTGCTAACCCAACATAGGTTGAGTAGTCCCCAGTTCCAAGCTTTGGCAAAGCTAGGGCACTCTCTCAAATGGAGGATCCTTATATCAATCGAAAGTAACGCCGACAGTAAGTGCTTCTACCCGTCCAATGTCGTATCCCAATAGCCGGTGATGTTCAACTTTGTCTAATTCTTGAAAGCCTTTTTTTATATTGATCATATGCTTCGTCGGCTTGACGCTCTCGGAACCAAAGACCTTATACAAATGGAGATTTCCAACCCCCCGAAGAGCAAAGATGAAATCTACAAATCTATACTCGAGGAGTGCGCCCAAGCATATAACACAGAGACGCAGGAGACACTGGGATACTTAATCATCTGGCTAGCTTACTCCAAAGTGCCCTTGGGCCTCAAGGCAGCACAAAAACTTTTAGACAAGATGGCGGCGCTAGCGCCCTCAGGCGCATCAATAAATTTAAAAGACGAAATAGGCAAAATGATGTCAAAGTATGCAAGAAATGTGCTTTAGTTATCACTAGGTCTACCGCATTACTGGTCAAGCTGCTCTAGGATTTTAGCCATTTCGGATCCCGACTGCGAGGAACCGGACAATATCTATTCGGGTCAATATCGCGAAGATTTTATTATCAATTTCCAAGAGTCCCATTTACACGAGTACTTCAGAATTGGGAACGATGGGCTTAGTGAGCCTCTTCGGCCATCTGCGTTGATGGGCCGCTCGATGCTGCTAAAAATGTCACTCGCTGTTCTCGCCGAGGAGATCGAAGATATCTCACCAAGCGAACTAAAGAAAATGCAGGCTTTCGCTGCAAAGTCCTGGCATTCAACTGTGAGCGAAATTTTAGAGCTACTAAACGACGGCGCTTCGGGCGGTCCTTTTGTCAAATCCGTTTCGGAATATCTCTTAGAATTTTTGCAGGCTAAGAGCGGTGGGGTTGAAATATTAGAAAACTTACAAGATACCCCACCCAAGCCGAGTGATTTAGAGCGCTTTAGTATCTTGGGTGAAGAAGAGGACGACCAGGTCAGGCTTCTGGAGGAAATTGTGGCACTGATCAACAAGGCCGCTTCATCAGATGACGAGGCGGCCGCCATCACGTCCGTGTCAATCGCCACATACATCGCCAAGAGCCACACCAGAAATTTCTTAACAGCCAAGGACCCTGCTGCGGCATGCAAGTCATCCAGGTTCGCTATTCAAGCTCTATATATTCTCGGAACATTCGAACCTAGGACCTTCAACAACTACACCGAGTTGTCAGATGCATTCTTAGAGTATGAAGCCGCCACAGAGGATAGCCGTACGTGCAAGCTTCTAGAGGAAGTTATTAGGTTCGAAGGAAGCCAGTTGGAGCCCCGTACGTACGGTCAAATATCTATGGCCCTCTTTCGCAATAGCAAGAGAGGCAGTTACCGCGAGGACATTGTAGCCGCCGAAAAGGGCCTCGAAATCACCACGACGCCGGGGGAAAGGTTGTTTCTAAGATATAGGGTTGCCGCCTCGTACTTAGCTTTGTTGAATCTGCATGACTGTGGATATGGGTACTGCGGTGCTCGACTCCGAGATATGTGGGAGGCTATTACGACGGAATCAGGTCAGCGAAATCTAAAGAGAGCTAGGGAATATTGCGCCGAAGCAGTGGAAGCTGCACAGGCTATTAGCGATAAGGCTGAAGATTATTCCGAACTCAAGCCAACCATCAACTTGGTGTTCCAGATGATGGCCTTCGTGGAGATTCAACTTGAAGAACACCGTGGAAACTTCCTGTCCACAATGGGCTTGGCGGAATCGGCATCTTCTCCTGATACGCGGAGACATTATTTAAACGAAATTATTCACGTGCTCGGGAAGATGAAACAATGGGACGCCATTTTAGAACTTACAAAGATAGTGGATAACCCTCTAGTAGATCCTGTATACGGCATACTATCTCCACTCGCATATGATTACATCCGCGGGGCAGCGAGGCGATGTGAAGGGGTTGATCACATCCGGGAAGTCTATCGCAAGGCGGACTTTGAACAAATTGGGCAGGATCGACGGAATTCCACCATTGCTTTTATAGCACTTCAGCATGGGTCATTTGAGCTTTTTGTTGGCATGGAACTCGATAAGGCCAAGCAACGACTTGAAAGAGTTCTGGATTCAAAATATGATAATTTTTGGTTAAGGTTAGCTATCGTACGCCTATCGAATATCGCTCTCCGGAATTTTGACTACGCGGAAACCTTTGAAGAGAAAGAAGTCGCCATGATTGAAGCCGAAAGAGTTGTCCAGAAATACCAAAGGTTGCAAGGATTTGAGTTTAAACTGGAATTATCGTTAATCGCGATTCCGCTTGCTAGCATGCGGAAAAAGCTAGGCCCAGCTCGCGATTTCTACACCGCGCTAAATAAATGTTTCGACGCTTGCATTGAAGCACTTTCTGATGACTCACCCTCCAATGACTCAGACAGTCTCGTAATGCTTGCGAGAGTAATATGCCTTGTGGTTGATGACCCGACAGACAGAGAAGGCTCAAGGGGGCAGTATAAGAAGCAAAATGATCGAGGGGGCGAGGTTATTGACGAGTGGTTTAGCCGCGAAGACGATGACGAAGATTGGGAGGATGCAAAGAATAAGGGGGATGAAGAGGGTAAACATAGGAACAACGACGATGATATTGGGGGCGATGAAGAAGCCGAGGAAAATGAAGAAGCCGAGGACACTGAAGAGGCTGAGAACGATGAAGAAGCCGAGGAAGAGGATGATGAGGAGAATGAGGAGGATGAGAAGAACGACAGCCCAGGAGAAGTGACTCCCCTCCTTGCGATCTCTGAGAACGGAACAAACAAACAAGAAAACTATCTCCGAGAGTTGTGGAAAGACGCTCAGCTGGCATTATCCTGTAGCTATTACACCGTAACTGAGAGCGGACGGTATTATGATAGCGACTATTTTCAGATGTGTGACATCTGCTCTGAAGAAATTAAGGACGTTAGCTCTACCTTGAAGGCGTATATATGCTTGACCTGCATAAACATGGACATTTGCGCCGGCTGCTACGAAGAGAGGGAAGATGACAGTTGGATCTGCCCGAAGAGTCACAAATATTTGGAATATCCCCCTGATGATTTTAAGGGCGTCGAAGAGTGCCGGTTGGTATTTGAAGACAAGGAAGTCGAATTTGCAACATGGCGTGATGGTTTAAGACAGAAGTGGGAAGCCTCTTGGAAACATTACTGTTCGACATATTGGTCGCTTTAGTTGCTAGAGCTACCTTTATCGTTTTAAAATACCTTTCAATTGATCAAATGCGTTTTCTCTCCTCTAGCTCTTCCCTTCGAGCTCCCGGCCAGCCCGTTCTTATACAGTTGCAACATTCAACTCTTGGAATAAGCGCATCAAATTAGGGCTTATAAAGCTTAGTAGGCATTGAATACTCTGATACACACTTGATTGACTTAGAGTTTTGCTACGTCTGCACCGCCCACATTTCTTCGTGCACGCGGGGCACATGATAGAGTTGAGGCACATACCTATATATGTATATAGTTGACGTTTATAATTTAGTCAGATCGGGGTTTTTGCTTCCAGGATAAAGCTAGGGGTTTAGATTGATAAATTTAACGATAGTTGTATTACAGAATCCAAAAACAAAGACAAAATAAAATCGAGTCTTAGAATATAAGTATCAGGCTCGCAAGCATAGTGAATGAATGACAAGAATCAAAACTAATAAAATATTCAAATTAGGAAATTAAAGGAGAGTTTAGAATGGGGGGTGTTGAAAGTAAGGTGATAGCGTCGAGACATCAAGGCTGATATGGGGCAAGAGCAGGGCCTGGACCGCATAGGAAGGTGGTCCGTAGTTGCTAGCGGAGACAGTGGTCGAACCTTTGATGGGCACATCGAACTGCGAGAAACTGGGTATGGGTCTATGTGACCTGGTAAATCGGTCCCAATTACTGGTTTTGGACTACGCCCATGCACCAACAAGGCTCATAGAAAAGGCCCCGAAGAATACAAGCAAGCAGCCCCCCACACGGCGCATACCCCTCAGCATTCGCCAACTTTCATAACTGAGGAAATCTTCTGATAGAAGCTCCACCAACGAAGCAAACACTAGGAGGCCAGCTGAGATGGCATTCATAGTTCCTACCAAAATGAGACCAACTTCGGAGTCCGGGCTGTAAAGCGAACTAAGTCCAATGCCAATCGCCTGGCCTATTGGAGTACTACATGAAAACAATGTGAGGATCACAGTCTAAAAGGAATTGTTTGTGGGGGATACTTACGTGCATCCATATGCCAGTGCCATGAACCATGGTTTCAGGGTGCTACCAGGCCATTTAATACCAGCGATTCGAGATCCGAGAGCCAACCCTTCAAAAGTTTCTAACAGATACCCTCCTTCAGCATCAAACAGACTAACTAGGTAAAAATGGAGGGAAACTTACGATGGAAAGCAATCGCAATCAAAAGAACGATAAACTCGTTACCGACTGAAACGCTCAAAGCCATGCCAATGAAGACACTATGGAATAGAATACCTACCTCCAGGAGTATGCATTGCAAAACATCCTTTTGGAGCTTTTGCTCTGCTGTCAGAACAAAGCTAAAATTATCACTATCTTTCTCGACATCCGCCTCGGCTTGTACACCACTAAGTTGGCCGTCTGGTCTGGTTTCTTGAACCGACTCGGTGCTTTCTTGACCAGCAGCATTCGACAGAGGATCAAGAACGCCTCCGGGTTGTCCTGATTGAGTAGGACTAGCACTTCTTTGCGGGGTAATATGCCGAGAAGGATGAAATACCATCTCAATGACAATTACAAAAAAGACACCAGCGAGAGCAATGGCGCCGGGAATAGCAGGATAATCCTTGATCCAAAAATCGGACAAGCATGGATTCCCAAGTAGGATGAAAGCTGTTGGCAAAAGATGAACAAAAGCCGTAGCGATCAATACCCCGGTACCGAAATGGCGAACAATGAAAAAGAACAATGCAGGAACTTTAAGTCCTGGAAACTTAGTGGCCAACAACGGAAACCCACATGCAGCAGTCGAGACGAAGAGAATTATGAAAAGAGCTCCAACATGCAGAGGTGTGTTGTATTTTGAACTGTCAACTCCACCGGTTGGGCATGTGGATCTCATGTGAAGTGATGATACTCGCGTGGCAGCAGCTTTAATATCCATGCTACATCAGCCTCGGCTACTGGCACGAAAAAAACTCTAAAAAATTCTAGAACGAAAATGAGCGCTCACCTATTTCACCTTCGACGGAAGCTAGCGTTGCGACAGGGTTGCGGAAGTTCTGGAAGGCCGATAACAAATACGAACAAAAGATGACAGAAGCAAGCCAAACGACCCAGTCCCAGATACGCTGGAGGGACGGAGAATGGGATGCGACGAGAAGACGGGGGTGGCCGTAGTTGCCAACCGCCGTCTTGATGGAGGAGAGCCCTACGAAGCAGATTTTCAGCACCACGTTATATTTGCGCCATTTCGAATACCATATGTACTTACAGTACAGCTGCTCCTCCGCTCCCCCACCTTTCCCTCCCGAGCCTGGAGGCGAGTCGCTTTCTAGAATTTCATTTTGATCTCCAAACCAACCGCCGGCAAGTTCATCAGCATTTCTGTGTTCCCGAGAGTTCGCAACACCGTTGAGATCTTGGCGAGTAGTAAGTTCTGCCGCCAGGTACGATGGATTTTGGTTCCAAGTTGGATGTTTGAGAAGAGAGTCGTCGTTTTTCGCAGGGCAATTCATCTTGACTGGTATGTATGATCAGGCACTGGGAAGTCGACAAGTTGTCTTTTACAGAAGAATTGAGCTGAAGATTCGGAGCATAAGCACGAGCGATTCAGAAACACCTCGTGCTAAGACATAAGTCGCCAAGACCGTTTCCGATGGTTGCCAATGTTGGATTACGCTTGGCCTCAAAGATCAACCGCGGATATTGGAATGCCAATGACAAGATTTTATCTTACAATTGCCTGGTCTTCCGAGCTACGAGGGTTTCCATCGGGAGTACATCAATATGCAGGCTAGTAATCAATCCAGACCAGTTTGGGAGTTGAGGAAGGTCAATACTGATTCCAGAAGTGGAAATCGAAAATTTTTAAAACTGGACCCCTGCAACGTCTTTCGGTGGCCATATTTGGCACCGGCAGGAACAATATCCGGAAATGCATTTGGATGTATTTCCATACATGCATATCATACATTATTGTGGAGGCTACTTATGGATATGTATGTATCTAGCGACTGCGATTCTCTAGCCCCGTTCCCACCATTGACCCAACGGACACTTGTAACTTCAACTCGTACACTCGCTCATTACTAACTTCTCGATAGATAACCCTCCCTGACAGATTTGTCAATCAGGCATCGCCCAGCGGCGCAGCAATATCGATTAATCGCCGTTGGAATGTTTGGCAGTCGTGACCATCCAGAGCAGATACCCAATGCCAAGCCAATATCTTGGCGAATCCACAGGCCTAGTCCGGACACTTGGCTCGTTACTTTTCAGGTGTCCCAGTCGCAGATATTAAGCTTAAAGACCATGTCGAGTGCATATCAAGTCTAGGCGGGATTTTGGCTCCACTTCCAAGGACGCCACCCAGGATTTCAGCCCGCCCTGAACACCTGCGATCCTCTCTTTTTTCGGAACATGATGGAAAGCTATATAAACCAACTGGTTTGCGCGCGCCGGAAGTAGATTTCCGTTTTGTCATTTTTCTTTTAGAGAATGACGGAAGTTGACGGGAGAAGGTGAAGTCGAAGTTTCGATATCAAATCGAATTTAAAGGTGTAGACTTTTATAAGCCATCATGTCGAACACTCGGTTGATTGCCATACCCCTGGCTCTATCCCAGCTAATCCACCTAGCCGCCGCACAATTCGCTACCGGCTTCTCGTATACACAATTCGAAACCACCCCTCTCGCAACCTACAGTTTCGCAGGCAGCCTAACGAACTTCAACCCGCCCGCCGACTGCACATCAGGCGACCTCTGGACCGTCAACACCGAGCCCCTTACCGTAGCATTCGGTAGTACGAGACAATATATCGGGTCTTACTTTAGCGCAGGATGTTACAGCGGCGGACCAAGCTCCTGTTGTCCCTCAAGTTGGAGGGATACTGCGTATTATACCAGTACAGGCGGGAGTTGTCCACCTGGGTATAGTAGGATGCCCAGCGTTACTGAGGCGTTTTATACTAGTGGGTCGATTTATTACTATCCAGTTATTTCCTTACAATCGGGTAGTTCTCTCGCCTTCCCGTGCTGTCCTACGTAAGTTCCATTTCTTTTGGTCTCCTGCCGCAGCTACTATATATATAGATAAAAATGATACAACTGGCTAACTAACTAAAAATCGACTAGGGTCTCATATACACACACAATGGCAGAACGAATCACCGGAGTTCTCCTCCCCAGAGCCATGCTCACATCAACATTAACAATCTCATCAACCAGGGGTTACATCCAAATCCTCTGCAACTACCTCCAAGACGACAACCTAGAAGTCTACACCGAATCCTCAACACACTATTCAATCTATTATCGATACATAGCGAATCCAATCTACATCTTCGACAGCGACGCAACGCGAACAAGCGCAAGTACTACTATCCAAACAAGCACAACTTCAGGTTCACAATCTAGTTCTACACCCGCCAGTCCCGGAACAAGTGTTGATTCTTCCGCCGGCGGACCGAGTAATACGGCGCCGCCACCGCCACCAGATGCTGAACAAAGTGGCGAGAAGAAATCTGGCTTGTCGACCGGAGCTATCGCTGGTATTGCGGTTGGTGTTGGTGTTCCGATTTTATTAATTGCGATATATCTTACATATCGGTTGACGAGGAGGAAGTCAGAACCAGTTTCTTCTAGTTCTATGTGGGGAAATTCTGGTAAAACAGAAGTTGGGGGGATGGAGCCGGGGATTATGGAAAATCCGGCGGAGTATGGTGGGATTCATGCGGCGGGTGGGGGCAATAAAGCCTATAATTAATGATCGATACAATGTTTAAATGCATATAGTGACTACAAACGACGAATAACTTTTAATGCACCTTAATTTTTGTCTTCCTGGCGAGCTTTAATGGAGATGTAGTCCACAATTCCGTATTCAGCCGGTGGATGGTTATTCAAAGGTGGCTCGGGATTTTGAAAACAGCTTAGAGCATCAGAATTTCTTTCTCTGATTATCTAAATACCCAAAACCTCGCCGATTAAGTGCTTAATCTACTGGGCAGTCTGCAAAACGCCACAAAGCGCCACACATATAATCGTGTGGCGGTTATACACTAGCCACTCTGCCTCATGTGGCTGATGATCCGGTGAACATAAACGACTACTTAAGTAAAGAACTACAGGCAAGAATCAAAGACCTGTTCCGTCACAATATGATAAATTGCTAGTCTCGGAGCCAGAGATAAATTGCCTAGACAAAAACCAGGCCAGCCTCCAAAAGCCAAAAAGAAAGCAGTACAATCTGATCAAGAGGATACATCTGCGGGCATCGACATGGGTTTTGTCTCATTCCTTCTGAGCCAAAAAAACAACTTAAAAGGCAAGTTATAGTTAAGTGTTGCATTGTTGGAAAACGAATCCCAGTGAATTCGATCAAACGATGCCTGAAGAAGCCCACGCAGCAAAAAGCCCGCGTCGACCCGGGATTTGGCCTGGAAGCGTCGATGTCTGCATGTACAAGGCTAGAAAGGAAAAGGTCAAGGCGGGTATGGTTCGATCAGCATCCATAGCTTTCGAAGCTTCTCGTCTTTTTTTCCTTCTCTTCTATTTTTTGGTGGTCTTTGTTTTTTAAACGTTGCAAAGTGGCTATAAGAGCTAGCTTCACCTCTTCGTCTTTACCCGCTGGAGTATTAGGATATACTACCGCTACTGACCCGGCCCCAGTTTCCATCTTATAGCCACAAACTAGGCTTCTAATCTATCGACGACCAAGACCCCAGGTATTGGTATTAGCCACAAACTATACCATTCTGTCAAATACCCCAGATCTACCTACAATCCCAGTCCGCAAGCTTCACCATGTTTACCGTCCCAAGAAACATCAAAGACGGTCTAAAAGAGGCCACCACCACAATCCTCGTAAGCAGCGTGAGGGCCCCCAGCGACCTCACCAGAGACACCCCCATAGTCGAAGATATAAAAACCGTATCATCCTACAACTGGCTCGCAGAACATGAAACCGACTATAACGTTCCAACAATCCAAGTACCCGGTAATCAAATCTCCCAATATAACTCTTCCTTCCCAAACTACTAACATATATACGTAAAATTGAATTTTAAAATAGGCGCCCCGCCAATCCTACATTTCCCAAAAGGCAAACCACCCATAAAACTAGAAGCCGACACGGGACACCACTTCATCGACCAAAACGCTTCAAGAATGAAAGGTAACTCCGGTTTAATCCCCGGTCTTGCCGCTTGTCATGCGTATAAAAGGGATTTTAAAATCACCGATTACGATGTCGTCACCGATCGGAATAACTTGATCAAACTCTTTGAATTGATTGAGTTATCTTTAGTCGGGACTAAAGACGCTGTAACACCTGCTACTTCTACACCGTGGCGGGCACCTTCTATTGAAGCTGCTGCTGCTAGGAGGGATAGAGGGGGTGGGGGGTGGAGGGGGAGAGGGAGAGGAAGAGGTGGTAATCGTGGGGCTCATCCTTTTTTTCAACAACTTGGTGCTAGACAGGGGATGGGTATAGAAAGTATGGACAGACGAGCAGAGACTACTCGTATCGATATCGATGTCGTTTCAGGGTATGATAACGATACAGGGAAATACATCTACGATGAAAGTTCGCCGAACAAAACATTGGTAATGACGAGATGGGAAGCTAAGAACGAAGAAGTAGTTATTTCGCAAATCGACTTTAGAGGATTTGGACATTCGTTTCTTACGGAGACGAGACAGTTTTTATCGGTTGAGGATGGGAGGGTTTTTCAGAAGGGGGCGAATGATGTTACGGGGTATCATTGTTTGGTGGAGTATAGGTTGTTTGGGATGAAGTTGTTGGTTAGGTATCATGCTGATGCGTGTGATATGACGAAGGAGGAGTTTGTTAAGTGGATTTCTCAGGATGCAATTCATGACCTTGAGGGGTCTGATACGCAGTCGGAGGGTAGTGATGAAGATGAGGATGATGATCCTGATCGAACGCTTTGTGAGTCGCCGACGACGGATACTTTCGATCTTTTGGATGCGTTTAAAACGCTATCCGTTAAGACGGAACGACCGAGTAACGAGAAGTTACTTTCGAAGCTCAAGTTGACAGCTTCTCAAAGTCAGTCGCATCAAAATTATTTCCAACTGTTTATACCTAGTACTAACGCTTACTCAAATAGATACCAACCCCGACGTCGTAAGCCTACCGAAAATCCCCATGGACATAATCCCAACCCCGAACGCCGTCTTCCCCGGAGAAAAAATCCTTCAAGTGAAAACCCGGGGTAAACACACAGGTCTCAACCGTGAAAGGTTACATACACAACTATTTTTCAGTCAAACTCGAAACGTATTCGTGGCATATCACACCCGAGGTGTCTTCTCAGAAAGAGAGACATCGAAAGAAGATATCACCGCAGGACTGTCGAAATGGGCGGATGATAATAAAGAATTATTGAAGAGATTAACTTCGATATTCCGACAAGTTAAGGAAACGGTTGGAGGGATGGGAGGGAAAGGAGCGATTGGGTTTGTTTTGAGGAAGAAGGCTAGTGATGATCCCGTTGTTATTGATATTCAAGGCAGAGACGACTGAATTATATATTTCATTTTGCATTTTCTTTTGGCTGGTTTGATGGGTTTTATTCATGGAAGTTTTACAGGAGAAATTTGGTATGCTTTGGATGTGTGTTCTTTTGTTTTGAATATGTAGGTACTTCAGGTAGTAGTTAATATCACGAGGCTGTTTTAATGATATGGAATAAATTCGCTCAACCACGCTCATGCACCGCCGTAGTTTCTATGCCATGTTCCTTAGGCGTCTGTAGTGCGAGACCACGAGACCTTATGAGTAGTTTAAATTCCTTATACTTCATTCCTACCTGATTAATGTCTATCATATACAATACTTATTAATTTTCTATTAGACATCCGACGACAAGTCGAGTCTACCATACAAACAAATTCCAAAATTACAACCCGTAGTATACATACTTACCGGCCAACCCCAATATACCCCAAATGCATCACCCCCTCCCCCACCCCCCATGGCACCTCCCCCCCCTCCTCCTCCTCCTGACAACCTCCCTGCTCCCTCCCCCAACAACAGCATACTACGTCATGACCACCCGTCTCAACCGTCCAAACTGGTTCAAATCCTGGAACTACATAATGGACGCCCGTCCCTTAACAACCTACCTCCCAAACACCTGTTACGCCACAAACACAAAATACGGCGACGGCTACATCCAATCCTTCACCGTCCGTAACAACATCGATCAACCCACCGTCACCGGTGTAGCACTCTACCACAGCGACGACTGTGGCAAAGGAGTGGGGAAACTAGCGTATCATTTCTTGGAGGTACCGTTTATGGTTATTAAATTCGATGCGTTTGATCCTTATGGAATTAATACCGTGGATTTGATGAAACTTGGGGTTAGGTGGTTAGCTGGATCTTGGAGATCGGTTGATATTGAAAAGGAACATGGTGAGGGGGGATTACTGGCTGGTATTCCGGATTATGGGGAAAATGGGGTTGTGATTTGGGAGGGGGATCCGGAGGTTAGGAAGGTGCCGTTGCGGAGGGTTTGGATACCGGATTCTGTGGTTAAAGTTCATGAGGGGAGGGATTTTATGGAGACTTTACCGCCGCCGCCGGATAGAAGACGGTATGTTTATTTGAGGGATCTTGTTGAACGGGTTTTGAGGCCTGGGGCGGAGGAGATACCGGATGTTGTGACGGAGTATTTTGATGAATTGGTGAGAACGCTGCCATCTGGTGATGATGACGGCGGGGCACCGAGACAGGAGGTAGAAGGGACGAAAAAGAAGAAGAAGAAGGTCAAGTCGGGGAATAAACTGCTGAAGGGTCCTTTACATGATCCTTCGGATCCAAAATCGAATTTCTCGTATGAAACTCATAGGGAGAGTTATAAACCGATATATGATTCCGTGTCACTGGAATTCCCGACAATACCACAGGATATACTACCAAAAGCGGTGTATTACGAAGGTCTGGGTAGTATAGACGGAAGAGAGTTCTTTGTGATCGAAGAAATACCGCAGCGGATGGGAACTATCGACCAGATCAAACCTGATAATGAAGCAGCTGTCGACGATAGGGACGTTTTGGTAATGGAAGAGATTGAAAAAGAACCGGAAGAAGAAATTGAAGATACTAACATAAACGAAGAGTTTCGGAAATTTCTATCTGACGAGGAAGAACCTAATGACTCCGAGATATCTCAGCTCCTAGAAACTGGTTCGAGGGATGATTCGAGGCCGTTAGGAGAACTATGGGCTGACAAGCGTCCCATAGCTGAACTAGGAGAGGAAGTACGTGGAACAATAACTCTCGAAGAAGAAATCCCTAACGAAGACCAGATACGAAACCCAGGTCATATGCAGATCGAAGAAGAAGAACAACAAGTGGAAACTCAAGAAAATCAAATCAACGACGAAGATAACAATAATGAATCTACAATGCAACAGGAAGAACGAAGGGAAAGGATGCTTAACCAAATGGAAGAAGAAGAAGAACAACCCCCCAACGACGATACCTCCCAATTATCACAAAGCGTCTCCGACTGGCAACTTCTCCGCACCTCCCTCCAAGCCTTCCAACCCCTCCAATCCGAACTTCTAAACCGTCAAAACCGCCTACCCCAACAAGAAGCAGAAGTCGAAGAACGAAGATTTCAAAGGGGAAATATGATGGCTCCTATGATATATAATAATAATAACAACGACGGCAACATAGAACGAGAAGTTCATTCGGACCGTGCAGAACCATCTTTAAGAGATACGATGGATATGAGCGCTCGACTAAGGACTCTTCAGAATCCCTTTGGGTATGATAGAACTCCGTTTGCGTCTACTTCATCTCAGAGGAGAGGGTTTCAGATACCGCCTTTGAGGAGAGAGGGTATGGAGGACTTGATAGAGCCGTCGTTTTCATCGACTAATCGTAGGCCGCGGAGACAAAGTATTGAAGATAATAGGATTATGGAAGAAGTTCCTGGGCCGCAGAACTCACCCAATAGTTGATTAAATTGACGGCTGAAAAGTGTATATATAGGTACTTAGTTTGATGGGATGATTTCGTAATTTCTTGTAATCGTACAGCGCTCAAAACGAACAATTTATAAAAAAGAAATGCATGTCGGAATATCATTATATAGGCTTCTACACAGCACAATCCGCTCCATTCCTACTTGTGATATAAACATCCAACCCCGTCTGTCCCACAAACCACGAATTATGGAGCTTAAGCCCCTCATCCGGCCGTACAAGTTCAAACTATCATAAAAAGAAAAAAGTCAGTAAAACAATACCACTAGTTAGATGAGAAGAAAGAAGCGAATAAAAACTTACATCATACCGCATAACCAACCACGGTACAATCTTATAAATCTCCAAAAGACTAATATTCTTCCCAATACAAGTCCTCTTCCCACTCCCAAACACCAAATACGACCTTTCCATATCCGCCTTTTGCTCTTCACTAGCTTCGATCCACCGTTCCGGTCTGAAAAACTCTGCATCCGCGCCGTAGACTCTTTTGTCGTGGTGGATGACCCATGGGTTACAACCGACGATTGTTCCTTCAGGAAGGAACTCACCGCAGAGGGTTACACCGCCTGCTGGGACGATACGTTCGAGAAGGATACCGACTGCTGGGTGGAGACGGAGGGATTCTTTGATTATGGCGCTGAGGTATGGGAGGGAATTTGTTTGGGAATATTTGGGGATCGTGGAGGGGGAGAGGCCGGCTGCTGATAGTTCTGTGCGTAGTGCGTGGAGTGCTGCGGGGAATTTCATGAGGTTGTCTGTATTATTATTATTATTTTCATCTGTTAGCATGCATATCTGGGGTTTAAGGAAGCAGAAGATGCTCCGAGAATGGTGACTTACGCATAATAGCGCGTAACGAGATTGCCTGTACATATCAGAATATTTAGCCTTCACCGTCTTCTTTGATAGAGTAATAAGATTTATACATACCGTCGTATCACTTCCCGCAAATACATTAGCAGCAGCCCATCCGATAACCTGCTCTCTCGGAATCTTCCCCTCATATTTATCCGCGGCATCCAAAAACTTCGACAAGAAATCCTTTCGCTGGCTATTATCCCCCTTTTCCTTTTCCTGAAGCCTCTGCTGCATACAATTCAATGCAAAGCTAGTAACCGGAGAAGTTGGATTTCCTTTCCACCATATCCTCAATGGGTTCTTCATCAGGAAGTGATCTAATAATAATAAAAAAACCCAGTTTAGTATAAGTATCTTAATCAAGTAAGTACTTAAGTAGTTAATAGAAAAAAGAGGAACTCACCAAGAAACGGCATCTGCCCAATAACAGCCAAATAATCCAACTGCGACTGCGTCCCCTCAATAACCCCATCCACATCCCTGCCTTGTTCCAAAAACCCTAACCGTCTACTAAATGTCATCTCCCCTACAACATCAAACGCAGTCCAATGTAACCATTCTCCCAAATCACATTCCTTGCCGGTTTTATCAACATACAATTCTTCCAGTCTTTGTTGAAAGACTTTTACTGTACTATCGACGTAGGGTTCGTAGTCTAGGAGAGTACTCATGGCGTATGCGTGTCCGATCGGACGTTTTAGGTTCTTGTGCAGTTCTTCGGAGGTTACGTCGAATACTCCTAATACTTCTTTTCCGTTGGCCATGGGGCGGGTTACGGGATAGAATTTTGACTATATATTTTTTCATTCATATATAACTTTATATTAGCCCCTGCCTAGGTCATAAACATAGAAAGAAATAAAGATTGAATACAAACCTTCTGAAATAACCTAGTAATCCCATATATCGTCTTAACCTCACTCGCAGCCCCGACGGATACGCAATTCGGCCCGATCCTGACCAAGTCTCCATATTTATTGTGAAGGTCTTGGTGGACGATATCTGGTCTCCAGCCTAGGTTTGCTTTCAACCTGTATGCGTTTGTGAAGGAGGCGACGAAGGGACCGGGTATTCTACGGAGATATGGTTTGTATCTTGTATATAACAGTTGTAGGAGTCCAAGCAGAGGTGCTACGGTGAGGAGGATTAGGATTAGAGCCATGGTTTGTTTGTTTGTTGTTTTGTTGGTTAAACCAGTTGAATAAGTAGGTGATCAAGAAATTTATCTCTCTTTCTCTCTTTCTCTCTGTCTCTTTTTTTTAAATATATACTTTATAATAATCCCTTCCGTCCAAAGCAAAGATATTTACACTTCAACAGAGAAGGGAATCGAAAAGATGCATTTTATTCCTACATTAGCTATCCCATGGAAATCCCCGGGGTAAATATAACCTCCAAAACAACTCCCTTGTAAAACCATCCCCAGATTCCTGGGAAAGTGCGGGGAGAGAATCGAAAAGGGTGGGTATTCCCCGCGTCCTAAAAAAAGGCTAGATCGAGAGTAGTTTAGTCCAACATCCTTTTAAAGTTAACTTTTGCTGTGAAATATACACCGTATGATTGGTAATTTATTAGAAAAAAAACAAAACAGCCAGCCAGCTTCGGTCCGATGCCCTTTTTCTTCTTTCTTCCTTCCTTTCTTTTCTTGGAATGCGGGGTGGGACGGGGTAAGGCCCACATTGTTATCGATTGTATTATCGTGGATAAGGTTGAATGTACTATTATTGTGTTGATTTACTGGTGGTAAAATCTACTCGTCATCGAGGCCATTCCACATTCCTCTAAAACGCCCCGCAGCTTAAATTAATTTCGGAGTTTAAATCCTCTTACTCGGGGGGTTTGGGTTTTCATTCGTAATATTACGTAAGATACTGTGTATGTATATGTCACTCATGCAACCCCTCTGGAGTTCGTTGGGTTGAGAAGCAGAAGCTATTTCAACTTTCATCGGAAGCTACAGAATTTAATGAGTACGATGTCTATTTGACATAAGATCTAGACCCCTAACTACAAATACATCAAAAGGGTCTGATAACAAGAGCCAGTAGTTGAAACCAACATAGCTAAGATGTACAAAGTTTGGTTACAAGACTGACTAAGATCGATGTTGTATTAAATACATGTTCTAAAACCAAAACAATAGCCCAGCTACAATACGGCCTGTTCCACTCCAATCCCTTCAGTATCAACCAACAGCACTCTCAACTTCTTCTTCTTCTTCTTCTTCTTCTTCTCGAATCACGGGCAAAAAACCATCCAAAAACCCGCCAAGAACCTCATTATGGTCCACTTCACTACCAGCAGAGCTACCGCTCCCAACAAGTGTTGAGTTGGAATCCGACAAATCCCCTTCGTCGGGGACAACAGCTCCATCATCTCCATCAGGAAGAAGAGAGGAGGAATATGAAGAAGGAGCAGCACCAAGCATATGATTCTCAAGTCCAATCCCTTCGATCAAAGTTCCCTGGCCGTTTACAGTGAACCTGATATGGTTTGGTAAACCAGCCCACTGACCGACGTTGACTGGCAGGTCGTCGTATTCAACGTCAAATTCCTTGGTAGCTTGGAGGAAATGTGTGACGTTACGATTGTAGAGTTGGAGGTCGATGAATTCGGCCTGGGAGATTGAGGACTCGATTAGGAAGTCGTTGCAGGGTGTGCATGGGGAAGTGGTGTCCCAGGTGGTGATGTAGCGGTTACATCTACATGTTTCTGGGCTTGCGATGAGGTCTGGCCTCGGCTCTGGGTGGGAACACTGGGTGGATTTATTTATATGTTAGTCTATATGCTAAGATACAGCTCAGTAGTAGCTTTGATCAGGTCAAACAACTTACTCGGCCAATGTGGATGTTCCAGCACATTTTGTGAGTCTTTTGGGCCTTTGATTTGGCCCCGAGTCAACTTCACGCGAAGCCGCGTTTCTATGGCTTGCAGCAACGTACATACATTAGCTGAGGCACGTAGTAGTAGATATGTGAATAATTTCTTACTTACATGTATCTGGTCGACCAGGGTGGATACGAGATGGTTAGTCTCGCAGACTCTGGTATCGCGATTGCAATGGACGACGGGAAGCTGCCTGGTGGGTTGCTTCGATCCTCGATATGAGAACCCTGTAGGTTATCACCAGCCGGGTTAGCGAGAACACATCACATTGTGTGTAACCAATTTAAGTCGAGTAAAAAAGATGGCCAGCGCAGTGAGCTATGACGAATAATAACCGAGAGAGAAATTTACCTGTAATGTGAATCACGTAAATGGTAATTATTAACACATGCGACAATGGAGTAGTGAGGGTGAGGATAAAAGGATTTGGGGAAAAGGTCTCGGGGAATAAAGTTGAAAGAAAAATCTGAAAAACGATCTTTCACGAGAGATGCTTTGAAGGAATTCAAAAATTTTAAGAAAGCGATAACCTACCTGTTCCAGATACATCTGTACAGGGCCTCGTGTATCCCCAGGCGCCACATGGATCCCGGGGTTGCAAGATGGGACGAAACCCAACGGCGTAGCTTTTCAGCTATATCGCCGTGGGTTAATGATGTAAACATCATTGTTGTCCCTCCCGTACGTGGGGTATATAATACCCCCGTACAATCTTCTCTCTTCGGAGAAGTATTCCTCCTGAAACAAATTTCGGATTACCACGTACGAAGTGTACGATGGTATTGTGTGGCGTCCCTATGTAATATCAACAATCAAAACGTCAGTTTCACACCCTCCCTATATCGAAGAAAGGAACCCTCGAACTAATTCTGGCGAGGAGTACTAACCAGGGCATACACGGCCCATTGCACCATAAGACTAGGGCACAGGCACCCCGGATTCTGAAATCCGAGGGTGCCGTACAGACCCGGAGGTCAATATAGTTTCAAAGTCTCAGACCCAGGAGGTCTGTCAACCCTGAAACGGGGCCGATAGCCCCTATCATGTTATCGACGCCGCCACCACCGCCAGTGCCAACAGATTAATCGGTGTAGTCCCGTACCACCCGAAGCACGTTTCGACAGGATCTTGCTCTCGCATATACTGTCTGAAGATCTGCCTGTGCCTAAGACTAAGGAATTAGCTTCATTCTAACGTATATGAGCTTTCGAGGCAAATTACTGTTTATACGTCAAGGGCACCGAACCGGAGTTCGGGCCCATTTTTTCATCGACGAAGAGACTTCCTGATTGAAGGTAGATCTTTGGTCCTGTATAAAAAAAAACATTAGGAGGATAGCTACCGAAGCCCTAAAAACATCATCGATATCGTTAGCCTCCGAAAACTCAACCATAAACCAGACTTTGGTAGTATAGCCAACCCCAAAATGTGCTGGACAATCTACTACTGCCAGGTAAGTACCGTTTCTTTACAAACAAGCCCATAGTGACTTACCAAAACTCCCAACCATTCAAGTGTACCCACCCCTACCCCCGACCCTCCGTCTCCGACGCCTGCTATTGTGACTTATACAGAGTCAGCAGTCTCAGAAAAGTCTGCATACCTTGCGAAGGACTGGACCAAACGGGTGATGAAGAAGAAGATAGAGAACGCTGGAAGAGACAGGTTAGACGGAATGAAGTTATAGCGAGGTGGCTTTCCCGCGGAGGGAGTGGGGATAGATGGTTTGATGAGACTCTTCTTGATGATTCGGAGTAGATTGTGTGTGTGATGGTAGATGGTAGAGGTTGGTGGGGGGCGAGTGCGTGGTGATGGGTTTTGATGTGTGATGGATGGATTGGAGTCAATCAAACATGTTTATTTGTTTATGGCTCGGTGTATTTTACTCGATCTCAACAGAACTGCTCACCATATCAACAATGAGTCGCAGAAACCGATTTTGGTACAGTAAAGTCACAATCACTTCATATATAATCAAGCAATCGACCGCCCGATGAGGATACAAATAGGGGCTACTAACTTCCTTCCGATTATTGAAATATATCACAGGCACAACAGCAACGTCGAAACTACAAGGGCCTATAAACCCTACCGGCCAAAACAGCCGGGATCCCTCGTCATGATTTCGAGAACTGAGTTCAGACGAAGGAAGAGAAGTAAGATCGACCAGGTCTCAAATTCAATATTCAATACTTTACCGAATACGGACCGAACAGAGACATCGACATCTACTTCCACCTATTATATAGCACAGATCGTACCTGAATCAACTGTTCCAGAATCGACCGAACCTATGGGAAGCCCATGTGGGCCCTAGTATACTCGTCTTACCCAGAATTCACGAGCTAGAAACGGATAAACGAGACTATATTTAAGACAAGTGGAATACGTCTACTCTTTTATAGACACTACTATACCGCATGATCAATTATTTGAATATTCTCAAACTCTTTAAAATATTATAATAGATACCTTCTGACTACAAATTTCAATTCACCAGTACTTTTTAAGGACTTATATCTAGATCTATATTATGTAACACTGCATCCGAGAATTCACATGTGAACGCCTTGACGTTTTTTTGTTGAGAAATTGTTGGAAAATTAAAAAAAAACATTGGGCCGGAAGATGCCGTCGTCTCGAAGTCCAACCGGTAACTCATATGCGTAGGATTATATTAAGTACCTGCGTATTTAAACTGCGAAAATACCCCGGCAGGAGCAAAAGCGGATATCATTATCGTCAGAATCTTCTATCCTTCTATTTTCTAATTATTCGTTCAATTGTACGTATATCACCGTTCCAACTATATATAATAGACGAATTGCAACCAGCACAAAGGACCGGCGAAAACACCTTTTACAAACATCATAATCTCAAGAAAAAAATACCCAAAAATTCATTATGGAAATACCCCTCTACTCCTTTAAAACCAAAATACCGTTGTTAAAGCGGATAAAAAAGTCGTATCATTCGAATCCCGTGGATATTTCCAAAATCCGTCGCAGGCGTAACAAATGGCACAGTCGACGACATCTACAACACCTGCAACTACTACTACTGTTGATACAACCATATCAATACCAATACCAATATCTATATCAATACCAAACATCACCAACCTTCCTCCCTTTACCATCGACCAAACAACATTACCACCACAATCAACCAATCAACCAACCAATCCTTCCAATCCAATACTTTCGGTGTCCACTCCAAGAAATAATCCCATAGACACTCAAGATGGACGGTAATTATAATTTCACTCTCTCCAATCATAATGATCACCACCATCATCAAAAAGTCCCCCATGGTCTAATTATCACCCTCACAGACCAACCCCCCACCACTCCCCCCAAAAAATCAATAAAATCCTACATCACAACCCTCTCCCGCAAAGTCTCCCAAAAGACAGTCACAGGAGCCCAACACCTCGGAACCCTCGCCCGTTCCGCAACCACCGCCTCCCGTCGTTCAAAAACCTCCAAAAGCAGTGGTAGAAAATACAGTACTACTACTACTACAACCATGAAATCCGTTACTTCGGTGTTCATTCCATCATCAGACGTAAATGGAATGAATAATAATAATAATAGTGGTAATATTGGTGGAGGACGACCGGCCCCACGTCTTCCAAATGTTGTCTATCGCAGCCCGGACGCCGATTTCATCGAGAGTCAGATGGAGGCTAGGATTCGCAGTATTGGGGCTAATAATAATAATGGTGGTGGTGGTGGGGATAATAAGGAGGAGGAAGGTGGTGATGGTGATGGTAAGGAGAATGAGAAGGAAGAAAAGAAGAAGGATAGGATGGGGGGGTATACGATTCGAATCATTAACCCTAATTGCAATAATGAAGCTTAATTAAGGGTGTTTATCTTTCTTTCTGGTTTTTTTGATGAAGATGATAGATGGAAGGGAGGGGATAGAGGTGTTTTGGGGTTTGTCGAATGAATTATGGGCAATGAACGATGGAATTATCATGATAGATATCCCTTTTTTAAAAATTTGTATTTATTTTGTGGGAAAGACTGGCGTACGATAGTGTCTTCTTCTCCTTTTTCTTCTTTTTGTTTTTGTAGACGTTGAGATTTGTTAATATGCTAGATGAAGCTTCTCTCCGGTGGGTTATAAGTTACGGGTTTAAGATCCCCATACCAAGCCAACAGCTTCAAAGAATCCCTGTACCTAACATACCAAATAACGAAGATAAGAGCTTAACCAAAAAAAACTACTAAAAAAGAATAATATCCCTAATCTCCTCTCCCTCGAAAACAACCTCCAAGATCATCTCCCATCATCTCCATACCTCCAAGAAGACCCACCACCCGAACTCCCAGTCACCGGTCTCCTATCCTCCTCCTCCCAAGAAGAAGAACCCCCACTAGTAGTAGCCCTTTCCTTCTCCTTCATCATGTTCAAAACCAATACTTCGAATTTCACATTCTCCTCGATGTTTGTGTAATAATTTCTTTTCTTCTCGTCTTTTTTTTTCCGACAATAATATATAATATTAGCTTCATTCTATGTAATTTTTAGGGTGATGGGGAGAGAGGAAGGGTGGGTATGTACATACCACGAGCGTGTTCCGCCGCGACTTCTGGAGGAATAGTGGAGGTTGTGTTCTTCCTTTTTCTGAAGCTGAAGAGACGGGTTATTCCCATGATTGTAATTGAATGGTGGATTGGAGGGGTTGATGGGTATTGGTTTTGATGTTGAAGATGATGGATGGATGGGTGGTGGTTATAGCCTCCGGAGATATGTTATAATCCCGCCCCCGAAAATAAGAAAAAAAATATCTTCAGAATTAAAGCATCTAAAAGTTGATACCAATGATCTATCAGATATCAACAATCTAGAGCGGTCTCTTCGTCTGTATCAAATCCAACCGAAATATAACTCCACCGACAAGATATATATCAAAAACGAAATCCAAAAAAAAAGTGAAGTGAAAGAAAAAAGTGAATTCACCGAAGAAGAAGAAGTACCAGACTAAAAAAGTCTCAAAAAGAAACCTCTCCCCCGAACCACCCAATCCATCCTAACCATTGACGTCGGGGTCTTACAAGGGTCTCCAGCTATCGTAGCCTCATGCGGCTTTTTGGCTTAGCTCGTTCGTCCATTTTGGGATATGAGGACTATTCCAAATCCGTCGATGTTGCCTGTCTTGAAATGGTATATTTAGCGAGATGTGTTGGTGCTGATTTGTTGTATTTTTTGTGTTGGTTTTTATTAGAGTCGTCAGTTTTGGTCCCTTTGCAGTTTGGTTACGAGCTAGGGATTATTATTAGGAGGAGAGCTGAGGTATAGACTGATAACGGGACCACTCGGCTATAAACCTGAGGACTTCAAGGCTTTTGATATATCTTAAATAGCATGGGATATTTTATTTCGTATCTTTCTATTATATTTGTAAAAAACAATAACTTCCTCTATGGTTAAGTATATACCGTTAAATAGAATAAAACTACCTCGGTAACCACATCTTCTTCTTCTTCCCATCCTCCTTAACAACAACCCCCACAAACCCCGTACCCATCACATCCACCGGTTTCTCCACAAACATCATCTTCCCAGTCCACATCTTCAAAAACAATTCCTTATCATACCCCCTCTCAACCCCCTTTTTATCAACCTCCTCCCCCTTCCACAACCTATCCAACCCAGTCCACCCCATCACAGTCACCATATCACTCTTTTCATCCCAAAGTAGATTATCATAATACACCATCGTGTGTTTAAACCCTTTATCCTTTAACATTCCAAAAAAAAGTTTTAAATGCCTTTCTATGTTTAGGAGTGAGGATTTAGAGTGGGGGTTTCGAAGGGATAGTAGTTTTCCTGGACGTTTTTCGAGGATTATTGCGTATCCGGGGGGGATTGGGTGGGTTATTTCGCCGTAGTTGTGGAGGGAAGGGAGGAAGGGGGCACCGGTGGGGAAGAGGTAGTAGGTGTAGAGTGTTTTTTTGAATCTATTTTTATTATTATTTATATTATATTAACTGGTTATATATCCAGGTTACGACGGAGGGGGAATTAGGGGAAAATATACGCTTCAAAGGCTTTAAGATATGTCTTAGCCCAGTATTTAATCACGGCGACATCTCCGTCTGGAAGAATACATTCCCAAACTGCTCTTCCTTCTACTGGTACCATTTTGAGGATTTTGGTGATGGTGATGCGTATGGGAGATTTATTTTTTCCTATTTGGAAGAATGTGAGAGTGAAGTCTTGGAATTGTAGTGGTATTTGTTGGGGGGGTTCGTTTGTGTGTTTATTGTGTTTTTTATTTAGTATTGAATGGTGAGGACGGATTATGGGGTCTGGAGGGGGGATGCGTAGGGCGATTTTGGGGATTGGAGGTCGTGGGATTGGGGGATTGGGATGTTTTGGTGGTTGTCGTGGGTGGCTGTTTTGTAAACGTTCTTGGGTGGGGGTAGGGGTATTCGGCATTGTGGGGTTCGAAAATTTCTAAGGTTTTTTGATTTTATAATTAGCTTATGAGTATGGGGCCTTTTGGATATTAAATACTTGTAGGATTTAGATTAAGTTATGCAGATATCTAGATATCAGTTCGAGATAGAAATTAGAATATTAGATGGTGGGAGATGTATATGTGGACAGTGGTCGAAGTTATATAAGATAGATGAGGAGGAAAGCGAAATATAGTGGTAGATTGGAGATATAAAACTAGCGATATTTAGATATTTAATCGTCCCCGGGGATGAAATGTTCAAAATCGTAAGCAGCCGTCAAGATTATCAAATGTTCAATTCTGGTAGGGAGGCTATGATTAAACATAATCCTCGTTAGACTCCAAGCATAGCTAAAAAAGACCTACCATTTCATGAATTAATCCGGCAAATAGTAAGCATCAATTTGCACCCATTCAAACTTACCATATAGTAGATATTTTTACCCCACCGGGGATTGTATAAGTAAATTTACCATCCTACCAAATAACTTACTCCACAGTTTAGATCCGAATTTGGCTATTTGTCAGCCAGTTCTTTTATATTGTCCTAAAATTGGAGCTTGGGAGGACGGTTTAGTTTTAGTAGTCAGCTATTGCTCAAGTTTACCGTCGTAGAGTTCGTCCTAACAGTTCACATGGCTAAAGATCACCGGCCTTGGCGAGCATGCGAATGGAAACTGTCTCACAGAACGATTGGACAACGTAAAAAAACAAAAAAGGTAATTGATCTTCAGGTTACACCAGCTTTTTCATTCGCGTCATATTAAGGTACATGTTGGGGAGGGGGGACAGGATAATGATGGGTGGGGAAGGGGGAAGGGGAAGGGGAAGGGGAAGGGGAAGGGAAGGCAAGGGGTTGGTGGTGCTGGTACTGGTCCTATCATCAAAGCTAGGTGGTTTTCACCACCTAGCGGCCACTCTTCTCGAATCGGAGGAAGTCTTTCTAAGACCCCCTCTTCTCGACATCTTTGCCCTTGCGGGCCGAACGTGGTGTCTTGTCGGATTTCTCCGACTTCGGGTCCGGTCGTGGTTGTGGTGGTGGTGGTGTAGATGGGCCGGAGCCCTCGTCTTCGCTGTCACAATGACAGCATTTCCTGTCCAGACCATTTCTGGTCTTCGTGGACACCCGCCCCCTGCACCCCGAGCAAACGGTGGCGTCGAGAGCTAACTGGTAGCTCAACGACAATGCCATCCAGAACTTCGTGTTCGCGTCGGTGGCCTCCTCGTCTCTCTTCTTCGCGTGCTCGGCGGCAAGCATGTCCTTTGGGACATTGTTCTGCAACGCCAGCTCGTCGGTGCACTTTCGGAGACTGGAAAAGTACTCCGAGGACTCCGCATACCGGAAGAGTCCACGGACGACCTCGAAGTCGTCGAAGTCGATTCCAGCCCCGTACTTGCGCTTGCCCTTAAGCATCTTGCTGACGCTTCGGGCGATGTGGAGCTTCAGTCCACGGATCTTGAGAAAGGTGGCAGCTCGGTAGAGGGCCAGAATGAGTGGTTGGTGACGTTCGATGGCAAGAACATCGCCGTAGATCCATTCGAGGACCAGGTCGAAGATTGGGGGCAGGAGGTCTCGGATACGGATCCAAAGCTCCCCCCGGCTTGGATCGTTGAGGTTCTGAACGGCACCTTGGAAGTACTCGGACTTAGTGCAAAGAATGTTCTTGTGAAGCTTGTAAATTCGCTTCTCTCTGCCGCTACCGATGACAACTGTCATATCGGAGAACTTTCCGGATATGAGGAGACTATAGTGAATGTTAGAATAGATTTTACAGAAGCTGGAGGGGTGGTTGGATACTTACTTTAGAAAAGAATCTCCAGACACGACCGGCTGCTGCGTGATAGGTGGAGGTCGTGATGGGTTGCTCGTTTCACCCTTGTACTCCTTGGCTGGCCTCTTTTCATTCTTTCGTGAATGTTCGGGCTCCGAATGGTCTTTGACCATCTTCGATGTTTTTGGTGGAGACATGGTTTGAGAATAAGGCTTAATAAATTCAAATTTTGGTTGACGTGAAGAATCACCTTGGGTCTGAGGAGAAGCTTTTGCAGGCTTTGGGTTACCTGATGGGTCTTCTTGAGGGTTAAACTTCTGAGAGGAAGCTTTAGAGGAAGGAAGTTTTCGTGACGCGTCTTTCAAGGGGGGAGGTTTTGGGATAGTTTCTTCTCTCTGTGGAGGTTGATGAATTGAGTCAGCTCGAGATCGAGGCTTCGGTGAGATATCTCTGGCACGTTGCTCTTTCTGTGAATTGTCTTCTTGGGATTTAAGTTTCCCGTAAGAGAAGATCGGTAATGAAGGTTTACTTGCAGGACGTGGACAGCTGTGGGAGTGATGTGATGAGGTGGAGGAGAGGTTAAGTTGCTGAGGAGAAAGTTTTCTAGATGAAGGTTTTTGTGGGAGTTGTTGTGAAGAGTCGTTGCTGTGTAGATGCTCTTCTAAGGAAGCTTTGTATGCTTGGAGGCTATACGAACCACTTCTTCGAGGAACAGGCAGAGCAGGAGTCTTTCTCCAATCGTAAGGCTCAGATTGAGGATCTTCAGCAGGTTTAGGCGTTAAAGGAGGATCGTTAGAAGGTTTAGGTGTGAAAGGAGTATTTTCAAGAGATTGGTCTTCCTGTGATTGCTGTCGATGGTTGTTGTTCTATGATTTAACTCCAGCAGAGAAGATATCTTCAGACTTCTTAGAGTTGTCCAACGACCCTTCATCTTTCTTCGCTCTTTTCCCACCAGAATTCTCTTTCTTGTCAACCTTCATAGGAGAACCAAACCACGAGTCTCCACCATTTACCACGGCATCTATCGATTTCGTTTCTTCAATGTGAGATTTATCTTCCCAATTGCTGTTCCGAGAAACATCACCCCAATTGTCCTGCTGCTGACCATCATAAACTTCTCCAGATCCACCTGCTGTTTCACCCCACCCCGGAGCTTGATCATCATCGTTTTGGTCGCCCCATCCTCCCCGCTGCTCAGCCGCGTTTTCTTCGTAACTATCTGGCAGCTCTTCGATTCTTCTATTAGGTATATCCCCTCGAGGGATAATTGACTCTTCGGAATCGGACCAAGTCATTTCGTTCGCGTTTGGAGTAATAGCTCAAGATCTGGTTGGAAGAATTGGTAGTTTCGTACGAGAAGTGGTGTAGGAAACATGAGTTAAGGCTGTCGTCAAAAGAAACTAAGGAAGAGAGGAAGAACTTGAGGTAGGTGTGAGGATAAGGGGGGAAGAAAAAAATGACATTGAATGCCCGGCAAGATATTCTGATGAAAGCGTCCGCCTAGGGAAACTTATAGACGTCCTTTAATAGAAGATATCGCGGGAATATAATTCGTACTCGTCGTTTGACGATATATTGGTTGCGTGAGGGTAGTTGCCGTGACGAACAATACCATTCAAACGGCACCAGATACCTTCAGAATGCCGGTCACTACGAGATCACAAAAACGCAAGGTACGTCATTTAATGCCAATGCATTAATGCCTAATGACAACTTTGGTTCACGAGTCAAAGCTAATGTCATACACAGGGGGACGGAATCATCAGTGACACTCCTAAGAAGCTGTACCAAGGCAGTATTTTGGAGCCCCTGGAATTGGGCAAATCGGGATCTGAAGATATCATTATCCTCGTCGGGCCTCGACAAAGCCACTTCAAAGTCAACAAAGCGGTCCTATTCAATACCTCAAACTTTTTCAAGGCAGCATTGAAGCCAAATACCTTCAAAGAAGGGAACGACAGTGTCATTCGGCTCCCAGACATTGAGCCCACTGTATTCAACAATATCATAAAGTGGATATCCAAAAAGACGACCTACGAAATATTAGCTTTGACGGAATATCCCAAGATCGTCTCAATTTTCAAGACAGCAGACTATCTTCTCATTGATGGCTTCAAACTAGAGATTATCATGGATATCGCGTACCGCGTGGCAACTTACCTGCAAGATACATATCTAGAGAAAGCAATGACGAGTTATAAAAGCAAAATGGGTCCACAGGCTATCATCCATAAGTCAATTGATCCAAAAACCGCCATCGAAGTAATGTCATCTATATATCAATATTCGAATTGTGATGACATGAAACACTTCCAACGATGCCTCCTGGTAATCGCTGTCGCTACGGAGGAAGTAAAAGCTCTCCAAGATGACGAACGATGGGAACACGGGTTTATAGCTATGTGGAATACAGCCAAGGAAAGTATCGAAAACTCACAAAAATGCCGACGTTGTAACACATTCTGGGAAAAGGTTGATGGGTGTGCGCGGCGAATGTTACCTTGGAGCAACCAGGAATGTACTTGCTGGCGCCGGTTTTTTAATCAGGGGTATGCATAACTCTATTTCCACGTATGATATTAGTGTCGTCGCTGAGATATCATTGCCATATACAACAGGCTTAGGTATAATGACTGTCCAGAGGTCGGAGGGATGGATGCCGTCAAGTAGTATTTCGTTAAACATGCGGACTCTTGCGCTCAACTGGATGTTGTGCGCGCAATATTTCTTCAAGAGACTCATCTTTAATGCATCATGCTCTATACCACAGTTGAGGAGTCTGGCGACGAGACAAGCTCTATACCTTCTGATATAAAGATCTCATCCGATCCAGGGCAGCGATACTCTTTCATACTCTTTTTTATCTATTTATTTTCGCAATACGGATTTATATTCCTCCAGTGATTCAGTCTAGTTAAAGCAAAGAAAAAATATAAGTATGATTGGCAATAATATCATTTCCTATGCCTAAAGAAAACAATCTTCAAGATACTATGTAATGAACCTCCGGTTATGGGGTATTGAGAATGAATGGCATTAACGGTAAGTCAATGCAGTAAGGTAGTATGACATCAATGGATTAATGACGGACTGATTGAAGAATACTGTCAATGGAAGCATGTAGAAGCTGGTTAGGGCTATCCATCACATGATGACCCTCCAACGCATATATAACCCTCAATCCGTTTACCTACAGCCACTATCACCGTCTATTACTATACACCAATCACAAGTCACCTACTACAATCAGTTCTTAGCTTCACCAACGCTGTCAATCTCTTATCACGCTCTCCTTTTCATTCCGTTTCTTATATAATATATACTACTAAAAAAAGAAGTGAACCAAGACGAACAAACGTTCAACATGTCTCACGACGCTCGTATCAACTCACCGCCACCTTCTCCATCCAAGGAAGAAGAATTTCGTGCTTCTAAGCGTCAAAAGCCTGAGACTTCCTTCTCTAAACAAGGGTGTCAGAACGCAGTTGTCCCGTATGTACTCACTTACTTGCTAACTCTCTAACACAGTACTTGATAATGATGAATGTTGAATGGGTACTAGAAGCTTGAAGGACATCGCCAACGCCCCAGACCTAACCATCCTCGTCGGGCCCTGTGCTCAACCATTCGACGTCCACCAATCCGTCATCCTCCCAAAATCTCCAATGCTCGCCTCCTTCTCTCGAACCATCGCAACCCCACCTTTTCCAAAAATCAAAGAAATCACTCTTCCCGAGCTTTCACCTTACTCGTTCAAAATCATCCTTTCATACCTCTACAACGGAAAGTCTTCGCTCAAAAAACTAAAGACAGACGAAGATATCTTGCAAGCATATGAAGCTGCAGATTATTTGATCATGAAGGAGATGAAGAGTGAGATTTTGGAGTATGTTGCTGAAGTTGTTGAGGAGGATGGGAAGCTTGGTGATAAGGGGGAGAAGTTGCTTCCTTTTGAGATGAATTTGCTTAGGGAGCTTTGTGTCTTTTCGCAGAAGACTGAGGCTCAGGGGTTGGCTAAGATATTGGAGGCTTATATTAAGGGAAATCCTGAGTTGAAGGTCATCCAGTACGAGGACTCTGATGATGGAGAAGGAGGTTATGAAGAGAACGAAGAAGAAGAGGATGAGGAGGAGACTCTTGGGTTGGAGTTGTACCTTCAGGTTTGGGAAGAAGTCCTGAATATGAAGCTGACCGAAGATGAAGACGAGGAGCAGAATGGTAGTGATACCTTGATTGGGGAAATGGCGATGTGGGGATGTGAAGAGGAAGACGAGGGTGTTTGGAAGGAGGAAGAGGATACTCTTTTTTGAAATCTTCGTATTTTCTAGTCCTTCTTCTATCCTCTTCTCTTCACCTATATACCTATATTGTTTATTAGAGGTATGGTAGCTGTTATTAACGTTTCTTATCAGGTATGGAGCTGGTACCCCTATGCGGGCCTATATACGACGAGAAGATACTGTATTTAGTACTTCCCCATAGAGAAAAAAATGATCTGAAGCATGATAAATAGTACAAATGGTACACTTTCCCTCAAATACTCGACTTTGAAGTTTACTGGTAAAGAACCTCTAAAATAACTAACATCAAGGAGAGGTAGAAATATGGTGTCACTTTGGTGGTTCTTTGTTAGCATAGTCCCACACGGTCGTCGAATTCTATGACTTCTACTCTGGTACTAAGTGTTGATGGTTCTAGTTCAACCATCAACATCACCTACCTTCGTCTTCAAGCAGCTAAAGCATCAACAATCCATCGTCGATACCAAAGCAACCCTTACCGTATATATACCTTCATCAGTTATACATGAAAATGTCATCAATTACCACTTAAGGTTCTCATAACCCTCGTTTACCATATCACATTCAAAAGGTGTAGGCGATAACTTCATCCGACTATAGCTCTATAGCAAACTTTACGCTTAAACCTTACCTCACCTACAATAGATAGATCATCATCATCGTCAGTCTCTTCTCAACGCTACCTATATATAAAACGAACGCCAATCGAAATTACCGTCGCTGAATAAACCAAAAATGTCGTCTTCATCCACCATCCCAAGCGAGGGAGACTATCTCCCTCCTCTCCCACGAACGATAGGTCTGGGATCTTTGCAATCCAGATTGAATAGAGCAAAATCTTTGTCTCAACCACAGAATAATTCAACAGAATTGCCAGTCGAGAATAAAAGGGCTTCTGTCTACATCCCGGCCCATAAGAGGAGTGGTCGTCGTCACGGTATTCTGTTGCAGCATCCATCGAGTTTTGACAATTTGCGAATTTCTTCTCCGGAGGCATCTACACAAGTCCCATCGGATTCTAAGGATGCTTCTACTCAGACTCCAATTGAAAAACCTATATTGATGAAGTAAGTCCAAAAAATATGTCGGCTCCTTTCAGCATTATGTCAAACAAAATCTTACATTTATAATAGAGTCCTCGAAGACCCCCAGTTCTCAGACATAACAGTCTACATCGGCCCATCCAAAGAAACCTTCCATTTGCACCGTGAAATCCTCTCCTTCACCTCCAATTTCTTCAAAGACTTCTGCACTGCCTTACGTTCCTCCAAAACAATGATCGTAGCCCAAATTTACCTTCCTCACCTCGATCCCACAATGTTCAGGACCATCATAAACTGGCAATACTCCGGAAATCTAACCCTCGACCTAACTTCAACCCCCTGTCCTCTAACCCCGCTCTACCGTACGATCGAGTTCCTGAAACTCCCAGCTTTACGTATCAAATTCTTTGATACCCTCATAACCTTCTGTCGTACCAACTTCTGTAATCTCACGGGTGGTGGTCGAGCCATCTTTATAGGCAAGTTTAATGAACTTTGTGGGGTTGTCAAACCTTCGGACTTGGGGAAATTGATTGAGTGTATGGAGGTTATCGTGGAGCATTTTGTGGTCTTGCCGGATGCGTTTTTGGAGGCATTGGAAGGTGGAGCTGTTAGTAATGTCTTTGTGGCCGCTTTTATCGGAGCTAGAAGGAATTTGGGACATTGGAGGAGTTGTGGGAAGTGTTTTGATATCGAGAGGGAAGAGAAGGGGGTTAGGGGGTATAAGTGAGCGAGATGATGGCTTCTACTAAGTAGAGAAGCTTTTGAATTGACAGTACCGACCTGGGAATGTTCTATCTTGTTTACGCACTGATATATATAACTACTTAGCTAGTATGTACTCAAAACGCCCGTACAGACACAGGAGCATGACTATGAGCGATGCTGCAAAATGGTACAGCGGAAGAAGGGGCATTTTACAACCTCTTGATGGTTGTCTCGAAGTTTGTTCATAAAGTTACTTGTTTCATACCGGAATCCACCCAAAAGGATTCTAGGAAGGGTTTATAACATGCAATCGCAAATTTATCTGAATTTGAACTAGACGCCCTTAAGCCCTTCGAAATTCTATATGGGATTCTGATGCCTCGTCGAAGCTTCCTTCTACATAAAAAATCAAACAATACAGCAACAACGCATACAACACTACACGCCACCTCTCATTCAGCCCCTCTCCGACTCTGCCTCAAAAGCGCCTGGATTCGAGGCGAGACTTTGTGCTTTATTGTAGTTCGAAGGCCAAACTTATAGCTGAGCTGAGGGCTAAACGATCACCATTCCACCGATCTATATCTCCCCGCAGTGTCTCGTAAACTTACTGAAGCACGCACGCAGCAGCTCCTTCCAATCTGCCAAAGTTGAATCTTCAAACAAAAATGGCGTCCCTGCCGGTCAACAATACTACAGGAAACGAAACCGGAGGTTCGCTGAAGGGTAAGCAGGCTTTGAAATTGTGAGTCAACAGAATTTAAGTTACGATTTCCCCCACGCTCGGAAAAGACGTCTAACCGTTGAAACCACCAATATATTATATTGTCACAAAGTATGCTCAACAATCCCGAGTACTCCGACATGACAGTATTTGCGGGTGTTAGCCAGACGTCATTCAATCTCCATCGTGCGGTGATGTGTATCGGGTCCGGATTTCTCAAAGCTTGTTGCGATTCTAGTAGCTTTCAAGAAGGAACTACCAAAGCCGTTTATCTAGCAGAGATCGAATCGGAAGTGTTCCAAAAAATCGTTTTGTGGCTATACGAAGAAGAGTACGAATATACTTGGACGAACGGGAACGAAGATCTCAAACTAATCCAAGCCGCCGACCTCCTCAAAATCGAAGGCTTCCGTGCCGATATTCTCTACAAATTTTCTTTGAAGTTGAGATACCAAGTAGGCACGTTAGGGGTCCAATCGAAAGCTGCAGAGGAGCTTTTGCGAAACTTTGTCAAGATTTGCCATTTTTGCGAGGAAACCAATATTAAGGCTTTGATATACATTATGAGGAAGTTGCTTCCGTATGTTAAGGTGACGCCGAAGATGGTTTTGGCTGGGTTGACGGATGGCAGTTTTGGGAAGATTTTTATGGCGGCTTTGGTGGGTGCTCAGAGCGAGGTTGGGTGCTCTGAGTGTGGAGGGAAGATAATTGGAAGTGGAGGGAAGAGAAAACGAATTTAGAATTGGTTGACCTCATGCAAGGTGGTGGATGTTAATATATTCTTCTCAGGGGGGCGCCTTAAGAGTACAAGCGGATTCTTTTCTGATGCCATACTAGTGATGATTCTGGTGATAACCAGGTGCCCGTATTCAGATTAAGTCAAAATTCAGGGAAGACTTACGATAATTCCATTTAACCGCAAAATAGTCTCGTTCCCACTGAAAAATAATTATCAAAAAGGCTAGAGGGGGCCAGATTTATCTCATAAACTACTTACCTAGCACGGGGTGGACAAAATAAAGCTTCATTCAACACAACAACACATACCAAAATTTAGGTACTGGGGTCTTTACCGTCAGCAGACTCTCGCCTACTACGACCGCAAGTCAAGGTATTAAATATCAAATTTAATACGTATTAATTGCTCTGATGGTTTACGAGATAATATCCTGATGGTTTCAGACTGTTAATAACGTGTCTTTTGATGATATCGTTGATGCCGCTGTACCCCCGTAACTGTTCCCAGTACTGTCTGTGTTGTATTTTTTTTAAAAGAATTGAAACTTCTTTTTGTCACCCCCGTACCTAGGTAGTGACGTAATCACTACTAGTACTCATAGCTAGTGAAGCTTCACTTCATCCGGACTAGTACTATCTATCCCATCTACCAAAACATCGCTGGCAACAAACAAAACCTCCCAGTCGGCGACCCACCTACCAGAATTTTCGAAAATACTGTAAACCCAAAGGTTCTCTAAGTTGGTCATAACTACTTCAGACAGCTTCGATAACAATAAAAAGCAGTCTCTTCGAGAAAACAAAAGCTATCCCACCAGCTGCATCGAAAATGTCCGCGTCAGCAATAGAAGACGACTTTGGGGTCGCATTACTAGTTGCTCCTCCAAAGGCCCTTAAATACAGCAGCGAAACCTCTCCAACCCAACAAAATAAAACCGGTAAAGCCTCCGATAAGAAATCTCAGGAAGCAATATCAGCTAAGTCTGTCCTTGGCCAGTGAGTTATATTCCTTGATCTCATTATCATTTAGGCATTCACAGTTGATGGCAGGGAATACGTAGCATGCTCAAAGACCCGGACTTCACAGATGTAATAGTATATGTCGGGGGCGATAAGGAACCTTTCCATCTCCACCGTGATATCATCTGCCAGACTTCTGGGTTCTTCAAAGCTGCCTGCAAACCTGGTAGTTTTAAAGAGAGTATTGAGAAAGAGATCAAACTGCCATCCGTTCATCCAATTACCTTTCGAAAGGTGATTTCGTGGCAATATCAGCAGGGGTATGAAACACATTGGACCAATGGCTTTAACGACTACATCATCTTCAAAGCAGCAGATTTTTTACAGATCCAAGGCCTTCGCGAAGAGGTTCTAGAAAGCTTATGGGTGTTCTCTGTATGGGAAAAGCTTTGCGATTTGTCGGAGGAGGAAATTCAGCAAGTTGTGGATAATTTTGCCAAGATCTGTGAGCTTTGTGGCAATTCTGATCTTCCAAATTTGATCCCTATCGCGCCGCATATTGGGGCACATTGGAATTTCAAGGCGGGTGGAATCTTAGGCTCATTGAACTCCGGAGTTTATGGGAATACCTTCGTGGCAGTGATGCTAGAGGCTCTAGCTCTTCAGCGTAATCCTTGTGGATGTAGCGACAACGATTCCTCGTAACATGAGCCTAAGCGTAAGTCTAGGCGTTTATGTTAATCCGTACACGATACCTTATCACCAAAATCCTTGTGCTGAGGTCACACCAGCCGACTAGCACCTCTCAAAGCATTCCGATTTTCCTTTTTCAAAAAAGGAGAGTCTTGAAGTCTAGTATGAAGTCTCGTATCGATTTTGTTACTATGGAGTCAAGCCTAGTACAAGATATTCAGGTATTCTAATTTACCTAACCTAGAAAACTTATTTCCAGAAGCCTCCAGTCAATTTGGAGATTCAATTTCCCAATCATCTCTCGCTACTTACCCGAAGCCGCTCCCGCCCGTTCTCCAAATATTTCCCTTTATAGTAGATGATTCAGAGCCATTAACTTGACTTACTATTGCGTTTTGGTTTGGGATGCTAAGAATCTGGAAGCACGGTCAATCGAGATCTCATAGTCGTAAATGAATACATCACGAGTAGCCGCAGCGTCCATTTATACCCTCATGAGTCTAATGTGCCCTCCAAAAGCTTCACACCCCGTCCCTTCTCCCTTTCTATCCCCTGGAAACCATCGCCCACAATAAACAAAACCCGAAGATTAATACGCATCAATCGACTCTCACAAGAGAAAAAATATGTTCTCGCACTGGACTAACAGTGCCGGCTTCCCAAAAAGCAAACAAATTCGAAGAAAGCCACCATCTCCAAAACCATCTCCTCCAGAATTACAACCTCCTACAAAAGACGAATCCGCCAAAATGTCTGACCTCAGTTCTGGGACTGAAGAGGGATCTGCAATGGATGGATCAGTCTTGACATAGTAAGTCCTCCCTCCCTCGGAATTTCTTAGCTATCTATTCATCAATCATACGTGATACTAATTGTGACGACGAATGACCTGTTGATCTATAGCATGTTCGAAACCCGCGACTTTGCAGATGTCACAGTTTTCGTAGGCGCCACAAAGAAAGCCTTCCGCCTTCACCGTTCAGTAATCTGTTCCACCTCTGAATTCTTCCAAACCGCCTGCAAAACGGGTACATTCAAAGAAGGGACCACCCGAGAAATCCATCTCCCAGAAATCGACGCCACAACTTTCGAAAAAGTTGCTGCCTGGCAGTACGAACAGGGATATGATATACAATGGTCTTCGGGAAAGTATGATCTCCTAATGTTCCAAGCGGCGGACTATCTTCAAATAGAATCTCTCCGTCACGAGGTTCTTAAACAACTGGCTAAAGTTTGTGAGACTAAGCTTTGTGAGTTGAGGAAGATCAAAACGGACTTTGCGATGGAGGAATTGTTGGACAATTTCTCAAAGATATGTGAGCTTTGTCGTAAATCTGAGCTGGAATTGCTCGGCGATATTGCGAAGAGCATTGCTTGTCATTGGGAAATTGACGTGGAGGCATTGTTGAATACTTTGAACGACGGGGCTTATGGGAATACGTTCTTGGCGGTGATGTTGGGAGTTCATCGATCTAGTCGTTGTGGTAAGTGTCCATCTGGAAGATATATTTATGGGGACTTGACTATTGGGTAGTCCCACTAGTCTTTCAATGTCCTCTAATTGATGGAAGGGTACGGGACCTTTGTGTGGGACTGAGAATATTTTTGTTCGTTTCTTGAGATCTCTCAGACTTGTTCTTCGGAATCTGAAATTCTAATATTGGATTCGATGATAGTATCGAGGGATAGATCGAAGGCTAATTGTTATATTATTTTCCACTAGCCCCTTCATTTTGTTCTTCGTATTGGATGTAGCTAAGCCTTTAAAAGGTAGCTGGCCACTTTATGGAAACTGTCTTCCAACCTGTCCCTGGAAGTCAACTAGAAAATATCTAAAAAAAAACATTATCCTCTCGTAGTCAGAAGACGCGCTATCCATATATCTCAACCAAATGGCAGAGCCTTCCTGATTTCCCAAGCAGCTGATCTCCTACAAATCAAATATCTGCATTTCCGGAACTTCCAAATGCATATCGAAACAGTATGAGAATCGTAGTTTATCAATGTTTGTTGTTCCTGTAGTGGAGTAGAGTAGAGCGAAGGGAGGTTAGTTCTAGATGGCTGTAGTGTTTGGGACTAGCGACAAGACCCCGTTAAGCTGTATTATGTCGACTCGAAATAGATTGGGAGGCTCCTTGAAGTCAGTCCGGTTTTGCTCTATCCATAAAACTGATTCGATCCTCTTCACACGATTTGAAGGCAGTAGCTAGCTATGAATGAAATAACAGATTGAGTAGACACCAAACTTATATAGCAACAGATACCATATGACTTCTTTGTTGTTGTATATATTCGTGTGAGAGTTAGTATGAGGTCACAGAGACTAAGCAAATCCACGATATCCCATGGGATACCTTCTATCAGTTACACCTTCATCAACGCGCAACCTCTCCCCAGCTACCTCAAATCGCGACTTCACCACATCTCCAGCGACGATATCTTCGACCCCCCCTCATATCGCCTAGAAACCGAACGGACCTCTTGTTTCAAACCGAAACGTGATTTATTTTCCTACGAAATAGTCGAAATGTCGGGTGTCCCAGCGTCATCAATGGCAGACTACGGCGGAAGCGTCACAGGCCCCGCTACCGATGATTCCTTGCAACAAATTCAAGATGAAGAGCCAAAGAAACCTACCCAAGCTCAATCAGTCCTAAAACAGTAAGCCTATTCCTAAGTTCTCAGAGCCTTCAACTATCCCTATCTAATCACAGCAAACGTTTAGCATGATGGAGACCGGACACTTCACAGATATTACCATCGTTGTCGGGGAGATAAACGAGCAATTCAGACTCCATCGTGCTATTATCTCCCACACATCCGATTATTTCAAGGCAGCTTTTAACCCAGATCATTTCAAAGAAGGCATCACGAAAGAACTTGAGTTGAAGTCTTTGTATCCAAAAGCGTTTGAAAAGGTTGTCGCGTGGCAATACGAGCAAGGATACCAAATGGAATGGAGTCACGGAGCCGCCGATTACGCCGTCTTCCAAACAGTTGACTACCTCCAAATCCCCATTCTCCGCCAACAGGTTCTGAAGAAATTTGGGTTGATGTGTGGGAGGTTTTTGTGCAGGTGTTCGAAGGAACAGGTTAAGAAGACTGTTAATAACTTTGCGATGATTTGTCAGATGTGTGTTAACTCTGATATTGAGCTTTTGGGCCCGATTGCGAGGGCTATTGGTGCTCATTGGGATGTTACGCCTAATGAAGTTCTGGAATCGGTTGGTTCTGGGGCTTACGGCGAGAAATTTGTGGCCGTGATGATGAGTGTTTGTGGCAAGGCTGTTTGCGAGAGGTGTAGGATCGACAGGGCTCATCGGATCAAAAACGTTATGGGTTGATCATATTGGAGTCTGATACAAGTGTGGAATACAATAGCGGTTTTTTAGCTGCAGTGTGGGAGGGTACTAATGTTTACCTTGTTCAAGGATATGATGTATCTCGATATAATGTCATCATATCCACTTGGATAATAAGGGTCTAAATCTAAAACATTGTTCCTCAAAACCTTTAACCTGTCATTGTTCTATTTCAATATTGCATTCCTTCTAGAAATTGCTGGTTCATTTCGACGTCCCGTCTTCAAGACCCGTTTAACTGAACCTTGGCTGTTGCGCATGTTGCTTTCACATATTCCTTCGTCACGAAAGGGAGTATATTGTCCCAACTGGCCAGATTACTATCTCCATATAGAGTTTTAACGCCTCTTAGTTGACTTCTTTCAAACTAACCACGGCTATCAGGAATCAAACTAAAAATCTAGCAGCCAAAATGTCAGGAAGTAAAACAGCACTGATCCCCATCGATCCACCAGCAGATACTCTGAGGTACCAGTCCCTCCTCCCGGAGGTACTTAAGTACTAATTTTACCCTTCTCCATGATCTAACCATCTATAACAGTCTATTCAACAACTCCTCAAACTCCGACTTAATCCTAACCATCGGCACCCTGAACTCTCAAAAACTCTACTTCCTCCACCTCCACATCCTCGATATATCCACACCATGGTTCTCATCCCACACCCCACGATCACCATCACTCGTCCAAAGCAGACCGGAAAAAATAATCTCCATACAATGTGATCCACAAACCACCTATATGAAATGTGTCTTCGATGGATCTACGGTGATAAATCACAAATAAACAATATATTGGATATGCAGGAGTTGATAAGATGTTTATACATCGCAAGACTCTGGGAAGTGAAGAAATTACAGGAGGTTGTGGTTAAAGCCATTATGTTGAAGAGTTATGAGTTGAAACAGTTAGACCGGAAGGTTGAGACGAATGAAGAGGTTTGAAATGCAGTTGAGGATGTTTGTCAGCTTCTTGGGATGGGGAATTGGGGTTTACTTCAGGATGTGATAGATGTTATGGCGTTAGGAACGCCGGTTTCGAAGGATTGGTTGGTGAAGTTGGCGGGGGAATCGAAGGCTGGGTTTGTGGCTGCACTATTGCTGGAGAGGCATCAGAGTGTTTTGGATCTTTGTTTGTGTAAGAATTGTCAGAAGAGGAAAGGGAAATTGGGTGATCAAGGGGAGAAGAGGGAGTGTTTGGGATATTTGGATGCTTTGGAGGTGGAGGCGGATCGTGATTTTGGGGATACTGGTGGTCAGAATGCCGAAAGTAGCAGCATTTAATTGAAGGAATGCTTTCACTCATGCTATAGAAATAAATTGCTTATACCTAATATCTTTCTATTCATGTGATTTCTAGAGCCTTCCAGCTGGCCATGTTGCCATTCCTCAGAATTCGACAGCCGCTTCGTACTTAAACTCAACCATCGTCGAACAGAAAGAACCAATTCTAAAGCTTTTACTCTCTAACCAACTTTAATTCGTGACAATACCTTTTTATCAACAAGACCTGATCGAAAGAAAGCCAAGATGGATTCAAGAACAGCAGAAATCTAGAACGAAGACGCTTTTTTGAAGTAAGCACATCTTTCTGCTATCGAACTTTGAACAAAAAGAGCTAAAAACGTCTTCGCATAACTAACACAGCCTCTTCAACAAACCTGCTATGGCTGATGTCATTTTAACCATAGGCGCAGTGGAACAACGTCAAAAGTACTACGGACATGAGTTGATTCTAAGCACGGCTTCAGAGTATCTCGGGCAGCTATGTCGCAATTGCAAAGAAAGGGCAATAGACGGCAGAAAGGTCATATACCTTCCACAGCTTAACCCGGAGGCTATGGAAATAATTTTGCGTTGGATATACGGTGACCGGCGTCCTTTCAGCGGCGTTGATTGCCCCCTATTAGTCAGTCACATTGTTTTCGCTGCATCTAATCTTGGTCTTGAAGCTTTGGGAAGGCCTGCGCTTGATTACCTCGGAGATTTGGTCGATAAAACAACCGATAATGAAAAAAGTGGCGTTGCAGTTACCGGAAACGAGAGGACCACCAATGCAAGTGCTTTCACCGAACCTCTAGATTATTGGAAGCTCATTAGGGACATTTGCAACTGGGCATACGGATGGGATACTGATGAACTTTTATCCGTCATGGGTGATCTTACCACGACTTCTCCATCACCGCCGAAGTGGCTGGCCGATATGTCAACTGAATTGAATCCTACACTACTTGCGATGCTTCTACTGGGAAGAGAGCAAAGACTACGGAATTTATCTTCTTGCGATGATTGTCAACCACTACCAATGAAAGGATTGGACCTATCGGATGATCGTTACTCTGAGTGCGTAGGCTGTGAAGTAATCGAACCGGAACTATGCGAACGGAAGTTGTTAAACTGGATACGGTTACTCTTAAATGCCACCATCAGAGAGTTTCAATTGTTGATTTAGCGAATGATCGCGATCTAATGCGAAGGATAATTTAGAGCGATGGCTAAGCCGAAAGTTTATCAGTTACGCCAGGAATTTAGTAAGAATTGGGACAGAAGTGAGCTTAAGCGTTATTCAGGATCACTAGAGTTTCCTTAATAGACTGGAGGTAGCCGTAATAAATACCATGGGCCTTCAGTCCGTTATTTCTACGATAGAAATCGTTATCACAATTTTCTTTGGCATTGCATTATTCAGCCTCCTAACCAGGAATTCTTAATCTAAATTATTTCAATACAAACGATTTATTAGCTATAAGAGATTTAAGTATAGACTTATCTCGTAAACCAGAATTAATTGCTGCTGCGCAGGTATAGACTGATGTCGAATATCATAGCTCCTAATATATACATACCGGACCTTCTAGACGATTTCAATTGTTCCAGCGGTATCCATCAGACCACCCACTCTAGTAATTTCTACGGACGGAATGACCACAATATATTGTGAAAAAAATATAACTTGGGATAACAATCATCAACAGTACACACTACAAAATAAAATCTTGCAGTTCTGACTAATCTACCGGATTGCATGCCACGGAAGATACGAGCCGGAAGGGCACTCAAAAAGTCTAAAACATCGCATAAAATCCTAGATACCCAAGTTAAGAAGAGAAATTACGACACTGTAAAAATTACAGAGAAAATACATACCTATGCCTATATCATTTTGGATTGTAACAATTGAGTTATAGATGGATCCGGAGTTAGGCACCTCTCACTTATCCCTTATGAGGTACAGGATTACAGTCTAAGTTCCCTTTGTTCTGGCGGACTATATCAGTTTCCTTTGCTACAATTAGAAAGACTAACAACATCCATTACAACTAGGATTTTCGACCAACCTGAGTTCTCAGACCTCATAGTAACAGTCAACGATATCGATGACATAAGTCCCCCTAAACAATACTACCTCCACCAAGCAGTTGTTCTTACAGCTTAAATATCTGAACATCCTGTGCGCAGGCCTTCCTACGGAAGAAGGGCGTAAAAAGCTTTCCATCGACGGCTGGGGTACACCAACCATAGACAGGATTTTTCGGTGGATGTATGGTGATACAGAAATTAAAGACGATAACCTGGAACTATCACAACTCAGAGACCTGCTAGAAGCAGCGCAAGTATTCCAAATTGAGGATTTCCGAAAATCGATCCTAAAAGCCGCTGTCAAACTAGTGGCATCCAAACATGGAGCTCATTTATCACCAAGGATCCATGAGAGTTACTGGGATGAAGCCGAAAGATTGTGTGGCATGGCAGAAGTGAAAGACTGGAATATCCTTAGAGGAATTGCTGATAAACTTCCCACGGCTTCTATTCGCCCGAACCAAGCGTGGTTATTGAGACTCGCACGCGAATCTGATGCCGGATTACTTGCTGCCCTTTTGCTTGAAAGGTGTATAAACATTGCAAACAAAAATATTTGTAGTCCCTGCCAGAACGACTACGAGGATGGAATCCTAGTGACTGAGTACCCTATCGAGGATCCTAGTGCACATGGTGTATGTGAATATTGCGGTGATATGGCTACGCAATCGGGGTGGATTCAAGAGAAACATATACGAGAGATTGTTGAAGGGCATCGATAAACTATGATTAATATCGATTAGGGAATTAAATTGATGGTTGCTTGTTCGTTGTAATTTTCGTACTGGGATATCTGCATTAGTTCATTTGGCAAAACCATGCAGACAAATTGGAATTGCGCACCGGTAGATTAGCATGGTATACTAAGAAATGGTTAGATATCGTTTTTCATCGGCGATAGTCGATGCCCCCGACCGTTCGCAATTTACGGCGGGGTCAAGAGCTTAATTTAAATTTACGGCACTATGCTTGTTAGTATTCTAAAGCCATAGTAAAAACATGAACACACCCCGATTATTTACTGAATAATGCCCTTTAAAGACCTATTATTCCGACTTAACACTTTTAATTTTGAAGTGAGAATCAATTAATATGGCATTATTACTCAAGCTTCAAGGGCGCGCGGGCTTGACGGCCATACTCGAACTAGAAGCATATACATGTATAAAACTGGAAGGTGCCACAGATCCCCACATGCACGCTAGACTGGCCTCGACAACGGTCATGAGTTATAAATACTAAACTGTGGCCCCAAGGACCAGGTCACTTGACATTCATTATTTTGAAAGCTAAGGGTAAATTTCACCGTAGTTCTCATCTGCTAAAACTTTCAAGTTTATCATCATGTAATCCCCGGAATATATCTGGTTACCCAGAAACTTCATTTTTTGTTAGGAATTCAGAAATATTAATAAAACTGAGGAGCTCCAAAAGCTCCATCATTCTCCTTGAATATTAATTAAATTTTATTATTTATATTTCTCCTGAGTATTTGCCAAAATGTGCTAGAAGTTTGTTTACTTATTATTTTTTCCTTCTGGCAATCGAAAGTACTTCTAGCATGAGCAAGATCTAGAAGCTTTGTAGGCTGCTGGACTCGTCCAGGGCTCCACAGCCATCTATTACCTGAGCCTGAATATAAGTCAATACTCATAACGTACCAGCTTCAGCAAACAATGAGCACTTAAAAAACAATATCGATATTCCACTCAAGGCAAACAAGAAGGAATGAATCCATTAACGGGGAAAGTATGGACCGACGAGCGCGACGCCCAGGGTTTTATGAGGTAAACGGATCCAGTGTTCTGTTCTCCTACTCAGAATTATAACCACCCAGACGCCACCTCGATCTGCTCTCCTTTGGCTGTTGTTATCACTAATAGCTCTAGATATAGGGTTTTCAATAATGCATATCAGACAGACATCATGTTAACAGTCGGCACACACCTCGAACAACGGGTATACAACGCTCACGAGGCGATTATTAGCGGGGCTTCAAACTACCTCAAAGAAGTGTGTCTAGCCGCAAAGAAATTCGATGACAGGAAGTACGTTAATATTGTCAATTTAAATATCGACCCAGAAGCCATGGGAGTAGCGCTCCGTTGGATATATGGCGACCCCTACCCCTTTTCGGAAACCAATTCCTCTTGGTCATACGGGAATATCATAATCGCAGCGTCCAAGCTAGGTATCGAAAAACTAGGAACAACGGCAGTAGATTCCTTTGAGGATTGGAGATCAGATCCAGAGCAGCTTTTGGAGTATTTGTTTAAAATAAACAGTGAGAACTTCACAAAGCCACCAGATTATTGGGGATTTATCAGGAATATTTGTAACTGGACACATGGAAGCTGCCTTGAGGACCTCGTTACGCTTACGAGAGATATCACACCAAGCCTTCCGGCACCGCCTGGATGGATAACTAAGATATCGAACGGTACAAATTCAACTCTCCTTGCTGCTCTTTTGCTCGAGAGACAACAAATGGTCTGCAATTTTTGGTCCTGTAAGAAGTGCAAGGCTCTTCAGATGGAAGGGGCTACGGCGCTTGAACCAAGTGAGTGCGAGGATGACTGGTTTTCATGCTCGGATTGTGGCAACCGAGAACGAATGACGGGGAAGCATATGGACTTTATCAAACAGAAAACAATTACAGCAAAGGTCCAAGAAGTAGAAGACGGTTCAGACGAAGATGAAGACGAAAGCATGCCATCAGAAAGTAGTAACGAGCTTGAAACCCCTAAGGATTCTAAATCAGAAGATTGTGATGGTATAGGCGGTGTTCGACGCCAGAACGTTGATAAGTATACCTCTGAGGTAAGCCATGCTTTGACGTGCTCAATGGGTTCACACTGACACCAGTAGCTAATATTACGTTTCTAATGCATGGATGCATAGAAGTCAAATACATGTCGCAACATGTGAAACTGTGAGAACCACATGGTGGGTGACAGCATTAATTTTAGTGTTCCGTAATTGATCGAGAAGATTAGTAGGGTTTAAGGAGTGCTCCCTTTAAGCTAGTATCTGGAACTCCAGCATGTTGCCGCTACGAAAGGGGGGCTTAAGATGTGCCATCTATCTTATGTTTCTTGTTTCCAACAGTGTCTGAAAGAATCTGTGTTATTTAATATTCGAATATCTAAAAATATTAAAATAGTGTCACATTTTTGAGTTGCGCCTCATTAGCCCGCTATATATAACTATCCGGGCTTTCCAGAATATCAAAGCTAAGAAAAATCGAGTTAATTCCCAGCTACGAGATGATTGTAAAGCACAGGTAGCGTTACTACTAGATGGATATCTTAGCTCCTGTGATGTCATTACTAGCTTGCATTGCAAACAAAGGCGCAGTATCCTGAAAGCAAGAAGCTTCAAACTACAACAAGCTGGTCTCGTACCCAAGCACATTAAACAAACTCCATACTGATCTGATCTGAGGAGAAGACTACATTTCTGAAGTTATACCGGCGTCGTTCGATATTAAATCTGCTATTTAGTCAGTAAAAGGTCTACCAACGAACACTAACAAACTATCACCACGAAACCGTGCATACCTCTAACAAAAATGGCATCAACCGAAGGCCACGCAAATTTCATGAAGTAAGATCCACGCCTCTATCGTCATTATCATCCATATCTCTCTCAGACGCGCATATTTAGCTGACGCGGTATTTAACGCGGTAGGATTTTCAATGACGCCGAATTCTCAGACGTCCTCGTTACAGTCACCAAATCTAGGGAGGGAACAAAGTCATACTATCTTCGCCAAGCCATTATACGTACATTATCAAAGACTTTGGATAGTCGCTGCAAAGCCACACCCTCTAAGTCGCGGTACATTAGACTTTCATTTGATACCACCGATCACGCTATTATGGAGATATTCTTTCGGTGGATGTACGGTGAAAGGGATTTACGAGAGAAGAACCTCAGCTTGTCAGATCTTGCGGCTTTGATGAAAGTTGCGCAAGAGTTCCAAGTTGACGATTTGTGTGATACGATTATACAGAATGCTGTCGCATTGGCGATTTCAAAGATCCATAAGAATCCATCCACCCCGCAGTATCGAGCTAACAACTGGAATTCATATTGGAACGCAGTCGAAGTAATGTGCGGCTCGCTTGGTGGAGGTGATACTCACGACCTCGTCGTCCTTGAAGGGCTTATCGCGAAGCTGCCGATCAATAGCATTTTCTTGGATGACATCACGAACGAACGGCTCGCACATGAATCTGATCTCGGAAACTTGGCGTTTCTCATGATTGGGGTGTTGAGAAAGGCCCTCGAAAAGACACTGTGCGATGATTGTCAAGAAAAATCTGCGGAGAGCGTAATAAAATCTCATCATAGCTACTGTTCAAACTGCTTGAAAGTCTCATATTTTTCAGAGGCAATACTACGAGCTGAAGGGTAAGGATCCTGCGAAGCACTGTTGTCCATCATTGTCTAAGTTTCCAATATCAGACTTTGGTGCCGCTTTTGCCCTCTCACCCGCAGCAGCAATTAATTCTGGTTTACGAGATAACTCTCACTCCGGGCCTGATACATCCCTTTTTTTAAATATTTTCGCATGGTTTTATGTAACTAGGAGAGTAGAACCCCATTGAGACGATTGCTATGGTTGCCCGGACACTGGGGCATCTCGAGATCTCATTATTTTTCTGGGAAATTCAAACTTCAATGAAGTTCATAAGGGGTAGCCAAAATGTAGCCCGTGCACTAAACTATAAAAATACCCGCAATGGAACAGCGAAAATAAACGTATTGATGTGTGTCATTTTCCCCAAGCGTTTTGATAGAACTGAAGATGAGTGGGGAAGGAAGAGAGCCCAGAAGAATCCTATAATATATATATAGAGATCAACAGGAGATCTCTAACAGTTTGATCCGGTCCTAAATGAGCTAGATCAAGCGATCATAGCCAAAGCTCCAGTCCTTTTACCGAATAATGAAGAACATCGAACAACATTTCTAAACAATAGTTTGAAGGAACTAGGGCCGTTTCATATATAGATTAGCTATATTTGTAAAGGAAACTTTGTTTTGCTAATAGCTTCTAAACCTTGTTAGAAAGCTCCAGTATTTACCACTAAAGCCTTCTAGCAAATACATATGTAATCTGACATGTCTCTTAAATCAAATTTTTCTAGCTGATGACATGACCAAAGTTAAACAACTGCCTTTAGAAAAACGAAATTGTAGGTATCTTATGCCGAAAATAAGGATACCAGAAGACTTTATAAAAACATGGATCCAGTAACTGGGAAGCTATGGACTGACGAGTATGAAGACCGAGGGTTTATGAAGTAAGTTATAAGACCGTATCGCTCTTCCATTTTACTTACAAATTTTCTTGATTAGTTATAAATAAGTACTCCTAGAATTCGCTAACCACGTTATGCGTATTTAGGGTCTTCGATAACGCATACAGTCCAGACATAATCATCAAGGTTGGCACGGAGCAAAACCAAAGACGATATAATGCTCACGAAGCGATTATCAGCAGAGCTTCGGATTACCTGAAAGAACTTTGTCAAACTGCCGATAAAGAAGATGGCAAGAAAGTGGTCAACCTTCTGCATTTAAATATTGATCCAGAAGCAATGATGTCCGGAATTCGATGGATCTACGGTGATTCCTATGCTTTCACAGATAGCTGCAATACCCCCTTATTCTACGCAAATATTATGATCGCAGCATCCAAGCTCGGAATTGAAGACCTAGGAGTCGCTGTAGCAGGGCACTTTAGCGAATGGCAGACAAATCTATCAATTTCCTCGACCTCAGAGTTGATCGATGAAAACTTCACCGACCAATGCGAGTATTGGAAGTTGATCAGGGATATCTCTAACTGGACACACGGTTGGCATCTTGACAGTCTCACCCATTTTACGAGGAATACTCAAGCGAGTCTTCCATTCTTGCAGCTCTTCTACCGGAGAGACAGCAAGTATTTCTCAACTTTTCGCCATGCGAAAAATGCAAGCGACGTCAAAAAGAGAAAGCCAAATTGACGGAGCCCAGCCATTGGGGGTTTCAATGCTGGAATTGTGAACCCATCGGACCAGAGATGGCAAATAATACAAACTTCATCAAAATAGAAACGATCACGCCAGAGCCCTAATAAACTTCAAAATCGGGACAAACTTTACTGTATGGAGATGTCGACGAAACCATGTTATCGGGTAGCGATAACGAGTCTGAAAATTCTAAAGATTGTGAGTCTGAAAATCATCAAGTTCAACGTAAGAACTTTGGTAATACCGATTCTAATGTAAGTTCCACACTTTAATCTAGATTTCAATTTGATCCGAAAGCTACGATATTTACACGATTGTGCTAACCTTAATCTTTGATGGAATCGATTTATACTCATAGAGCTCAGGTTCGTGTCGCAACATGTAAGCTTGGATGGCTAGATGGGGGTGTTGTTTAAAACCTTAGACTATGGAGGCGAACGAGATATGGAACGGTTTGATTAAAGCAAAATCCTTTGGAGATTAACGTATTAAAGTATTTCTTTATTGTTTTTTCGAATAACCATGTAAGGTCTAGAGGAATTAGTCTCGTACCCACAGAGAGATCATGTTTAAAGGCTGAGAGAAACATCTAATTAAACTACTAGTATACTGTACTCATCAATTGATGTGGTGGGATTCACTGAACTTAGTGAAAGAAAATCATCAAAGGTTAGTCAGATATGCATATGGATGGAAAGCGCTCTATGGTTCCACAGAATAGTAGAATAAAATGTCCGTAGGAAATTGTACTACTAAAAATATCTGCTAGCTACCATGACGTCATGGTTACCTTGGACTGCTTACAAAGAAGCACTACCTTCACAGCCAAAAGTTCAAACTCCCGCAAACCCAACGATAATTCGAACGATAGACTGCCTCTATGCTTCAGTCTACAATCTATCAGCAAGGTTATTAATAGCCAAAATTAACTGATTTCATTACGATACGATACTATTCGTTCAAAGCATTAAGAATGGGGGCATCTCAAAGTAACACGAACTTCATGAAGTAAGGTACCCGCTCTAATATAGATTTTCGGAGTACAAATAAACTTACACAAAATATATCGAACACCAGAATCTACAACAATAAAGAATTCTCAGATGTTATCGCCACCGTAGGCACACCAAGCAAAGGAAAGAAGTCGTACCATCTTCACCAAGCCATCATCCGCACATTCTCAGAGCCTTTGGACACCAAATGCAGAGCCGCGCCTATTGAGATGGGCCGCAAAAGAATCACTATCGATTCCTGGGATCATACCATCATGGACATTGTCTTCCGTTGGATGTATGGCCAAAATGATTTGTCAGGACAACAGCTAGATCTTTCAGGCGTTACGATATTGATAAAAGTTGCCCAGGAGCTGGAAGTGGAGGGTCTGAGACAAGCAGCCTTGAAAAACGCCGTCAATATTGCAACTTCTTCCATTCCCACAATGCATTGTACCGACGAACACTGGGCTACCTATTGGAATACAGCTGAAACAGTGTGTGGTTTGACGAATATGAAAAACTTTGAGGACATCGATATATTGTTTGAACTTATGGAGAAACTACCTATTGATAAAATCCAGTTGTATGGGGCGAGATTCAAGCGACTGGAGGAATCTGATATAGAACGTTTGATGTTCCTTGTCTCGGCAGCTTTCGGAAAAATTGTTGAAAAAACTCTATGCATGAATTGCCAAAAGCTATCCGTAGGAGAAGTCACACGTTCTGACTCTAGCCGCTGCTCATGCTGCTCAACACCCTTACCGGCATCAAAATGAATACTGTCGGTTCGACCTTAGGTTTTTCCGATAGTGCTGCTACTGTTCCTCCAACCCCTGATATAGCCAAAGGCCAGTCACAATATTTGGTGGTATTTTGATCCTTTCATTGTTCTTGCGGTATCAGAGATGCCATCATTCGGGAATTTATGTTTTAAATTGTACTTTCCGGTCCGGGGTTGGTTGATTTTGACAAAGTTTGCTTATACCAATGATGCACCCGCCTTCCTTGGATCCATGGAATGATACCACTTATCGGAAAGTCGAATCCGATGAAAGTCGCTAGGACTGGTTACTACATGTATACAGTTTGTTACGCTTAGGGAGTTTTGAAGCCATAGGAAATTGTAATTTAAAAAACAACCAGTTGCACGCACTGCAATAGGGCGAGATGCAAAGTTTCTCATATGCTTCTGCCTTGAATATCGCTTTACCTTTAACGCTCCACAGGAGCCCACATCCGCTCGCTCGATATCGAGATATACCAAGCTAGAATCCTCTCGAAGTTGACAATTTGATCGTGATCAAGATATAAAGATATTGGTTTTTACCAGACTATTTACTTTCCCCAAAAGCTTCTAGATCAAAATTAATAGGCGACAACGACGTATCCTATTATCTGCTACGATGACCTTGAATATACAGTAGATATAGAGTCTGACAACGATTATCACTTAAGAAGGATCCAACTAGTGCCATATAGCACCAGTGGTAGTCTTCTAGAGCTTCCGCTAGCGGCTGGGTACCTACCTATCCATGATATCATGACAGTCCCTGAATTCGAATCTTAATATTCTAGAAACATTCTCAAGTTCATACAAAAATACCTCCTTCCTCATCGGACTTCTTATACCAAGCACTAAAACTTAGCAACCCAAACCCAGCTAGCTATAGAGAATCAAGCTTTCTATACGCCTAGATAATATCAAATCCCCGTTGTCACTTACATCACCCTCAGCCCTAAACTCACAAACGGATCAAGATATGACAGAAGGAAATGCTGGTCCGCAAGCAGGACTCCTGCAGTAAGTATCGACAACCGTAAACGAAAGATTCTAAATATTGTACTTGATTAACTTGACCTCAATTTCTCCTAGACTCCTCAGTAATCGTGAATATGCGGATATTATTGCTACCGTTGGAACGGGAGACATCAAGCAATACTATCTCCACCAAGCAATCGTTTGCCCAAACTCAACCTATTTCACTGAAGCTTGCAAACAGCCTGCGGATCAAGCGGGGCTTAAATGTTTAAGTTTACCCAATATTCAAACTTTTTCTTTCGATATCGCAATTCGTTGGATCTATGGCGATAAAGATATTATTAAAAATAACAACCAAGTCATCGAAAACTTTTACAACGTTTTAAACACCGCCAAAATGCTTGGCCTCGAAGATCTACGGGTCGCTGTACAAAAAGCAAATCTCGCAGATAAAGCTATCGTTGCTAAGGCTTTGAAGGCCGCTGGTGATGTAGAAGGATTTTGGGACGTTCTCGAGAATACCTGCTTGGCAAATTCAATGAAGGATTGGGTTCATTTCCGATCATTCATAAAGGATGTTATACAAGATGAAGTATTCCCACTCAGACTGATCTTAGACATCGCTATGGATACTGATAAAGGTTTTCTCGCTGCTCTCATGCTTGAGAGGTCTAACAACCTTCTTCGCTATTATCCTTGCTGGAAATGCGGAGGTCAAAAGAAGCCGTCATATGCGGCGATGAAGACAGAGCCGTTCAGTCACGCTTCTTGCGCCTCTAGTAAATTAATTAATGATGAACAGTTGGGGGATTATTTAAGTAAGTCTCTCTATACTCCAGCAGTATTCAGCACATCTTCAAATCTCCATTTATTGAATACCTGATTGGAATCTAATATTCGACTTAGAAAAGCTAGGTCGCTTTTAATGTCGATCAGCCATCTAGTATCGATGTACCCAAGGACAGCCTATTGTTAGTTGGATAGAGTACCTCTACGATATACTTTGAAATTGGATCGTCTAGTCTGAAAATGAGGTGTTATATCAACAGTCAATCTTATGGGGGAACGGTAGCCTTTTTCATTTACCCCATCGGGACAGCTGTCTGATTTCTAGTTATTGTATCAATTGTTTTGTATTCGAAGATTAATTTGGAGACTATAAACAGTCAAGTTTCAATATCCAGAGGTATCGAGGTTTATGTATATCTTTTTTGATCCATTTAATCATCCAGAATAATTCTGGCAGATATGGATACCAAATAGAAGGCTTTTCTCTATTGCCGTTAAACCTTCGAAATGAACCCAGAGTGCACATCCCGCGGAAAATAGACCTGGGTTCGAGGCTAACCCTCTGGCCGAAGAAAACGCCAATGATATTACGATATTCAACTGTGCAACCTTTCTGCGCTACCATAGCTGTTGTTTGCATCTCGCATCAGGAAGTCGCTATAAGAATTCTTCCCACCTGTTAACCAAACTAGACCCACAAACCCTGCTTATTCCAAAGCTAACATCACCAACCATCTTACAATCTCTCCATAGAATCTTCACTATTACTCTTCCCAAAAACTCCTTCTATTTATTCCATTTTCTTCTGTAAAATGGTTTCCTCGGATCCTAGAGTAAACCGCGAGGCTCGACTTCCTCACTCTCCAAAAAAGGCGAACGGCGGGAAAGCAGCTCCTGAGTCAAACGGAACCAGCAGTACTCACTCGAGCGATGAAATTCAAAAAAAAGAACCCGGAAAATCTGCCAATGGTAAAACTGAATGCAAGTTGATGCAGTGAGTAATAGTCCTTCATAAAAATTTAGGCGTCATAGTTATATGTTAACCTACCAATCTACCAAGAATCCGGGATGACAAGTCGACTTCAGACGTGACATTGCTCCTAGGAAAGGACCGTGTTCCTTTCTACCTCCACAAACCAATCCTTTCTATTGCGTCCGACTTCCTCAGAGCGATCTTGACCACGGCAAATGGCAATGGAGAGAATCCGGTCCCTATCCCCATGATCACCCCGGAGGCATTCGAGGTCATCACGCGTTGGATGTACGGAGGTGGACTCGTCCTCGAACCGGAATACGGCCTTAACGTTCTCGACGTCGTCTCGGGCACCAAATATCTTCATCTTAACGACATGAGGATGAAGATTCTCGACCACGTTGAAGAATTGATGGAGAAGCATCTCTCGCAACCCGTCATTTCCCGGGCTACCGAAGAAGGGAAACGCATTGTCAACGAAATGAACGAAGTCATTCGTTTCTTTGTTCAATTGTGCAATCTCTGCTGGGATGATGACCTCGGGAGACTTGTCAAGTGTGCAGACTGGATTATCCGTGGCCAGGGTGTTGATGTCGAGAGTTTGGTTCCAGCGATTGGACAAGAAGTCGGTGGACGACTTTTCATCGCTGCTATCATTAAAGCGGGCAAGAACAACGGCTGTACGGCCTGTGATCTTGACAAAGAATTTCAAGGTGTTCAAGATACCGTCGATCGCATCGTTCGTCGTGCTAGTTCTCTCCAGCTTTGAACGTTTTACTCTATTTCGAGGCTTGAATGTGGGTTAGCATATCAATATTTAGCTCACAACTTCGGAATAAAGTCACCAACTCTTGTTACTACTCCATGAGATACTCGCAATAGTCGAAATAATAGAACACTCTAGCTCTTAAGTGCTTACAAACAATTTATCTCATCCAATGGTCCTTTCCAATGTGCCCACTCATAAAAGAATCAGAAATTGTAGTTGTGAACGTGACGTAGGAACACTGTGTCTATGTTGCTCGGTGTATGAACCGAGGTGGAGCGATAATGAATCTTCTTGCAACTCTAGTGTTGTGGACGACGTATAAAACCAACTAGTACTCAAGGCCACCCAATCCGATCAAATCCATACATCACGGACCGGACTACTTATAACGATATTATGCCCAATATCAACGTCTCGATTCCCAAACTTTTCACAGAAGGACCAGTCGGATCACGGTCGATGACGTCGATCGAGATTTCTACCCGTTTTTATAGAGCAGGTCATGCCGTCTCAGCAGGAAATAGGTACATATCCCTTTTCCACCCGGTCACTCAGTGCATCATTCGCTCTGCTATTCAAGTACCTACGCCTCATATCAGAAAGAAAAAAAGTACCGATTCTCACGTGTCTACGTCTCTGCATACGCTACAACTTCAAAACTATTAACCTAGGATAGTGGGCATACAAGATGTCTATAGAAAGCGAATTTGACAGCTTATATAACTTCGACGATGAATTATATTCGACTCCGCCTCCGCGGAAGCGCCGTAGAGCGAACAGCCATAGAGTGGATAGTTCCAATACTTGCAGCGAACTCGCACAAAAGAAGCTTATGCAGTAAGTTAAACGACCTACTTGACACAAAACTATCTAGAAATATGATACTAATTGAGTTATAGAATATTACATGATCGAGAGAACTCCGATGTCACCGTAACCGTTGGACCCAAGGATACACAATACTACCTCCACCGGGTCGTCATATGTCCAAGCTCAGCCTTTTTCAAAATGGCATTGAAGCCAAAGAGATTCAAAGAAGGCTATACTGGTGAAGTCAACCTACCTGAGATGAAACCGGATATATTCGATGTTATAGCTCGATATATGTATTCTGCCGAGCTTACCGTAACACCCGCATACGGCGATAACATCATAGATATCTACGAAGGTGCAGGCTTCCTACAGATCCCGGACCTGCAAGAAGCAATCTTCAAAAACCTCACCGAATTCATGAGTACTCATATGGAGGGCCTTCGAAAATCTCAGAGGAAAGAGCTACTTTCTTTTTTTATTAAGTTCTGCGATTGTTGTTCTAAATCTGACCTTGGGAAGCTTACGAGGTGCGCTGAGTTTCTCTTTGTGGAGTTTGATATGACCCCGGAGGATTTCTTGACGGAATTTGAAACAAATGAGGCTAGTTATTTGTTTATGGCGGCGGTTATGGCAGCAGGCCAGAATTTGCGACATACAAATTGAGACTAGGATGCTAGTTCAACATTTCTAGTGCAGGTTGCAAATACATATCTAAAGGAGACGTAGTTTGGTATTGTGGATTATTCAGCGCAGCACCAATAACCTGACGATCTGTATGTCTTGGGGTCGTGTTCTGAGTATGTACTTAATTAACTAAGATAATATGGCTCTGGCTTGAATACATAAAAATGAAAGAAATAACTATTATACTCTCGAAGTTTCTAGACTATAAGGATTTAGAAGCTTGGAGGGTAATTGAACCTACCCTTGAATGAAGATTTGTCTGGATTCTCTCACCACTCTTTGAGCATCTTCTTTTCTTATTATATGCATAACCTCGTTATAGTATCGGCGCATTTCTCGTGAAATTGGGTGATAGAGAGAGAACTATAACGCCTGCACATCTATCGTTGAACGACCAAAGTACTCTGAGAACTCTCCACTCGGGACCCCAAGGCGTTTACAATGCAAAACATACAGAATGAAAACTGTTTCAATTTTAAATACATACAGTAAGTATACCTATCAGGATAGGGGTTACACCCGATTAATCTAGCTGGATGCTAAATATTTGGATGATTTAGGTTGTTCAACAACCTGCAGTTTGCTGATATACTAGCCACTGTCTACGACAGAAAAACCAATACAGAAGCCCAATACCACATGCATCAAATAATAGTATGCAACTCTTCTGATTACTTTAAGTCTCTTTGTGCCGGTGCCCCAGCCGATGAGCTCGGATGCAAACTATTGTCATTTGACACGACACCACGCGCATTTGAGGTCATCGGACTTTGGGTATACGGAGATCAAGATCTTGAAAACCACAGGGATACAAAAGCGATAGAAGAAGCCTTGGTTTACACGGAATCTGTAGGGATGGAGGATTTGCGAGTAGAACTGTTAGAAGGTTTCATGAAACTCAAGCTACAAATAACGTGCAATACTGCGAATGGATATAGGATGGCACCGGAATCACTGACTTCCGAGGCTCAATGGAACATCTTTGAGGAAATATGCGAGCACAGTTTACCTAGAGATCTGAGCACCGTGGGGGTCTTTGTTGCTGGCAATCTCCCTGGAGTCAATCCTTCACCAACTTGGCTTAGACAACTTTCTACCGAATCAAAGAATGGCTTTATGGCAGCGGCCTTAATTGAACAGAATCCCCAGATTCTATGTCAAGAAAATAACGATATATTTTCGTTCTTTGCAAATATCAAGTGTGGTTTTCCATGGAGCCCTGGGGTTGGCTTAGGTAGGAACGAGGTTTCGCAGGTGGATGATACGGCTATGCAAATCAAATTCGCGGCTCTTAATCTTTAGGCCAACTTTCAATAGGGTAATAATGCTAGAAGTGACTTGTATCCAGCCTACAGCTTATTTCATGCAAATTATTCGTGTTCCCCATAGCTTTCTACCAGATATCCCAACTTTTGGAAAAGAATTTTGGCCCATCTAGTAATATCAATATCTTGCGCTTAATTTTGCATATTAGCCTCGTCGATGTTGATAATGTTGACCACCATAGTTTAGACCCCGAAATATATCACCTTAAAAGTCGCATACGAAGGGCGTGGAAACTTTGGCTCGTATTAAAGAAAGGCAATACTTTGCCCACCAGTCCTAGAACCCCTAAATTTTTCTTACAATATGATGTATGTAGAGCTCTAGAGAAGAAACCCAGAAGGGTCATTGATATCGCGTATTGAAGGACCCGATTCGAATTCGCCATGAAAGGGGCTTACTCTACGCAGCAACCCCTCTCATGCAGGGTTAACGTGTCACAAAAATTAGGACATCATTATCGTTGTCAAAGGGCAGCCATTGGTGAGCGAGGTACTCTTGGCGAGAGCCTTGTTGTCAGCCATGGAAGCAAGGCTGAATATTTGAACGCATGTACGACTACGCACAAACGCGAGATTGTAACACGTACGCTCGAGACAATTGGGGCCTTGGGCGCCAGTATTGTCTTGCAAAGAAATATATAATTTGACCCCGGACCCCTTAGCTATTGGGTTCACCTGGCTCTCGCTCGGAAACAAGCGCATAGAGCTGTGCGAAGATAATCAAGTAAGTAATACGTAAATTTTGTTGATGTTTCCAAAGTATGGCAGCTAAGACAAATATCCTCTTGTCTACCTACAATTTGGCAGCCTAATACTGGGTGTTTAGGCAGACTTTCAGCTTAATCAATTAAGCTTCGAGACGTGGCCCTAAATTAATGTTGTCGCATATTGCAGGAATGTCCGATAAACCCGACTACATCTTTCCTTCAAAGGATATAATCACAGAAATCGCAAAGGCAACCGGTTTACCTTCAGAAATATGGTTGGCTTGGGATTTAGATAGAATCGAATGGCTTCCTCAAGCTCGCGGTTATAACTATGACCTCATAGAGGAACCATGGGAGGTTACCCGCTATAAATTTCCTTTTGGAGAAGATAGTTCCTATTCCATCAACATCGGACCTATGACTACCGCAGCCTTTTCTCGCTTTCCTGCCATCAAACTTCTTGGCTTTGCGACGCTCCTCAGAACCCCTGATGGCTTGACAACAATGGTATCAATCGCGGAGGCGGCGGCCATATCGATGAGCGAAACCCATTGTCAAATGTTATGGATTATGATGCAGCTTTTAGAGAAAGGCATAAAAGCCGACGAAGAGGAAAAGACTTTCTCCCCATATCGCTGGTATGAAGTATCTGAGGACCAATACTCCACAGATATTGATAGTACCATAGGGGATCTAGCCAATAGCTCTAGTCAAAAGCAGCAAGACAACCCTCAAGGCTCTAATACACAGGAATCACCATCGGAAATACCGGCGAATGAATGCAGCCCCGATAATACTTTAGTAAACTCAGCTTTGCTGCTTTTTGACAAAAAAAAGTCCATATTAAGTTCTTCGAGGCATGCCGATACCTCAGACTTTTCCTCTAGACTTCTGCGTGGATCCGCATATGCATATGGGGACTACTCGATCTTCAAGCGCTTAGCAGAATGGTTGGAATTTCATTTAGGCGGTACTGCTAGTGACAACAAGGAAATGTATTCGACTTATGCACAGACGAAAAAGACGCCTCCAGCGGTCAATTTCCTAGGCCGAGGGCCCTTTTACGTTCAGAGGCAAACTCGGGAGCAAAATTGCGGTGGCTGTTGGCGGAACAAAATAAAATCCGGGAACGTTCAAAACTTTACTCGGAATGTAACTTATGCTCCTGGTCTAAGGTGGAGACTGGCTTCGAATTTTAATTTTGCTATTTCTAAGAGAAGCCCGTTGAGCGCCTCGCGATACCTAGATAATCATGAGGACGGCTCTTTAGAGCCTTGTCACCAAGCTGCGGACTTCTTACTTCTCACAGCGGCGGCTCTTTGGTCATTATTCGATAATGATCTGGAAAGGTTGCCAAACTGCCAGTGTACATTGAAGACTAGCAAGGATTATATCCAATGCCGAGGGAAGCTAGATGGATGGTTTATATGGCACACATGACCCTCTTCCTCCCAGGTCTGGGAACAAGATGAGCCCACGCTTTGCGACGGAAAGGATTGCGACACAAATATTCGAATCGCTCTTTCTGAGGGCGAAGTGGGTGAATTATTTTGTTCCGCCAGCCCCTGCGCACTAGGCTGGTTTGCGATGGATAGGGACACACCGGATGCGATAATTTGGGATACAATTAGCCCAAGTACAGAGTTCAGAAAGAACGTCCTGGTGAAATACAAAGTGAAAGAGTTTCAAATACAAGCTCAACTAAGCGTCCCTCTTGCAGTTACACCACAAATCTGCGGCGCGGTTACATTTGCAAAAGACAATTATGTTATTACGAATTCAATTGACCAGGACTCCATCATCGCAATGGACTTAGTGGCGGCTGCTGTGTTACTCATATACGACGAGAGTAGAGGCGTTCACCGTACATTCGACGGGGCTGATCTTATAGAAATGTGCTGCATACAGTCACTACGAGATATTGGATACGACTTTGCCTATCTACCACAGTTTTCAAATCCCGACGCTCTCTCGCGGCTGCAAACTTGGTATTATTCGAATTTTGTGTCTTTGACAAGGAAATACTTTACCGGTGACCAACTAATACGCCAAGCGACAAGGAGAATCTCCGAAATGATCGAAGCGGCCAGAGTTGCCGTTAGAGACAATTCAACCCTTCCATACTGGGCGTTAGAAGATTTTCTTCGAACAGGTTCAATTCAAGCCTTTAAACCTCCCCGTTTCCAAGATACCTCTTGGCACATACTCGCTTTGGCCGCTCCGCCAATAATATTAGTGGTCGGTGAACTCAAGCCAGACTTTTTTCACGAGGACGGCCTGCCCCCGAGCTGGCCCAGTTCAAATGCTATTAGTAAAATAAATACTCTCTTGAAAAGTTTTGGCCTCGGCAAAGTACTCCAGAAATATTGCGCAGAGCCCCGCGCTCGTGGCGGCATTTTCGGGAGCCACAGAACTTTGAGGCGATGGTTAATACAAGTCCAATCGTTTAGTGGGGCCTACCTAAGGCCGGCGGATAACCACATTGTTTACAACTTGCCCAGTAGTCGTTGCGACTGTGCTTATGATGTTTTTCCGCTCCAAAAAGGGGATAATCGTGATAACAAACACCTTTTCGGGGGATGTCCAAATAATGGGATCTTACTGTTAGATGGCAAATGATTCCATTATATACAGTAAAATGGTTAAGAGTATGAAAATACAACTTCGAAGTATGAGTCCCAGAGATCAAGATCGAGCAATACACCTTCAAGGGAGCTCGAGCCATGAGAAGAGCCTCTCTAACCAATATCTTGCAGGGAGTTCAATTATAGATATGCAACTAGCTGTAGCTCGCTACTTACTCATACTAGTATACTATCTTAAAATATGAAGTCTAATTGTATTCCCAGACCATCATATGCATCCTGAATATAAAACTATACATTGCAGCTCCTTTCAATGACTATATACTCTATATACCGACATAGGTTTGGTACCGTATCATTGTTCAACTTCGATATTTAACCTCCCTGTGCCTTGGTAAGCTCTTTTTTAATATTAATACCTCTCCAGGCGGCTTCCATATCGATATATTAATCATTATATTACTAAAGAGGTAATAAATGAGTTTTATGTGGTAGACAACCCCCTTGATCAAGAACACACCCGTATGGACCTTGGATATTCCCAAGACTGATCTAGAAAGTTATGGTATTGACTACGAATTTCATGCTGGTATTCTTCCGCGTCCCTCTTTGAAAGTGGTGCCCCTTAAAAAAAAGCTAGTTTAAGACTACTTTTAGCTACCCAAAACAACCTCTGCCCGTAACACCCAAGACACAAATTTCACCATAGTGCTATAGTTAGAATCTATTTTTTGAACCAGATCTTAAACATCCGACTAGACGAGGCTTCGTACGACTAGGGATCGAAAATAGCCCTTAGTTCAGCAAACAGCTAGTATAGAGATACCAAAATGGCGGAATCAGAAAATAATATTTCTTATCAAAAGTAAGACCCTGTGCCATTATCACAAACCCAGAACTTCGAAGTTTCTAGTTTAATAACAAGTCTCCCATAACCTCCCTAGATATTTTAACAACGCTGATTACGCGGATATACTCGTCACACTTGGCTTCACAGCTCCTAAGATATCATTCCCGATGCATCAGATAATTGTCTATACTACGTCGGAATACTTTAAGCAGCTCTGTGACGAAAAGGAAACAAGCGAGACAGGAACTAAGCTTCTATCCTTTGATATGAGCCTAGAAGCCTTCCAGATAATCGCTGCTTGGGTCTACGGATACGGTGAAGAAAGTTTTAAATCACAAATCGACACCCAGGTGATTCGCGAAGCTTTATCTGGCTTAGGGGCGTCCGATATGACTCAATCCCAAGAAATGGAAGACTTGCGTGTAGGGTTGGTGAAACACCTCTTTCGACTGGAGTTAAACATCGTTGCATCAGGAAACGGTGGCTCGAGGACAAAATTGGAGGTTCTGGAAGATATATGTGAGTTCTCGGTTCATTATGACCGTAACATGCTCAAGAATCTCGTCAAACAGAATATTCCCGGACTGAGAGCTTCCGAACAATGGCTTAACGACCTTCATCTTAAACCCTCAGCTGCTGCAGTTCTTGCGGCCTCTGTTTTGATTGACATACACCAGCAGGGCCTTGATCAGCGTTTTTGCATTGGCTGTACACTAGCGATGAATGTTTAACTTTCTAACTTCGGAGCGTAAGTTCTGGTAATTCTGGTTCACTAAAGCGTATTACTGTCAACCAAGGCTAGCATCAGAGGGTCCTAGAAAGATGGTACTGGCTCCGATTAGTATACAGCCTCAAACATTGATGCATCTTGGCCTCATACATATCAAGCTCCTTGATAGGTCCCTTGATGTTGTTGTGTGCTCATAAGCAAACCATTACCGCGTGCATGTTATTATCCCCGCAGTCAATTCAATTTAGAGTTTTATACAAAAATTAGTATAATGTAATATAGGAGATCTTGAGCGACGAGCAAGAATGATGCTTGGATAAATCTGTAGTATAGCCTTATTGAAAATATCGAGACGCCAATAAAGCTGTCGTTAAGTCGTTTATCAATAGATATAAGTTATCAGATGCTGTGAAGTTGCGGAGAGAGTAGTGTTGAAGTTCAGGCGGATGGCATCAAAAACTGCTGCGTTGCCCAACATATCAACGGCATCTTACGCCTCATGATCACTAACCTCCCACTACCACCCCAACCTGCAAACTATCTCCCAATTATTATTACCATCCAGGCTCTCATACTTCTCTAAAAAAATCCCTGTTAACGTCACTATCTGTATTACCAAGGATCAACAAGTAGGCTCTATACAGCTCGATAGACCTGTGGATAGCCACTGGCTAACCTAATCCAAATATGCAGAAAAGATGACTGGCTCTTCCTCCGACTCCGATAGAAAATCACAGAAGCCCCGAGTCAATATTGACCTCAGTCATAATAAATCCATTCCACATCCTCCTCCAACGTAAGTTGAGTCCAACACCCTCCGGATATTCTAAAATCTAAGTAATCACGTTAGTGAAGAAGCTGCCCATCGTGAGATCAACATTACCGTTGGCCGTGACAAAAGAGTCACCACACTTCGTTCTGATGAAGGGGCTCTTGCTGAGTTCCCATACTTCCGTGCTCGGATCGCTTCAATCCGCTACGGACTACACGATGCTACCATCATCAACCTCACTTTCGAGGACATCGACCCTGAAGGTGGCACCCAAGTTTGGAATTGGATGCACGGTACAACAGTCAAAGAGTGTCTTGAGACCAAAGGAGAATTCGGCCTACAGTTCCGAATTCATGCTATGTATTTAGCAGCCGTCGAATGGAAACTGGAGCATCTCAGGAAAAAACTTCTGGAAGCCTGCCGTGAGATGCTCAAGTCAAGAATATTCGGGGACCTTCATGGATTTGTCAAGATGATGACGCATATCTATAGTATTAGTCCACAGGAGGATCAAGGTGATATCTCTGACACTATCAACTACGCTGTCAAGTATTATCCCGTTAGTAAGTGGTGGTGGATTATCAAACATGACAACGAGCATAGCTTCTACCATCGTGTTGCTGGGCTGACTTTTCGAAATCTCGATGAATTGGTTTGTACAAAGTGCACTCTTGGTACGAAACCCAAGCATCATGGTTGTATCATTTGTGGTGAGCGATGCTGAGCTGAAATGTATGGCTTTACGCAAAGCTACTCATGTTCGCACACCTATAGATACGTAGGGCCAACATCAGCGCTGTCCGCACACTAATCCTACTGTTTTACTAGCCTAGCTCTTTTTCTTCTTCATCTTCTATGGGTACCTATTAATGACTTTTTGGTAATGATACGATCGCATTCTCGTTTTATCAGCGTAGCAACTAACTACCACGTTCGTTGTTTCCGTACTCCTAAAAAATTGCCAACTTTTAGTCCTCTGCGCTCCTTGTTACACCCTAACCCCAAAATCTAGATACCAATGCATCAACGATCCAGGGGCTCAGCAGCACGCTGGCGTGAGCTAAACTGGTTTAATGTCGAGACTGTACTATTGAATTGTGAATAATTTAAAATTCAACACACTTTTGTCAAGAAATTCAACAACTTGCAGTATCCGCTAGGCGGGAGAACTCGATACAGTACTTCGTATATTATGCAGTAGAGCAGATGAAGAGATAAATTCAAATTATCGCCTGAAAGATCCGAGGGACCTTATTTATCGAAATTAAGGTTTAGTACGTCTACGAAATCTGCCCTAGCCTGTTTAACTACCTAAAACACTCCTAACGCCGCTCTTCCCACGCAAGAGGCAGAAAGCCAGGGTACTATACATAACAACAAGATCCGGATCATCCCGAGGCAAGTTCGGTACGATATACTCTCTAATATCCGGGATTCTGAAATTGAGAAATCCAATACACAGGAGAGATTTTAAATCCTCGATTCTTTCATCATCTGGGGGAATGGTTTTAAATAGAGCGGATAGGTCTTGGAAATACGCTGAACAGGGACAATCAAGGGTTACGGTCGCATTGAACAGTTTTCCAATCTTAGATTCGACTTTGTTTTCGGGGATTTTGGTGATATTTTGTTCGTTCGGCTGTTGAGTCTCGAAAGCCACAAAATCGAAGGGCTTGATTTTCTTTTTGAGTGGAACCTGGCTGAGAATGATACAATCATCAGGCTCATGATTCGGTGGAATAGACCCTACGATAAGATCATTTCTGTTTTTATTCCCCTCAATCTTGGATACCGGTGTGGTGGCATGTTCAGGCCCCTGTAACGCCTCAGAGCTATCACTACTAGGGGCTGGTGTAAAGACACCAGCTAAATTGTCTCTTAGGGGTTGCAGTTGGATGTCGGTAGCTTTGGCCTTCATATCAGGTGCTCCTTCTTTGTGAATCTCCTAGTTTACGATTGATAAAAATTAGTATCCTGTTGGTTAAAGCCAAACATAAATAAAGCCATATTTTTGTGTGCTCACCTCTAGCAGATTCCCTTGCATGTCGAATAATATTCCGGGAAGATATGGCATTTCGATAGATATTCTAATTGCCTTACAAATCTTTTGGGACGTGGGAGTTTTGAACGTTTGGTAAATAAATTAAATCCTGGACGAACTCATGAAGTAGACCAAAGGATGCTGCTTAATTACATTAGCTTAAATTATGGTGTAGTTCCATAGAATTCACCAACTTTCTAAACCTTTCTATACAAGCGATATAATTTCTATACAAAACCACTAGAAGCCTCTAGATCGGGTAGGAGGAAGGACAACTTTTAATCAGTCGATAGTTTAAAGCCCAAAGTTTACATCTAATATTTCTTCTATCCTAATCAAGCATTTGATAATACATCATTGACACCGGTAACTCCAGCGATTACGGCACAAGATTAGAAGCGAACTATATACATTTCTCCCAAGCCCTCATAATCCATTGTCTTAGTAGGTAGTTAGTGGCATCTGAAGCCCATGCTACTGGTGACGGGCTTCATAATACCCTCAGGTAGTCCCATCCAAGAAAACGGATTAGGCAGAACCAAAAATGGCATACCTAGCTAGTTGTTTCTCTAAGGTAATAGCGTGCTAACGTCTCAACTACCTCTAACACAGTGGCCTATCAGAAAATTAAGACCTCGAAACCTCAGCTTCTGTAGCATTGAAGATGGAATAACTTTTGCTGCTTGGTTTACTTTGCATTTCTACTAATCCGTGCCATTTTCCTATTGTTTGATACTATTTTAGCAGATGACCCACTGTGTTCGACAACATTTTTCTGAAACCACGATGAGGTAGTTCTCTAAATTTCGTATACGTAATCCAGAGCAAACAATAGTGCTTGCTCGCCAAACCCTCAAGGAAACGTTCATAGATTACATTTATTAGCATCGAGGATATTGTTTATATATATGAGTGGCATCTACTGACTGTCCGCCGCGCAGACGCCTCTTCATTTCAGCTCTTAGATTTACAGGTAGCCTCCATGGATGCTCCCGCACCAATCTTTCGTATATATAGCTCTCATGATAATACTCTACTGAGACTATTGCATGTTCTTGATATAACCCCGGAATGTGTTTTATAGTGTCAGCTAGTTGCATAATCGATCGTTGTTCAGGTTGTAGAATACCCATGCTTGGTCCTGAAAGACTGGTCGAATTCAACATAAATAGATGTTGGAGTGCCGCAGGCTCTAGTTGCTCATGAGATTGAGCCATGATAGATGTTTATATAACTCCAACTTCACGGATGTATTCATGAGCTCCACAGTCTGAAGGTTCATATAATATTATAGTGCAGATAGCCCTACCGGAGGCAAATCTTGCGTCCTCTGGTATATCCTGACGCGGTCATAGCACTTGCAGTCGTCTGATCCTTGTACGTAGACACACACATATATATATAAGTAACTTTGTGAAGGGGTCACGAGTTTGTCAACGATTGATCCAGCAAAGACGGTTATATGTAAATATCATAGCTGATGAATGGTGTCGAAAAGTTATATCATTTGAGCTCTAAGAGTTTGACCGTTCGAAACAGGTTGATTATCGATCGTGCAGTCGACTAATCTCATAAACCGGCCATCCCGATATGTAGTGTTTAGAGCAAAACTTTACTCAAATCCCCTACTGAATGGTTCGATTACCTCTTCATGTCGGGCTGCCCATTTTCAGGTTACCTTTCTCTCTCATTCGCAGGATCTCTGTGCTGTCTGGTTTACGAGACCAGGATAATATAATCCCATTTGTAATACGGAGTTGCAAGATCGCATGCGAGTTTCAAAATCTCGGTCTGCTTTAGTAGAATACTTCGAGGCTAAAAACATGCATACTCATCCATAGTATAATTCAGAGTTGCTGATCTTCCAATATCCTATATATGGACATATTATTGGATGAAGGGCTTGATTCCGGGAGAAGCACCGCGCCCAGCGTTTGGAGAATACGCCCCCCGTATTTGAGTTTGAGCCATCATGTTTTTTATAGCTATTTATAGTAGATCTAGGCGAAGCCTTGAGTTGAAGGAATGAAAGATGTGAAAGAGAAAAAAGATTTCAGATAATTAGTGGGCTGGTGGAGGTTTATATCATTGGATCTTCCGGAAATACGATGCACACTCGCTTCTAAGAGGAATTTGGAGGAAAGAGGGGGAAGAAGAAGCCCAAATGTAGAGTCAGCCGGAAGAAATTCAAAGAACCCATTGGAGGGAAAACTTGATACCAGACATATGTATAGTGCTACTAGAACAATCTAGATCTTTAGGGAATTTATTACACATAATTAGTCTATAAACCTCTAAAACACTTTCTTTTTCGAAGTCTCGTTTGAGACAACTTTAGAACATATTGTAGGAAGTCAACTTTAGATGGGTAATATGGTAGGCTTACCCAGTGGTATGCAATTTATAATAGAAAGGCTTTAATAGTAATAATAAAGTAGTATGGATTATTAAATGTTCAATGTAATTAGGATTTAAGATTATTTTTATTGCAGCATACCGTATAAGGTGTAGTGCCGGGTCTATAATTACGATTTTATAAACATAATGAATAAATGGACTTATAATGTAGCATGCTGAATGGGAGATCCCAGACCCTGAGTCCTGGTTTGTTATTTAGATGTGGACGGTTCAACTATAAGACCTCAACATGGCGAGATGGAACAAATACAGCCCGAGCAAAAAGGTTATTCCTGTTAAAAACTACATAACAAACAGAGATATCTTATCTCAAACCAGGCTTCGAAAAAAAAAGTGTTAGGAAACCAAAGATACTTGTTACGTTAGTCGGGCTTGAACTGACAACCTCGTATGCTTTAAGAACAGATGTCCTTTATATGCGTTCTCCCGATTGACCCATAGGACTAGGTGTTCTTAGAACGTTTGCTGTCCGAGTCTTTTATACAGAATCCAAGCAGCTATAAATAAGAACAAAGGGTTAGCCAATTGAATTTAAAGTTAAATCGGTTATAATAATGATTAGATGGCCTCATACCATGAGTCCACCAACGCAGATACCACCAACAGCAACATTCAGGTACCAAAGCTGGACATCAATCTTTACTACCGACTATTCGAGATTCATTTTCAGCAGCTGCTGTGTTAGCTATTTATTGTTTTGAAGTAGTCACCTTATTAAGTTCGAGTAGCTTGGCCTCGACAAAATCCATTCTTTGGTCCATTGTGCCATTCAATGATAGTGGCTAAGCAACCGATTAGTAGGTTCTATACAAGGAGAATAATGGTCTATAGAAATAGCCAAAGGCTTAGGAACTTACCGTTTGGGGGGTGGGGCGCTGGGGGAGAGAAGAGAGAGGAAGAGAGAGGGGACGGCGGTAGAGGGGACGGCGAGAGAGAAGATTGCGAGAGAAGAGGGGGCGAGGGCGGAGGAGAAAGGCGACATTCATGATGGCGATGGCTATGATGGATGGATGTATGCACTTAAAGTATATACTCGGCTGGGGAGGAAGAAAGGAAAGAAAGAGGGAGAGAAAGAGCGAAGGGCGGCAGTGGTATTTAAATCCAAACAAAGTATTGTCCTTTGTGACGTCTGGGAACGAGACCAATTTAAACAGTCTCGACAGTAAACGAAAATCTATTCCAAAAATCGCTATATAAGGAACAAAGGCAATATTTATATTTACTTCCCGTACCTCTTTAACGATAATTTCAAAGTTAAAATATTAATAGTAAGAGTAAGAGTAAGTTCAATAATAATTATAACGAGTGCCGTGAGCTGAGCGAGCTGCTACTAAATAAGGTTTTATTGAATTAACTTGCTCCACCAACGGTCACCGGCCGGTCGATCTTTATCCATCGACAACCACAACACATCATCTCGGGAGAGCCTCCATTCCCATACAATAACCACCAAAATTGAGCGCGAATAGCTCGCTGTAAGGTGTGAATCCAAGGGGATTTGACGTCTCCGAGGCTGCAAAACCCTTATACAAAATGACGTTTTGATTAAAGGGTGGATTTGATTTGAACCAGTCAACGTCGAAATCTGGGAGATGATCGGTAGTCCCTGAAACGGTATTGTTATAGATGGCGAGTTGAAGCTAAGGCCGGCGTTGCCGCATGAGGTGTCTGGTAGAGAGGGTACAGAATGGAACGGAGGTACGTATCGTCACAGTCAGATAAGACCAGATACAGCGATCAATCTTGAGTAGGGAATCTACTAGAAATTGCAATTGTCAAAGATGTGGATACGGTAGAGATTTTTATGGATACCATAGTAAGTGTAATGATGGGGAGTTCTAAATTAATGCATATCGAAAATATAATGTCAGCAGCAGAATCTAGAATACCATCGGAAGTATGCTCTACATATAAAATAAAGTTTTGAAATTCGGGGACTACAAAATACTATTTTGTAAAAAAATACTTACAGAATGCAAAGAGACAACTAGTGGAAATCATCAGGCCGATTAAATCTAAACAATAGCTAGTTGCGGGAGTATTGCAAAGTATATTGAATTGGTCTGGTGGAGCTCTATGTGCAAATATTGAATATATCTGTAAAAAGTTGTGCCAAAAAAAGACTAGCTAGAAAAAACAGAAAGAATTTTTTAAAAACATTTCGAGGTTTTGGAATTAACTCTTAAGAGGGTATTCTCAACTTTTTTCCCACATCATAAAACCTTCTTCGACATATATACAATATATTACATGTAATACAATAAAAAGTTTCTTCTTTTCGTCCTAGACTATGTTGTTTCTAGATTAACACATTCGTTTTGGTGGGTTTAGCACCCGTCTAAAAACTAGACTAGAAAATAATTATTGCTAACAGCTTGCCTATATACCTATATAGGGTTCTGCTAGGAGTAGTCCAGGTGCAGCTTTTTTATTGATAGGTGGACTGCATCCCAACATCGTCAGCCGGACAACGCCTGGAATAACGAAATCCAACAAAGTGACATTCCATAGAGGTCACAATCGAGAACAGCAAAAAATATAATAATATGTAAGGCCCCGAGCCATTAGTTTCTAGAACTAGACCGGCCTGGTTTTTCTCAAGGACTTTGCATCTACCTAGAGCAGAGCAACCACGCTCCTTCATTTGCATTTGAGCAAGGTGAATTCAGGGGCGTCCTAGCAACACAGACTGCTTCTTGGCACTCTCGAGAATGGCGAGAGCTCGAGACCTCGAGTGTCAGGAACTTGAGAATGGGAATTCGGGGTATTATTTGAAGAGCTGTTCTTAGTCGCGGGTATTAGGGAATGCCTTAAGTTTGTCAAGTTGTCTTGTTGACGTATAAAGCCAATATTAGTACGAAGTGTGGGTTCCGAACAAACCTCCTACTTCGCTCGCTCAATTATGGTACCCCGCATCACCCGGAAGCCTCCTATTCTCCTTCTAGGGGGTGGAATAGACCCCGTATCTAACGCTCCGTAAGCGTTTGTTAAGCAGTACCACACGCCTTTATTCATACCCGAAAAACTCGTATGTGTATCTAGTAGGCATGCGTCCCGCCCTCAGATCGATCTGCAGAATCAGAGCAGGGCAAACAGACTTACATTTTACTCCCGGTAGCCGTACTACAAAATGACACTACATCCAACATCATGACGCACACATGAATCTTTCAAGTGACTTCCATGTGATTTGCCCATCTACAGCCACAGACGACCAAAAGGAGATCTTCCTCATGCACATGCGCCCCAGAGCAATCAATCCTGCATTGATTCCGCATAACCCAAGTAGTCAAAATAAGGTTGTGCGACAGGATTCCACACCTGTGGATGACACTCCCGCTCATCAGATCAAAAAAGAAAGACCTCAGCCAGTCCCAGTCCTCGAATCCTTCATACCCTCCGTCTGCCGGTGGAACATTCCATCATGAACCCAACAAGCCAGGGTTACCATTACCCTTTTTGTAGTGCAAGTCTGTGCAACCTAAATGTCTTGGCAAGACCACCAACCCTGCCGATGACAGGGTCTTGCGTTGTGTCATGAAAAATACCACACGTCTTCTGATTGGCCGGGGGGATGGAAAGGCCAATATCGCCTAAATGCAGTGCAGAAGATTGCGCATTTGGTGGCCTCATTGATCCAGGCTAGACTCATCCAAAATTTGATCCTTGATAGCGCCCCTTTTGGAAGGGTTTGGGGACTTGTTGGCCTGATCGGGTTGTAGGAGCATGCAGGATTTCCTGCGATCTGGTAATGGGCATCGCTTTTAGGTCGATGAGATGATGGTGGGGTGTCGCTGCTCTGATAGGAGTTCTGTCATGACTCCAGTGCGGGCGCTCCCTTCTTCAACCACAACCACAACTTCATCTCCATCATCTCCATCATCTCCATCTTCAACTTCAGCTACAACAGCAGTAGATTTAAACATCTCAGTCTTCCCTCCTCCAACTGGTCTTCACTTGTCCGAAGAGCGATATCAGCCTTTATTTCCTTCTCTTGCTTTTCTTTCTCTATATGTTATGTCCAAACCGCCCCTCAAAATGGCTTCCACAACCGATACCTTCGAAAAGGTGCCATATCTGAACATATTTCCGCTTGAAACCAGGTTTCCTTATCTCTCCCCCGACGATTCGCACAAACGATCGAGACCGGCCACCCTGGCTTGCACCCGTATCGCCATCCTCGGTTCCCTAAAAGCCAGCCGACTTCAAGGCATTCATAGTGCCTCTAGCGAACCATCGAGATATTCCCCCAGATCCAAACACGGTGGCGCAAAAACTGAAAAGCAGCCTGGTTATGCGGAATCTGCCATATTCAATCTCCTGACAAATCCAATAACGGAGCCGATTCTCCTTTCGCATCTCACAACTCGCGATCTCATTGCTCTTCGTCAAACATCTCGTTTTCTGCGTGCAAACATTGACCGACAACACCGACTTTGGCGTACCATAAATCTGTCCTGTCCACGCACCATAACGGCGCCAAACACGCCCTTCACCTACAGAGCAGAAGTAGTTGTCGATCCACTTCTGTATCTTTCTAAAGTTCTCAATAATCATGCTCCGAACACCCCGATTTCACCATATTATCATACTCGAGTCTTGATTCTTGATAACTATCGTTTCAAGTCAACACACCACCGAATGTTGGAGGATTTGTTGTGCAACATTTTCACAAATCAGTGTTTATGGACGAACCTTCGACTCCTGTCTATTCGCGGGTTCTGGGATTTAAGCATCGCGCAAATAGCAGGTTATCTCCGGGACTGGGAGGTTGGTATTCGTGGAGATTTTCGCAAGACCTACGGCTGGCGGTTCGTGGATACCGACAACGGTGGATTCGAAGTTATCGACCGTGCTGGAAAGGTTGTTCCAAAGGAAAACTGGACCACAAAACGAGGATGGACGTTAGAAGTTTTCAGATTCGCTAGCCCGAAACTACTTAACAGGTGTTTACAAATGGGGTTATCGCGACCAAGAAATTTCAGATCGATCCCAGTTCCAGTTCCCAGCTACCTTAGCTTGCCATGCAACGAAGAAATGGATGACAATGGAACCATTAGGTACAAAAACTACCAAGAAGTTTATGTTCCCCCATCCAACCGAATGGACGAGACCATTGTTTCGGAGTTATATCGAGCCATGAAGTACGCTGAAAGAATTGGTATCGATCTCGACGTTGGCTTCTGCAAGAATGAAAGTGGACACGCCAAATTCCAAAATGACTTTGGGGAAGTAAGAGATAAGTGGTGGGGTATTTGCGAGAGAAGATGGGAGAGATGTGTTACTAGAGAATGCCGTTGGGAAGGGTGGGTTGAGGCTTGCACAAGCTGCCGGTGGGAGGAGAACTGGTGCTGCAAGGGATGTTTCGGTTGGGTCTGCGAAGGCTGCCGATCAAAGAAAAGAAACGATTTTGGGCAGAAGGGCATCTGGTGTGGCGGAGTGGCAGAGAAGTGTGCAGTTGTCGAGGGGAAAGTAATTGACCCCGATAACTCTGCATAAACCCGAACTGCCAATGTATGGCTCATCTTTGCCGGTTATCCTTCCATTTTTTAAAAAAACAAAACTTCTTCTTCTTCCTTTTTATTTTTTTTTGCTTTACATTTTATTCTCCCTTTTGCACGCTTACATAGCTTGTTTACTGTCTGAACGCTAGTTGGCTTTCTTCCATGCTTCGGCGTTATGCTCTTGGGGGCGTTGATCTTGATATCCGTTTCAGGCAGCTTTTCGCCTTCCCTCTTAGATATCGCCATCTTCAAATGTTCTTTTCTTTCTTGTACATATTCTTTTCCCTTCCTCTCGGTTTACCCCTTGTACATTTCTTCTTTCTTGTATATAGCTCCCCTACACAGGCGCCGATATCACTTGGACCTACATGACTTCTTTTTCCGTCTTAATAAAATTTATCGAACCTTTTTCGATCGATATATTATATTCTTTAATTAGTACCTACCGACTCGACTATCAATAATATTAAGAACCAAAATAGCTACCATATAACCCTAACAGACGCATCGGTACTTCAAAAAGGTGTCTCTTTCGATTATCTATCTCCTTTGGGGTTTAATATTTTCGTATGAGTACGATACTTGGTTGCATCGCTCCTTTTTTAGAACTCACTGTTTAAGATCGTCCGGGCTCTAGCTCTACACATATATAAAGCCCACCGTCCATCTTTCACAGAGAAAAGGTTTGTTTCTTTCCCACCTTTCTAACTATCCCACATCTGTGTACGTGTAAAGTATACATATACAATCCAGACGCACCGACTCCAAATCAAAGAAATAAAAAGCGACATACACACTGCAATCTCAAACTGCTAGCCCCTGCCCATCTTAGATTTTTAAATATCCAGTTTTCCCCATATTAATATTAATATTTCGACAAGATGATAGGATCATTCTCTCCTGTTCCTGAAGAAGAGCAAGAAATCCGGCCAAGTTCTGCACCGCCAGGCCTTGGAATTGGGTCTCCACGGGCCACGGTGTCCATGAATTTCCTATCCTCGAGTTCGGAACCAGAGGAAAACAGGTCTATATCACCGGATTTTGCTTCAACGTCGACGGAGCCAAACGCTCTAAACCCTGAAGCGTTCGAATTTATCCCAAGGCCTTTCTATCCTGGGGTACCAGAGCTTAAATCGGGAACTAGGCGTGCACCACCGGTTTACCCGCAAGCTCCCCCAGCAGGGTCTCAACAGTTCGCACCATCTTATGGATTTCTGATGCAAGCAATGCCAATGCAAGGTCCAATGCAGTCAATGCCAATGTCACAAGGTCCATTGCATCCGATGGCAATGCCGCAAGGTCCATTGCATCCGATGACAATGCCGCAAGGTCCAATGCAGCCAATGGGGATACCACAAGCTCCAATGCAGCCAATGGGGATGCCACAGGGTCCAATGCAGCCGATGGGGATGCCACAGATGTCAATGCCAACACCGCTCTACCATTATCAGAACATGCCGGGCCAGCAGCAAATGCATTGGCAGAACTTCGGCCGCCCTGGACATCTAGGCCCACATCAACCAGCTGGGCGATTCATGCCACCGCCTCCGCCAGCATTTCACAATCCTTGGCCAATACTGAACCAACCACAAGGCTACACCTTGCCCCCGCAACCAACCAGATACGGGTACCAAGGACCACGCATGCCACGGGTACCCCAAAGACCCCTAGGGTTTCTGGTACCCCCCGTTTCTCGGGGACTCCCGGCGCCTCTGCCACAACAAGAGCGACCGGCATTCGAAAACAACCACAGCCAGGATGAAGGCCCACTACCGGCTCCGGCCACTGTTTCTCCATCCCATATGGCAGCTCCAAATGTGGATCAAGGTTGTGTTCAAGAGTCGTCGGCTTTAAAAGCAGGCCTGATTGTTAGTTCGGCAGCGTCAGATCCAGAGACCGCTCCCGCTCTAACCCTTTCAACGGCCGTTATGCCTCCACAGATGCCTACTGGTGAAAGGCTCACGAACGTCGATGCCCCCAAGTCACCCGATGTCGGCACGATAGACTCGGGTAACTTGCCGGCGATCATGGATCCAGTCTTACAGTAAGAGCCTGGAAATCCTCAGATCCGATATTCTGTATTTGTATCGCATCTTTTCATCATTAGGTATTATTCTACTAGCATGCCTTTTCAAAGTATCGTGTTATTGGGTTTCTTTTCTCTCTTGTTTTTCAAGCCTCGTAATTCATCCTTTTCTACTCTATTTAGTAATTAAGTCATTAAACTTCAATAAACTCTGCGTACTTTTTCCTGCCCACATCTCATCAATTCCTCTAATGGCAACAGTCATCTGGTGATTATGCTAGAGTTCAAAACCCCAGTAAGATAAATTGAAATAAATTGCTTCCACCCGTAGCAAGTTATAGAGCCAAAGATAGAAAGCGCTAATGCAACTTAGTCAAATGAATAGAATATCTTGCTTTTAATATTTACTTTTCAAAGATAATCCCCACGTGTTTAGCAAAAACTCTCTCGTGATCGCCGCATCGTATTAACTTATGATTAGGGCCGCGTTAGATAGTGTGTCACTCATCCATATCTTGCGGGCCCCGGAGCCCTTGCTAAAGCTCAACATCCAGAAGTTGATCCAGTATATACTTTTCGAAAAGGTATCAAATACTTTTTTTTCCGTGTTATCGGAGTATACCCGGCTGTCACAGCAATTCCGAAACATAAGAATCACCGAAACCCAATGACCGAGTTTCTCAGTCGCCTATAGTTTTCAACCACGCGACACGCACGCGTGCAAGAATGTTATTTTACAGGGCACGGATGGCACCAGATCAGCGGAAATACCCCTCTCATCATCCTATTTTTCTTTTTCGAAAGCGGGGTAATATTACGCATCACACACGGAAGGGTCTGGCCTGGGTAGTATATCCCTATCACTGTCATTGGAACGTTGGGATATGCATATACCCCCGATCCGACGCAAAATGCAATGTATATAGAGTGGTTGCAGTGGCCACTTAGCTACGAGGAATCGCGTAAAATATTGATTGGAGCTCGGAAGTCAACGTAATTCTACTGCATGTAGAAGAATATTCTCTCGCATAGCCGTCGTATCTCATTCCGTGGTAAGTCTCACTCTGAATGATCTAAATGGCTGGGAATGGATACTTCGTTCCGACCTGTTGAGTCGTGGTACCAATCCATGCAACATGATGCTGGCCCTGCATAATGACGCATACATGGTTGTTTATTATTGGGCTGTCTAATTGAGTACTAGAATTCAAAATGTATTGCATGGACTGGCCTCCCGTTTTAGGATTCTGTAAGGTCCAGTCAGGCTGCAGGCAATATTGTAAACTCTAGTATCAATTCGTCAACTTTATTTTATCAACTTCGGGACAATCAATTCTAAAATTGCCAACTCAATACGCATCAAAGATTGCATTCTAGATCTGATAGATCAATTAGCGCTGTTAGCGCGTGAAAATATTCGAATGCCTAAATGCTAGGCACGGGTATTACAACTAAATATAGAGATATAAGCAGAGTCATGATTGAATGGCCTCAAGCGGTCTCAAACATAACATTGATTCTGCGATCCCATCCTCCAAGTTTGGCTCGACGTGACCTAACAACTCCATCGGATTCATATGTACGTATCAACTTATGTATACTTCTGGTTCTAGGCTCCTAGGAAATCAAATAAATAATAGGGATCATAGGCATGGCATAGTCTAGTCCAGCTGTTAGACGACATTCGTTTTGGTGTCTCTCGGCCGCTCGTCTAAACTAGACCAGGCATACTCTAGCTCTACTTGGTCTAGAGGCAAGACGGGTGCGAGTTCAAGCTCTATTAACGAACGGTGGTTCTTCAAGGTTTGTCTACCTGGTGAAATAATTAACCACTCTTTCATATAATAGCTACTAAGTATTCTTATAGCTTGTAGTATCGTCCCCAGACGCCGGCTGGCCACAAGTGTTAATATAGCTTGAAAACCCAGGGTAGCTTAAGATCCAGGCTAATGGTTGGTTGGCTGGGTGAAGCGCGCATAATGCAAATCAGTCAAAGCGAAGACCATTGGTGATGGAGAAATACTCAGCTGAGCCTTACCAATAGTAATTTGATCTATAGAATACGTCGGCTATCCATTCCGATAAATTATAAATTGGGATTCCCTGGGGGAACTTGGGCATCCCGAATAGTAATGACATCCCCAGCGTTGTGTTCCTGGTCTTCTTCATACATCTTCACAAGTTTGGGAATCCACTCCTTGACAATATCCTCCATATCGACCCGATGACCACGCCTCAATAAATCTCCAAAAGTTTCCGCGCATTGCGGCGCCATTCCCTTGAGGAGTCTTCTCATGATGTTTAGCGACTTATGCGCAGCTCTTTTAATATCGAGCGCAGTAGACTCCCAGTCGCCCGCGGTAAAGGAATGCTTTGACAGAAGACCAGAAAACTCCTGCATTGCCTTCAAAGTATCCTCTAAAAAATCTTTCTCTAGTTGGATTTTTATTTGAGGATCAAGGCGCGCTTGTATATACTCACTGCCCCCATCGGAGTGTATGGCTTCCAGAGTATACCGGCAGCTAGTATATTGCGTACACAGTTTGATCCTCGAAATCAATTCTTTCCGCAATTTTTCTTCAATGTCCATCCAAATATCAGATCTTAACATGATTTCAGAGGGTACTTTAGCTGAGACAAACGCTCGAGAATACTCCTTCGCAGCTTTTGAGTTGAGGGAGTCTGCAGTATCGTCACCCGTAGCGTATTGGCCTGGAAGACTTGACCACAGTATTTTTGCAGCGGCTAAAGCTCGACTATCAATTTTCAAGAAGCACTTGGCCGCAATAGAGGCGCCTCGTCGGTAACAAATATGCCGAAATGAGTCCCCGTCGAGGTTAGGATTGTTTCGAACAATGCAATCTTCTAGGTCAATTGGCAGCTTGGATCGATCAAATATTTTAAAAGTTCGTAGTCCAGAAACAGATACACACCCCAAGGTGAAAGAGTTGTCACTGCAAACATCTTCCGCGGGGTCGAAGAATTGATACGTTTCGACGTGAAGAAATAAAGTTCGTAGACTAACAAAGGGGTGCTTCGCAAACTATTTCCACCACTCCTGTCCCATAGCCCAAAGAATTCTAAACTCCCTCAGACCCTTAGGTGGACGGAGAAAGAAATGTGGATCGAAAATAAACCCGTCAATAACCAGGGAATATAAACAACGTAGTTCCAGGAACACTCTTTGGAGATTCTCTAGTTGTTCCGAGATTTCTGGAACCGGGGACCCACTATTGTCAGGGTATCGTTCGTATCGAGCACAGTTCCAAAAAAAAACTTTTGAAGATTTACCATTCTTGATAAGACACCAGCCAGTTGATTGATATTATACTGCACTCTTAGGATCCTCGCCGGTCCGTTAATCCTGCCTAACGTTCTCCAGGCCCCATTGTTACTCGTGTACAATGTAAACTCCGTTACTTTTGAAAGGCAGAAGTATTTAGTCATAAGTGCGTTGTTTATCCCATATGTTCGGATCTTCAGAGAAAATTTTCGCCTCGGCATCGACTCGATATATTTTTGAATATCCCGAAGAAGTAGGAAGGTATAAGGACTCTTTTTCGTGTTCAGACTACAATCTATGCAGGGGCACCAGGAGGGTCATTTATATAGAAACCAGTCTCGTCTGGTTGAATTACTATTGTAAGAAAGCACCTAGGAAGTAAATGATGTATCACTCACCTTCAACCTCCATCGAGATAGTTAAGTGCCTGGGATCTAATCCGCTGTCAAAAATTCCTTCGAGAGTATCGCATAAGTCTTGTGCCACGCAATTTCCGAATATGGAAGAATTAAGCCACAAGCCTCTTGTGTATTTGAAAACCAAGATCTTGAATATTAACAGCGTCGCTCCGCAGAAGGTTTAGGAGTCCAGAAAGTATCGCCCGAGTTCTGTCGATTTGATAGGCCGGGCACCAGGGTTGATAGGAGTGTAATTTGTTTATAGCGTAAGTAGGCTTGCCACGATCTGGATAACCAAAAACTACCATTGACCATAATTGGCGATAGCAGGCCGGTTGTAGTGTTTTGCAAGTTTCGAGGAGAGCAGCTAGGTCGCCATAGGGGACGAATTGAAGGATCTCTAAGAAGATCTCGGGCACTCGCTGCGCTAGCTGAACAAGATAACCCATTCTCAAGAATTGTATGACTGCGGGTCTCAAACTGAAGCTTAAGGGCGCCTAGATACGCATCTACGTATCTTTTAGTCAATTGAATGATACCAAGTAGTAGGCTAAAGGGGCGCTATGTCGCGTCGCTGAAGATAGGGATAGGTGTATATTCCGCAGCTCGAAGCTCGAAGCGGCTGTCGGAACCATTTCTAGTGACCTCGAAAATTAACGACGTTAATTAATACTACTTTATCCCAGCCACCCACCTAGTGACTTACTATAGATCTAGATATTCTATATACAAATATTAATATTGTAAAGATAATGCATATAATGTCCTAGCATAGTTGATCACCCTAAAGATCAACCGCTGAACAATATAGATGGTATTCGGCTCAGCATCCACATCAGACCTACTTGGTAGCAGTAGGCGATTATATCCACTATTTTGATACTTGCATTTTATTAAGTTTCTCGAGTTGAGGAACTGGCTTCCGACCGCCATGTCTGTACTGCAGAACTGTCGACGTGTTCCAGCTCACTGCACATGTTCTCGCCACACAACAACACTAAAATTCTGGAGAAAAATGTGTTGGACTGCATTTTCCAACAGCACCCCAACCAAACGCGGATCCTGGCTTGGCATCCCACAATGCCAAGCCTGCTGTCAAGCTAAGCTATCGATATCAACGTCCTAGCTGCAGCCAAGCTAGCAGGCACCATACGCTAACCACCATCCAAACATCTTCATCTACATCTACATCTACATCCATCTCATTGAATAAGAACTACCAAGATGGATTCCCTAGATGCGCCATGTTTTATCAATTTGCTCCCCACCGAACTGCTCTACCGTATCTTCACAACGATCGATGAGCCTAAAACCCTTTGTCGAGCGGAACGGACATGCCATCGCTGGCAGTCAATTATCAACAGTCAAGCCCTTTGGCGAAATCTTGCAACAAAGATTTCAAGCGCAAGGATTCTCCCAGAGCGATTCAATGAGCTAGGAAAAGGTAGCTTGATTGCGGGCAGATACGTCGTTGACGAAGAAGGCGGTCACTGGCATTACATGTACAGAGACCTCGTTCGAAACATACACTGTCTCAACCGCATTCCTAATTCCAGTCATGACCGTTCACCCCTAACAAAAGATGAAAAGAATTTGGAAAATAAGGATGGTCTAGAAATACTCCAAGTTGTCTCGTCGATGTCTGACCTCTCGGAGTTACCTAAAGACTACGGTGGGAGTAAGGATGCCTATGTCACTCGCAAGATCGATTTAACATCATCCGCCATCGAAGGAATGAGGCTCCAACCTAGGCCGTTGGTAATATCTAAAACACCTCCGTTCACAGACTCTCTTTGTCCTGGCGAGACTTCATTCGATGAGACGGCATGGGTTTACTATGCAGACCAACTTGCATTATGGCCTCGGCCCCACCGTGAAATCATTTTCGAGACACGGACGGCAGACAAATGCCACACCACTATCCAGAAAGGTGTACTCAGATCAGGTGTAAACGGTATTTTTGGCGAAGGAAAGTGGTCTTGGATTGACCCAGAGAAGACCGAGAGCCAATGTGATCAGCCAACAGCTCTGGATCCGGTGGCAGAAGACGCGAAAGGTGGATTATCTTCGAGTGAACAAAAGAAGCCTTGGAAGGTATTTACTACGAAGTCGAAATCAACTTCTTCCTCGATTGCACCCTCATCAACAATCAGCGCTACAGCTAACAACCGGAATCCTCAGGACGGGACAAATTCAGATGAAACCGCGACAGCTATTGCGAAGGAGATCGCAGGTTTATCCACCACAGAAATAGCCCCGATTCTCAAACAGGGATCCCCGACTAAACCTCTATACCCTGAAGGTCTTCTAAAATGGGCTGCATCCATCGATTCGCCCAATACTTTGCCCCACGCACGGCGCTGGGACCCGAATCACACAGTTTTTAGCTCGTACCGAAATAAATTTAATCTGACACGCGAAAGCAACCCAGAATGTGCAACCCCTCAAGCAGTCGAGAGCGTAATAAACACTTTATTCGGCGAGGCATCAAGTCAAGCCCACTCAGATCCTAATCTCAGGATAAATTACCGACGTATTGGGTCTGGTTTTCCAGACATGGTTGCTATAAAGGTAGATCGACTCGCCCTACCACCGTCCCTATCTGTTCAGAAAGACCCGACCCACCCTGCAGAGCCTATTCCTACGGTCAACCAAAGCTGGAATCTTTTTGGTGGTGCCAAGTGGAGTTTGAACTCTGTGTCCTTTCTTAATGAAATCGAGGCTTTAGAGATGGAACAAAAAGATGGCACAACAAGTTCGCCCTCCGAACCTTGGTGGTTTCATGAAACCCGCTATCAGACAGGAGAACAAGAACCCCCTCACGTATGGGAGACTTCTCATAAATGGGAGTACCGCAGTTGCGGCGACTATCTCATCATTTCCGACGATATCGGAATGTCTGGTCCATGCACTATCAGTTGCTTCAAAACTGGTTATCACAACGAGAAATCCACAGCTAATCCCACAACGTACCTTCGTGGTGCTGCTCTCCGAAACTACCTCGCTGCTGGCCCATCCTCAGACCTAATCTGGCAGAAATCTTTGAAAAGTGGAGGCTTCATTCTAGACCTAGCGAGTGCAGCTCCAGTACATTCACTTGAACACCCTGACCTCGACCGGGGTCGTCCATCTTACTTCCTGGATAACGATGGACTTACCCTAAACTCAAAGGTTGTCGTTTACGCAACCCGCAAAAAAGTCTTCTACACCCTCAGCTATGATAATACAATCATGTTGGAAGGTTCCGGACAATCGCTCACTTGCATGGAGTTCCATGTCATCGCTATAGAAACCGGCCACACCATAAATATTCTCGACTTAGAACACGAAACCCGTACCCTCGAACTTTATGGTGCATCTTGGTACGGGTGGGCCAGTTTTGTAATGAGCGATACACACCTAATTGCAACTGTCGGTGGTCACATCCATGAAGATCAAGGCGCCGAACAAATGGAAAATTCCATTGCTCCAACATGGACTCGTGACGATAGATATGGTCGAGAGGAAGTATTTATTTGGCCTTTGGACACCCCAAGTCAGAACATGTCTCTAGCACCGGAGGAAAGAAAGATTTTCCCAACAGGAAGGCTGGCAGTCGGCTTTAACAAGCATAAATGGTGGCATAGGGATCGTTACTTGAGTCTAAGCAGAGATGGGAGATTTTTGGCTGTTTCATCGAAATACACGCTGGTAGTATGGGACCTTTGGCTAGGCGATCAGGACGGTGTCGTTCACTACTTCGAACAATACAGTAGGTTTCTCTAAATCATTTTATGATATACCATTCACTCGAACTAACATTCTATAATCGACAGTGAACGGACTACAAGGATATGAAATGTCAAAAGCTGGTGATGTAGCATGGAATGGTATATGGTTACAATACCGCGATATAGTTGTTGACCCAAGCCGCAAGACCTTCACAAACTCAAACCCAAACTATGAGCACGAACTCTTAAGAAAAGTTATATTCATCCCAAACAACGAAATCCGTCTACTACTTCGAAGCAGTGCCTCCGAATTCACAAATACCGAGGAAGGGAAACAAGCACTCAAGGAACTGGACCTTAAACTAACCCGACGGTATCTACCAAGTAGCGACTCCGACAGTGATGAGACTAGCGATAGTTGGACTACAGACGACGACGATGATGGGGATTATGAAAGTGACAGTGACGATGACTACGATTCTGATGGCGGGGGCTTTCGGAGTCAGATGTACATGGATGACGGTGATTGGGACGGTGAAGGGGATTATGATCCGGATTATGGAAGTGATGACGATGACGACGACGATAATAATGATGATGATTCTGGCGACGGTATACAGGGGTCCGGATATACCGTTCAGCACGTGAACCCACCAAGTGAAAGTCGAGACCAGCCTCCGAAAGTTAAGAAGCGAAAGTTGGAAGCGACTGAAACCGAGGCCGGAGAATCAAGTGCCGCGGGTAGGAGTCAGGCTCCCGTCCCTGTCGTCGGGTGGGGTGATGCAGAGAAGGGTGGCGATGGAAAGGGGGACGGTTGGGGTACTGATAGTTCTGGAGGACTCGATGTATCTTGGTAAATATCCCCCTTTTTCTTGTGATTTATAACCAGAAGATGGAGCATTATTCGGAAGATCTTTTTATTCAAACTTCCGTACTATTGATGGTATATGCATGCGTTTAGCAGCGAGCATTCATATCATAAGAAACTTAGCTTGCTACATAGTCCAGAAAACAAACCATAACACGGTTTGAACTAAGATAGCACCTCACATTCAGAAGCATAATAATAACAATTATGATGAAAATTAAAATAAACCCCACAATCCGCTTTTCTTTTTTACGTACAAGTAGCTCAATCGTTTTCCGTGAGAAGAAGAAAGAAAAGATATGTAAATACGGTAAAAGGGACAAGTAATCACAGTGAATCAAAAAAAAAAAAGACAATAGCCCAGTTCCTCCTCAAAATCCATACATACCCCCACCACCCCCAAGAAACCCCGATACAATCTCTATACCCAAGCCAGTGAAAACTTGGACTTTCTCTGCAGGCGTAAGAGAAGGCTCGGTTGGAGGCGGAGGATCAGGACCACTGCTAGAAGACGTTCCTCCGGATCCCAAAGCCTGATTCTACCAGTAAGCGGGGCGTAGTCCCGTTAAGCCACTCAAATCGTCTGAATGATCGTCCTTTTTGCGCTGACCAGACACCTATACAGAATTTATCATGTATTAGCATTCATATATCCAATACATTTTGAAAGGGGTGACAGGCCGAAGAGGAGGGAGGCGGCAATAATTTTGAATAAATAAGAAAAAAAGAGTGTGTGCGTTCCATTTTGTTACAAGGTGCTATGCATATGCGGATATACGGAGGAACATTCAATCATCGAGCCCGAGCTCCTTTCGTCTATGGTATGGATACCCACCCGACCACGATCGCAAAAAAAAGAGTCTCCATCAAAAAATAAATAAATAGAAAGTCCAGGTCAAAGTGTAAAATGACGGTTGAACTACGGACGATATTAAAAAATCGCAAAGCCTTTGCCTTCCTTCTCTAAAGCAACTTTACTCACCTCAAGCTGCACATTCCTATGTATCGCAACCAACCAATCAACATAACTCTGCGCCTCATTATTTCGGTCTTCGACGAGTAGACCCGCGAATTCGAATTCGCTTCCATCCAAGCCTTGCCTGGCGAGCATGATGGTAATCTTTCTGCCAGCCCTTCGTTCTTCCATCCATCGTACTAGGTTTCGAGTTTGGGCATTGAGATGTGTTTCCAATACCGGGATAATTTCAGGTGCGAAGGGGTCGAGTGCTTGTAAGGTCTGTTTGCCTTCGCCAAATAAGTCCTCTATAAGGTTGGGAGAGACGTTTGCATGAAGCCATAGGAGACAAGTTTGACCATTATCGACGAGGTAAGCCCCGCCCTCTTCAATCCGCGAGAAGGATGCACGAACTTGGGTCGGAATGGAGAGGAGACCGGTTGTTGCATCTGGGAATCCTTGCTCAGGCTCAAGGGAATGAATAGGAAGTATTCTAGGGTAAAGGTAAGACATAAGTTCGGAAGGTGGCATCTGCTTAATCAGGCGCATGGCATGAGTTCGCATATCGCTGGAAATGGGACCGGCTGTAGGTTATAATATTAGCACTGCCATTGATATCAAACTCGACACGAAGGGGTATACCTCTGAATGCTCTGCATTTGATGAGAGAGAGCATGTACATTGCAAATTCCTTCAGACCTTCTGGAAGAACCAGCTGGCCTGGAGGGGTGCCGGTCGAGAAATGCTTGCGGTAATTAGCCAAGATTTCGATACACTTGTCCGTGATACTCTGGCGGATATCTTTAAGGTTTCGGTCAACCATCTTGTTGGCAGCTGTAGAAAATTAGATCAGCATCGGTTCTGGTTTAGCAGCCATAATGATGTTACTATACCTTCTTTCGCGATTATCGAAACAACTGCCTCCTGGTCTACGAAGCGGAGAACTTCCCTTCCAACTTCCGTGACTGCTGCAACAATGTTCTGCACCCTGACTCTTCTCTCTCCGCTAGCCGTAGTATACAACAGTGCGCTCTGGAAATGCGCATCTAGTTTTGGATCCAACTTGCCATCATACGTAAACATAACCGAAATACTCTTATCAGCATCGATAGCACCCATCTCCAAATCTCCTTGGAAGGTCTTTTGCAAGAAATTCCCGTGGTAAGAGTTAACCTGAAGGCCGTTTGAACATCGAACTTTCATCAATGCCTGGAAACCATTTTCGCGGGTTATCGCATGTGCAAACTCCTTCTCAACCTTAGGCCCGTCGCGCGTAGCCACAAAGTTAGGGAAAAAGAAGGTGTCTCCGCCTGATGTTGCTGACAAATGACCAAGGGTCGCTACATCGATGTATGTTGAAGGACCAAGCATCATATCGATACCAATGCCACTGTCTACAAGCTTCTTGGCGAGCGCGATATAAGTAGGATTGTCTGTTTTAAAGAGCTGACGTTCCTTTTCACCTGCGTGTGTATTCGGGTCGTCACGCATAACCAAGCTGCCATGGACTTTTAATGTGGGGAGGGTAGTCATGCAGCACATTATGCGGCCACCAGTAGCTTCTAGAGCAGATACTGCGGCTGTAAGAACTGGGAGTATAGCAGTTTCGTGAACGCGGGTGTGTTCATGGAGGGTTGGGAGAAGATCGAGAAGAGCTTCAATTTGAGTCCTAGCTGGTGTTAGATCAAGTCGCCGCCTTCAAGTCCGTGAAACGTACCTTGATTCATATGGATCGACGAAAAGACCATCTTCAAGAGGAACGAACGGTTCTTCCAGGTCCGTCATCATCATGAGTTGTGCGGTATCCAATTTCGGCTACACGATTGTGAGTAAAACCCTTGTGAAATAAGACAGCTCTTCCTTAGCTTACGCTCAAATTATAAAATCCAATGTCCTTATCAAACGTGACAATACCAATCCTACATCCCTTAGGTAACTTTCTACCCTTGATTTGTGTCGTCGGCTCTCCGTTCTCATCAGGTTCACCTTCTTCCTCTTCAACGCCGTCATACAAGGCTGCCTTGATCGATTTCGCAACAACGTGTGTCCACCCTTTATCAATTGCCTCTTTGCTTGTCTCGATGAGAAAGAGGTATCGTAAAGGTGTTGGTGGTTTAGCCCAGTACTCCTTAGGTACCACGAACTCCACCGTCCCTCTCGATAACTCTGGTCTCGAATCGCGATCTATCCTCCGCCCCTGGGCATCTATCGGCTGATAATACTCTGGCGAAACTTCGTTGTTAGGGAAGAGACACATGTTGCAAACGAACTTAGCACCAGAGCCGGTGAATTGCATGAAAGGGTTGATGTAGGTTCTACACCTGCGACAACGTGGTGGACCAGTATCTCCGAAATCCAAAACCGGTACAGGACCTTCTTCAGGCTTCTGCGCAGCAAGTGGGGTAAGGATCAGAGATAGAGGTAGGCCAGTTTGGGCGAGGAGTTCAGTATTCGCAGGGACATTGTTGAGGGTCATTCGGGCAAACTTGGGTGAAGAGTTGCCTTGATCATGAGCCATGAAATCAGTAGTCGCGGGAGGAGGATGGTGGCGCTCCAGAGTTGGGTATATTTGCGAATCGGCATACTTCTGGGCGCTTTCACGAGCCTCGGGTATAGATGGGATAGCATCGGGATCGACTCTGTGCTGTGCGCCTGGGCCGGATCCGGTAGGCGGGTGTATCGCAGCGCTGTATTCCCCCAATTGCCCACCAGAAGGTGCGCTGAGACCGGTCGGTGCTTGGAAGCCACTAGTCGGTGCTTGGAAACCACTAGACGGTACATATGGAGATGGTGCAGGAGCGCTAAATTGTGGTTGCCCGAATCCTGGGGACACTTGTCCTTGCAAACCAGGTGTTACGAACCCCGAGCCAGCATCATGAGGCAGCATAGGGGGTCCAGGAACAAATCCAGCAGCCGGAGAAACATCCATAGTACCCATTGCTGATGTAGAGTCCACAGTATGATACGCTCTTGCTTTCTTCTTCTTCCCATGAGCTGCTACATGTTGTTCCGTCCCTGCTCCTCCTAGATGCATCCCGCCCATACCAGCAGCCAACCCCCCAACGTCATGTCCACCAGGAGCACCCGACCCATACAGCATGCCCGGTGTATCTGGTGGATGCATTGGTGGACTAGGTTGGCCATATTGATTTTGGCCAGCGCCATACCCGTATGGCTGTTGTTGATGTGGAGCGCCATGTTGTTGATAAGGAGAAGAACCGTGTGGCGGTCCACCTTGCTGATATTGGCCACCTGGCGGAGGTGGCATAGGAGGCCTATTCGAGGCATTGGGATCGTTCGGAATATGTGAATTGGAGTAATTGTACATTGTGGCGGTGAATATGCCCTGACGAAGGGCGAATTTACGATATGCCTAGGCAGCTCCAGTGGGGTCTCTGTTAGCTAAGAATGTCGAGAACAACAGCAGCGAAAATCAACCAACAGCTACACCAAAATAGGGGGCTTACGAGACCAGATAGATGATGCAGAGATGCTATGAAGGAATGGCGATGCTACGAAGCGGATTTGAAGGACGAAGTCGGAAAGGTAATGGTAATTGGATGCAGCTAAAATTTGGGCCACCGTAGCTCCACACAAGTTGTCGCTGTGGCATCGACGCAGACGCACCGCCACCTTTACAATTCACTAGCCACGCCGACGTCACGCCACGCCAAAAAGATTACCACACAGCAACACATATTCCAGCCTCAAACAACACATGACTACAGTTTAAACAACGGATCTCATTTGGGTAGTAGACATATACAGAGGATAGATATAATCAGATTCAAACCTGAGGTTAGACTACTGGCAGCAAGCTCCGCTCCCGCTAGAAGAGTGAACTGCAGCGACTTCACCATCACCGCCAATCTCCGCCTCTACTCCACCTTGTTTATGATTGTTTCCGTCCACATTCAGTAAAACTGACTTGTTGATTGATTGTCTGTGAAACCAGTACTGCAGTTAGCATCTGATTGCAATTATGTATTTCTCGAACTCTCAAGAAGGATTGTACGTACGTCGAAGGGGGCAAGTCCAACGCTGGGTTCTTATCAAAGAAATTGACGGGTTTCAGGTGGACTCTTAGTGTCTCAACCGGCATCACGGGGCTATTGAGGTTTTAGGTGGTTAGTCTTTCATAAAATACCAAAGCTTATCACTAAATAATCAAAACTTACAAGTCCTCAATTCTAGGAATATGGTTGATTCCAAATTGAACCCAAACAACGATGTCATCTCCCTCTTCAGTATCGAACTTCGTCCCTCTCTTAACCCACTCTCTAATACCATGCCCACCACGGCTCTGGTTTGTATACATTCCAGCTGCATAAAGCTCCCAGTCTTTGTATTTCGTTACGTACACCGCCTTATCCGCAAACTCCGCCCGTTTGAAATGGTAGCTATCCGGCGATGCCAACAGCTTTTGGAACGGTGGTGCCTGGATCTTATATCCCACTGGCTTGTTGTTGACCGGATTGAGATGCTTTGGATTTTGGATCTTAAAAACACGATTGTTCTCTGGTGATTCTAGGAAGCCTCCTTCAGTTTCGACCTTGGTTTCGGTGATGTAGTAACCAGTTCCAAAAGGGTTGAAAGGATCATCGCGTTCCATCGGTTTGGCTTCTTCATAGATAACCTTGTTACCGAATCCATCGATAGCAGGGTCGATTCTCAGGGAGAAGATATGCTGATGATGTTGGGCTAAAACTCCAGGATGAACAATGGTACCAAAATTTGGACAATCCTTAATCTCGGGGTCAAGAGGCGCAGTCGACAAAATACCAGTCGCCCTGACCTCATAAGACAGTTCACCAGCGGTGTTGAAGATAAAGGCGAAGATATACTCGTAATTCGCGACGGTAATGATGCTTTGGAGAACTAACTCTCGCATACGAGAAATAACGGAGTTCCCGGTTCGGTAGTTCATATGCTTGAATTGGATGCCAGCATCTTGTTCGTGGACGCAAATACAGTTCTCCATGACTACTGGCTCGCCCTTATCGTCTGCGATTGGGAAGCTGAGATATGCAATTGTTCCAAGGCAGTCGCAACCGAGTTTAAGATTGTTCGCCATCAACCTGTCGTGCGTAATTGTTAATACTCGTTTTAGGAATCTTTGTTATTAATAGACGCAGAGAAATACCCAGCGCCAGCATCTCCCAAATCAAAAGCCTGCTTCCGATGATACGGCTTCCTAGGGTCCGCATATGGAATCGCCATATCCGATAGTGACAACCTATAGAAAACATCTCGTCCGTCATAGCTGACGTTATAAATCACCATACCCTCACGATGATTGAATCCGACTCTGAACTTCCACTTTTGCCATTCGAGTTCCTCGCCATTTTTGGAGAACCTAAAGGACACACCCTCCGGCTGGATGATATTCAATGGTTTAAGGTCTGTTCTGAGCTTTTGGTGCTCAGGTGTGTATTCGTTGAGGATCGGTTTATGAGGCTTATAATCGGTGATAGTATCGTCGATTCCAGTTGGTAGTCTATCAATTCTAACAACCTTTCTAGTAGCAACATCAACAACCGGGGAAATCGGTATCGGATTGGCGTAGTGGTTGCCATCTGCATTGTCCTTGGATCGGGAATAGAGATAGCATTGCCATTGCTTTCGTTCGTCATCGACACCATCAGATCCTAGGACACCAACAATTAGAAGCCGTATTAATATTCGACATCCATGCCGCATGTACATGCATACCATAGATCCAAGGATCCGCACTAGCGAGATAACACCATTATCAGTATACTAATCCAAGACTCCAAGGTTTTTGTAGATTTTTGGAGGGATGGTGCCTACATTACGATAGTACCCTCAGGTAGCTGAAGCTTCGCAATTTCAGCCTGAACACCCTCATCCGCCAGGCAGACCCTCTCCATCTCCATGACCTCCTCCCCATCGGCGCATGAGTGAAGACCCTCAAGTTTTGTCTTGTACTCGAAGGTTCCGGTCCCCAAGTTGATAACGGTTTCGAAAATATCCGGCTATTATATAATCAAGCCCAGCGTCAGGATTGGTTACACCATTTCCAGGATTATGCATGGATACCATCCATGGACCTATTATCAACAGCCTTGCTTACCGTCCTGGCAATATAGTAAACTACAAACGCCTTGCGGTCAATTTGTGGTTTCAACCCTTCCTCGGCTTTCAACCACTCCTTCATAACCTCCTTCTCGGGTTCTCGCAATGTAACACATTTAAAGTTAAGCTCCACACCGGGATACTCGTTTTTGACCAACCCAGCAGCTTGCGTTATTTCCTGAACAGTCAACGGGGAAAACGGATGCAGAATCCGCTCAGCCTTGATATTGATCACCTGCTCAACCCGCGCAGGAAGGCTATTGGACGCCGGCATGATTTCGATAGCTAGACGAGGAGGGTGTGTGGCTGTATTACTATTGGACTGGGGTTTCGACTGGGTAAAAAGGCGTTCTTTGCGGTTGCGGTGGATTAGGCTATGCCGCGCGGTCGATTTGTGATGTGACGACTGGAATGCCTGTTATGCAGCTCTGGGCTGTGCTTATAGCGGACGATGCAGCAAACTTTTTTCTCGATCAAGATCGCGGAGAAGCTCGGATTAATGATAATCCCCAAGACCAGACGAATGTTGTGAGTATACTTTGTACACGGCACAGATATCCCCTGCTTGTACGTGGCAAAAAGCGGTGGACCCGATGATCAATGAATCCGATTCCTATATGATAAGGGATATCATATAAAGAATTTCAGACGAAAATACCTACTTTCGCAAGCTATATACGTCGAACTTCATCCGATCTCGGATACCAAACGGAAAGGTTTTCAGAAAGAATTGTCGTAAAATCCACAAAGGTCCAAAGGAAAATATGGTTTACTACGACCGTGTTTTCACGGGCTGCCGATATCGAATACAGTATCAATTACGCGGCTCTGGAATAGCCGTAAGCTTTAGAGCTCCCCAGATATCAAAAACTTTGATTCGGTGATTGATAATGGCTGAAGGAGGGACCTGCCAATTCGGTCATGGTTACTCAAAGCGTTACAGAAGGTCAACGGCTACGGTGCAAGGCGAGTGGATGCAACCTTGATACGACGACAAACTCATTATTAGGCATTCTCGCCTATCTGTGGTTCAGAACGGCCCCTGCCCCCTCGGCTGGACTTGCCAGAGAGAGCTAGTCAGGGCCGGATGGCCATTTGTTGTTCTCGCGCGAGACATTATCAGAAGCTGGTATTCTGAGGCCTGGCCTAGGCATGTTGCGGATATCATGAAAATATATCCTCGTGATATATATCATGACCCTTAAAGATAATTGATACGATATCAAACCGCAATGTAAACATCGCGTCGTCGAATACGAGCACACCACAAAACAGCCATCGGGCTAAAGCTTCGCGATCGCAATTAATGCAATTAATTTTAATCCACCACACATGTCCTGAGAATCGTGATATCCAGGGCAAGTTCCTCTTCTTGGCATGGTTGGCAAAATTAAATCGCAGCAGCTATGAACTCGGACGCTCAAGCCCCGCCACTGTGACCCCCAACTTTATATATCGTGGTCCATCACATCCAGGAGGTCTGTGGCAACCAAATCCACAATGTTTGGGGGCGCAAATTTTTTTTCCCAACATTTAAAACCTATAAATCCTATGGCCTGTCTATACGAGTCAGCCTCCCGACTCGAACATCCGAATCCATCTTCCATCGGCAAAGTCCCCAACCCGATTCAATCTTTTAGCTTAGCTTTGAACTAGCCAGGCTCATGTATGTACGTACATTATGTACTACGCGGAATACTCTGTATTCTGCAGAGCATTGCATTCCAGCACCTACATTTCAGGAGCATCACTATTAACTCTCCTTCAGGATAGGAAACAACCGCCACACGGGACACCAAAAGCTTAAAACCACGCAGAAACGGAAAAGAAATGAAAAGAAAGAGCTCCCGGCTAGTGGTTGTGCTTCCCCGCACTAATCCCTGAGGGTCAAAAACCTCAAGCATTCAATGGACAAAAAAAGCGTTCAACTTGCAACTTCGGAGAACCAAAAGAAAAAAAAAAAGTTTACAAGGACAGCAGAAAATAGAGCTTGCTCTTGGTTTCCTCTTACGTGGAACTTAGATAACTGGCGAATTTTCTAGACGTAATGTGAAAACGGGCTGATAACGCCATAATGACAGGACAGGTGTGTTTGAAGGCAGTTAGCGAGGGAGACCCTGTTCATCGAAACGAGCATCAAACCTTTAAATTTTTCTCACAAAAAAAAGACCACCTTGATGCTTCTCTCTCGTATCGAATCGAAGAAAACGGGTATTAACATTCCGCGGCACCGGCCGACGCAGCCCAAGTATGAAGTAGTAAGGGGATAATAAACAGTGCAATTTATGAAGTGGGGATATAAAAACCACAAAATATAGCAAGATGCATTGAAAGGGACCGCCAGTGTGAAATTGGAAGTGAAAGGTGGCATTCGTATCTGTGCATAACCTCTGCTTTGATTCAAACATGGAAAATTCCTTCACACGGTGATTGTTTCAACAAAAAAAAAAAAAAAAAAAAAAGGCGGCTGAATGGATGGGGAATTATACGTATCGATAGGACTGTCAACATAGGGCCTAAGTTAAGAGGCACCTATAAAGATCTCGAGTTATAGTGTCTGGTTCGCTGGACGTGCAGTGTGGGAACAAGAAACACACGTGCATTTAATCACATTCCGGCAATTGCCAACTATGCAGACTTTCGGTTTTCGTGCAGAACATTCGACAACTCTTCCAACCCTTCGTCGAGCCGCCGGTGGGATTTCACGTGCATAACAATCCAAATATACCCCTCTTAGATAATGTAATGTACGTACTTGTTTAAGTACGTACTTAAAGTACCTAAAGACATCAGATACAAAATATTAAGCAATGACATCACAAGGCGGGAAGGAGAACCCGTGCGGAGAACCTTGTCAGTGATCCGGTCGACTCGCCTCTACTGGGATTCCGGACAACCAAGCGAGAGTGTCTCAGCCAGGTTGGAGTTGTTAGTAAGTACATGTACATGTACCTACTTACCTTACTCACATACATGCATACGACAACATTAAAAAAAAAAGAAGAGAGAGAGAGAAGAAGAGTAGGAGGAAGTGTAAGAGGATGAGGATGGGGGTATGAGAGATCGGGAAAACTTTTGTCCTAGCGAAACAAGATCGATATGAATTCGGCGATTCAACAAACTTAATAGTGCAAATATTTTCTATGCAGGTAATGCAAAGTTACTAATATGATATCGATGACTTGCAACTTAGCTTGGTTCCCGTGTCATATGTAGGCCGAATATTTCTAGTGCCCCGAGTGTATGTCCATAGTTATTTTGTACTTACTGCACTACCTACTTGCTACCCGATTTTCAAATAGACACCAATGTCGATACTCAATCTCGCGCATATAGGACTATCAGGAATGTTCAGGCCCAGAAACCAACTGATCATGAGGGAGACAGATTTTTGTCTACATACATCTTGAATAGAATTTGGTATCTTTGTATATGTGTGCGGAAGAATTCTACAGAAGCAGAGAGCCTCTTCTTTCTAAGTATCAATGCAGCTAGCTAATACCCTCCAAATAACATGCAAAAGTGTATGCAGGGAGGTTCGCCATGTAGAAGAGGATCGGGGGTGCTAGTTTTGAACTCCGTAAAGCATGCGTACCAGGCACTACTAACCCGATTAGCGGAACTCAAATAAAGATAAAGAAAAGAAAAGAAAGAGAAAAAAAAAGCAAGATATATATCATGCATTGATGAATGCACCGATCAATGTATCATGATGAATGAGAGTTGAAATAAGAACTAAAATTCAATTTTTCACCAAACCCAAGTAGCTCCTACCCATATGAAAGTTTCTTTTCCAAACACACCCTCCCGGACTCCAAAGATCCAATAAAACGAATGAATGAAAGGCATTCGACAAAGGAAATAGAAGGAGGGAAAGGAATTCGTATTCAGACGGACGTCAGAATTGTGTTTTTATTTGCTTTGCTTTGCTTGCTATGCTGTAATGAGGAGATTGTGAAAACATATATTCATGCGATGCTCCAAACCACCAACTCCATAATGATAGTTGAAAATGAAAGGTAGAAGATATGAAAATCAGCTGGGCTAATGTACTGTGCAACACAAAAAGAAAAAGATAAACAGAAGGGCGATATGTCAGATTATAAACGAACAGCGACCGAGGAAGATGGAAAGGACAAGAGGGAACAAAAAAAAACAGAAAATATTACAGCCAAAATCATAAGCATTTATCATGATGAGAATAACTTGCGTATTGGGGGTACTCAGAGTATAATGTATCACAAAACATCCACAAACGCCACCTCTGCTCTGATATTTTGGGGGGATGATGCTGAACAAAAAACACGATGAGAAACTAAAAAAGAATACTCGCACAAAGAATGGTACAGGTGGAATTGAAGACGCACTGGTTGTTCCCACTTGAGGGAGGACTATGATCGCACCGCATTCGAAGAGGGCGAATAAGTTGAGCCTTCCTAAGTTCCCAGTCGCTTAAGATCCTAGGAAAGAAGAAAGTTGTAACCAAAGTCTTGGATGATTTTTTCCCAATCCCAGCTGGTCTCATCCTCCGCGTCCATGAGGTCCCAGATCCTCTCAACAACTTTCTGGGCATGGAATGCGTTCTGTAGACCTGCAGTCTTCATTTCTTCCAACTTTCTGCTAATCTCAGGGCGTTGCTCAATGTCGAACGCAGCACAACCCAACAAAAATACTGGCATGAGCAAGACGCCATAGCTGTATAAGCCAGGTGGAAGAGCTGCAAGGCACTTAAGGCCTTCGTCCACGGCATTCCTTATCTTAGGATCTGGTACAGAGCGCTGCACAGTCCTATAAAGGTATATCCAAGTAACTTGCTGGTAGAGCATAGCGTAGAAGCCTCGATAGGGTTGTGAAGGGTTTTGGTTCGGTTTCCAGGTTCGAACCTGTTCATCAATCTCGACAGCTTTACTAAGCATCACTTCATCTATCGTGGGGTATAGGCCATCTGCCTTCCGTTTTCGAATCATATCCCGAAGAGCGGTGATGCGAGAAATATTTTCGAATAACTGGTTTAGGGTTCCTATCAGGGTTCCCGCTTCGCTACTCTGTTCAACGTGCTCCTTGGTAGTAACCTGAGTAGATGCTTCTGGCATAAAGGGCGCAGGCGGAGCTAGCCCAGCCGGGGCACGGCCAAACGTACTAAGATCGAGCGTGGGTCTCCTAGTCATGTTCGTCATGCCGTCGAGGACAAGATGATAGTAGAAAAACTCAATAAAGAATCTTGCGAACTTGAGCTCATGAGGCTCAGTGTCCTTTGCCTTGGCTCTAGCATTCATTTTGTCGGCGACAGAGTTTAGATAGTCCATATGGGTGCGGTGAGCACCGGTGTTGTCCCCCTCACCGATAGCCTCAAGGCAAAGAACGATAGTAGTTGCCACTGTCGAGTCGTCAATCACAGATCCCTCCTGCAGGGTCAAGCTGTTGATACCTTGTGTCAAAATCCGGATAGCGAGGTCTTTATGATGGTATTGGGCGTTTCTGACAGATGGGTCTGTTTTTGCTAAGTGAGAGGCGGCTAAACAGAGCATAGAATGCATAAGGCCGCTGTTATCGATAGCGAGAGGTAGCAAAACCTCTTTGAAGGTCCTGCCCTCTTCACCCAGGTGGGAGAAGACAGAGCTGACAGTCACAACGAAGTGGTTGAGGAGTTTCCGGTCAAGGTCTGACTCAACCCCTTCGATCAGAGCAGGTAGTGTTGGTTGAAAAGGGATCCTATGGTTGGCGTCTAGATGGCATGAAAAAGTCAGAAATGAAATAATAAAGGACAAATAACGGCAACCAACCTCTACCGGACCTCCAATAGGTTTTTGGGCTATACCCTTCGCACACATACCCATTTTTCCCACAGTTATTACCTATCACCGACAAGATTAGTTTATTGACTGAACTTCAAGAAACAGAGCCTCTTACACTCTGGTTTGCCTTCATCACATTTCTTCTTTCGCTTCCTGCATGTCAAGCATCCCGTCTTAGATCTTCCTTTAGCAACCTTGCTTTTAGGCTCAGGAGGGTTTGGAGGATTCTTTCGTGGCCGTCCACGGGGACGTTTAATTGGCTGCTGCGGTACGAGCGATGTCGGTGTTATATCCTCGGTCTTAAGGTCGAGTTCAAATTTGGGTTCCGTGGTTGTTTCAGCCTTAATTTCTTGCTGAGGAGGAGAAGCCTCGGTGTCAGCTACATCTCCATTGTCCTCATTTTCATCACTGGATGTTAAGAAAGCAGGTGTAAAGGGCTCCTCTTTGACAGAGCTTGCACTTGATGCCGCATAGGTTGACTGGGCAGATGCAGAACCAGTATATGATGAATAGGCTGGATTAACGTTGAGTGATGAGGTAGGTGATATAGAAAAGGTTGTGGCAGACGAGGGGGTCACCGATCCAGCAGAATAATCTCCATTAGAAGAACATGTTGTTGAGCATATGGATAATCTCAATCCGTGGGGTTTGTTAGACCTTGGTGACATGGTTGTATTCCCAAAAAATATCCTCTTATTTCCCTGAGATAATATTCAGCTCGTCAATAACGAACCATGAATAGTCGATAGTTGTAACGACCAATAGCCTGATCAGCAGGTCGGTTGATCACTTGAAGTGGCGATTGGATAGGCCGTCGGTATGAGTAGATAGTTTAGATGTTTCGTTGTATATTCTAGCTAAGATTGTTCAAAGCTAGTGGGAGTTGGCTCGAAGTGTTGCTGATAGTGGTTCGTTTGGATCGGCTGGCAGGTTGATGGGTCAAACCCAAGACGGACACAAGCCGGATATGTGCGGTTTAAAAGCTTCGAGGCGGGAAGGGTTTTTATATCTTGAGCGGGGGGACCAAGGTCCAGTGTTAGTTCGGTCCAAGAAATCGTTTAGTCAATCCAATTGGTGGTATTTCCAATTCAAACTTACATTTCGAGGTATGATCGCAGGCTTCAATGTGCCGCTATGTATGGATGTGAACCAGGGTATCAAACGTTTGTGTTGTTAGAATCGAAAGTCGTTCTTCAGATATTATTCGAGATGAGAGGTCAAGCTAATTAAGGCGATGGATGGAGGGATTAATGGGTGGATGATATGGGATGATGTTTGTATAATTGTTAATGACCTCTATGCAGAGGCCCCTTGGCTAGTATCTATCGTGCTTCTTCAACTGAAGCTGCGAACTGTTGGTATTGTCGTCTTCCTGCATAACGGATGAAGGTTGCCGGTAGGCTCTGGGATGCTTGTTCTGTGTGAGACCCTCCTGCACGAGGAAGATCAAAAGGAAAAAATTATATCAACGGGAAAAAGAAAAGAAGAACCAGTGACCACGACGACTAGCGGAAGTCGCAGAGAGAACAGAATAGTTTTCGGCCACTAGAATATAACATCCAGCTTATGCGGGTAAATGGGAGCTAGGGCAGAGGCTCGAGGGTGCGAGGGGAGGTAAACGGATCGTCGGTGTGTGTGGTGGTTTGCTGCGCTCAAGGCTTGGTAAAGGAAGAAAAACCGTGATAGTCTTTCTCTTGTGGGGTTTGGGAGGAGGAGATCATCTAAACGTGGTGGGCGACGAGAGGGACATATTATAGGAAGGACCAGTTCATGGACGGCAGCAGTAGCGTCCGGCTAGAGGGGACCAAAGCATGCGTCTTCGACTTCTTCCAGTCAGGCAAGTTTCGAAAGCTAACGAACCAGCCGGCCGCGCTGATTATCTTACGGGTGTGGTCCTTGGGGTGCTCTGGCCGGGGCATGGTGTTATTGCAATTTTAAGAATGTCGAGATATAGACTCGAGCTAGTCCTTTTTTTGACATCGTGGAGTCGCAAAGAAAAAAAAACGCTGGTCTGAGTTTCGATCACAAAAAAAAAACGGAGGGCCAATTCGCGGGCTGAGAGAGTAAAGGGCCTTGGGTCCCGCTGGCGGTGCGGTGTAGTTCGTTCGGCATGCAAGGACAGCCAGCCTGGCAAAGGAGGCGGAGGGACTGAAAGTATTCTCACACTACTCCGGACTGTAGCCTCTCTCTGACACGAGGACAAATTCAGTTGTACCTTGTACAAATATCGCGGTACCTCCTGTTATCGTATCCTGCTTGTCCTCCCGTCTGAACGGTAGACTAAAATGAGTTGGGCACTACCTCAGAGCTTGATCATGAAAACAGTTAGTGCCAGTGACGGCGCCGACCAGTGATCGAGTTGCTTCGGTCAGGGATGCCCCTGTCGGCGTCTTTGGCTTACCCAAAATACCTGTGCCTAGCTTTTGTTATCATGACATGTCGAACTCTGAGATATGCGGCCGTTCAAATTGAACCCATCCGATGCAGCATTGGGGAACGTCGGCAACAGGTACGAGTTACCTAAATTTGGTGTCGTTCCTCCTTGGATAGAGCCAAGCTATTTGTTTCTTCGCTGCTAGCTTTAGAATTTGTTCTTGCACGGGCGAGACCAGTTGATGGTTAGATCGATTTAAACTACCCATATAAAGGAACAGGTCCCAATTTCAGGCCCGTAGTCAACTCACGGCGGGTTCTTCCTGTCAGCATGGTGTAACCGCCCCGGATTTTCGTTCTGTAAAACCGGTTTAGCGACCCAATGGTACTGAAAGAATGACAGCCAGTTTGATTCAGGGACAATCACATTAGAAACAACCCATTCGGACTTCCCGGCGAGCTTTTTTGGAGCTAAACACTGGGACCAAGAAAGACAAAGATATGTCTATCGGTCCACCGATTGTCAAAGCCCAGCCGATCGAAATAACGGCAATTTGTCATCGATTTTCGCGTGAAGTTCCCACGACCCAACAGCCACCGTCGCATTGTTCGCTGGGCATCCGCAAACCAGAGGAGCGTTCGGTCTTAACAGAGAACGTTTTTTCTTTCTTTCTTTCCTTCTTTCCTTCACTTTTTTTTTTTTCCCGCAGTTGAATAGCACGCATCCTCGTGATATCACGATTCCCCAAGAGCGACTTCTAGCTTCTGTCGTTTTGCGTCATGTCCCCAAAACACAAGATGACAGAATGTTTCACAGCCACCAAAGCATGTCCCATAGTTCGGCCATTTATTAGAACCCTATATTAGATCCATATTAATACTTCCTTGATCTTTATAACGGGTTTGGGGCTGTTTGTATTTACTGGATACGTGTGGGACCTTCATTGAAGATGGAGCTCACAAGAAGCCTTCGTTTTAGTCCGTCTTGGACAGGTCTTACCCAAGCCTTGAGCAAGTCCCGAGCAGGTTTTGAACAAAATACCCAGTTAAGCATGTTCTGCTGATTCCGTTCCTGGCAGGTCGGACCCAAAGGTCCCTGCGCAACACCGCCTTCTTTCAATCCCTCAACTTCAGTGAGTGTATCAGGATCCGCTTGTGAACAGAGTTCAGAAGGCACGCCGACCGCTCTTTCTTTAGCGTCAACCTTTGAAAGGCAGACCCGCAAAAGCGCCCCCACCTGACATGCTGGCACTGGGCGCTTAAGTGACGGACGGATAGAGACGAGAAGGAAATCACCTGCTAATCCGGCTAATTGACCAAGCTCTCGGGGATAGATCCGATGTTGAAGTAGCTTAGTGAACGTATTCGTTGTTGGACTGGATCACCTTGAAATTAACTTTAGGGCCGTTCCGAATTCCTTGTCAAATAGTTGCATCGGCTTGCTGGCTAGCTAGCGTCGATGTATGGGCACCAGCGAGCGAACGAGGCACCCGATAACCGGTTGCAGTTGTGAGTGACGGGTCATTAGAGTGCCAGAGCTGACTGGGCTGCACTCTAACCCACCATACATATCCTATATATTCTACGTATTCAGGCATGTAATAAAGTATGTAGTCTGTAAGTACCGATGTAAGTACTTACATATAGATGCGCATACATTTCTGCACACCCGAAACCCAGGCTGAATTGATTGATTGAGGACTAGTCTCGTAGTCACGATACAGACGGCATGAAAGGGTGTGTGCGTGTGTGTCCACGTCTGGTTTTTTTTCCTTTTGAGATGGAATGATGCCTTTTTTTAGAGCCTGTGGGGAAGGTGTCGAAGAGATGGTGTGAAAGTTAGCTAGCTAGTTAGCTAAGCTACGGTGTACTGTGAGTACTTGACATGGAGCGAGGTTAACTAGGTCGTTTGGTGCCGGAGCAAGGGGGCCAATTTCGGGCTTTCGTAAGTGTCCCAGCAGCCCAATGCAACACCATACTCTGTCATCCTCATCATGCATCCACGCTAGTCTTAGCTGGACGGTCTACTCTGGATTCACGTATAACGGGACAGGATACATGTAATGTACATACTATCCTTCACGACTCTGATTTGCCGGGAGCCTGTATTTTGAATTCCATCGATGCAATGATTTAATATTTGCCTTGTTAGAGATGCATCGCATCGGCATATCTTGGAATTTGGGACGGTTTAGTGCGACACGAGCACTCAATTAGCTCGCAACCTTAAAGGCTCTCTCGCTAGCAGGTATGTACACAGTAGATTGCATGAGGTTTCCGGCTCGAATACGGGCCCGGCCCGGTCGGTGAACTAGGGACATTCCTTCACGGGCGGACGGTGCCATCACTAGCTCGATATTGAGCCGAACTAACAAGACTGTATATGTTACCAAATATATGCCCGCTTGATGCCGGCTTTGCCTCCAGACATGAGATATCGAACCCGTTATTCTTCGCCCAGGACGTCTAGGTAAGGTTTCTCCCATGCCTCTCCCTTGAGACATCTACAGCATCTTCTTTTCTTATTCGTTGACAGGCATCCTGATTACCGACGGCTCCACATTTGATACCGTTCCGCCTTCCCCGAACATGCGAAGAGGGCAGGATCAGGCCATGGATGATTATTGGCCTGTCAACCCCCCACATAGAGCCAAAGTCTAGCGAATCACACGACACGAACAGCCCTGCGCGGCTTAATTCTCTTTTCTGAGGCTACATATTTTGGTGTGAAGCTAACTGCGAGCTGGTCCAATGATGGGCAGCGCAGGTATATCCAATCCATCCATCCATCCATCGCATTGCATATTGTCATGTCGATTCCCACAACGAAAGTATGTTCTTCAAGATCGAAATTTTCGGGATAAACAGCCTGGTCGGAAATTGTATCCCATTCCTATCCGAACGCCTTCAAAAAATTGTTCATGGGCAGTTATACGACCAAATCTAAGCTTGTGTGTGAAGTTGCCGTGCATAACTAATTAAATGCCAGTTTTCAAATCCGTCGATGGTTGCTAGCTCAATATGGATGCTGCAAATCGTCAACTATTCGCAAGCTTTTCGGTCAGGAAAGGCCTGGCCTAAACTCGCCCACTAGTTATGAGAAAGTGAGTGCGAACCGCTGAACAAGCCAATCACCACTTTACCGGGACCCTGCTTTTGTTCAGGCAAGGGAAACCACCCAACGAGCATGACGAGGCAACTCGTCTCCACCCGAACAAACACGCTGGAACGGAATATGATCCGGCCAATTGGTTGAGAAAGTAAATGCTCTCGCTGGGTACCTGGGACGATGAGATCGTGCTGCAGCTGAAGAAACGGGAGACGCACGGCCCTTTGTCCTAGACTTCACACCTTGATGACTCCTTGAGGTAATTACCAGCGATGGTTCTGGAGAACCCAAGGAATCTTGAAATTCCACCCTTCGCCTACCGGTCCTATACAAGGAAAAGTGAACCACTTTAATGCGGCTGATTTACAGAGTGGAAATCTGGGGTACGAAATGCAAAAGATCGGATGCGGTCCTTGCAACCACGAAAGCTAACTCCAACGCAGATAAGCTCCCGACCAACCTATTCAATCATTTGACTGAGCAATTATGCCTCCCGAAATACAAAGCAAGAGGTGGCAATAAGAGTAAAAATCCCCTTCAGGATTATAGTTCCGTCTATCACACGGCGTGCAGAATGCAGCTAGCTTCAAGCCGCCGCCTTCTATGTACCCCAACCGCTAAACATTCCAGTCCAAAGCTCCTATTCCATTGATTTGCATGCCCCGGCCTGATAACCTTTCAACAGGGGTCTCGCCTTACCATGCGGAGAGGTGGGACCGTGAAAGACTGGTTAATTATTGGTGTTTTGCTTCGCCGTGGTCGAGCTTTTGTGTGGTATCAGTTGCGGACGCCCATAACAATATTATGACCGGCCTCCCACCTAATTATGAGAACGTAGTCAGCTCCCATGGCCGTCTTCCACATCTGCTATGTATATTTTAATGATTTGAGGCTGAAGTCGCACATCGTTAACAATGTAAACTATTGCAGTTTGCATATGATCAGCATGATTCCTGCTTTACCGAATTCAAAGACTGGGGAAAATCGCAACGTTTATGCTCTATTCCTGCACCTCTCCGCAAATGTACACACCTGCGGTAGGCTTCCATACCAAAAGCAATCATGACTTAAAGAGCTTTTCCGTGGACACTTTACGGCCGTGCTAGCTGTGCGCACTCCTCGGAGAGAAAAGAACAAGTTAATTGGCCAAGTGTCGTTCACGGCCTTAGAGTTCGGATTTGTGAGGGCGCACCGCTAATAGCTAATCTAATATTAATCACCATGCAGGTTCTCAGTCTTTTATTTATCTTCCGATCATAGAGGAAAGTGTAGGCAGGCATGGTAAGCTGCCTGAAATCGACCACCGATGGATGCTGATCTTCAAAACAAGTACCTATACCCTGCAGTCCCGAGCAAACTTTTGATAATGGTTGCCAAAAAATACATTTTACCTGCAGCTTGTTGCATGTTGTTTTACATAGTAATGGTGTGGCCGATGTGATATTTATCTTCCGGGATGCTGGGAACAGGGCGTTTGGCATGTGCAAGCAACTTCGAAGTCCGGTCAGAGTTCACACAGCCTTCTTTTAACAAGCAAACTACCAAACTTTCAGATGGAAGAACCTATCAGATATTTTGACACGTCTTCATTTTTATGCGTAATACCCTGCTACCAAAGGGAGAATCGTTTCTCCTTGTTCCTTGCACAACATCACTCCGCGCAACATGTAGACTGGCCATTAATCGGAGATATTGAGGCCTAGAAACCCCGTGTGTCCTGCATCGATGTATGTATCGATGTATCGGTCAATTTTCCAGCCTCTCCGGGGGGAATTCCGCTGCCTAGCAGTTATTATTGGTTCTATCTACTAGAAATATAACTATAACGATATACCAATATCGAACCAATGAACATCGATGCACATAACTTGCTCCTAGAACCGAGAGAACAAATTTGACCCGGTGCCGCCTTGGTCTACTTCAATCTATAGAGCGAGGGACCCCGAATTAATGAGCCATCCTCTTTCCGTACAAGCCCCCCGACATCCAGATGGCAATATATTCATAAAGCTGGCCTGGTATTCCCTAATATTCATTTTTGTTGCCCCGAACTCGGGGCATCGATCAACTGATGGTAAAACAAAACATTCAAGTTCCTTAGTCCTCTGTTAGCTCGAGGAGCCGGCGAAGCAGCTCTTGTTGGTAAGCCTCCGACTCTTTGGTCCTCGGTTTTTTGGACGGGAAGAATTCTTCTTGTTCTTCCTCGTCCAAGGGGTGATATACTCCTCCTATGCTTTCAATCCTGACCACATCAGGCAGCAAAACGTCTATATCCTTAAAGACCTCGAGGACTCCGTCCCAGGAATCTCCGACCGGCACAACGGCTGACTCCAGGTCAAGGAATACTATGTAGTACTCTTTGCCATCCGTCGCTATATGAACTGATTCATCACAAACATTGAAAGCGACAGGTTTTATATAATGTACATTATACATCTCCGAAAACCTCTTTAAATGCCTCGCTGGATATTCCCTGAGAATGTAAGGGTTGCGGGGCTCCAATCCGATAAGTCGTACCAGGCTACTCGGCCTGGGTTTGTCGACAGGCATGCCATCTTCGCCCAGCAGTTCAGGCAGGATTGGAGAATAGGCTGACTGCCTTGTAGCCTGTTCATTTTCTGTTTGGGCCGCTACTCCTCCGCAGGTGCTACCGGACGCATTGTTAACGTTGCCACCGTAAAACTCGATGGCATACTTTGTTCCCGGAGGTATCGCAGGGTTTTCGGAAAGGTCTCGTCTTCCCCACAGCTGCCAACTGGCCATCGGGGCTCGAGCAGGGGCCTTCGACGACCCGACTTGTACTACAATAGGCTAGAGTCAATAATCAAGTTTGTGTATTTCAAATGCCAAATCCCTAGCTCACCAGATTGAAAGTAAGGGTCTTTGGCTAGGTTATCACGACTTCTAATAGCCGTTTGTAATCCCAAGTATTCAGCCCCGACTTGGGTAGCTTCGTTTTCGTTCTCTTCGGCCATCTACAGGACCGATTCACCGGTTAATGCAAACTTACAACGGAAGTTTAAAACTAGAAGAATCTTCAATCATACTTCTGAGAACGAAAGCAATATCATCTAGGTAAATCGTTCAACCGGAAAGGCAATTCTGAGCAGAGAGGTGCAAGAATCGACTCCACAAGCAAGATAAAAGAAAAAAGCGCCAGATGCGTAATATAGGATTTGCGAATTCATGGATGTATCAAGACCTAGCCGTACCAACCTAATGCTGGTGGTGATCGATTGTTGTTAACTTTGGCAGGATGTCATACAAAACTTCGCACCTCTATTATGCTATATACCTAGGTACTTACTAATATAAATATAGACATGCTGCAGTAGATATTCGCATCAAAAGGATCTGCGAATGTTTGATTTTTTTTAAAAAGATCTGCTCTCTTAAAATTCGGAGATGAGTGACCTGGTCATGAGCGGATCGTTTTCCCTAGAATACTCAATATCCTGAGCAACGTTTTATAAATTGCAACAAGGCTAGCTATACATCTCATATAAGAATATAGTCTTGTAGCTACGTAGTAATACAAATTTATAACTAAGTACACTTCCCGCGAGGTTTGATATCATGATGCCGTACTGAATACATACGTCGGGCGCCCTCTTAAATTCGTAATCCCCAGATCCGGAAATAATCAAGCTCATACTCGGGCACCCATGATTGAAACCCAAGGGGTCCGTTCATCTGTCCGTTTTTTTTCCAACTGCGCAAAATTTCAGCCTAAATTCTCGCAGATCGCCAGCATCACTAACTATGCTTACAGGTTTTTTATTGGCAAAGCGTTGTCTCGTGCACTGATGTGAGGGGTACCTTGAAAATCGAAAATCGGTAACGAGAATGGACAAATTAGATTATATCAATGCCGATATATTAGAACTGCATTTTTCTTATTCTTTTCTCCCTTTTGCTTATCCCTGGTTTTTTATAACGGGAAAAGCTGTAGATCTCACACGTCTACGAATATACCAAAAGGTATCTGGTTAACATGTAATTTAATTTGAAGATAACAACAATTTTGATTTTGCAATAGACAAAACGGAAATACCCAAGTAATTTCACGACATGTGAATTGCGATAAGAACGCAGAATTTACCAAAAGCCCCATGCACAAATCAATCGGAACCCAGAGTTTATAAACTAAGCTTTCCTTACCAATTAAATTGGCACTATATATATAGACTGCAGCATTCATCTAGCGGGTAATATGTGTGTGAGTTCTATAGTACTATTATTTAAAAATGATGTAATAAGCTTAACTCTGATAGAACACCTAAGGTTCTATATATGAAGAACGCGAAAACCAAATAATTCAGATGATATAAATGAAACTCGTCAATGCCACGGTTTCGTCATGACCTTGCATGCATAATTTCAGGCAACTTTAACGTCAAGGTAAATATTTACAGAGTCTACTTACTCTCTTCGAGGCTGGCGTGTGCCCAAAAATACGACCATGCAACCGACTTACTGCAAGTAGAGAAGTACTAGAAGTATCATGAGGAATTTTGCTCGCAACTTTGTGTCATTTATCACAAAATTGTGCACCCGCCGTCGGTTAATTTTCCACGTATTGTAAGCTCTGGCCAACGAGAAGTGCAGCAACATTTTCTTTTTATCGGCGTATACTTCAAGTAGGGTTGCCGAAGAAGGAAGGAATGTAACTAAGAACTAGTGAGTCTTTGTCCACCGCAAGCACTACTGGGTACCATAGGTGTACATACATGCACACGTACCCCAAAGCCACCAAGTGAACCCGATATCAGATCTCTAGAACCCCTCTAGATCTAACGTTCCGGCGGTAAACTGCCCTTTGCTTTTTTTGGAATCTTTGGGCTGTCGTTGTCAATGAAATTCAACTGGAGAGATACGGTGATGCTTTGTGCCGTGTCTTATTTTGTGTAACCCGTACTTAGAACTCTGATCCATAGGTATGTGACAAATGAAAGCTACGAATTCCGTCACGAAATTTCGAAAACGAGCCTTATCTAAGCCGTTATACTAAGGTATCTTACTAGCTATCCGGCATAAAATATGTACATGTACCTGCGTAGCTATTGAAATAGTATAGGTCTGATACTAACTACCGCAATTAACCAGCCCATATACTTCGGTTAACATTGGATGCCGGAAAAGCTACCATAGCGTATATGCGTATTTTGCCCTTACGTTATGCCCCACTCTTTAATATGGGATCTAAGAGCTCTTTATGGTGGGAAGCTGACTTCAACCGAAACCTCGATCATATGAATAACTACCCCTAAAAGTTGAAATAATAGAAGAAGAATGAGATAAGACTACAATGCAGAGTCATGCAGCGGCATCATATAAAACAAAGCAAATAAGATATCTAGTATACTAAAATAGCGTAATATTTTGAGAAACACTTATATAATAAGATAAATTAATAGGATAGTATACCTTCACACCAGATCTACACGGTGAGATCTTAAAATGACTAGTTCACGGCTCGACTAATTGATTAGTCGCACGTGGGCTTCGCCTTAATTTGCACGACATATCGAGTACAAAAAACTGTTGAAGGTACTATATGTTCGCCGGTATGTATATGCCTTGCATATAAGCAAGTTCATTGTCACATCACATTGAAGATACCATGATAGTAAGTACCTGTAACATAATCTTTAGTATTGCGAGCTTCCTATTTGTATCTACACCCTAGCTATTAACCATTAGATCTGAACAGCCTGGCTATGTGGCCACGGCCACCTTGCTTCATGCTTCAACTCGTAACCAGCATGTCAATGGAATGTGCCAATAGATGCGCCCAATGTATCACGACATTACCAATATGCAGGCTTTGATATTGAAATGCTCCTTGCAGTTCGCGATAATTTCTATGGTGTTGCATCTAACACCTAATTTCACACGCTCACAGCGTGTTGGACAAAGTAGTTAAGCCTGTCTTGCGTATATGTGGAAAAGGGGGCGCTAATAGTAGCGGCTATACTTCCCAACCTATCAGGGTGCGGCATCCCGATGGAGAGCGAAGAAGAGGCCCGGGCTAGAATCTGTGGCCCCTTGTCTAATCTCTCTGGCAGGTGCTCTTGGCTGCAGGATCGATTTCCTGTCACTTTTGCGCTCGTCAATCGTCAATGCATTTCTCCTCATTGCATTCTTAGATTCTGTATCACATTTTCAACAACGTTGATGCCCTCGTTTTGACCCATGGGCCCACTATCTGTGGAGCTCTGACACCCACCCATCTCGTAACGGTTTAGTGGGCCTAGCCAGCTATACGTACATGCCATGGTTTAATTGCCCAAATAGGAGGAATATAAGACCTTCCGGGATGACTCCAACCAACGAATCGATGTCTAAAATTCTTGCGCCCAGCATGATCGAAAGTATCGACGGCGAGATATAGTATGCACTACGATAATGTTGAGCAAACGAGCCGACAGGGGTTCGAGCTTGCTCTAAGACCCTCGTTCCTTCGTCCTCGTATGTTACACCAACTCGAGGGTCCAGTTACTGAAAGTTGGGATCCACTTAGTTAGACAAATATCTGGACTAAATCTTTGGCTGAAACCTTTCTGCGAGTTTGACGAGATGAAAAAATTCCCGACATTACAAGCACAATCCCTGCGGTAGCTAGAGTTAACGAGCTTTCGTGGCTGGTTAATGCTTTGCAACGTCGTGCAAAATGCGAGGTGCAATGCTAACTCCGTGTCACAAGGGTTTATAATACAGAGTCGGGAAAACTTTGCGCACCTAGTCACCCACCAAAATACTTTACAGAAGTATATATGTGTGGATATCAAGGGGCACTCTACAGCTGTGGTTCGAGATCTAGGCAAGAAAATTTTTTTTTTTTGAGACAGACAAGTCAGGATCAATAATGTGATCCTGAAGTCCTGCGGTCTCAAGTAATCCATGATATCAGCAGAATTATGGTCAAGGATCCCTAGCCTTTAGAGCTGCAAGTTCGAATCTTTCCTTTTCCAAAGTGAACATATGTACATACACTGCCAGAATCGACACCCGCACAACATGTATGTACAGGCTTCGGCCCTTATCTGGCACATCTGATATGGTATGAATAGGTGTCTACAAGTTTCTGTAAGCTTGAAATTTATATCTGCAATTAGTGGTCATTGCGCGGAGGATCCACCGCTACCTATGTTCTGCAACCACAATCACTTGACTCCACCCGTGTCTTAGGGCTTTGCCTAACCACCCCATGGTTGCCCACCGACCTCTATTATGACAACGCACTTTTCCCGGTGCACCGGGCTAAAAACTGACCAGATCAAGTTTGACACGATTGTGGGGGACGGCTCAGATCGAAAATCACTTCCTCTTTGCATATTTCCTTGCAGAACGAGGCTTGTGGGACAGGACTATTAATTGCTCTCCCTCCAGGGTCCGCCTTGCCGTGGACTTCTCGAGCATGCGCATGCATATATGAGTTTCCAGAACGATATATCCATAAAATCAAAATCAGGCCATTCTCCCATCTTCATAGCCGTTATCCGGTGCTAGTTGGCGGTTGAGGCTTTGAGGCTTTCTCGCATTTGGTGTCTTTTCTTGCCGATCTCTTCATTGGATTATAACTCTAAGGACTCTCACACGAGTCAGTAGCCGATTCTATCCAAAACGTTGGGTAGCTACCCTATTCGAGTAAGTTGGTGCAGAAGATCGCTCCACAGTTAGTATCTTGTTGTATCACATTTTTTGCGAAGGTCTGTACAGACCACCTTTACATATTCATTAAAGTTAAAGCGAATAGCTACTCGACGGACTAGATGTCCGCTCGCCTCAGCTCATCAAAACCGCATGCATCGCGTCGTTCACTGCATGTGCAGGAAGCCCAAAATCGCCTCAAACCCTTGCCTGTTCACGAACACACACAACTACGCATTGGATAATTGCGAGCGCCTTCATGTCGGCTGGTCCGGGGAGCAAATTCTTTTGATGTCTTCAGCGTCACTATCCGGCACTTTCCTCGTGCCGTCTCACCAACCCTGGTTTGGGGTAGTTAATGCATATTGCTGGCAACAAGCAGCGCAGCTCGCTTCAGAACACCCTTTGGTATCACATCACAAATCAAGCATTACTCTCTGAAACGAAACTTAAGAGCGGCAGGACTGAGACACTATTACGTTGGCTAATAACTGGGAGCTGTCGGTGTGTTAGTAAAGGTGGGTGGGCTTTGACAGACAACAACCTCCTGAATTGTTGATGATTGATTTCACCGATTGCGTGCCAACATGGTAGCACCACCGGTAAACGGAATATATCTATGCACTTCAAACAAGGTCTGCTCTGTGTTGCAAAGGATGCGCGGGTTCGGATCTCGGCTGTTATTCTCGGGCTGGGCAATTAAGGGTTGCCGTATCGGGGGGCCGTTACTTGAGCTTGGCCCAGCAAAAATCGACTTGGGTTTGTGAAATCGACTCGATCTATCAGTCATCTATCCGAAGCATTGACATTTTCAAAAGCCGATTTCATACCCGTTCGGAAAGTACCGACTGCTCAAGCTCTTTATTTTTAGAACTCAGAGGAAAACACTCAGATCTCCTCGCTGCCCCCCACGCTCCCCCTTTGCGAAAATACGCCCAAAATCTGACCACTTTTTGATTTTTAAGACACGGGATACGGGATTAGAGCCATTTATGGTCCGGATGAAATCGAAAAAAACTTTTATTCGAATAAAAGTTCTTTGACCGATCTCGGAAATATGGAACAATATTGGAAAGCCCCCGAAAACTATCCAACAGATCACTGGTGTGTAGGCCATCTTTGATTAACTTGTTTTGGGCCTTTCAATTTTGAGGTATCTTGGCTGACGCCTCCCCAGCCATATCGCGGTTACGATCCCGATGAACTGCATAACCAATTCAGACATTAATCGTCTGAGAGAGACTTATAAGCCGGGGAAGCAAGGAGTTGCTATGTGGGGCTATTGAATGCGAGAACTTTAATGCTTACCCCCGCCGTTTGAACCCGCTGCTCCGGGTATAGGTTTTTCCATGTGAATAATAATATTGTATACTTCTTGGCTCTGACACGATTTGGTGCCAATTGGCCATTTGTTGCATTTTCTGTGTTGTAGACAATGTGGTATTTGTTACATATCAATTCTTAGGTATGGTTGGCGGGTGTTTAAAGTTCAAGCCATTCCGAGAATAAAGTTTGTCTTCATTATTAGACGCTTTATTACTTTGTAGTAGCGTGAGGCTGACGAGACCCATGAAGGCGGCTGGTACAAGACTAGGCTAACCATGAATTCTTTAGCGTGGCGGTTCTGAGACAATTGAAGATTTAAGTGTCCAGGCCTTTCACTTCAGGTTGCTACGGTTAGCTACGCCGACAGCTACTTGGACTTCAATTCCGGCCCTATGCAAGTTGTTATTTGTCTCATAGTTTAACCTCAAGATCTCCTGATCATGGGGCTCTTCAATAAGCTCATAGATATTTCAATGGCGAGCTTGATTGACTTGGCGGTAGTTATGGCGTGGTCTACGTATTTACTCCATCTCACGAACCTAATTGATTGCCTCACGCATAAGGTAGTCACATAATCTGAACCCGATAATGACAGCACTAAGAAGACTGTAAAGTGATATTGGTCGACATTTTCAAATGAGTCTTGATAATTTAATTTAGAGATAGTCCGACGGGAACGTACGCGAAATTGCATTAGGAACATTTAGAATTCGCATTGATATACGCTGTTAATTGCTTCAGATTTTGTCTTGGGATAATTATGTGTCATTCTGCAGTTGGATATGAAATATTCTCTATTTTTTATCGCAGTATACTATGGGCTTTAAGTTTTGGGCATAACGTCCTGCTACTAGTATACTCAGCGATGGTATCCCAAATTGAATGGCCGGCGGGACACCCCATTATGTCGTTTCAGTGGTGGAATCTAGGATAATTCCTGTGAGTTGGGATACCAAATCTTAGCATATGGTTGTCTCGTCGCCAGACTCCTCAACTGTGTATGCTAGTGGCGCCTAAGTTAGAAGTAACTTTTTGTTGTTTTGACTCCGCCTGCATTTCGATTGCAGGTGGCGCCATAGGAAGCGGTGGAGGTTGGCTGTTTCATGAGTTTATCGACGTCGATCCCATAAGCCTGACTTCAAGATCATTTAGATATTCAAATCCCAAGCTATTATTTTTGAAAATAACTTAATACGCTGGTAAACTACTGGAAATATTGTTCAAACTATTTAGCGGCATCATTAGTATATATAATTCAAAATAAATGGAATATCTCGCTCGGCCTCAGTCTCAAGTTAACGATCGACCCGCTCCGGTCTTGTGAACGTTGCGTGAACAAAATGGGAAAATTTACGCAAATTTAAAACTTTCTATCTCGAAAAATCCGAACTCCGATTAAAGTTATCTCGAGGTATATATTTTGCGCGCGTACCGTAGGAAGCAGACGATCCCGATTGTACGTAGAATTCTAGTACCTGAACATCGTGGAGAGCTATTCAAAATGCAACATCTACATTTGTTGGTTGCCCGATTTTGTGTTTACCTCGACTCTCTTCAGCCCCGCCATACAGTGCAGCGTGTCAAGCAAAGAAGGCTGCCCGATTTCAAGCTAAAGTGGACTACTTTTTGGGTTTGCAAAAAAAAACGTCAGATTCATCGCGCGTACCATTTCCGCTTGCATTAATTAAGCTCCCAACATTATCTCGGTCTTGAAGGTTCGCAGGATACTATACTCGGTGCGCTCGCACCTGCTGGGCCAGGGCGCGCGCGCATACATAACCCCTCAAATACTCGAACAAGAGCTTAGCGATAGGTTAAAGCCAAGTCCAACTAGGGCTCTGGATCCGGATCGGGAGTGGTAGATTGCATAGCAAACACCCCGCTAGAGCTCAACCATGTCTTATAAATATACTCCCCACAATTCTCGACATCCAGCATCATCTCGTTACCCTGCGGTATCAGGCCGCGATAGTGGTCTTCCCGCTGGGGGCCGTTTGTCTTATCCCGGTAACGACAGGAAAACCCTAAGGCCCTCTCGGGATACCATCGGCGACACAAGGGATCTATACTGCGATGGTGGCTCCGAAATGTCTTTCGATGAACCGAACGAAGAGCTCAAGTCCACATATGTCCCCTCGAGGACAAAACTCGCCGCTGCGGCAGACGTTATGACTTTCTTGTTTACTTCTATGCAACTCGAAGACGGCTACAGGATTGAGCCATGCGCTTTATCCACTCTTCGAATCAATGCTCAATCATCACCAGAATCCATTTCAGAAAAGGAGCGGGATTTTGCAAGTAAAAAACTCAGTTACTACTTCGACCAAGCGGTGCTATTTGTGGAAGCAGAGGACTGGGTTAATTCGGAAACATGTGGTGTTCGTGCTATCAATATTATATTCTCCGAGCCAGGAAACACGATCCCAGAAATCTGGTCACAGAGATACGCGGCAGTAATTCTTTTACTTGTATCGAAGTCGGTAGCAAAGGATTGGGAATTAGTATCAGAGTTGGAGCTTCTCTTCGAGCCCGACCTCTCTGACCAACAATCCCTGCGTTGGTATGGTATTTGCACTTCACTACTTTCCTGTGAACTTTTCGATAACAATCAACTCGACGAAGCCGAGTCTCGGTGTCAGAGGCTTCTTACAATTTCCGCACGGCCTTGGCCAGAACCCACAAGCCTACAAGAATTACAAAGCGAAGAGGCATATCCGGCAGTGACCCGGCAAGAACTTGACAGTGTCGCCTACGAGCTTTTAGCACTGATAATGGCCGAGAAAGGCGATATGTTAGAAGCAGGGTTTTATAAATCGTTAGCCACGCCTGCTTCATCTGGCGCTAAAGATCAAAAAGCATTGAACGAGAGCCTTCCTACACCCTCGCATCGTTATAAAGAGCTCTGGGAGTCGATCAAGTAGATTCCTGGGTCGGAGCATGCGCGTTGATGTGGGTGGATTTAGCTCCAGTATGTATGTTGTTTCTTATCGTGATATCCGCAGCATACGAAATCCCTTATTTAACTCTCAAATCAACTAAACAATCTAAACTAGTCTTCTAAAGCTGCGCAATGCCTGTCGGGTAAGGCACTGCCGTGTATTTGGGTTTTCAATATTCAAGATTCAATATATAATGTTCGTAGTCTCGCAGCTTAGCATTGCTATTAAGGTGTTATTAATATCCCATATAAATGTAAGTTAAGTGTATTATCGTTATGCTCTTATAATGAACTAAATACTACTGTGCCCTAGTGGGATTTCATTTCACAATACTTGTAAATAAGGCTACTATGCATGTAGCACCTTGTCCCTGTAATTAACTGGACCTAATTATCATTAACCCCCCTAATGTCGTCATATCCCTATTCATGATCAATCCATTCATATCTGAACTTTCTTAGTCTCATTGAGCTTCCACCGAACAGCCTCCGAAAGAAAATCTCATAGCTAGATAGCAAACCAATCATTCACAAAGAAAAGAGGGCAGAAGTATGCCGAAAAAACCGTAACTTTTAAGATCAAAACATATAAAATCAAACAGACAAAGATTTGTTTTTCTTTTTAAGATCCCTAAACGCCTATCCCACTATCCTTATTCCTTACACTAACTCCTCGCCATACGACTATATCTCTACAGAAGCCTCCTTAACCCCTCAAAACCATCCCCTCCAAATACCCAATCCGCCTCTTAACCTCTTTCAAATCCTCCCCTCCAACGTTCTCTCTTCCATCTAAGATCCCATGAATAGATTTAATCCTTTCATTTATCTCCTTATAGTTCATATAAACCGTATCATAAATCTCATTCATATCTCTCTTCAACCTCGCCACATCTTTCATCAACAAATCCGTTGGCTCCATTCCTTCTAACTGACTAATATCATTCGTTAAATCCATTGACTGCATAGCGCTATTCGTTGGTAACTGCGCAAGGGTAAGGCCGTTGAAGATTTGGAGGTGAGAGCTGTGAATACCCTCTGGGAGGGTGTACCCCGCCGGCAATTGATTTTTCCAAAACCTTGCGTCGATTTCGTCGTTCTTAAGGAGGGAGTAAACGCTCATCAAGAAGTAACCCACATTAATCCACTTCTTCCTAATTTCTGGATCAACGCATCCAACCGCCTCGATCATCCCATTTTTCACAGCATCTTCAACCCCGCTGTTTTCCGAGGTCTTTTGTATTTCGAGTATTGAAAGAGCTCTATAATACCAATATGTAACTCTATCGTCTTTTTCAAGAACACCAGGGAGTTCTTTCCCGTTCGCACCGGTTGGGAATTGGTCGAGCGCGGTGAGTGCTACGTCGGCCCTTGAATGTTTGAGAAGATACTTTGAAAGGCGAATGTAAAATATCGAGGAAGCATTCTGCGATGGATAGAGCTTTTCTATTAAACTCCTCGCCTTCTCTGTATTCCTCAGTTCGCCCATACCGTCATCGGTGCATAGCGCAAGAACCCTGGCTTCGAGATGCCATTCTACTCGTTTAACTTCTAAGTCTTGTGTGAAGGATTCGTAGGATTGAAGCCCAGTTGCAGGTGATGACGATTGTGTAGTTGCATTGGATGTAGAGATTATAGTGGTATGGGGTGTAGGAGTCGAGGTTAAGACGGGGAGCAAGGCGGGACTCATTGATTCCGAAGGGGTTAGGGAAGGAGTTGTTTGGAGGGGGGTCATTGTTGCATTTTCTGCGTTGCAGTCGAGGAGGACGTATTCTGATGCGTTGATTGATGACATCGTCGCAGTCGCAGCCAGCTAGTCGATTGGACTAGACTAGATCGAGACTAACTACAAACTTTGACTAATAGCAAAGCCAAAACCTGGAAGGAGAGGGGCTTTCGAGCAAAACTTCGAAAAAAAGAGGGAGAGATAGAGTATTGAACTGAGAAATAGTAAAAGAGGAGAATTCAAACGTTACTCGACCAGAAGATATGGAGCTTTATATCAAGTTCCCTCCTCCGGCTCGACGGAATGTTCCCCCACACCATAATTCAATTCATCCATTCGTTCATTCGTCTTTTCGCCATATTGGCGGCGGCGGCGGCGAACAAAGCAGAAACTACCTACGTTTAGAACAGAAAATCTACCAGGCTTCTCCGCAATTGTAATAAATGATCGGCCTTGGCGACCCATATTAGCCTGGCCGGGGTAAGATACTTAGAGGATGGTATTTCCAATCGAATGGATAAAGCTCGAATTGCGGAGTACGGCTCATGCACGTTTTGTTTTTTGCTTTACATAGGCAGGACCGAGCTATCTCGTGATGGTTAGTATGTTTGGGTCACGGGCGCTATGCATCTAACTAGCGAGGGTTGGGATCCTATTCGCCGGAGAGTTGTGGGTAGTATTATGAACTTCAAGCTTTTTTCCTTGGATAGTAGCTATAGGACAAGAGGCGAGCGCGCGAAAATGATGGGGGTTCAGAGGATTCGGCGTATCTCCGTTTTTTTTTTCATCTTGAACGAGTTCCGTTCATTTAAGAAGGAAGAAGGCCAGGCCAGGAATGGTTTTTTTCCTTTCTGCTCTCTAAACGGCGACCTGAATACAGCTGGTGTTACCGATTCGATCGTGGCACGGGCCGAAAACCTAAACCGCCGCATAGCAAGCATTCCACTTCACAACCTCCAGCAGCATACTCTCCGATCATAGAAACTGGTACTAATAAACACCGGCTCGTTATTACCGATACAAGCCGATGCGTAATTCATACTTTCGTGCTCTTTCATAGTTGCTATGGGGGTTAGTATAACTTCCCCTCCTCCTTCTTTAAACTCTGCAGATAGAATGCAGCAACCGGCGTGCATGCAGCTCGCTAGGATATATATTTTCCCGTTTTTATTTGAAGAAATTCCTTGTTCCTTTTGGATAAAATTATTGCTGGAAAGTATTTCCAACCTCCACACTCCGCCTTCTAGGTCGATGGAGGTGTCGAGCCAACGCTTCGTGGATGGGGAGAATATACGAACAAATTGATCGTATGAGCCGGTTATGATGTATTCTTGGCTTGATATTGTAACCGGTAGGATGGATGTGACACCCGCTGTGTGAATTTTGCGATTTCTGTATGTTTGAACGGGTGTTTGTTCTTCGTCGTCATCTTCACTGTTGTTGAGAGCACTGAGGTCCCATGCGGCGAAACTACCGTCGTCGCCGCCAGAATATAGGGTTTTACCATCGATACTGAATATTGACGTCCATGCTTCCAAACCAGTATGTACGTTTTCAACCTCAGTTATTTGTTCTAACAAAGTCAATGTCGTATCTGTGAATTTGAGAATGTGAATTTTGCTGTCGCTAGTGGTTGTCGAGACAAGCAGTCCATCTGGAGATATCGATAGGCTCAGTATCAGGGTTGTTGAGTCTGTGACTTCATGGGTTGACAGGAATTTGAGAGATCTTCTAGACACAGAGTAAACTGATATTTGGCCGGCCGATGTCGCCACTAAGAGTTTACAGCCATTTGGGAAAGATGGACTAGCTGAGGCTTTAAGAAGCCTTATATCAAGGACAGAACCTGATGGTAGAGGTTCAGTCTGGTGATGCTTTCTATCTATAAAATTAGCATTTGAATATGTTGATACATTAAAAGATCGGACGAAAATGCCCCTCCCAAGAATATATTAGATATAAAAGCGAAGAAAGGATTAACAAAAAACAAGGAGAAAATGATAAGGGAACCAAGTCATACGAACAGTTCAATTCCGTCTTGTTTGTCTTTCATCAAAACCTCGTGGAGGACTAACGAGCCGGTGCGCAGCTGGGTATCTTTGTCGAGTGTGTATGTTCCTGTCACGAGGAGGCTTCCAGCTGATCCTCCACCACCACCACTACCGCCATCATCACCACCATCATTACCACTATTGGTAATTAAGCTAGCAGCGCTATTGGTAGCCTCATCGCAGATATCAGATGAACCGTGGAAAGGCACGGAAACGCATGCAGCGGGCGGAGCGTCCAGGAAGGATGTATATAGACTGCTCACGGCCCTTGTCATTTTTATTTCTGTACCGTATCTCCGTATCAGTCTGTAAATCTAGAAACTTGTATAATGTAACATCATCACTTACTGTATATCTTATTGTTTTATTTATCTCTTTTTATATAATTTTTTTTTTTACAGTCCCTCGATCCGCAGTATCATTTGGAAGTTTTCCGAGTAGACGACGGTGAACTGAGCAAAGAGAACAAAGTATGGCAGAGGCACTGTGGAAAGTGTTGAAGTGGCGGTGGCTGGCCAAACGCGTCTTCTCGTCCTTCTCAACCTCAACCTCTCCTGCTCCCACCCATCCAACATCACCACCTCCAACTTCACCCTCAACTTCGGCTTCGTCATCTTCACCTTCACCGACATCGTCACCGCCAGCTAAAGCTTCGTCGCCGTACTGGTTTGGACGACTATTAACATTCGGCTACTTCCGTCGACTACCGTCAGTACCAGCTAAGCCAGCTGAAGACCAAGCTTCGTCGTCATCAGGTTCAGACCTTGGTACACCGTCGAGAGCTCAAACTACCACATCATCTCCATCGCCATCTCCTATTCCGATCACAGCTTCAGCTTCATCTTCATCTCCTCCGATTACAGCACCAGCTTCACTTCAAGCAGTAGCGATACCGCCATCGGCAGCATCAGTAGCTCCACTACAACTCCCAACCCCACCAGCAACTCCGGAGCCATCACCTCAACCTCCACCACTACCTCAACCAAACCCCCCAAACCCACGACCAATTAATCGACAACCCTATCTTCGCCACCTTCCACCCCTCCCATCACCTCCCAAGATGTCCGACCTTCCAACCCTCCACACAAAACTAATCTCCTCCTTCACCGCCCGCTCCCATAGCACCTCCCTCCCCCTCCTCTCCACCGCAAAACTCGCCCTTCTAAAGTCGTCAGTCCTAGTTCCCACTCAAGCAACCATATCCACAAACCCCCAACTCCTCTCTCAAGCCCGTGATATCCTCGAAATCGGTGCTTTAACTTCGATCTACCTCTCAGATACCGAATCCTTCTCTCGTTATCATTCATATCTAACCCCCTTCTACCGTATACCTTCCACCATCCTCCCACCAAGTCAACAAGAACCAAAGATCCTAGGACTTTATCTTCTCCTTCTTCTCTCCCAAGGTGATGCAGCAGGATTTCATACAGCTCTAGAAGTCCTAAACTCCGAAGGCTCAGGTGATGCAGAGAAAGGTTGGCAATGGGGAGATTTTGTACGATATCCAGTTACTTTGGAAAGATGGTTGATGGAGGGAAGTTATGATAAAGTATGGGAGGCGACAAGGAAGGGAAAGACTCCAGCCGAAGAATTTGATGTCTTCACAAAGGTATTTCCGAAAAACAAAAAACCCAATATTCAAAGTTATGGAGAAACAGGAATAATTTGCTAATCTTTTGATCGGCGAAACATAGATTTTAGTCCAAACCCTGCGTTCTGAGATCGCAACTTCTGCACAAAGAGCATACCCATCCCTCCCGATCTCAAATGCCAAGAATCTTCTCTTCCTTGATACCGAAAAGGAAGTTCTTCAATTCGCTCGCGAGGTATGAAAAGGACACCCAACAAAACCCAAAATCTGAACTGGTTACTAATATAATTCTATAGAGAGATTGGGACATCCGCGACGGAAGAATATACTTCCCACCAGACGAAGAATACGACGGAGCAGATATCCCAGATACAGCCTCCATAACAGCTGCAAAGAGTGCCATCCACTCCGGAACCATTATTGAAAATACAATTGGATATGCCAATGAATTGGAACAGATTGTTTAGATTATAACAACCGATCTTATTAGTCTAGTTGTCAATCTTATATACCATGGTATTTAGGTGTATGTATTTAGGAAGGTAACCTAGAGCCTTTATCAGCCTTTCTTTTTGCTAGCGGAATATATTTATATCAATCTTGAAAAGTGATTGTTAATGTGTACGATTATGATTGAGTGGGACAAAGGTAAGATGGATGCGCATTATGATAGTGTTCGAACTAGTCACGAGTTCTATCTGTCGAGAAGCCCTTCTAATCTCGTAGTGAAGATATGTACATAGATACCCCAGATAGACTGTCTGAGAGGTACATGCAATAATAATAATAAAGGTCGACAGAGCGCATCCGTGGATGTTGATAGTAAAAAAGAGCAAAACCGCTGAGTAAAACGAAGAAATGAGATGCAATTGCAGTTTTGGTTATTCGCCCTTGGTAAAAAAAGAGAAAAAAAGCAGAGTTGTCGCAGTCGCAGTTATAAAAGCAGAATCCATAATATCCTCCCATATCATAAGTGATCAATAGTATAACAAACCTTTCTCCCCTAATAAAGCCCCTATGATAAAATACTAAAAGCTGGCCTTCGATATGTATCCAAAGATCTAGCTCTCCCTAATCCCAGCTAACCAACATCTCGTCTCCCCACTCTCCCTTACGTAACTCCAAGTCTGCAAAGACGCCGTCATCGTGCTTGCCGCTGCTAATCTCGTTGATGCGCCTCTCATCTTCTTCAGCAAACTCAACTAGGTCTTCGGGGATAGCATCACCCTTGTCTCCAATGAACAATAGTTCGGCACCGGGGTACTCCAAATGCTGGGGATTCAGAGCAAGCCAGCGGTAGTCACCGAAAGACGAAGTGATTCTACATATTGTATTAGTAGTTGAAGGAGGAAATTCTAGGAAGGGCAACTTACTCGTCGCTAAATTTTGGATCACTGCCGATGCTCGCACCTGCAGGTCCTTTGAACTTTGGATTTCGGACATTGACGACAAATCCTCCCTTATCTGCCAACCCAAATTCTTTTTGAATCTCAGTTAACTCTTGGTCAACCTTTGCCTTCGTGGTGATGTAGCTAAAATGTGTTGTGTCCTGGCTAGGTGTGCTTCCCTTGCTTTGGCTGATGGCATAAACAGCAGATGCAATAGGCTGGGCTGGTGGGTTGGTACGCTCTCCCATTGTCTTGGTGGTGTACGTCTCGGATGAAAGAAGGTCCTTAACGGATGAAAGGGAAGCATTGGACGATTTGACAAATGTCAATAATCGTCCGCCTTTTCCGAGAAACTTCTTTTTGGGGATATCAATAACACGAAGATTGCCATCTTTGGCAATAGGAACTGACGAAGACGAGCCATTGGTAAGTTGTGAGATGGGTTTCAAAACCATATAACTACGTTGCATGTCATCGATTGATTCGGCTGGACTATCGAGTGTGACCTTTGGACGGGTGAAGAACCAGAGAAGTCCCTTTTCAAGGACGGGAGTGGCGTCAGAAGCAGCACCCGATGAAGTTGCTTGGAGTTGGCGTTCTTCTGTTCTGGCACGCTTAGACGGGGTTGGGCCTTTGCCTGGAAGGTCACGTTCTTCAGTCCTAGCACGCTTTGATGGTGTAGTCTTTTGCTTTGGCGTAGTCGGCTTTGGGGCCGTAGCAGGGTATTTGACTGACTTGGGTGTCTGTTTTGGTGTCTGTGGTTTTGGGGGAGGAGTTGGGGGTGGAGGACGGGAACTAATCGGTGTTGGCTCAGGCTCAACTTTTGGTTCCGTCTCCTCGGCCTCAAGGTCAAGCTCTAGATCTGCAGCCTTACGCTTGCCGCTGATGGTAGCAGTGTCGGCAGTCTGAACGGCTTTGGCAGGTGTCTTTGTAGCTTTCGCTGGAGTCTTTGCAGCTGGCTTGGCCGGGGCCTTAGCTGGGGTCTTTGCCGTTGACTTGGCTGGAGTCTTCGCAGGAGTTTTTGTGGCAGACCTGGCTGGGGTCTTAGCTGGGGTCTTAGCTGGGGTCTTCGCAACTGATTTAGCTGGGGTTTTTGCCGGAGTCTTTGCGGCGCTCTTCGCTGGAGTCTTGGCTGGAGTCTTCGCAGTGGCCTTAGCTGGGGTTTTGGCTGGGGTTTGGACAGGCTCTGGCTCTTCTTCCTCTTCCTCTTCATCTTCCTCTTCCGGCTCGTCAACCTCCATCTCGTCCTCCTCTGGTTCAGGTTCCTGAACGGTGACTGCCTTGGCCCTACTCTTTGGGGTGGCCTTAGCTGTCGACTTTGGGGTGGCCTTTGGGGTGGCCTTGGCCCGAGGAGTTCTTCCGGCCCGAGGAGCCTCCACCTCCTCATCTCCTGTGGCCTTGGATTGACGCTTGCGTGGCGTCTTCTCGACTGGTGCCTCTGTGGCACCCTCTTCCTCCCCCTCTTGCTCTACAGCCTTTCTCTTACGTGGATTCTTCGGCTGCTCGGCCGGCTCCTCCTCCTCCTCCTCCTCCTCGGCCTTTTTAGCCCCCCGCCTCCCGCGGCCACCAGCAGGTTTGGAAGACTCCAGCGGAGTCTCCTCTGCCTGCTTTGGCTGCCTGCCTCTCTTTGCTGGGGCAGCGGGGGCGACCTCCTCGGCAGCCTTGACCTGACGGCCCCTCTTCGGAGGAGGGACCGCGGCTGCCTCGACTGCCTTTGGAGGCCGTCCCTTCTTTGGTGCCGGGGCTGGTGCCTCTTCGGCCTTCTTGGGCTGGCGCCCTCTCTTCGGCGCCGGCGCCGTCTCCTCTGGCTCGGCTGCCTTTGCCTGTCGCCCCCTTTTCGGAGCGGGAGCGGGAGCCGCAGTTTCATCAGCCGCCTTTGCGGCTTGCCTGCCACGCTTGGGTGGCGCTGGTGCCTCCTCGAATATCTTCTTTGGCTTCGGACCTCGTTTACTAGCCGAGGTCGCCGGCCCTCCTTGGGTGGCAGCAGATTCTTCAGCCTCCTTCACCGCGTTGGCTATGATGTCACTCTGGGTGACCTTGGGCGGCCTCCCACGCTTCTTGGCCGAGGAAGCAATTGTTGAGCCCGTTGCTCTAGTCGAAGCCTTAGTGGCTGGCGCGGCCTTTGGTGCTGGTGCATCGGTGGTGTCCTTAGGAGGACGACCACGACGACCAGCTCCGGCGGCGGCAGCAGGCTTGGTAGGTGTTTTCGGCTTTGGTTTTGACTTGGAGATGCCATCTCCTGACCCTTCTGTGGTCTTGCGCTTGCGAATGTGCGCTGTGTAATCTGGCTTTGCTGCAGCGGCCCTACGGGTGCTAGTAGCTGGCGTTCGAGCTTTCGCCATTGTGTGTGATCTGATTGATTAATTGAGTAAACCTGACTGGGAGTTCGAGTGATTAATCGGTTGCTAGAAGTGCCCGCTAGCTGAGGAAATGAAGGAAGGAAGAGATGTGGTCGAAGGATGGTGTTGGTGGCTGGTGGTTGGTGGTTGTTATGCCGCGTTGGTTGGAAACCTTCAGCCCAAAACCCCGTTGCAGAGCAAAGTCTACGAAATATCAAGATCTAGCTTGTCGCACAGCGAAAGGAAAGTTGTAATTAGTTTGTAAAGTGCCAGACTGTATGCAGACAGAGTCGTGATGAGGTCGAGATGGAATTGGTGATGTTAGTGGAAGGAGGTTAGTGAGCGATGAGGGTGGTGAAATGACGTGAGAAGGAAGCGGATGAGAGGAAGCGGTGGGATCGAATTGGATGGCAGAATTTCTGGGGAAAATGAAAACAAACAACGCATTCGATCCAATGTGACGAAATGCCGCAGCTGCGCGTAAAGCTCGATTGCTCCTGCGCTTTCGACATTTCTATGGTATTTACGACAAAGATGGCTATTTACTTTCTGTTTTGGCCCCAGATATTTCCACGAGGCGGTTCAAGTTCGCGTAAGGTATGCATGTATCGTGATCCTCGTTACATTGTATTCTAGTGTGTACCATACACAGTAATTTGCTGTCCAGGGGTCCCTCCCGGACATAATATAAGTCGACATCTGGGAATTCGATTCTATTCTCGATCCACACAGCAAAGAGGGACTCTCCTCCAAATTTCCAAGAGTATTAGAAGCTATTTCGGTTTTTTTATGAGAGCAGAGTGGATTGCTCGAGCTCGTTAAGCTATTCTGACTATTGATGCACATATTTCATAATGAATGTAACTGAACATTATAAACATGTTCTTGCATAAGTGTAACCGGTTCGAAAATCAGCTCTGAGACTCCCAGCAAGATTTGGATAGCCCATCGTATGGGTCTCCGCTCCTCAGAGCCTCGAGACCCAGACCCAGATGGAGGCAGGCCGGGGCCGGCCTCCATGAGTCAAAAATATTAGACAGTCCGCACTAGCTCAGTTAGCTATGTAAACTTTAGCGTCAGCGAGTCCTTTCCACGAGTAAGAAACTTTTATGATTTTCGCGTAGACGTACCGGCTTCAATGCAACGGAAGTGGACCGTGTCTACAAGACGAGACAAATAACTCGCGACGGCAATTTTTGTGCCCATTTGTTCTCTCACAACTTTTTCGACTCGCTGGATCGGTGTGCCATATATGCCGCTGGGCCTGCGATATCAGGGAGATATCAATCCCGAGACATCTGAGAAATATCCCAGATATCAGGGAGATATCAGCCCTAAATAATCGGGGAGGCCCCGGAGGCCATGTTCGACATTGAGATGGTTGCCGAGGTGTACGTTTAAGATACTTATACGTATCAGTAACGTAACGTGTGGGAGATATCAATCCCGCAACGTCTAGGAAATATCCCGGGCGCCCGGGAGATATCAATACCACAACGGCTGGTTGATATCCCAAAGTCTTAAAATGTGGTCGGTACTCAGGTGTTTCCTAGGCACCTCCTTCATCATGGTTGATAGTAGATATTCATGGCGAGTATGTTTGTAGTAGATAAGTGGGCTGGGATATATCTTCATCCCGAGCCCCGATCTAATCCACGTCCTTCCAGCACCAGCACCAGCATTTCTTAGAGGTAGCATCCGATGACGACCATCTTTTCCAGAGCTTCCGAGGCTCGTCACATTTAGGTTCAAGCCTCTAAAAAAAAATGCAATATTAGTAAAGAGTTGATCGTAGAGAAGGGTAGGTAGACACGTACGGGAGCAATGGTGGGTGCTGCTCATGGGATGTTGATTTCCAACCTTACGCGGTGGCTCAGAGCGCAGTAATGTTTAAAAGAAGGTTATTTTACTCGGTAAATCGCTCCCATCTGCCTCACTGGCACCGCCTTGGAAGCTCAAGACGTCCCACCAATAGGCCAGCTACTCGAAGTAGCAGGGCCAGAACTAACATCCGTGTTATCATCGATATTACGTCGTAAACCTTCTTCTCTTCCTGTGTAGGGATCGTATTAGCAGGTAAAGTGGCTAAGCATGGAGATGAAGATGTAAACAAAACAATTGACTTGGAAACATATACCCACTTATGTCATCTTCATCTTCTCCAATATATGCATTGGTAAACAGTTGTGGCTGACCGGCCCTGGGACGCGAGATTATGTTCGTTGCTGGGTTTCGAAATTTCTAGCATAAGAATTCGAATTTATAAATTTAAAGGCGCCAAGCATGTGGCCGAGCAATAATTTGAACTCCTATATAAAAGTCAGTCCATATTCTTAAGTTTAAAGATTTGAATAAATATATACTCCAGACTATACTAATAGTTAGTCTCATTCCCAGTAGTATAGAAACCTCGAGTTCCTCAAATCGATTTGACGGCGTGGCCTGGGGTTACGCGGGTAAGGCAGTATACTATATAGAGACCTAGATATATATATATAATTTATCTCTCCCGGTACGTATACAGCGGTATCGTAGCCTCTGGATTGGAGGTATCTTGCAACTGGGAGCCATAAAATTCGGATTAAGGTTGCTCTACTACCCTATGCTGCTTGGACATATCATCGGCTCTACCTCTGATGGATTTATTTGATCATGATCATCGATCATGAGGAGAGCGTTGCCCACCTTGTGTTCTGTGGGCGACAATATGAAATGAAAGCTATGGTAGAAGATTAATCGACCTTATGAGCTAATATAATAAGTACCTAGTATCTATCGTTGTAGAGATTAACTAGTCTCGGGACGACAAAGGAATTGATTCGATGCAGATAGACTCGTTATCTAGGCCTCGAGGTGGCGGGCTGTGACTAGTCTGGCCTTGGGGCAAGATTGCAAGATACTTCGAGTATCTTTTCACTGCGAATACATACATGAATCGATTTGTATAGATCAATAGGGGTGGGAAGCCCTCAGAACTAGATCAGATATGTATGGTCGTTTCGGGATCCAGCTAGCTAGCTATACGCATGCCTTTACGTTTTAAAGCATGCTGTGGGGCATCTTACTTGACTATTGCCTCCCTCGGCCTCGCCACTGCTTCAAAAAAAAAAGCAGATTTTGAATTATGTTGTTGAGAGGTTTCTATGTGCTCCTGGAGACTGTTGTAGTTTGCTCTAACAACACAGGTGAAGAGTTAGTATGCTCCGACTATCGATGTAAACGCGGTAGAACTATGTATGAGCATGGGGCGATTGGCCTAATATAAAGTTTCGCGAGTGTATGTGTATGCGTATGGTGTGTTTGATTTCTAATCGTCGCGTACTGCGCCATCTTACGATTCAGCCATATATGTTTCACATGATGGATTAAACACTGTGGTGGGTAAACAACATCCAATCAATCTACAAGTAGCACTCTCTGCAACTGAAATGCATGGAGGATTCTCGGGTGTATTCGGGTAGCGAAGTGGTATGATGCATATTCATGCGTTGATAGAGGTCTCGAGGCCACCAAAAGGCGAATTTTGGTTACGAGACCGGCGAATTTCAATTAGTTTGGTGTCCACCAAGTGGCGTATGTCGAGAATTATTCGTCTTAGGTGATAGCCAACAAACATTTGTTCGAAGACGTAGGATAAAGTTGGTGCTATCATCTCTATGGCCCTATCAAGACTTCTATGTGTACATATTTTACGAGTTTCTACGCCACTTATGGTTACACGGCACGCTGGCATTGGCCTTGAGACTGGAAGAGGGCTATAATGTGAAGATAAATTGTGGCAAAAGCTTATCAAACTACTCCCATAACTGTATAAGTATCATGTTAGAGATCTCCTGTTGATCTCTATCTAAGTATATATTACAGCATTCCTCCGCTCTCTCTCTCTCTTTCTTCCCCACTCATCTTCCGTTCCATCATATCAGGGGAGCGGGAGGTAAGAACGTAACAAGATCCGTAGATGTAAACGCACACACAAAAGGCCGGTATGTATCACGACTTGCAGTGCATGATCGAAGGGATTTTAAGTATGCATGAAGGATTCACGCGGGAATTGAACATTCTAGGCATCTTAGACAATAGTTTTCCGAAAGCGACGCGTGACCATGGTCGATGGGCAGATTGAAGTTTACCAAGACCCCATTGCAAGACAATAGAATGGCGGTTTGTTGAATTTGTGTGCCCTGAAGCTTGACTCCAATCGTCAGATTCCGGCGTCAAAGTAGACAAGATGTCTACATTATACTACTTATCTATCTCAACCTCATATTAATATATGTTGTACTTTCATACAATTAATGGGTTTAGTTCCATTGTTTGGACTAGCCGAACTATATATCTAGGATGTCTCATCGTCTTTTGTACATTTGCAATTGGATCCACGGAGCAGCTTTGATATCCTGAATTCCTGGGTCATATGCCATTGCTCGGAAACCTCTGTATGCATGTTCACGAATTGCACCGTAATAGTATTATTAATTATCTACAACGGATTCATTTCCCTCCGTTTCTCAATGACATTATCAAGCCTTCTCGAACGCGATAACAGCATACTTAAACGTCTTATTGTTATACCCCCGCCTCATAGCTTGGAAAGCCCTCAAAAACGATATTATATCCCTACCTGCTGCAATAGCTAACATCCAAAGGGATGGATTTTGAATTAGCGATAGTGAAATATCCCTACAAATTGTTCAATAACGTCAGTATCGATATCATTCGGTTTAAGATAAAATAATCTTCAGCTGGAATGACTTACCACGTTTTCTTTACATTTTCACTGATATCGAAAGGCTCCGAGTAGACTTTAAAGCCTGCCTCTTTAGCATGTTCGACATACTCGGACATCGTGCATAATGGAGGTAGAAGCATACCAGCTAGGTGCCAGAAATTCCGTCAGTTCTTCCATTTTAGAACTGAAGTTAGCGATGTTAATTTTATGGTTTTACCTTCAATCGGCTTAATATCATCTTCCATCTGTTTATCATCCAAACCTTCCGCCTTAAACCAATCAGCGACAACCAGTTTTCCACTCCCTCCACTCTTTAACAGCTTAAAAGCATTATCGAAAAATAGCTGCTTGTGCGGCAAATGGCTCATAGCCTCGGATATCCAAACAGCATCGTAATCTCCCTCTTTTCCCTCGGTTCCATCGAAATACTCGCCCATTTTCTCCGCATCTAGTTCAATGAACTGAACTTTACCAGGCGGGAGTGAGATCCATTCCTCTTCTAAACCCTCTAGAGAGTCGGGAGCCTCCTTAGATATTTTGACTGCCTCATCGTTGGACAATCGCTTTGCAATCTCGACTTGCTTGCCGCTGATGGTCACTCCTGTAACACTGCATGAGTGCTCGCGTGCCAATTGACGAGAAGTACCCCCGACGCCGCACCCGACGTCGAGGACCCTTGAACCGGCGGGCACGTTTGACCGCTCAAGTAATAGAGAAATGAGGCGGCGCTGGGCAGCCTCTTTGGTATCTGTCGGGTCATCAAGGAAGTACCCGTGATGAATATGCTCACCCCTGTTATGGCGGTATTGTTGGTTCAATTCGGGAAATTTAATGAAATATTGGTAAGTTCTTACCATAAAGAATAATAGTACTCGGAGAGAAGATCGTAATGGGATTTTATTTTTCCTTTCAAGGCTGCCCATGGTCCTGCGTCAGCCGTAGACTCCGCAGTCGACGGGTTTAATGTTGCTGCTGTCGCCATTTCTAGAATCCCTTTCGAACAATCGTGCAGGGGAAAACTCTGGTTCCAGTGCCGTGTGGGGTTGGTGGAGCTTATTGTACAGTACTAATTGCGGGGTTTGGGAACAGTGGTTACACAAACTCTGTCTTTGACCAAGAAACGTTCGAAACCCGTGATGCTGTAGTCAATGCAATGCGATCTAAGATTAATATTTGTCTCAAGAAACGGCCAACCTTAGCGTAATTTATACTTGTGCCCGAGCTTATCCCTGTAGACCAGCTAGGCCGCATATATTGCGGTCATCGATTGTTATCCTAGCACTAGCAGGCCGCCCAAACCGCCGGCCGCTAAAACCCCGACCAACCGAGACTAGGGTAATTATTAGTATTACTGGAATACGTTCAGAAGCGTGAACAATTTATTATAATCATAGTCTCGGGACCAGACGCCATTATATTCATATAGACTTCGGCATGTATGGAATTTAAGATTTGTTAACTAAACTTTCAAAGCCGAACTTCTTATAATTAGTATGATTCGATCGTTTCTATTGTTCGAATTGAAACCAACGTCATCCGAGGGTATCGATAAACTAACAACGCAAAACTCCTTGTTGCAAAATTTCGGCATAATAGAAAAAGCTTTGATTTCTAAGCTTGCGAAAACTCCTACTGCAAAATTGAAAAGCTTCAAGAGATACGCGGAACCCACTGCCTTTCTCTATCAAGAGCACGTAGAAAAGACAATATTCAGAACAATAGATTGCCCAAGATGACGGTTTCCGATTCTGCTGACAATCAGCCGTCCTCGGAGACCTCTCATCTTCCACATCCCCCAGCGCACAAGGGAACAACCTCAAAGTCCGGCATTGTTCTCGGTCCGGATGGAAAACCGTACGTCGCCCACAACACACAAAATACCACACCCCTTCCGGGACCCTGCAATCTTGAAACCTCGTGGGACAAGTGAATTCCAGATCGAAATCTAACATGCATTTTCTAGATGTCGTACATGCAATTCAGCTCGCGATATGACAAATCTATCCCGTATGCTCACAAGCGGCAAGGGAAAAGCCTCACCTCTGGCTGCTGCGATTGGTCCACCCCCTGTAGACCGCTCTGATTGCCCCCCAGATGTGGAACAACTTGGCCGTTCCACATGGACTTTTCTTCATTCAGTAACGGCGACATATCCTAAAGAACCCACGCAGTCTCAAAAATCTGATATGCAAACATTTTTATCAATATTGGGACGTGTATACCCCTGTTGGGTCTGTGCGGATGATTTTACAGCATGGATGAAGCAACCGGATAACTCGCCGAAGCTGGATACTCAAGAAGACTTCGGACGGTGGATGTGTAAGGCGCATAATGAAGTCAATAGAAAACTGGGGAAACAGGAGTTTGATTGTAATCTTTGGAAGCAGCGCTGGAAAGATGGATGGAAGGATGGTAGATGTGATTGAGCATGAGGCGTTGGTGTCGTTCTTAGATTAGATACTCCCATCCGTACATATAGAGCTTTGGTCTGGCCACTTGTCTATCTCCACACTTCTGCAGGCAATTGTACTTTGATAGAATACTCAGCCTTTAGAAATACTGTATATACTTCTTTCTGTGGGTACTCTTTATGCGTCAATTTTGTACATAGAACTCCACGGTGCCATGGAACTTGTTAGCATTGCTTGCTAGATTAAAAAGTAGTCTGGTGGAGCTCCATGTGCAACATTAGAAAGGAAAAAAAGTTAAGCCCAATTTTAGTAAAGAACAGTTTACAATTTTTACTTGCATTCTTAACGAGGAATGCGCATCGTATCGTTGGCCTTACGTTAAGCGTTGATCAATCCCTGAGGCTACTCGTTTTCGACGGAATTTAATCCTGGAAATCAGAATTTCCAGCAGTTTCGAGGAGTTGTGTAACGTACCGCTACTAGGTAGTACAGGATAACCTAGATTGGCCAACTTTACTTCGTCTTCAAGGTTCTCTATCACACGAAAGATCCAAAAAAAGACTTTAATGCTAGCTCAAGTGCCCATACCCCAGCATCTGCCCAGCACAGACCAGGCAGCAAAAGAACCAGCAGACTATATGACCAATACATCCACATATATTGCCCAAAAAAGAAAGAAAGGCCTAGGGGGTTTTCTGGAAGCCCGCATCCTCGATGCCAGAATAGGTTAAAAAGGACTCTTTCACTGCAAGTTCCCCGATTACAAACAAGGATTCAACCAATCGTCGGAAATGTATCATTTTAATATTTGCTAAGTCTCGTAGCTCAAACAGTGGACAATTGCTATGGTTAGAAAACAAAAACGGTGATGACCTGTTCAGATATTAATATGTATTCCATGTGAAGAAACAAGGCTACGTGATTGCTTAAGCAATAAGGCACCCTCTGTAACATATCCATACAAAAGTAACGGCAGAGCTATCATATCATATCGTTCCAATCATAAAATCAAGGAGTTCCGAGACCAAGGGTTTATCAGCGGGGTATTAATATTAATTATTACCTTCTCGCCTGTCTACTCGGACCCTTAACAAGTCAAAAACAAGTCTCCACAAAACTCTACCTATCAGAAATTCCACAGAGGCACTTAACTATTCACATACAATGGTATTTTTCTTCGGCCGCAAAAAAGCACCGCCAGAAGGGGCTGAATACATCCCCCCAAGTCTTGCTTCGCTATGGTGGAACTACCGCGCTTCCACAGAAACTTTTCAATGGTGGCTCCCTTACATTCGGATCCCCGCGCAAATGACCTACGAAGGAATCCTCAAATTCGTCGGGTTTAGTATAGGCTTCACATGCGTTTGGATGTACATTGTTGGAATAATAGCATTGGCTGTCATTCTATATAATGGTGAAGTCAGTTTTCTAAGGTTACAATTGGTTGGACTTATCACGATGTATATCTCTGTTAGTGCGGGAACAACGATTGGTGCGACGGATGGAGAGTTTCTTTGGATTGTCAAATGGTCGCTTTTGAATAACCATTCCTTCACGTTGGAAGAGATTCAAAAGATACTTGATGGTGATAGCGGGTTTCAGTCTATCAAAAACCTTGTGATGGGGCCGAATAGGGCGAGGCTTCTTTCGCTATATCTTCTCCTCACGCGGACTGGGTCTCGAGTTGGCCTTGCTTTTCTAGCATCCTCGTATGAGGTACTGGGCTTTGCCGAGGATACCAGATTATACACTTCTAGAATTAACTGGGGCTATGTTGTTGGAGGGCTGCTGCTGCTCGTCGTCATCCAATCCTTAATTACTATAATCTCGATCATTTTTATCCGACGCGGTAGCACTATCCCTCCAAACACCGCCCTTGGACTGTCCCTAGCCCTGCGGCCATGCCTCAAACCCTTACGCGACTCCGGGGGAACCGTCGACACATCATCGATCCTGAAAGCCTTAAAGGGTGACAGTCCAAAATACTCCTTGCAAATTGTTAACATCCAAGGAGCATCGGTGGCTCAATTTACATTAGCCTCTGGAGAACATGAGCCGGCCGTAACCAGTCACCAGCAAAAGCAGCTTGAACAGGAGACGAAGCTATTCTTTACTTCCACAAACTTCTTCACCAGTCCTCTATTACCTTTCCTATTTTCTCTCATCACTGCGTATTTAATCTACATTCTCTTGGTGTCTCAATATATCAGGACCGATTTTCCCATCAAATTGGAATTCGGCAATATCGGAAACAAACTCCTTCTCTCTATCCTCCTCCAGATATACGGTTTATTCCTCGGAGCATTCGCAGAAACCATCCTTCATATCGTCCGCTGGAGTTGCATATCTAGCAACAGGACAAACCTCACATTTGTTGAATCCCTTCTCGTCGCAAATAACTGGTGGAACCTTTCTAGTTTTCGATTTTTCTCACCTGGGGGATTGAGGGGGAGAATAACCAAGTGGATCAGTGCTTTCCAAACGAGGGCCACAGTCACTGCCGTTGGATGGGCTATCTTGATGGCGTATTACGGACAACTTGCCTTGCTGCCAAACAATTATTGGATAGCTGCAGTTTGTGCACTTGCGGCATCCTTTGGCATGGTAGCAGCGATGTGGGTTATATGTGCCGGAACGCTTGCTCATAAGAAGTTAATACCGGAAGCACATTCGCTACCAAAGGCCCACGCTTTCAGAAAGCTTGCAGCACAACTAGAGATGACTGGATCTGTGGATCAAGAGGTTCAATATGGAAGGGTCGAAACATCTACGAGAGGGTGGGCTACTGCTGTCTCAGGTGGTGCTGAACCATTTCTAGCGGGAACATATCTCTAAGTATTACATATTGACGACGAGATGGTATACGAGTGTGCTGGGTTTATCAATTGAGAGATAAACGCAAACCTCCAAAAGATTTTTACGAGACTATGTATTGCTATAGGTACTTTCTTTGGCATTTTATTTCCTTTCGATAGCTCTTGGATATTGCTCCACTGATTCCTGTAAGCTACTCAAATTTTGAAAAAAAAAAGATTATATATTCTTTTTACCTCCCCTGCTTTTCTAGATCCAAAAAGACCCTTCACACCTACCACCCACCAAAACTTTAATGGCATCACCATCCAAGTTTAAGAACTTACAAACCCCGCCGCCACAAGGGTCGGCAAGTTATGAGAAACAGAAAGGAAGGAAGTGTCACAAGAAGAAAAAAAATAAAAAAAGTTTTGAATAGAGGAAAAAAATAAGAAGATTACACTCGGAAAAAACGGGATACTTGCTAAATAGTCTCACCACTACCTTCTTCCAAATACCACTACAGCCCCTGTATGAACATGGCTCCTTCCAGTTAACTAGCCGGCCAAAAGCCGCAGCCCACTAGCCGGAGCACCGATCTGGCAAACCTCACAAACAGCGCAAACTTTACCCTTCCATGAACTATGATACTTGCTGCCGTCGAAAGGACATTGTTCCAGGGGCGAGCCGGAGTAAATGGGCGTGTGGCTTCCAGCGCAAACATCGAATTCAGCATATTGGTCGTACTCGATTTCAATGGCATCACTGGCATTGCGTTCGCTAGCAGTTTTGATCTTGCGAGCCTAGATAATTAATAGATTAGTTAGTTGGAATTCGCTTCCTATTAAAGCCCCAAAGGCTGTGTAGGGCTGGAAACATACCTGTTCAAGCATCTTGCCTGATCCTCCGATTTCAAGAACCTTATTGGCGAAGTGGCCAGCCAAAAGAACGTTCTTCTTGGTATAGGCCGCTTTCATTGCAGCCAATAGCGCTAGAGTTCTGTGTGTACCCTCCAGCTGCGGTTTGGTGAAGTAAGCGGCCAGTTCGAGGTTACGTTTGATGTTCTCAGGGGTATCCGGTAGCTCTCTTCGTTCCAACTCTATCGACATGCCTGTAATGTATTCTGTCGCAGATTGGATCATTTGCTTGGCCTGCAATTCGCATTGTTAAATTCCGCCTGCTTGAGGAAAAGGTGCATGATATACTTACATCTTCAACATCCTCCTTGCTTGCAACAGCGGTGACCAGAATCGAGTGTAAAACGTTCTTGAAGGCAATGACACCTTCAGCTAGGTTATTTGCCTTCATTGAAGCGTAACCCTTCTGCAAATCGCCAGTGCGGATCGTCTCAACATCCTTTGGAATGAAGGGCAGAACCTTCCTTCCATCAGTAATATCGGGGTTTCTCCTGATGTAGTTAACTAACGGGTCGAGGCCCTCAGTAGCTGGCAGGTATGTCCTACTAGCTTGATAAATCTCCATGAATCTTGGCTTAAGAGGGGCAAAATTAACGGCGCCGACTTGGCGATTGAGAAGCTGCATGGCTGTCTCAAACGAACCAGCGGCGACATGGTCGGCAGCGATACCACTATTCCGGACCCAACTGTCGGCTTCCGAGGCGCCTGTGCCACTAGCATCGCCGCTCTGGACATCGACAAAGCTTTCTGGGGCGTCCTCAATATTGAGATCATCGTCTCCCATGTCCCAACCAGCCGCGTCGACTTCTTCCTCATCAATTTCCATGAGATTACCATTAGGCCTCTTATTGTCACCTTCGGCATCCTCTTCTTCGAATCCGAATCCGTTGGTTGCTGGGGTAGGTTCGTCTTCAATCTTTAGATCATCAAGCTGGCCAAGAATTGCCTTTTCGAAGAACGAGAGAGAAGTAGCCTTGAGAGGCCAGTTCGCTTTGTAGGTTTCTGAGACGGGACGCAGAGGAGCAAGGGCAGCTCCAGAGGAAGGAAGCTTGACTTCATCTTCAGTTAACCCTGCGGCATCGAGAATCTCCTGAGCTTCATCGTGAAGGCCAGCAGCCTTGGCAGCGACATATGCCAGTGGATATAGATCAATCTCTTTGAAGAGTTCTATCCTCTCAGCCACATCACCGAGGTACAGGGAGTTTTGGAAACGGGACATATAGTCTCCACGATGTGCGGCAATCTTGCCCATACGCTTAAGCTTCTCGTTGTCACCGGTGATCAAGTACAAGAAACTCAACTTGTCAAAGTTCCTTAGCTTCTGGTATGTCATCTCCACAACCTGATGGTTGCCTTGATTGAGAGCTTCGGTTCCTAGTCTTGTCCATAGCTGTGGTCTATCGAGCTCCTTGCACATTTCAACAGCGACCTCGAGGTTTCCACATTCAAGAGCTAGTTCAAACTTTGTTGCTGGGTCTTGGACGAACTGCAGAGCGATTTCGGGGTACCCTTTCTTCTGGAGGTAGGAAATGATAGCCTGGCCGACAAGGTTGGAGTTTCGAATAATATGGAGCATTTCCTCATAGTTCCTCTTAACCAAAGCGAGTTTGAAGCGATATTCGGTTGGATCGATGGGGATCTGACGGGGTTTAGCAGCCCTATCCAAGCAATAAACGGATTTGCCTTTGACTTTGACGAGATAAACAGTTTGATCGAGGGTTTTGATGATGCCATTATCGCTATGCGGTTGTTAGAATCGTTGTATTTAATCTGACTTTCGTGTAAACTTACCCGTTAGGAAGTGTGTATTTAATATGGTTGAGGGTGGAATAAAGAAGAACACCGGAGTCGTCCCAAGCAGCGCTCTTGATTCTGATAGTCTCATGCAGAGAACTCAGCTGCTCGAGGTTCTTGTTCACGATGACGATGTTATGTTTGCTAAGGAGTGCAGCTTGAGTTCCATCAGCAGTCCAGACAACATACTTGACGCCGCTGACAGGTAGCTCAGCCAAAGTTTTCTTCTGTTGAATATCGTATAAAATGACGGAAGAAGCTGCGCATAGAAGCAAACAACCAGTTCCACCGAAATAGATGTCGTTGATTGAAACAGGAGGCTTAATGGTCTTCGTTGTGCTGTTCGAGAGGTCCTTGATATCGATCTGTTGATTCTGGCTGCTAAAGACCGCAAACCTGTTTCTAGCAACGAATACAGCGCTGTTTCCAGTTCCACGCTTTGAGTCCGTGGGCTCAACGGCGCCAGTCGAGTCTTTGGGCAGAGGAATCAATTCGTAGGTACCGCCATCCGCAGCAGATGTAACCAAAACCGCACGTTCCGCAGGGTTATAACTCAACGTCCTTGGTGGAATCCACGGGCTACCCAACTTCTTCAAGCTCACCATTGACAAACTCTCGGTATTCTTGGTAAAATCAAAACTTCGGACGTGTTTCTCCTTGTTAATGAAAAACAAGTTATTTTGGTGTAGGTTGTAAGCTGGTCGTTCACGCTCGAGTTTGAAAACCATAACACCATTGTCGTGACCTGCAGCAAACAAATTGATTTCTGGGTGGGCGGCTATGACCCAATATCTGTCGTTCTCGCGTTTGAAAGTCTGCACCAACGACCTCTTATTTAAATCCCAAACCCTAATCGTCTTGTCTTCACCGACGGAAAGTATAAGATCCTGGTGAGGGTGGAAAAGACAAGCAGAGGCGTTTTGAAAGTGCCCTCTACATGTATCAACCTCCCACGCCTTTGTATCTATTCCGGAGTTAGTAATATAACATGGATATCTTGTTTGGAAACTACGTACCACTCATCCTCCACAATTTAACGAGTCTATCGTCGCCTGCACTAACAATCAGTGGCAAGGTAGGGTGAAACGCGACCCAGTTAACACCCCTATCATGGCCTTCGAGAACAAACTTGACCACTGCATCGGTATTACCAAACATATCGGCCTGTTGTTGTTGATTTCGAGACATCTGGTCCTCGAAGCTCATAGAGGTTGGGGCCGAATGTTTCTTGCGAAGGCCCGAGATATCCCAAACTCTAACGGACTGATCAAGGGATGCAGAGACAATTAAGTCTTCCTTGGGGTGAAACTGGGCGCACATAGTATAATGATTATGCCCGGTCATGGTGCAAACTAGCAACAGTCAGCATTGAAGTCCAATAACGCGCCATTGGTTCCCAAATCGGACATACTCAAACTACGGTTTTGCCAGTTCCATATTCTAATAGTCTGATCATCGCTACTGCTGACAATCCAAGGCAATTCGTGATGGAAAAAGACAGTACGGACGTAATCAAGATGTCCATTCAACGTGAACAAGCACCTTCTCGTTTGATAACTCCACACCTTGATTTTGTAATCATCACCACCGGACACGAACAACGGCTGAGTTTTATGGAAATCGACACCTCGAACGGGGCCATCGTGTTCCTCGAAGCGGTCGATAAGGGTTCCCATTCGGTAATCCCAGAGCTGGATGGTTGAAGAATGGAGAGAGACAAGGATCCATGGTCTGCGATATCATTAAAGTCAGCGCCTATCTCTACAGAATATAGAAACGACCTCGAATATAACAACTGACCGCTTGGGATGAAAGGCGATACCCTTCGCCCTTGAGGACTTGGATTCGAACTATATATATATCCACCAAACACGTCACGACCAACGGTCAGCATGCCATCCCACTTGCTAATCGTCTCTTACAGCAATTGATTCCCGGACGAACCTTAGTTAACCTCTGCATGTTGGAGAAGCGGGTCGCGGATTATTGAGATGAAGTCTGAAATATGGTACAGCTCCCTCCCTCGGGAGACTTGTCGCTATTGGTAGCTCTATCCTCCTCCTAACTATCCCCACAACACAGTGAAGTGAATCAAACCCAATTCGAAGATGGGAATCAGCGAAGATAATGGGTTCACGGGATCGAATAATTGGTATTGGAGAAGATGCGAGTGGATACAGTTGTGGCCAGCTGGATCCGGTCGTCGTCGTCGGCGTCGCTGTCGTCAGTAATAGCTTGCTTTGACGTGCGTCTAGGCTCAGGAGGACACTTTGCAGCTTTCCCACACAAAACGGCCAGTTTGGTGGCCGCGAGCTTCGGCTGGCCTTTTCTTGGCATCGAGCTCGACCAAACCACAATGCGTTGAGGTGTTGTTAATGTCACGTGATATGTGGCTTAGCATGCCTACGCCACAGAATAAAACGGTATCAGATCTGCCTTCAAAACGACGCAATTCTCAGCACCAGCGAATTCGTCGTTTCGTGTGCCATTTAATATATATTTGACATTGCATTGCATTGACAGGATTATATAATATTATTAGGTACGGGCCTGATGATGCAGAATGGCTGGTGGTTCTATTAAAGAATAAGAAACGTTTTCTTATATTTCATACCTTTTAGGTAGCTCTGTGATATAGTACCTGGCCGGTGACATCGCATGCGCAGGTCTCGGTGAAACTATCTACAATATCGCGGCCTCGGGACCTAGTCGCAGATGAAGGTAGGGGCTAGTTAACGTTAGCTCGGGACAACCTTTGAGCAATTGAGCTCAACAGTATGACATAAGACCGTGTCGTTCAAAAATCGATATTGCTATCGCTAATTGAAGAACAGGTGGCCATTCATGCCTAAAGCTACATCTCCCTCTCCTATCGAGTGCAAAAGATATTGATTCAAGTTATGGCTATTTGAGGTTCCTATACCCGACTGGTGGCATTACATGCGGTGAAATCTAGTCCGTTCATACCCAGTATTCATATTACCAGGCTATCTGGCTGGCCGTAATCTGCCACGCGGGCCTTATCGTAGCGCAGTCAATCCTAATAATGAGGGGCTTACTAACCACGGAAGATTGTGCTGATTGGTCCCGGTTGAAAAAGTAATTACCACGTCTGGCTGCATCTGGGGTAGACGCACTGTGCACTCTCAGGCTGCAGACCTCGTCCGTGATTCTACGCCAAAGTTGCCAGATTGTCGAAACGCGACCACGGTGGCCTCCAAATTGGCATCGATGCAAGCCCTTCATCAGTAGATACTTAAGTACTTAGGTATGTTCAATTCGTTTATCCAACCTCTATGATGTCCATCTATCAGGTTTAATTGGCATTTCGCAGCCGATATGGTGACGAGTACATGACATCAATTTAAGCTGAAGCTACCAACAACAGACCACTTCTCGCTTACATCTAATTCACGAATCCGCCACCAAACCGCGCGACTGTCACAAAAGTCTCAGGCATAAAACGGGCAGAATGTGGTTCTCCACACTCCGGACCCAGCAATCCAGCCGTAGGGCACTGCTTAGTGGTGCCCTGGCATTGGCATCTCTGCAGGGAGTATATTCTCGAAGTCAACCTCAGGATATTGAAGAACCCGGAACTGTAAAGCAATGGGAGGGGGTCAATCTGAGTTTAAAGACTCCATGGAATGGTGGTCCGTATATCCTAGAGATATTGTAAGTTTAGATTGACTTCCAATGGGGAATAACTACACCTCTAACACCTGAATAGGGAATGTGCTGGATTAGAAGAGCCAGCGTTCTATTTTACGCTCCTCGACCTCATAAAGTCCGGAACGATCAAGCTTGTCGATTCGGACAAGGAGATGTACGAGAGTGTGGTCAACTACGTTGAAACTCACCAACTACTAGACCATCGTTTTATCCCTACCTGGAAATTTTGCATCTCTCTTCGAGAAACATCTCCTAGGATTGAAGCGCAATACCAATTCTACTCGAATAAGGTCACATTCCCAAAAGGGAAGAGCTGCCCGGTATGGTTCGACGACGGGGAGACCCAGAGCTGCAACTCCGGAGATATCTCCAAAGTTAAGCCTGAGTCCAGCTCTGCTTCCAAGTTGATTCCCTTCGACAGACAGAACAAGGAAGACACTAGGAAGGGATTGGTTACCTTCTACATTGATATCATCGATAAAGGATTCCCAACGGCATTTTCAGAAATGTCCGAAGCTGCCGATAAAGCCGGAATTGCCTACAAAATCCGATATAAACCATCCCCGTCCTTGAAAAATCCCAAACCGGTTGGGCTCAGCGGATATGGTGTTGGCCTCTCTTTAAAGAAAACGGATTATCTGGTTATTGATGACAGAGATGCACAGGAGGGTAGCGCGCCTGCTTCCGATGCCTCCTCCACTGCATCATCAGCAAAGCCTTCCCCGACATATAAGTTCAGGACACCCGAAAACCTAAAACCAGGTGAGAAGCGGTTCCCTCTCTGGGATTTGGTAGATGTGGACGACCCGGTCAGAGATCTCAGGGATCTCCTACCTCTTTCGCAGACAAATATTGGAGATATTGGCTTCAAAACAGCGAACTTCATTACCAAGAGCGGCATCTTTCCTCCAGACATGCTTATGAAAATCTTATCCGACTACCCAAAGTATGCACATACTATCGGTACGATGGGAGGTGTTTTGAACGAGTGGGTCCAGGAGCACAGCGACAATCGAGAGAAGTTCGTGCCTGCCGGCTACAATCTTATGTTCCTGAATGGGTTGGCCTTGGATCCCTCCGAAGTCAATGCCGCAAGCCTTATCAAGCTGATGCGACGGGAACGCCATCATGGAATCCAAATTCGTGAACTTGGGCTGAACCAAGAAGAAACTCATGACCTCATCGGTCACGCAAACATTACGGATGCAAAGCTGTCACCCGAACAACCCCGATTCGACTACCGCGAGCAAGCAGGTGAAGAGAATGCCATTATCTGGCTCAATGATCTCGCCGTAGACGAGAGATACAAAGATTGGGCCCCTAGTATTCAAGAGATCATGGTTCATCAATACAATGGTGAGCTCGCAGGTATCAGGAAGAATATCCACACCCTTGTCATGGCTCTTGACTTCTCCAACCGTGAAGATTTAAAAGTGATCACCGAGAGACTTAACATTATGGTTACACGAGAGTTCGCTCTCACCATTGGTATTGTCCCAATTGTACGAAACAATCTTGGTTCAGCGAACTCCAGGATTTTCCGTGCTCTTCTCCAGTCCTACGACCTGGAAACTGCTGTAAGCTACATTAGAGACGGCCTCGAAGCAGACAAAAACGGAGTCAGATACCCAGCCCCGGAGTATGTCCATCACGCTATCAAAGGTCGAACTCGTCTCGAAGGTGCACCAGAAGTTTCCCTCTCAGCAGTCATGGAATCGAAGCAATTCCAAGAGTATGCACGTGCAGCAGGAAACTGGGAAGCTCGATTCGGTATTGTTGATCGACCATACCCCTTCCTCGTCAACGGCCTACTCGATTACTACAACAATGAGTGGATCCGGACTTTAACCCAGATCTTCCCAAAGGATGTACAACGTATGCAGGAAGCCATTGAAGACGGTAAACTCACCGACGATGACGATATCCGAGAGTTTCTGCTTAACAACCCCCTACCCAAGAAAAGTGCTGCCATCTTCCCTCTAAGTGGAAAGTTGGACCTCTTCAATTTGGCTGATCTTTTCAAATCCAACCCGGAAATCTTCGAAAAACTCCCACATTTTCCAGGAAAGCTTGTCGAGGAAACAGAAACCTCGTCGGCCGACGTTTGGGTCATCGGAGATTTTGACACAGAAGATGGACATAACCTTCTCGCCGAAGCAGCAAAACTCCAGGCTTCAAGACCCGGAATCTCTATTACAGCTATCTCCAACCCAGGTGGTAAGACGAAGGTGCAAACCACTTCTGCCTTGCTCCACTCCCTCGTTGGAAACACCGAAATCCTCAAAATTACCGGTTTCCTGCAGAAGATCATTGAAGAAATCAAACCGGAGAAGGACTTTATGGATCTCAAGGTCGAAGGCCAGAGTGTTTTCGGTGGAGATGCAAAGACTGAGGGATGGGCTATTCCCAACAAAGTTGCTGCCGAGAAATTCTGGAGTGAAGCTGCTGCTGTTGTCGAAAGAATTTTTGGTGTCAAGCCCGGCCAGAAGGCTGTTCTTGTGAACGGCAGACTCGTAGGCCCGTTCAATGAAGAGGTTAAATGGACCAAAGATGATATCGAAACTCTCGTCCGAGTTGAATTGCAAACTAGGATCAACCCGATTCTCAACGCCGCAAAGTCTATAGGCGTTCTTGAAAGACTCAGGGCCGCAAACTACAAGGGACGACTGACCTCTACACTTACTGAACTGCTTGAGGGTGAAAAGACCAATCTTGCTATTAGCGGAATGTCGGTCAGGACCAATAGAGCCATGGGATGGAAGAGAAGCAAGACTGTGCTCACGGCTGGCGATCCGATCTGGTCGACCTTCCGCTTCATCGTTTCCCTCGACCCTGTCAGCGAAGTTGGCCAAAAGTGGGCACCAATTCTTCGGGTCCTCATGTCGATGGATGGAGTTGGTGTCTATACATTCCTAAACCCCAACGATAACCTTCGCGAAGTCCCTATCAAGAGGTACTACCGCCACGTCCTATCCTCCCAGCCCAAGTTCGACGAGAATGGAGACATCCTAGATCCAAAGGCCCAGTTCGTCGGTCTTCCAGATCAGACTCTCTACTCTCTTAGCATGGATGTTCCACCATCGTGGCTTGTTACACCTTCCGAGACCATCCATGACCTCGACAACATCAAACTCCAGACATTTAAGGAGCGTTTTGGAACTTCTGACCTCAACGCTACCTACGTTTTGAAGAGCATCCTTATCGAGGGTCACTCTCGTGATACAACCCACAACCAACCTTCTTCTGGTGCTCAACTTGAACTTGGAACCTCAGAAAACCCTCTCATGCAAGACACTATTATCATGTCCAACGTTGGGTACTTCCAATTTAAATCTAACCCAGGACACTGGCAAATTCGTCTTAAGCCCGGTCGTTCGTCCGATATCTACACCATCCAAAGCCTTGGGGGCGACGGGTTCAACCCATCGAGCAATGCAGAAGATGATGTTAAGGATATCACTCTGATGAGTCTCAATGGTGTTACTTTGTTCCCAAGACTCAAGCGTAATAAGGGCTACGAGAAAGTCGACGTCCACTCGTCATTGGGTTCGACCGACGGTACCGTTGAGAAGGCCGCAAGCTTTGCAGAGGGACTGCTCTCTAAGCTAGGACTCGGTAAGAAAAAGGAAACCGCTGTCGCCAAGGCTCCTGCAGAGATCAACATCTTCTCAGTTGCTAGCGGCCACTTGTATGAGCGATTCTTGAATATCATGATGATTAGCGTTATGAGGCATACAAAACATACCGTTAAGTTTTGGTTCATTGAAAACTTCTTGTCTCCGGCGTTTAAGGTACAAACTCCTCGATTTCTCCCTCCCAAGAGATATTATCAGCTAACAATTTTAACCAGGACTTCCTACCTGTTCTGGCGAAGGAATACGGCTTTGACTATGAACTTGTAACCTACAAGTGGCCTCACTGGCTCCGTGGCCAAAAGGAAAAACAGCGAGAAATCTGGGGCTATAAGATTCTTTTCTTGGACGTCCTTTTCCCTCTCAATGTCGACAAGATTATCTTCGTCGATGCAGATCAGATTGTCCGAACCGATTTGAAGGAGCTAGTTGACCTTGACCTTAATGGAGCCGTCTATGGGTTCGCGCCAATGTGCGATTCCAGGACTGAGATGGAAGGATATAGATTCTGGAAAACGGGATACTGGAAGCAGATGTTGGGAGAATTGAAGTACCACATCAGGTATGCATGGCCGCCTTCCCGCTATAACCACTTTGACTCAAGGCAACCATACTAACTTAACCAGTGCCCTCTTCGTCGTCGACCTCAAGGTCTTCCGTCAACTCGCCGCCGGCGACCGTCTCCGTCAGCAATACCACCAACTCTCAGCCGACCCCAACAGTCTCTCCAACCTCGACCAAGATCTACCAAACAACATGCAACGTCAACTCCCAATCTTCTCACTCCCTCAAGACTGGCTATGGTGTGAAACTTGGTGCAGCGATGAGAGCTTCAAGACCGCCAAAACCATCGATCTATGCAATAACCCTATGACCAAGGAACCCAAGCTCGATAGAGCCAGAAGGCAAATCCCAGAGTGGACTGAGTACGATGATGAAGTTGCAGCATTGGCGAAGAAGGTGAAGGCCAAGGGTGTTGAAAATATGAGAGAGGCACTGGTGCAGAAGGAGGCTTTGGGAGAACAGGAGAAAGGAGTTAAGGAGGAGAAGACTGAAGAGAAGAAAGATGAGAAGGCAGCCGATGCCGAGAAGCCAAAGGATGAGTTGTAAAAGATGGTCTAATTTGAGGAGTGGTGTTTGCTCTACTGGCTACCTAAGGCTCACAGCGGACGATATGGCATTGGAGATTCGCTCTTTACTACGATAATGTTAGTTTATCATAAAATACGCTTTATGTTCAAAAGCATGAATGTATATATATCCTTACAGACATAATACCATAATAGGTATTTCAAAATTAAAAAAGAAAACCAAGATGATTACTACTGATATTACACGTGCGCGCCTTGTACAAGCACCACACAAGCCTGATATATACTATATAAACGATTGATTTTAGGAACAAACAGTTACTAGTAACCACGATTAATTACTATTATGAATACTCGCCTTATAAATCGGTATTTCCCGGCTATAGGCCTACTCTATCTAGCATGTATCAAAATTAAATATTTAACGAACGACTTGATTTGAAGCAATATGGACATTATTTCATTACTTATTTGTTAGTTTTTTGTCGTAGGAATAGCACAGAAACGATCACTCCTCTCTCTCAAAAAATACAAATTCTACATACATACCACGCGGAATCAAAAGGTGCGCCTTCCCGGAACATTTGATGAATCCATAAAACGAAACAAAAAAAGCCGGAATTCTCATGATATACATGAAGTAAGTTAATGTAGTACTGTTCGGTATTTAAATACGCAGAAGCAAATACGAAACAAAAATGCCATCCTCGGCATACCTTAAGAAGAGAGAGAAAAAGTACCAACAGACGATACTGACATGATATAAAATGAGACTTATAAAGGTTTAGGTTTGGATTTGAGTGGAGGAGCCAATTAATTGCGCGAGCTGAATAGAGAGAGAAGGGGGTAAAAGGTCGTAATACATTAATAGATTAGGTATGTTTCATTTTTTTAGTGAAAAAAAAAAAGTAGTGGATGAGGGGCGAGACAGCACAAAGGAGATGACGAGAAAATGACGAAAGCAGATAGTTGAATTTTTTGTTTGAAGTTTGAACCAGGTCCAAAAAAATATGACGGATAGAGGGGCAGATACATAAAGAGAGAGAAGAAGAAAAACGATACTTCTAGATCACATGGACATCATTATACATCCCCAGGGGTGGCTATAAGGAAAAAAAAGGGGTGGAAAGGGGGGTCATCTCCTATCAATCATACAACAACAGACAAGACATACAGAATAAAATCTATATTCACCGAGTGATAAAAAATGGAAGTGGGGCTAGTAAAAATGAGAAAGAAACACCTCCGCAACAGGATGCAAGTAGCTACAACAATAACGACGGAAAAGGCAATATCGCTCCTCAATGTGCAATTTTTTGGGATCCAAAAGAAAATTGAAAATGCGCATGTATTCTTTTTGTAAGGGGTATGGTGCAAATAAAGATCAGGAGGAAAGTACGAAGGCAACCGTCCTTCTCCGAAGAAGGGACATCCGCAAAAACACCGGGACCGGTAAAGATTTTCGTTTTTTGAGGGGAAGATTCCAAAAAATAAAAATAAAAATGCGATATCAGAAAAGCCTTGAAGAAGAGAAGCCAAATGAAACTTTTGTCTTTCCTTATTCATGAGTATTCGTTAAATAAAAACTGATAATAAAACGGAAACAGGTGCTCGAGTGCTCGGATGCTTCGAAGGCGGGCTGAATCGTCATAAATTTGCGGGCTGGGACAAAAAAGGCACCAAGGAAAATCGTGTGCATGGATGTAAATTTTGTAGGCTAAACCCGCGGTATATTCCGAGATCGCATTTGCATAACCCGTTTCTTTTCAATCGCAAGCACCAATTGGAGAATAGGTACGCTGTCATATCTCGAATCAGGCGCGAATCAGATATTGGTCTTCTATGTCAACCGTTAATATAATTAGAAATGTAAGAATTGGCCATGCAAACTATCGCCGTGGGGCGGCAGGTCTAGGCCGAGACCGTTGAGCTTGCTATTGTTCTGACCTGTTTTCTTGGATGATGCTTCAACAACATCGTCAATTTGAAAGAGATCCTCTTCGGCGATAGAAGAGCTTGGAGGTGCGCGCCGATCAGGGATCTGGGTCGATGGTGTTCGAGGAACCGTAGCTGATAGTAGACTGCGGTGGTGATGATTTAGTCCAGACTTGGTGGGGGAAGCAATGAAGGATCCGCCATCCATGGACTCCTGTGGCCGGCCAATAGGCCCGAACGGGGGGCTTGGCTTTTGGGCATATGAGTTGCGAAGAGGGGAGCCGACATGGCCAATCGCGGATATCGGTGAATCTTCGTCCCTTCCTCGTCGTGAAAATAAGGGTCCAAACCTGGAGCCAGGAGAGCCAACAGCGCTTGTTGGTTCACCAGGGGTGTTTGGCGCCGTGTTGTTCCTCCGATGCCATGACCCTACGATAGCATCATCATGGTCTGGCCTTGACATCCTGCGGTTTTTGATTTCTTTGCCACGCTCACCCAATACGTCAGCGAGTAAGGATGCTGGTACCAGGTCCTCACCTTCCGAATTGTCAAAAGGGCTATCATCGGAAATCATGTGACCAATAGGCCTGGGAAGGCTTGATGACATTGGAAATTTGTTGTTGCGTCCGAGGTTCCTTTGAAGCAGTCTCTGACTGAACGAGGTCTCGTCAGGCTGTAAAGGAGGCGACCGTCTCGAACGGGACGGTTCATTGCTTTCCGCGTCGTCAGCATAAGCCGATCGGCGAAGGGACTGGAGCGCCGAATTTTGAGGCAGCGAAGCTGGTGGTGACTCCATGCCAAACTTCGATGGAACGGATGCCGCAATCGGTCCGTACTTTGCGAAATACGAGATCCCATTGCTATCTAAAGAAGCCGGCAGACCTGCATCTAGAGGGCCCAGTGTGCGGTGCGAAGTCGCCAGCGGCGACAATGGTAACCCATTTTCTTGCGGCGAACCAAATGCCGAATCGTAGGTTACACCAGGGCCGTACCCAATGTCGTACCCGTTCTGCTGTTCCACCGAACCGTCATACTGACCGAAACCCTGGCTGACAGCAAAGGGATGCTGAACGATGCTCATCGACAGAGCGGATGAACGGGGGCCATGGTTGTTGTATTCCGGCGCAATCCTACCTCCAAGGGGTATCTGATTACCATTGTTGAAGCTGGACCGGTTGATTCGTCGCCCGTCAGGCAAAATATGAGCATTTGCGCATTTCGCTCCAAACTTGCAGTTACCCTATTTTTAACCAGTTTGACATTAGACCTTGAAATGCTCACACGCCAGCGCTTTGGCGGCGAAAATAGCGCTTCGGATGCACTTTACCTTTTGAAAGTACTTGCACGGAGCTGATTCCGTCGTCGGGTCCATGGAATGGGAGAAAGGACAGGATCTGCCGGCTTGACATTGATTTTGCCGAAAGAACTTACAAGGGACGTGGGCGAGATCTACGAATCAACGCAGTTTGCAAATTAACCAACTGTCCTGCTAGATCGGAATAATATCCTTGGAAGCTGGGGAAGTCTCTCCAATGTTCGAGTGATAAAAAAGATACAAGCAACACAGATATGAGTTATGGGTGGGATATCGTACTTTTGTTCGGTGGGCTTCGAGCAGGATCGAAGGGTGGCACTTGACCGCCAAACTGCTGGCTCTGGCCATTTGCCCCATTTATCTGGAGTCCATTCATTTCTCCATTCTGAAGTGCGGAAAGCCCGCTTAAGGTATGCTGATTTCCGCTGGATAGACGTCTGTGGTCTACCGGCCGGCCGTTCTGTTGAGCGGAATACTGCAGGTGATCCGGAGGGGAGCCGATTGGCATTGTTAATTGTTGAAGTGACGAAGTGGATTCCTGTCTCTGAAGGTGAGGATTCGAGGCTTGCTGGTGCAATTGGTGTGAATGAGACGCTTGCTGTTGCGGCAGAGTTACAGTCGACGCCATAGCTGACGATGAGACTGAAGAAGGAGGAGAATGTATGAGCTCGTGGGAGGAGTGGTGGTGAATGAGGTGGTGGTGTTGGTGGAGGTGAGCCATTCTCGGAAGATTTGATTTGATTGGACTAAACTGGCTCTCTCGACTGTATTGTTCTCTTTGGGCAGGACGAAAAGGGCCTTGGGTTATCCGGCAGCCTGAGCGAGAGATTTCTTGTTACCGAAATCTTAAATGCTTTCAACCCAAGATAATTAAATTAACAATGCGAGGGATCTCAAGTTTTGCGAGATCGTATCGGGTTTATAAAGGGTTTCACAAATGTTGACCACAGCGGAAATTCAAATTATACTTCGGTATACTTTCATATCAAGTAGATGTCTTCCAGATCGTTGAATCCAGGTTCGGATTTGTAAATATATATAACGAGCGGATTGGTGGATGACAGCAAGCTGCGCTGTATGACAGCCAGGCCGGTCCAAAAGTCGGGATTGAAAAAGTGAAAGGGGGACCTGGTTGGTCGAAACGGGAACGGGAAAACGAAAGGACTACAGATTTGAAGGAGAACAGAATTCTAGCTTCCGCTCTTGCTTATATCTTGCAGACAACCTTCTTATTCCACGGTTCGTGAGAGGGGAAACTGCAGTACGCGAACGAGGAGATGGGCAAGTAGAAAGGATACTTGCAGGAGTAAGTGAGTGGTAGCTGGGTGCTAGCGGGGTATCTTTTCCACCTCTTGATGCAACCACCTTAGCATTCCCTGTAGCTTTTCGTTCCTCTGTACGGGGCAGATTTTCGAGCAATTTTCTTATTTCTCAAGCTTAAGGTGGCTTGCTGTCGTCCGACAAGAAGGAGGGAAGCTACTAATTAGTGACAGTCGCCAAGATCTAGTTCGGCAAGGCTCTTAGTCGGAATTGCAGGTATTTCGCGAATGTTGCGCAAGGCAGTGGGTGATACGCGAAATTCCTGTGCAAGAGTAGTGTGGTGGACGAGGGATCCCGTTCCGTTGGCTTGCGACTTCGAATTGAATGTTCAACGACAGATACGAAAGAACGGATGAAAGGGCCATCCAAAGAGGCTGGTATATCAACGGACTTGGTTAAAGACCTTGAAGGTTCGGCCCGGCGTTTTATCAACCGGTTATTCGTCCAGAGGGGAACGATAAAAACTCCAGTTTTCCTTTGAGACAGGTCTGTCCCAGACCGATGGCGATTTTATTCTCAGCTTCGTTAGCCGCTACAATTAGGAGGGCTCTTGCCGGACCTGGTCTCGTGTGTCCTGCGTTGCGTAGATCGTGCAGCTGTATCCCGGCACCTTATGCAGCGGGCCCTGTTTGTCAATACATAGCATGTTAACCTTGCCGACACCAGAAAGCATTGATTGCTGTTGCTGCTATAAGTTATTTCGTATAACGAAATAATCCCAAGCATTTGGAGGTATGGATGCTAAGCATGAGTGGGGGGCCTTTCTCTCACTCACCAGAAATTTAAAACCCAAAAAAAATAAAAAAATAAGAAGAATACGGATACCTGTGGGCTAGGTTAAAGAGTAGCGTAACTTGAACTTCCACTCTCTGTGGGAATCTCGGTTCAATAATAATTAATTACCGCAATGAGGACGAGGGAAACCCAGAAGGTCGAGGCGAAATTGAAGGATACGACGCGGTATCCCGATCTTATACCGCTAACCCTGAGCTTCGCGCTTGAAACGTATTTCCAGGCAATGCCGTCTCCCTTCTGCTGCTGGCTCTTCTCCTTCTTCACGGTACGAAGGAGCCGGCCGTGTTCGAGATGTTAGATCGCTGATCTGGCCTGGCAGACCGACGAAGGTGCACCTGCTGTTCCGGTCACGATGCTGCGGGATAGCTGCAGCTAGAACTCTGAGGTTGGGCGACTCATGCACAGTTTGCACAGGCCGTTTACCTTTTCCTACAACCTTCACAGGGCCGTCCTCACTCGTATCTGATGGCCAATCCAAGGGGAACGGGCAGTCGATCGTTCCTTTTGCGACCCCAGATTTCTGTGCAATCCTGCCCTATTAACGGCCAGTGCAGTGCAGCGGGTCTTATCCAGCGGACGTTATGTACGTGAGAGTACGTAAAAGTGGTACGATCAAATGTCCAACAGAACGAAAAGCTCCTATTAGCTCGTTAGTTTGTTTTCCTGTAACGAGTATGCTTTTGCTTTTGCGGCTTGTGACAGCTACCGTTGGGTTAGCAGAACCAGCTGCTTGATATGTAGACGACAGCGCTGGAGCCTTCGGGCAAGCCTTCTCGTCCAGGACGGACCCGATTTGGGAACTATTCCTTTCCTTTCTTTTCTGCCTCAGCCCGGTTTTACTTGATTCTGAAATCGAGGCTAAAACTTCGTCTTCGTGACTGGTTAGATCATCGTGCAGATTTGGGGCATTTCCTCGGAGGGTTGGGGTTTCCTCGTTTTGATGATGGTGGTGGGAAGGCCAGCTACTCTTTTTGATATATCAACTTTTGTGGTGTTGCTTCGGACCAGGTCCCGTAGTTTATAGACGACCTTGGGCTGAGCTCCCAAATGTATCTCCAACCTCCAGTCCACGGTGTAGCTAAGAGCTAGCAAGTTCGAGGTAATTCGGAACGGAACTAACTACAACAGAACCCTCGACGGATATCGATTATCTCTCAGCTTCACTGGCCCATTGGAGCCGGATTTCATTTCCCTTTTAATAGATATACTCTTGCTGCCCCCTGCCTTTGACCAGCTTCGAGTCTGGGGTTATGATCACGAACCCCACATCAATATATGCTAATTATATTCCGAATACTCCCTCACAAGTTAATATCTACGAGGCCTAGGTAAATCAACAGCCGACGGATACAAACAGCTATTTCCGGGCCAGCTAAGCATTTCCCTCGGGGCGGAGGGTGATGCAACGGTAAGCTGATTCGCATTTGCCCTTTTTACTTTCCTTCACAAAAAAAATAAATTGACAAGTATCAAATGCACAGAAGTGATCTTGTTCTCCAGTTTCCGCATCATCATCTGCAAGATGAATTATATTAGGCTCGTTTCGTTTCGCTTACAAACCGCAGTACATACATGCCTCCTACATATACCTGGGCTATAGGTAGGGGCTCACGACAAGCGTCCGGAGTACGCGGCGGCGTAATGCACTTGCCATGCCATTGATGCATGTAACTTCCCTTCGTCGTGTCGACGGGCAGCTTCAAGGTCTCCTATTTGCTGCCTTGTTCTCAGGACAGAGCACATCTCCCGTGCTAGCCAGTCAATGTTGGTGCTTATGAACAGGGGTGGGTTTGGCTAGAGGTCATCCCTCCAAGTTGCTATATTAGAACCGATATTATGCATACAAAACCCAGTCTTCGCTATTATCACAAGGACCTCCACATTGTGATTCTGCTTATACAATGATAACTAGACGAAGGCGGTCTAAAGCTAATACCTAAGCAGATTTTGCATTTTTCATCCCAACTTTTGGTTCTCCTCGAAGCTCCGATGATTAGCGGTTGTATCTATCGCTGTCCACGGACTAAAAAATCGCCCACTGCGCGCGATCCCCAGCCCCAAACTTTACCGACGTCGACGAAGCCTAGGCAATCGAATATTTAAATTATGCAATATGTTATGAGTGCATTCTTTCATAATCCCGCATGCTTCCGCTTCTAAGTCACATGAATTCCGCCCACACCCTCCTAGCGCCGGGTTCCCCAGTTCTCGTTAACGACGTTGCCTCGTTGGAAAGTTAACATGGGACCTAACCCAGGCATTTACGAGGTAAGAGGGATAAAAACACGAAATTTGAGAAACTTCCTGAATAGAAAAGAAAGAAAGGGCGACTTGATGAAATGACTAAGAAAAAAGCCGCGTTCCGTGTTCCGGAAGGAAAATCCCTTTTGAATTGATTGATTCAGGTTATCCCGACAATGGGGGAACGTCGGCATCGCATCGCTATTAGCGGTGGGCCTTCACCTGCTCACTAGTGTTCCACATGACGCGATTCGCACCCCAAGTGGCCCACTATCGACGACAAACTTCGAGAAAAAAGGTGTCCTCAAAGGAGTCGGCCACACGTTCTTGGTGGCGCAGGTGCCGTTCTATCGAAAATACTTGGCATTTCGAGAAAATTTCTCAAGTTTTAGTAGTTGATTTTAGAAATCAGGTTATGGTTGGGTCGAGGTTTTGCATTGCAACCCCAAAGGATTATCATGACCCCATATAATCTCAGAACAGACTGCAACCTCCCACGCAACGCACCACGGTTCAATTTGAACGTGCGTCGAAGTTCAATACCCAAGTTGCAGGACACACCCTGTGGATCACACAGCCCAGCTAGGGCTGATTATCGGCCTCCTCGATTACTATGCCATCCACGTTTTTGTCAACCCGTCTTGTCTAATTCGGTCTCCCGAAAATACTCGAGGTTGGCAGGCTTTACGGTGTGCATGTTTCACGAAAGTTGGTGTGCCACACCGGCTCCACAAATCCTCAAGACCATATTCTTGGGACTTTGAGGACGATGAGTATCGCATTGCGGAGGCTGCCGGGTTAAGTGTTTTTGTCGTACGAAAGACGGTACGATTTGTGCAAAACAAGAATTCGTAGATGTTCGAATAGTTCGTGCGCCGAAGTTGAAAAGACAAGTTCCAGGTTTATGACCTGCGGAGTGTGCACGGTGTATCAGATCGGGACGTCTTTCAAAATTGCGAGCCGATTGCCACTCCCCTTTGTCACAAATGAATCAGATACTAATTATCAAGAAAACTTAGTCAGTATTTACAGAAACAGTATCAATTCGGAGAGTCCATCGCCTTGCCCGTAATTCCTGGGCACGGGCCGGTATGACTTATGCCTCCTACTCGCTTTGTCACGGATATCGAAAACACCATAGCCGCCGTCATTTGATACTCATTTGCGAACCGACCGTTTTTTTTAACTCGGACACCTACTCGATACATGCATATGCCGTGGTTGCCTCCATTTCTCCGAATGGTGGCGAAATCCATCGATACCAAGGATCAATTGCCATGAAAATAAAATACTCGAAAATCTCACCTGCATATCTCCCATATCCCTTCGTCTACTCGTCTGAAGTACTGTTTCCCAAGAGCTCCCCGGCCCAAAAAGTTGATTACTCCGTTTCTTTGGACCCCCCACATCCATTTCATCTCTGAAGATATAACAACGAAATATCGAAAAGCATGTGCGACGTTCACACAACAAAAAGTGCAGAAAATACAATTTGGACCTCGAATTTCGTATTCAAACATAAGAAATCGACTGGATTGTGGGAGGCATCACTCGTGTAAGCAAGGGCCTTCTGTATGCAGTAACCCTGTCCATTCACCGAAGGTTTGGGTTTATCCCTACCGATCTTGGTGACCGTATCTGCGCGCTCACTTCACGAGCTTACACCCTGCTGGCAATCTCGTAAGGCGGGGTACTGTACCTATCGATTTAAGGCCCAATCGCCTTCAGCTTCGCTCGTGGTATTTGGGAATGGACAGGGGTTCCAACACAATCTTGCATGTCGCTTGGAGGTTTTTTCTTGATCAAATCATGCATGAATCAGGTCTTTGGGACTTCAATTCGACAATAGAACCTCCTGGTGAACGATCTATTTGTGGGGTGCGGAATTCTCCGATTTCCTGGTGTATGTACATGCTTACATAGCATCTACAAGCAAAACAAGTATAGTCTACGAGCGAGCCCGACTGCTGACACCGACACATTTTCAAATATATTAATATAGGTATTAATGGTTTTTTGTTTGAACAAAGCTGTCACGTTTGATCGCGATCGATCGATTACTCTCACATTACCCTCCCAAACGATACTTTTCAAGATTCTATTTAAAAAACCTTGTCGACAGAATGTCACGAGTGAGGCTCCTGTTGAATCTAAAGAGAGAGAAAGAGAGAAAAGCAGTCTAGGAAATTATCGTACAAGGATCAATGCATGTGTGTGCACATGTGCTTATATGCAATACACGCGGCTCAACTGCTCTCAAATGCAAGTCAAGTAACTACCGGTGCAGAAATACCAGGAATGCTTTGTGCTCATTCGTCGGAGACTGCAGGATAAAGCGGCTTAATATTGATAATCAAAAGAATTCCATGATGTTTTCTATTGATATTTTGAGTTTTCCTGGAATTTTCCCATATATGCACCTCGAGACAGGATGGGTGAGGCTTGGTGTGTGCCGTCCGGTAAACGGATGATATGACGGTCCCTACATGATCAAGATCCTTGAAGATATGTGCCCATCCTGCAGCTTCGTCTCATTTTCAACCACTCAGAACTCCACTTTTCTTTTTTGCCCTCGACCAAGTTTAATATCAATCCCTGGAGATTTTTGGTGGGTTTCTAGACCATAGGCCATGATATTATTTGACGAAGCACCGCCTAACCGAACTTCACAGCCGCTGCGCTTCCTGACCTCCCCCAGCCGTAAAATCAAGGAAACTTTAATTTTTTTTCTCGTGAGCTTCAAAGTCCGTGCTCAGAAGGAATGCTGAACCTGGAAACCTTTTGACGTACGAGTTTTTTTAGAATCACGCTGCATTTCTCACACTTACATGTTTTTCCCCGGTAACCCCGTTGTCCAATAAAACCCCGATTTGGCGCTGGAGCTTGAGCTGAAGAACACCGTTCTAAATCCGATCGAATTGTGGAGGTCGGTGGCGCTTCCGTACACACCCTGTGAAAAGGCGCTTGTCGCACGTGTGGGAAAAGCAAGAGGGGGGATTTGGCTGAGAGCTAGGCCTGATCTTGGCATTGATGTTCGTGCATTAGGATGCATCCGTGATAGCTTAAGTTCACTAGATCTCGAACTCGATAAGGAAATTGCGAGATAGGTATGTAAGTAGTTAATGCAATGCATGCAATGGCTATCGTTAACTCCGGATGATAAGTAAGAGCTGTCGTTAGACATTTGGCGTTAAACTAACCCAATTGTCCAATGTAACAACCGGTTCGAGATTGTTGCATGTTTCGGCTGAATTTGGTTCGATTGTTCTAAACAACATGTTGGCGTTCCAATGATCATTGACAGAAATTCGTCTGTCCGGATTCCCTCGAGACGATAATTTTCTCCCTAACTTGTTATGTTTCATCTCAAGCCTAGCCTCACGCTCAGATCTGAGAGCTCGACTTTAGCTTCTTAATCTTTAGGCTCTTTATTCTATTCTTTTATTTTATTTTTTTTCGTCCGATTGAGCTCCTCGATGCGCATTTGGTCAAAACTTTAAAGGAAGCTATCCCGGCTAGTTGGCCGTAAAGTACCTCTTAGTACATTCCACGAAAGGTCTTCTAAGCCTCCAACAGTAAAGCTATGGGAATCGTGGATCGGATCGAATAGTCAACCCCAGCTAGTCCATGCTCGTGCCGACGAACTGGCCGCGTGGGCTGTCGACCATCCCGAGCTAGCAGTGTCGTATTCATCTCAAATACACCGCGAAGTATCGGGGTCTGTAGGTAGGATCAGATGACTTGTAATTCCCCACCATACATAATTAATTGATATCGATAAGAATTTATGCGCCCCTCTAATTTGGGTTTTGATGGTGTATCCATGGTTCGACAGTGCGATGAGATGTGATGGGTCAATTAATTAGCAAAGTTTATCACATGCTAATGATCTATGTCATTTTTCGCGTGAATTGTTAATTAGGGGGGAGTGAAATACACTGCTGACACGTCAACGTTCCAATTGAAATTGGATCTATCATATTTATTCAGGAGCTGAATGTCTTAGATTCGATTTCCCACTAGTCTATTAATTCTAACGGTTGTGTCACGGGGAAAACAAAAGCGTACTTCGAAAGCCAGAAATCCATGGATCCATTGGATTGAATGGTTTAAGACTGTATTTATACCGTAGCTTATAGACGGGTATCGTCGGCGACTTGCAGAATACTCTAGCTATTCACAGGTTCAAATAGAATATACATTAAATATTTGAATTAAGAACAATGTTGATTCGTTAACGATGAAGTTGAGACTATCAGGCAGCAACCTAGAAGTATCGAATTTGAAAAACGGTAAAGGAAGCAAATTTTGGAGGGGAGAGTTCCTTATGAAACAAGAGGGTACAAGGCAAGAACTGAAATACCTCAGAAGCTTTGTTTTGTATGTGTAATGACATCTGGCCTTAAAACCAAGCTTCCGACGGGCTAAACGTTGAACTAGACCGGGCGGGAGACAGTAGGTTTGCCACAGGCGCATACACACAACCCGGGAAAAAAAGAGAATAAGGGAATAAACGACCCGACACTGATATAAGTTGAGTATATCGAAAGGTAATGAAGTAGCGGCCAAGCGGTGTCGATAATGTGGTAAACTTGACGGGAAGGGACATCAATACGAGAACCTGCAGCTACCCACTCAGTTAGGCAGCCTACAGTGTATACCCCAGGGATCTTTCCGTTTCCTTGTGTGTCGAAGTTGTATATTATTCAAATTAGGTTAAAATTCTTCAAAGTGCTGATCTTTTGTTCAACTTCAACGGGTTCGTCGATACCGATGGTTTCCTATCGCGGTGGTGGAATTTTCATAAGATATCAGTTTTTGATAGTAACAGCAACTCAATATGGAATGTGTGATTTTGAAGTTGAAGCGGTAATCGAAAGAGGAATGTGTGTGTAAGCTGCCTTGTACAACGTTACTGCCAAACGGTATGGAACCCGTCTACAGCCTTTCACGGCCCTGATCCGTCCTGTTGAAGACACCGTGGGATAAAAGGTAATATAGACTTTTTCTTCGTCAAGAGCACAGCCAAGGCACAAGAATAAGATATCTCCCGAAAATCTGGGGAAGCACGACCGACGGAAGGCTGCAGCTATTTTGTTCTAAGGAATTCCACGACATAGGCGGGTTACCCAGGGCTCGTTGATATCGCTTGGAGAGGAATGAGGGATTTAAGAAAGGGCTGATACATTCAGCAGGATAAATGAAGAATGGGGGAAGAGAAGAGGGGCCGATAGGTTATGAAAGTGAGAAAAAGGGCCGTGATTGGTGATGTTGAAGGTTGGTGGGATAATCGTAAATCCGGGACAAGGGATGGTGGTGTGTTTCCCGTGGCACAAAATAACCAAGTCGCCGGAAAGCTCCATGGGCCGATTATTAACCTGGTGAGCGTGATAGTAAAGGAAAAGTGCTGGCTCTGGGTGAATGAGACTGTTCGTATGTATCAAATGCGGTGAAACCTCGATAATCGAAATGTTTCGGGTTGTGGACACTATACTTGATGCATCCTCTGGGCAAAGTGATTCGTTGTCTTGGACTAAGGCATATCCCACGCCGAGACAAGGTAGTTGAATAGGAAGCCCCTTGCAAAGAATCGCAATCGAAGGCCGTGGGACGCGAGGGATAAGGCATGCACTCATACTATGTATGAAAGGGTGGGTATAACTCACCTTCAGATCCTTGGGATTGACATCACCGCCTAGACCATCTGCAACAGCTTCGAAGAACTCCTTCGACCACCTCTTCCTAGCGGTCCACAACCCTTGCATCTTCTTTGCTTCCATCTGCACCTTTTGCTTCTCCTCAGCTGATATCGGTTTCACATCGCCACTACGCAAAGGCTCAAGACGGCTGCGTAGGTCTGTGACTTCCCGTTGTAGGGTGTCCACTTCAGACTTGAGATCATCTGCAGTTGGCATGGAACGAAGTTTTTGGAGTGTCACCTGGAGGGATTTTAGTTCGGCCTTTAGTGTCGACGTGCGTTCCTTCATAACTTCGACTAATGTCTTCATGGCCGCGATTTCTTCCGGTAAAGCAAAGTCATCAGGGTCCTAGAAGAGCAGATCAAGGCGATCATCCGTTAGCCGAACATGCTTGGTTGCTAAATGCTAATGGCTTGCTATTCTTATTTGTGATTTCGTAGATAGCTTGACAGTTGGGATTCGTGGGAGAGTTGTAAAGCTATTGCCGGGTTCCGAAATGTTCCTCCGGGCGTGAATGTGTGGAAACGCAGGACAATATCCCCAAGACAAAAGTCGGTGTAGGGGGTACATCTTAAGAGGTTCCTTTGCTGACGGGGGTACTTTGGCTAAAGTATTTGGCCCCTGGTGAGTGATCTCCCGCTATACCTGATCTTCTTTAAACCATGGGAAGCCCTGGCTACCCAAGACCTCGAATTGGGCTACGTCTACATGCAACATCCGCAACATCTGCAACATGCACAGACCAGACGAGAGCTCTGTCATCATCATCGTTCCGATACACCTACCTGAGGAGTATGATAAACCATTTGTTTTCCTATTGAATTGTACACACCATCCAACGAGTCAGCCAAGTCGACAAAGGCGTCATGAAAAATAGTCATTCGCTCGTATTCGGCTGGTCCGGGCAGCCTAAAGCAACCCTCTCGTCTTCATCGATCGTGTATTCGTCGATCGAAAACGGAGAGTTTAGGAATTCTCAAGCCCTTTATTCTTACCAGAGATGCAGACCACTAGATCTCCATTATCACTCAGCTCCTTGAGTAGTTTTACCGCATTCGCCTTCGTAACCGCGTTATGCAAATTGGCACTAATATCCGTAGCCGAATATGGGCGGTTCTGCTTTTGTAGGTAATCTAGAATCATTTCAACGGCTGAAAGAGAACCCATGCGTCAGTATGTTCAAATCGGGTGTTTGGCTCTTCAATAAAGGCCAACTGATAAGAGAGG